GTGTGACGGCTGGTCACACTTTGATTAAACTTCGTTCACTATGTCTCGCAGCCACTTACTATGATCTCGATTAAGATATATTTATGCTATTATGCCCTCATATATCCTTACCGACTTATGCACATCTTTACAATACTTTCAGGATAACTGAATGCGGATTATGCTGAGCTGCACCCTGTGACAGATGCACTTACCGAAGTGAGATGTACTCGGGCGTACCGGTACAAACTTCGCACGGCGGAACACGACTGCATCCTGCAGCCCGGATCGTCGGGGTGTAGTAGAAAGTCCCAACACATCCCAGCCCCGACTTCGCTCGCGGCGGGGTCATGTTTTCCAGAGGAAGTGTCCATGCAGCGCAACGAAGTCCTAGGTGTCCAGCAGTCACCTTGCGTCTTGACCGATAGATCGAACCGTGCAAGGACAATCATTGACACCGCCTGCGCGGAACATCTCGACGGAAGTGCAGGGGCTCGATACATCGACGTGCGTCCGCAATAACCATATCGCAATACGACGAACGAAGCGTTTAATGGTCATCCACGGATACAGTAGACGCAGCGAGAAGGAACATGACAGACAGACCGCAGACCGCGGTGCAGCATCTTAAGAGCCGGCGAGCAATAGCGACTCCGAGACAGACAAAAGTATGACGGGATGGGAAACGCACTAGTGCTGCCCTATGGCGATGATGTTGCTGGAGATCGCGGCGTCGGCGAGCGTAAGGACGTCTCCGACGACTGTTACTCTGTTGACAAGGAGCAGCCGCGGTTTGCCTAACTAAGTTTCCGCGGTGAGCGACTCAATGCATAGCGTGCGCATACCTACGCAACCTCATTACGCTCTCGCTGCACATTCTTCGGACTGACTGGCCTGAGCAACTTGTCGGAAAGTGCAGACGAGTGCACTCGCGAGCCAGGATGGCCGGGGTATCGCAGGAGTAGCGTAACTCATTTCAGACGGCAAAACAAGACTAGACGGATGCATTGACGACGACCGATGTTCGCGCTCGACGGCGTTGTCCATGAGCAGGGGCGGCGAGGATGGCGGCGTCGGTGAGAGCGTCGGCCTGAGTCGGGCGTGACGTGGCGAGACCGTGATGTGACGAGGGACGTTACTGCGTGATTCTAGACTGTTCCGTGACAAATTGCTCAAAAAGTGCTGGCCGACGTCGACCGCGTTCTCTCACCGTCCTCCTGCTCGCTGTCGCCCCCGTCCCCGCCGCCGCCCTGCTCATCGTTCTGCGTGTGGAAAGCAATGCACCACTTCTCTCAGACGTCCTCTGCTGCGCTCCGCCGCGCCGCCGCAAAGGCGGCCAAGCCTTCGCTGGCTCGCGGCGCGCACAAGGAGATCAAGTTCTCGAACGAAGGTCGCGCTAGCATTCTCAAGGGCGTCGACGTGCTCGCGGACGCCGTCAGCGTCACCCTCGGTCCCAAGGGTACGTAGCCTCGCCAGCTGGCCGGAAGTGACACGCTCACCGTCTCTGCAGGTCGCAACGTCATCATCGAGCAGTCGTTCGGCGGCCCGAAGATTACCAAGGGTATGTCGCCTTACCTTGCCTCTACCGTGCCCGTGCTCACATACCCGCAGATGGTGTCACGGTCGCAAAGTCGATACAGCTCAAAGACAAGTTTGAGAACCTCGGCGCTCGGTGAGTCGGCTCCGCGCCTTCCTTCTCAGCGTCCCGCTGACCCCGCCTCGCAGCCTCGTCCAGGACGTCGCGTCCAAGACGAACGAGATGGCTGGTGATGGCACGACCACCGCCACCGTCCTCGCGCGCGCCATCTACGCGGAGGGTGTCAAGAACGTCGCCGCTGGGTGCAACCCTATGGACCTCCGCCGCGGCTCCCAGGCCGCCGTCGACCGTGTCGTCGAGTTCCTCTCCTCCCACGCAAAGACCATCACCACCACCGCCGAGATTGCTCAGGTTGCGACCATCTCCGCTAACGGCGATGCCCACGTCGGCAACCTCATCGCCCAGGCCATGGAGAAGGTCGGCAAGGAGGGTGTTATCACCGTCAAGGAGGGCCGCACCATCGACGACGAGATTGAGATCACGGAGGGCATGCGTTTCGACCGCGGCTTCATCTCTCCTTACTTCGTCACCGACGTCAAGTCCCAGAAGGCCGACTTCGAGAAGCCCCTCGTTCTCCTCAGCGAGTCTAAGATCAGCCGCCTCCAGGACATCCTTCCGGCCCTCGAGGCTGCTGTCCAGGCGCGTCGCCCGCTGCTTATCATCGCGGAGGACGTCGACGGTGAGGCCCTCGCCGCGTGTCTCGTCAACAAGCTCCGTGGCCAGGTGCAGGTCTGTGCCGTCAAGGCCCCCGGCTTCGGCGACAACCGCAAGTCCATCCTCGGTGACCTTGCTATCCTCACCGGCGGCCAGGTCGTTACGAACGAGCTCGACATGAAGCTCGAGCAGCTCACGCCCGACATGCTCGGCTCGTCCGGCTCGATCACCATCACCAAGGAAGATACGATCGTCCTTAACGGTGAGGGCTCCAAGGACGCGATCCAGCAACGCTGCGAGCAGATCCGCGCGCTGATTGCGGACTCGACAACGAGCGAGTACGACCGCACGAAGCTCCAGGAGCGCCTCGCGAAGCTCTCGGGCGGTGTTGCGGTCATCAAGGTCGGCGGTTCGTCCGAGGTCGAGGTTAGCGAGAAGAAGGACCGGTACGACGATGCGCTCAACGCGACACGCGCAGCTGTCGAGGAGGGCATCCTCCCCGGCGGTGGTGTCGCGCTCCTGAAGGCGTCCCTCGCGCTCGCGAGCAAGGCGCCTGGTTCGCAGGCAGTGTCGTCGCCGGACGTGAAGCTGATCCCGACGGCGAACTTTGATCAGGACCTGGGCGTGTCGATCATCAAGCGGGCGCTGTCCCACCCGGCGCGGACGATCCTGAAGAACGCGGGCGAGGAGAGCTCCGTGCTTGTTGGCACGATGGTGCAGCTGTACGGCGCGGAAGACAAGTTCGCGTGGGGCTACGACGCGAGCAAGGGTGAGTGGGTGGACATGATCAAAGCAGGCATCGTCGACCCGCTCAAGGTCGTCCGGACCGCACTTGTCGACGCCGCGGGTGTCGCGAGCCTGCTGACGACGAGCGAGGCGTGCATCGTCGAGGCACCGGAGGAGAAGCCGGCACCGCCTGCGGGTGGCATGGGCGGCATGGGTGGTATGGGAGGCATGGGCTTCTGAGCGGGCTGTGGGCGCGGAAGCGAAGAAAAAAGTATCATGCTCAGTGTTTAATGTCGGTTCTCAGCATCATCACATCCACGTCGTGTTCGGTTGCGCATATAGCTCTCTCATCTCATCGTCTCGTGTCGCGTGTTGTGTAGTACGTTCGTATAATCTGCTCTCGGTCATGCATGCTCGGAAATGACACACTCCCCACTCTGCTTCATACGCTGTCTTGCGAATGTGATGAACGACTACATCTGATTCTCTGTGCTAATCGTGCGTTCGCCCGTTCTCCTCTGCGCATGCGGCCTGTGTTCGGTATGCCCTGTTGCCGAATCGCCTGGCGGCCCAAGTGGCGGGCCACTTCGAAGGTGTTCCCGCCAATCCGTTCGACGCCGACTTCCTTGGATCGTATAGCAAGCTTTTGAACGCGCAGCTTCTCCGGACACCGTCTTCCCTGTCGTCCCCCAGCTTTGCTTGCTCCGTTCGCGCGAATCTGCAGACTTCCTGTGGTGTTCGCGGTTGTTTTCGCAGACCCGTCTTCGTATTGGAGGTCAACTCGCCCAGAGATCTCCGCTACCTTTCCACGCGAGGCGTCCGACCGATGGACCCGAGTTCGCATAAGGGATATGCATGGTTCGTCGTCATCTTAGTGGGTAGTCATTATTGCAGAGATGTTCAACGGCTTTGTCGTCACACAGGCGAGTGTCCTCTTGCCGTTCTGCACGCATTTACTGCGATGGACGAGATTAGGCTTTTAGCAGAGGCCGCGAGCTGGCCCCGTGTCTCGGCTTACTTTCGAGGTGGACACGGCGCCAAGCGAAAGCTAGGACTGGTGTTCTCGAGGAGGGCGGGATGCAGAAGCTACAAGCCGCCGTCGGTCAGATAAAGCGGCGACGGACGGTATGTTCTAGCTTCCTCCTAACTAAGTGGATCCATCTACTGAGTGGTTGATGACGTGCAGGTGCTTGAATTCGAAACGGATTGTTCACTAGCTACGTATGTCCTGCGTGGTACGTTCCCGAAGTACGTTTGCGGGCCTGCATGCCTCGGAGCAAACCCGATCCATACACCTGAACATCGCATTGAGGGGGAAGATCGAGGTCACGGTCGATCGAGGTGAATACCATTTTCCCGGTCAAACACATAACACTTCCGCGTTCCGGTGCTGACGACAACGTTTACACCCCTTTTCTTCTACCGTCATTTGGCGGGTTTATTTCCACAGTGCCCAGCACCCGCTTCGCTCCGCCTCGTTCTGCGATGCATGACTCGGATGCTGATTCCGGCTCTCGACAGCCAATCCCCGGCTCAGACGATACCACCTCTTGGGACGCCAGTCAGCCACCATCCGTCGCGCAGCCTCATAACCCCTCTGGCCCTGAGCACAGTGGCTCGCTCTCTTTGGACTGCGCTCCTGGCGACACTTTTGTTGAACTATTTCAAACTGAACGGGCCGTTCACGAGGGAGACGAACCGATGGCGCTGCTTCAGAGTCCCGGCCGTCTTCAAGCTCCCCTGGGCACGGAGCCCATCCCACTAGAGTTCTGGGGTGTCATCGACGCTTCCGACTTGTCCGACTTGTCACTGGCGGACCGAACGAATTCCTCATCGACTGCTTCAAAGCCATCTGGGATATCGGGGAAGAATGGCTCACTCATGGGTGCCACGAGTTTGTGAAGAAGGTATCATACCGTTGACGATTCCTTCGTACATCATCTGATACAAATGGTGTGACAGGAACTCCACGAAGTCGACAATCATCAGTATCTGCTATTGCAGGACAAGTTCAACTCGATTTGGGACATGGAGGGAGTGTTCGATGAGACTTCGGCTCGCGTTTCTTCAGGGTGTTTCGTGAGTTCGCTCGTTATATATTTCGATGATTGAGAATACTCACTGTCCATCAGTGTGGATCACTGGCAGAAGGGCCGTGTGCTTACCGTGCAAGCCCCTACCATCGCGGAGGACACTACCAAGGTCATTGCCGCTCATATGGTCAGCTTTCTGTGTCGCAGTGCTGGAATGATGTGGTTCAAGAGGAGGGCTTTCGTGATGGTCATGATGCAAAGCACGGACTGGACATTCAGCATGAAGAACAGTGTCGTTCGAAGGGACTTCGAGAACGACGTGGCGGGCACGGAGGTCTTTCTTTGTGTCGTGACAGATACTCGGGCGGAATCCATGTATCAAGTGCGCAAGGTGCGTATTCTCACTACAGTCCAGTCGATGTTCACGTCTCCCTCAGATTGCGGCAATTCTTGGAAGGCACGATCTACTGCATGGCTTCATGATAGCGCTTGTTGGCAAAGCCCCTTCGAACTTGGATCAGGACCTACACTTCAAAGTCGCTCACGCGAACTCTGACTCTGACCTTCCCGCCGTCGAGGTATGCGTTCTGTCGTATGAACGCAAGGAGTTCGACCAGTTCGAGACGAGAGCACGTGAAGCAACCTGCGTGGAGGACTGGGAAAAGGAGACTTTGAACTTTATGGTACGAGGCATGTTTGTTCACAAAGCATATTCTGATGTTCATTGCGTTGTAGCGTATGACTTACCTCAGCCCCTCCATCGCCACCTGCCCACGGTATCGAACATTTCCGCTCGCGCTTGTGTTCCATTGCTCGATCCTACAACTCCACATTCCCTCCTCACTCACTGCCGCAAATCTGGGGAGAACTGCCGCAAATTCACGACGATATTCGGGAGCCCATGGATACGATCAGCGCCGAAGCATCCTCCCAGCTCATGGCTCTTCTGGACCAGGCGGCTCGCCCGCTGGGGATGCGTATTCTCGCCCGTCGTCGGGGATGGGAGAAGCAATTGTTGATGAGTCGTTGTCTCATTACATCTGATCGCATGCGCAAATTTGTTTAATTCATTGTAGCCTTGTGCAGTGTTGTAGTCGAACTGAGTGAATGATGAAAATGTTGCGAGTTCATTGTCGGTCCGCCGTCTGTGATAGTGGCGCTCTACGGCGTGTACTCAGTGTTAGCCAAGTGCAGCAGCCGCAATACACGTCGCAGCGGACGGTATGTGCCCTCGAATCGTCTCTCTGATACATACCAACATTGTGCCCATCGAAAACCCAGGTCCCGCGACGAGATGCGGTAGCCCAGGGGAGGGTGAGCCACTGAGTGTCGAGGGATCCCAGCGACCGGCGGAGCCAACTGTGTGTGACGGCGCGATGTTGTTGGACCGACACAGCCTCAGTGTGCCGGCCTAGGTGGGACACCCAAAGACAGTGGACACGTCGACAAAGCATACGGCGGACTTACTGAGCGAAGCGTAGAACATGCACTGTGCGGAAGCCCAGGAGAGGGCCCGGGTGAACCACTCAGCGTCGAGCCTGAGACCAGTGGAACCAAGTGTGACGCGGTGTTATTGGATCAACGCGGTCTTGAGAGTGAACGTTTGAACCCGCGACGGTCGACAGGTGTGCTTACGATGCGGAGCATAGAATCGCGGTATGGTACGTGTGTGGGGGGGGGGCGGCCAGGACTGGGTGGATCGCCGAGACCAAGGCGGACGAGTGACCGAAACGGGGAGCACGGTCGTCGCGATGGCGGCCCTAGGTACCTTTCTATGGGACGACAGAAGCATCGCAGACGCGCGAGGGATGGCATACATATCATATGGTTGAGGCGGTCAGCTTGACATTCGGTACATACATTCATGTGCATCAGTATTCCGTCGCATACATTACCTGCCGGGACAGAACATACCCTTCGCGTCCGGAGTCAGCGTTACTGACTCGCAGTACGTGTTTCCACTGCAGATATATCATCCTCTGGTCGGGTGGAAAAGACTTTGATAGTGAAAAACGTACTTTGTGACTCTCCCACAGCATAGAAGCAAATTGGAAAGACGACGACGTTAAGACGTCGAAGGACGCCTTTCGAGTCTCGGGCAGACAAAAGCCTGAGACTTTCCTAGACCACGAATCACGCTCTGCAGTCCACTTTCCCTGCCCGCGAAGCAATCTGAGTTAAGTTAAAGAGCGTTCATTATACCGCGACCCTTGTCGTTGGAGGAAACGACGGGCTCCTCGTTATAGAGAAACACTATCACGTCGCCGAGGCCGTCGATCATCGGGTGGAAGCGTATGCACAACCGCAGCGGACAACCGTAGGCGGCCCGCGAACACGTCCTTCTGCCGCCCACCTCACCACAGAGCTCCCTGTGCGCCCGACAGTCGACGTGTCTCTTCCTGCACAACCAATGCAGGGATGTTGAAGCGATGTATGACGTCACGGCGTGCTCTCGAGCGTGCTGTCGCGCGTGTCAGGTCGCTGCTATCCACGCAGAGAATGCTTACATACCGACGATAGTGTACATACATTATACATACAACCACACTTCGAAACGACTTCCGTTTGTCTTGTTCACTTGCCAGCCACCGTAGGCGTCGTCCGCCCAGCTACCGCTCACGCCGCGGCGACCTGCACGCACACTTTCCCGACGTGCTGCTGGCTCTCCAGATACTCGTACGCCGCCCGCGTCTCGTCGAACGCGAACACCTTGTCCACGACGGGCTTCAGCCCCGTCGTGTCGATCAGCCGCACAAGCGCCTCAAACCTACAAACCGGACGCGTGAACTGCGGAGCGCGGAGGGGGCGACGGAGGACGTACTGCGTGCGCGAGCCGATGAGAATGCCCCGAACGAGCGCGCCCCTGCCCAGGATGATGCCAGGCAGGCTCGAGATGTCGCCGCCCTTTGTGAGAGTAAGCATCAGACTCCGCAGATGCGAATGGCATGCGTACCCCTGCGACGAACCCGATCACGCTGACCGTCCCCGCAATCCGCGTGCTCGCGAGCGACTTGTTGATCGTGCCTGCCCCGCCCACCTCAATAACGTGGTCCACGCCGCGCCCGCCTGTCTGCCCACACTGTGTCCATCAGGAAAAAGCCCTCCCGAGAATGACCATGAATGACTCAGTATTATGGAGAAATCTAGGTAATTGTACATGTTATCTCAGTTCTCAGTAATAGGTTTTGTTAGCTAGTCCCCTCTCTTTCGTCTGTGAATGGCTCGATAATATATGGCATTATGCAACATGACCAGTGTGTTATGCAGCTTATGCTTCATTCTGATCACATTCCGTCCTTAATCTGACCATTCTTCTGATTCATGTACTGAATGGTCCATCGTACGAGGTGATCACATTCAATTCACAGGAACAAGTCGATTGTAATGTGTCACTAATGACATCAAGCAGCAGCTACTGTAGTACGGTACACTCCGACTATCTCTGCCTATGCCTCCCTCCGGACGAGATGTGCTCCAGTGAGGCGGGCCTCCGGAGGCGCGACCGGAAGTGGTGGTGGGACAGGGCCTTGGGCCAGGAACACGGCGGACTCGGCGGGGAGAAGCGGGGGCTCGGCGCAGTTGTACGCAGGCAGCGGCAGGGCCACTGCGACACGTTGAGGGGATGGTGCATGGGACTCAACGGGGAGGAGCAACGACGTGAGGTTGAGCTCGGCACGAGTGGCGGCGCACGCTCGGTCTCCTCCAGCGGCTCCGACGCCTACATCCACAACCGCTGGCTGAGGGGCATCTCCTTCGGGAGCGGGAACTACGAGTTCCACATCCCCCGCGCGTCTTCGCGGAGGCGCAGCCGGTCGTGTCTTCCGGAGAGGCTGGCGGCGACGAGCGCGTGCGTCCTCTTCTGGCTTGGCTTCATGGGCCCATGGTGCTGGCTCATCGGCGGGTGGATGCTCACCACGGAGGGCGAGCTCGAGCCGGAGTTCCGGCGCGATGCGGACGCGAAGGGCGCGATCCTGCCCCAGGCCGCGAGGGCGAAAGCGCTTAGAACGCTGGCGCCGCTGACTGTGTGGCTTAGCGGGGCTGTAGCGCGTGAAGGACGACACACACACAGTGGACGAGAGTCGCGGTGGACGCAGCGGGTGGCGCGTACTCCTCCGGGCGAGTTGACGTTGATGTTCGGAATCGTCGCGAGCACTGGCGCCGCCCGCCCAGCACGCGACTGAACGGAGAAAGGGGGGCACCAGCTGGGCTGTCTGCGGCGAAATGGCTGCGCTGCAGCATGGCTGAGCGGGTCGTCCTGCGCAAGAGAAAAACGGTGGGCACCGCTCCAGACGCGCTGTGCTGCGAGCAGAGCGTGAGACGACGTTGCCGTGATACGGCGGGTGGCAAAGACATACCTGCGAGCAGCGCGTGAGTGTGTGAGCAAGCAGGTGAATGAGCTAACAAAGAAGATGAGGATGTGCCGGCACGAACGAGCGGGCACGCACAAGAGGGCATGTGAACACGAGAGGACGGGCGTGTGTGTGTGCGAGAGGGCGGGCAAGCCAAATGCGCGGACAGATACGCGGGTATTCGAGTGGGATGTGCAGATTGGCCGGCAAGCAAAGGCACTCTACCCAAACTATGCTTGTGCTCCGACAAACGGGTCTCGACGGTTGTCCACAGGGTTACGTAGGTCGTCCATGTCGGCGTGATTGTTATCTCATAGCTTGTTCTGGCAGGTACAGTGGAGGACGCAGGTGGGCGGTTGAGTAAACGGGCGGGACAGGGGCTGGATGTGAACTCGACAGTCAGCGACAGCAGGGGTGAGTCTTGGTTGAGTCTGACGTGGCAGTCGGTTGAGTGGCGCTGCAGAGGACACCGATCGCGATCTGATTTAGGGCAGACAACTGTCTGACTCCAGCTACGGATTGTGATGTGACAGCGCTCAAACGACTACAAGACCGCAACAAGACCGCGCTCCTGTCTTCCGTCGTCCTCTTTGGCTCTTGATACTCTCTGTCAGACAGCCCTCTCCTCTACTTTTTACACTTTTTATCCTGACCTCGGTGACACAGAACCCGAGCGTGCGACTCAGGACTTCCGTGACACGCGTGCCAGTGTCAAGCGACAAGACTGCGCAGAAAACGACGGACCTGGGGAAATGAGGACGTGAGATGCGAAGGCACCGAAAGATGAGAGCAAGGAGATTAGGAGAAAAGACTCGGGCGTAGTACTCGAACCTGAAGGTACGTTCGCGCTGAATGACCTGGCCGAGTCAAGCTCAAGCATCGCGCTACGGTCTTGCCCTTCTGCCTGCCGATCCTCTGCTTATGTCTTCGCCCGGACAGTCACTCGACACGTACAGCCCCCTACCGAGTTGATGACGAGGCAGCGCAATGTTACCGTGCGCCTCGCAGTGTTGCTACCGCCCGACCTTCGCTGACATGACAGATGGACGTCGCCGCTCTCACGCTCAACGCGAAGAGATCTGAGCAGCTGGCGACGCGACCGGCAGTCAAGCACTCAAGCTGCCCATGCATGCGACACGCACGGCGACCGGCAGTGCGCACTGTGACGAAGACCGCTACAGCCGCGCCCGCGTTCAACACGAGGATGGATTGACAGCCAGCAATGCAACACGAGACGAACGTACCCATGCGTACACGCAGCATGACGATGACCGGCCCGCTCGCGCGAGCCTTCGTAACGGTGACCATTGCCTGTGCCGGACGACTCGGATTCGCTCGTAAAACGTGGACGGCGGAAACCTCAGCGCATACCGTGCTTTCAGCAGTCAGGGTTGATGACAACTTTCAGGCTGCACGAGAAGTACGTCCTACCCAAGGTGTAGCTTAGATTACTATGCAATATATCTTGTTACGAAGGGTCTACGAGTACATTGTATACACGTCAATGCTCTTGTATCCAATGCCTGAGCAACGAATTCTGGCGATTACATGGCTTCTCGCACCACATGAGTATTTATAGCTCGTAGCGAGAACTTAGTGGCATGTGCTAATATTGCCTGCATTACGAACATATGCACAGATGGTGTGTACAGTAGTGGACGATGCTGCGAATAATGTCAGAATAGCGGAGTATGATGTGGGTTCTATGTATTGTCGAGAATACGCCATAATTCTCAGGAGAGCTTTTTCCTGATGTCAACACACGAGCGGCCACGGCGTACGACTCACAATCCGCAGAACCTCCTTCTCCCAGTCCGGCGTCTTCTTGTAGTTGACGACGTGCTTCGCGCCGAGCTTCTTCGCGACCGCGAGCTTGTTGTCGGAGGACGAGGTCGCGATGACCGTCGCGCCGCTCGCGACGGCGATCTGGAGGCCGAAGATGGACACGCCGCCGGTGCCGAGGACGAGGACGATGTCGCCGCCCTTGAGCGGGTTCGCGCCCAGGAGCGCGTTGTACGCGGTCACTGCGGCGCATCTGCGTGTGGCGTTGGAAAGGCCGTGTGTAGGAACAGACAGCGTACTTACGGGAGCGTCGAGGCCTCGATGTACGACCAGCCGTCCGGGATCCTGACGAGAGACTGCTTCGAGTGAGCATCGCGCGCATAGAGAAGGGCGAGTCACGTACGTGCGCGGGCAGGATCTTGTACTCGGTGAGGACGCCGTCGATGGGTCCGCCGAGGCCGCTGAGGATGGTCTGCTGGGAGGCGTCGCCAAAGATGTGGTCGACGGAGAAGTTGGCGCAGATCTTGTCGCCGACGGCCCAGTCCTTGACGTCGTCGCCGACGGCGAGGATCTCGCCGGCCATGTCTGAGCCCGGGACGACATTGTCCTTCTGGCCAAGGGCGTACTGGCCCTTCGCGACGACGAGGTCGCGGAACTGGGTAACGGAAGCATGTCAGGGTTCATATCTGCGATGGAGAGAGACTGAATTGAGGAACAGACCTGGAGGGAGACAGCGTGAACTTTGACGAGGACCTCGGTGGACCTGGGCGGATGGATGGAAGCCTCGGTGAGTGTCAGGTTGTGGAAGCCATCCGCCTGTGCGCGCGTCAGCACTCGAGGTCTTGCTCACCAGATGCGAGCGACGCACCTTGGGGAGACGATACTCGCGGGTGGTGCTCGGGATGGGCATCGTGGGCGGGCTGTGGATCGAGAGACGGGGAATAGCTGTGGGAAAGAGAGGACGGCGCAGGTTTTTAAAAGGCTTCAGATGGACAGGGCGAGGTGCTTTGTCGGATCTTGAGAAGCGGGAGTGGTCCACTGTGCGAGCGATCCTCCGTGGGTGACAACATGTTCTTCCTCTCACCAATCACCGGCCCGGCCCGTCTGTCCGCCTCACTCCCCGTCGAGAGCAGCGACCTCGGGCCATCGAGAATGCGACAGACCACACCCGAGAACGCGTCGTGATGTCATGCATCGCTTCACCGTCCCTAGGTTGACAAGATGCGCGCAAAGAAGAGCTGCGCCGGTCGTCGAGTGCACAGGGAGCTCTGTGGCGAGATGGGTTGGGCAGCACTTTGCAGGTCTAGACGGACGTGTTCGTGAGCAGACAGTCGCACAGCGCCTACTAACGTCTTGCTCGTACCGGGCGTATGTTTCCACCCGGTGATCGGCGGCGCGGTCGTGTTTCTCTGTAACGAACACTGCGAGGAAACCGTTGTTTCCTCCAAGGGCAAGAGTCGCGGTGGCCAGTCCCTGGGTCGGACTGCGCGCGTGCAGCTAACCATTCACCAGAGAAGCCCCGGCCAAAGAGGCGGAGTGTATCCAGATCGCCGAGAGCTCGCTCCGCAAGATCAGTGTCGTCCCGGAAGCTAATAGAAGGTGTGACCAAGGTGACTCAGTCGGTCGGGCTGACTCTGCAAATGCGAAACGTCACGCACGCGAACGAGGATATGGGGCGGGGCACGACAGACGAAGCAAACACCACCACGGAGACGAGATATGGACAGGCGCAGTTTGGACGGGGACTCGAGGTGGACCGGCAGGACGATGGTGTTTGAGGACAGGGCACGGATATGTCGGTATGAAACGTTAGGCGGCGCGTTCGCGGTATGAAACGTTCAGCGGGCAAACAAGGCTGGGCGTTGCGTTGGCGGCGGCGGGAAGGTAAGCAAGAGAGCGACGCCGTCGGGATGGTCATGAATGCACTCACCGACCGGCGCACTCGCTGTCACTGTAGCGGGGGAAGCCTTCCCACCCTTCCGCAGTGACTGTACCAGCTCCGGCAGAGGCGGACTGCGACCTCCGAGTTGACGAAACTGGAGCACACATGGGGTTACGTGTGGCAGCCTGCACCCACTGGCCCTGGACTCAACATGAAGGACGGTTGCAGGAAGGCAGGTACGGTCCCGGAACGGGCCATGGGATCGAGGCTCGAGTCGACAGTGAGGGTACGGTGTCATCGTACACTGGCGTTGACATCACGGCGTGCTCTCGAGTACGTGAGGTCGCTGCTATAAACGCAGAGGATGCATACATACCGGCGATAGTGTACATACATTATACATACAACCCCACTTCAAGATGACTTCCGTTTGTCTTGTTCATGGGTCGGTCACCCTCATTCCGCCCGGCCGCCGCTCAGTCCTTCGCAACCTGCACGCACACCTTCCCGACGTGCTGCTGGCTCTCCAGATACTCGTACGCCGCCCGCGTCTCCTCGAACGCGAACACCTTGTCCACGACGGGCTTCAGCCCCGTCGTCTCGATCAGCCGCACGAGTGCCTCGAACCTACAATCCGAACCGCGTGAGCTGCGGGGCGCGGTGGAGATGGGGAGTCGGACGTACTGCGTGCGCGAGCCGATGAGGATGCCGCGGACGTGCACGCCCTTGCCCAGGATGATACCGGGCAGATTCGACATGTCGCCGGCCTGGCGGTGGTGAGCGAAGACCCGTAGATACGAATGAAATACGTACCCCCGCGACGAACCCGATCACGCTGACCGTCCCCGCATACCGCGTGCTCGCGAGCGACTTGTTGATCGTGCCCGGGCCGCCGACCTCGATGACGTGGTCCACGCCGCGCCCGCCCGTCTGCCCACAGCCGAGTCAGCCCACCTACGTACCCATATCCAGCGATCACTCACGATCCGGAGCACCTCTTTCTCCCAGTCCGGCGTCTTCTTGTAGTTGACGACGTGCTTCGCGCCGAGCTTCTTCGCGACCGCGAGCTTGTTATCGGAGGACGAGGTCGCGATGACGGTCGCGCCGCTTGCCACCGCGATCTGGAGGCCGAAGATGGACACGCCGCCGGTGCCGAGGACGAGGACGGTGTCGCCGCCCTTGAGCGGGTTCGCGCCCAGGAGCGCGTTGTATGCGGTCACCGCGGCGCACCTGTGTGGCGTTGAGTGCATGTAAAATAGACAGACAGCAAGCCCGTTACGCGTCCACACCAACGAGGCACGCCGCCATAAAGTCCGAGACAGTGCTGGGGGCATGGCGAGGAACTCCCCGCGATCAATAAGCCAGATGACTGGACCCGAGGACATACGCTTATGGTGGGCGGTACTCCATTGTCAGCAAACGAAACATCGGTAAGCACTCTCGCCCGGTGTGCACGCAGGGCCGGGTGGCGTCCGCTCGAGCTGAGAGGACTCCTCGCCGAGACATCGACGAGCTGCCACGGTAGGATCTTGCAGACTGCCGGTACTCATACGGCGAGTCGCGCCGCCGCCCCACTCCGATGCCCGTGTGTGCACTTCGCAAGAGTGCGCATCGATATCTCGTCTGCTGGAAGTTGGCCCTGGATGAGTGAACCCTACGGTGACCACAGAGTCATGCTTGGAAGCACGTTTCCGTGGATCGCATAGGCGGCTCCCGCTGCCAGACCCGGGGGCCTTGTCAACCGCCAGAGGCACCGATGAGCTACCACGGTAGGATTCAGCCGACTATCTATACTCGCATAGCGAGTCGCGCCGCCCCGCTCCGATACCCATGTGTGCACTTGGCAAGAGTGCGTATCGATAGCTCGTTTGCTGGAAGTTGACTCCGGACGAGTGAGCCCTAAGGCGACCACAAACTCGTGCGGGGAAGCACATTTCTCTGGATACCATAGGCGGCTCCCGGTGCCAGACCCAGGGGCTTTGTCAATCGCTAAGGTCCGTAAAGGGCCCCCCGAAAAACAAAACTCCGGGATGAGAAAGTCTCCCCAGACGACTAGACGCGGGGTCAGGTCATACTCCTGCCCAGTCACTGAAGTTGACCCTGGATGTAAGCTCTACAGCGACCACAGAGCCGTGCGTGGAGGTACATTTCCCTGGATAGCATAGGTAGCTCCCGCTGCCAGACACCGGGGCTTTGCCAAACGCCAATGTCTGTAAAGCGCCCTCCGCGCTCCGAAACATAAAGATGGCACTCACGGAAGCGTGGAGGCCTCGATGTACGACCATCCGTCCGGAATCTTGACGAGAGACTGCTGCGGGTGAGGATCGCACGCATAGAGAAGGGCGGGCCACGTACGTGCGCAGGGAGGACCTTGTACTCGGTGAGGACGCCGTCGATGGGCCCGCCGAGGCCGGAGAGCTTGATGTCCTCGGTGACGTCGCCGAAGATGTGGTCGACTGCGAAGTTGGCGCAGACCTTGTCGCCGACGGCCCAGTCGTTGACGTCTTCGCCGACGGCGAGGATCTCGCCGGCCATGTCTGAGCCGGGGACGACATTGTCCTTCTGGCCGAGCGGGTACTGGCCCTTTGCGATGATGAGGTCGCGGAACTGGGGATAGAGTTCGGATCGGCGGTGGAGCGACTCAATGGGGGACGTACCTGGAGGGAGACGGCGTGAACCTTGACAAGGACTTCGGTCGATTTCGGCGGACGGATGGAAGCGTCGTTGAGCGCCAGGTTGTGGAAGCCGTCCGTCTGTGGGCGCGTCAACGCCAAACGTCAGATGGATAAGACGCGAGCGACGTACCTTGGGGAGACGATACTCGCGGGTGGTGGTGGGGATGGGCATCGTGGGCTAGTCGCTGAGTGCAGTAGAGACGGAGAAAGGGATGTGGGAAAGAGAGGACTGGCGCAGGCTTTAGAGGACACGGAGAGGTGCTTTGTCAGAAACGGGAGTGGGTGAACTGTACGAGCGATCGTCGGTGGGTGACGACATGTTCTCCTCTCACCAATCACCAGCCCGGCCCGTCCGTGCGCCTTGCCCCGGTGGATAGCAGCCTCCTCGAGAACGCGACAGCACACGCCGAAGGGCTTTCCGTGACGTCATGCGTCGCTGTGCTACGTTGACCGGGTGTGCGCAAAGAAGAGCGGCGTCGATCGTCGGGCGCACCGGGGGCTCTGTGGTGAGATGGGCGGCAGAAGTGACAGTGGGCAGAAGGTCGTCATGAGCAGACAAGGATAGGGCGCCTCCGTTCTCCGCTCCCGTCGGGCATACACTTCCCGCTGATCGACGACCTCGGCCTGTTTCAACTGTTCTAACTCTGTAACGACGCTCGCACTCAAGCTCAAGTGGATCACACTAAGCAACACCAGACGCGATGATTCAGCGGAAAGGCTCTGTCATGGCAGCGCTCTCCTAGTACTACTGTGCGTAACGGAGTATTTATGAATGCTGACACTGACGAACCGACATTACTACATACTTACCCTGCATGCCTCGTCAGCAAATTCGCGATGCGCTTGTCGTCGCGGTGCAGAGACCAACCCCTGCGTCTCACCTGGCCTCAGGCTAATGCGCTCCTGGGCGCGAACCCGCTAAAGGGCGGCGACACCGTCCTCGTCCTCGGCACCGGCGGCGTCTCCATCTTCGGCCTCCAGATCGCCGTCGCGAGCGGCGCGACCGTCATCGCGACCTCGTCGTCAACAACAAGCTCGCCGTCGCGAAGAGACTCGGCGCGAAGCATGTCATCAACTACAAGAAGACGCCGGACTGGGAGGAGGAGGTCCTCCGGATCGTGAGTACGCGCGTGCTGGCTGTGGGTGCGTGGGTGGGCTGGCTCCGCTGTGGGCAGACGGGCGGGCGCGGCGGGGACCACGTCATTGAGGTCGGCGGCGCGGGCACGATCAACAAGTCGCTCGCGAGCACGCGGTATGGCGGGACGGTCAGCGTGATCGGGTCCGTCGGCGGGGTAGACGGTATTCTTGTCCTGCCAGGCTCGCGACATGTCGAAGCTGCCTAGTATCGTCCTCGGGGGAGCCCTCGTCCGCGGCATCCTCGTCGGCTCGCGCACGCAGTACGTTCCACTCCCCGTCTCCCCCTCCGTGCTTCGCAGCTCATGCTTTCGCCATGGCGCAGGTTCGAGGCGCTCGTGCGGCTGATCAACGCGACGGGGCTCAAGCCTGTCGTGGACAAGGTATCCCCGTTTGAGGAGACGCGCGCGGCGTACGCGCATCTGGAGAGCCAGCAGCACGTCGGGAAGGTGTGCGTGCAGGTTGCGAGGGACTGAGCAGTGGCCAGGCGGAACGAGGCCTACAGAGAGTCGAGAGAAGAAGGGGGACAAACCGAACGTGAGCTGATGTTTTAAAACATCCGCCTAGAACAGATGATCAGACCAACAGACACGAAGTGTCAAACCGTGACGGCGTAAGGTCAGCAATAGCCACCGATGCCGCACTGCGGCCCCTGCACATGCGTGGATATCATCCAACTTCCGTCGCCGGTGATACTCATTCAGTGCTCACTCCAGGTCTATGCCGTCGAGGAATTCAGCGATGCTTCGAGGGTGACGACACGGCTGTGCACTCACCATCATCCCGGCGCGTCCGCACGCCCCGCCCTCGTCGACAGCAACCACCTCACGCACTCGAGAACCCGACAGAACGTGCCCCACAACTGTATGCATTACTTCACATTGCTGGCTTCGAAGGCCGTTTCTCTGGATGAACGAGGCACTAACTCTACGACGAACGTTGCGTCTGGTTCGCACTCGGAGTGCACGGACGAGGCACACACGAGTCTCATTCGGCAGATGAGACATGCAAGGACAAGCGTCGCCAGGTGCGGAAGGCTTCTCACTCGCGGTTCCGGTCCCGGCCGACTCAAGAGACATATACATAGACCTCGCTGTATCGCTGGTCTGCGGGCTAGCAGGTTGTTCAATGAGCGGCGGTAAGTGAACATATATATATCCCATCCGTGGACTATCGATACATGTAGATATCGCCTTATCAGCACGACTAGATGAACCCTCTGGAGACAACCCGCCTTCGTCCTACCGACTACAATTCCCCATGCTACATCATCGCGCGTTTTTGCGCGGCCCCCTCCTCATTTCCCCTCAGGCTTTTTCCCCTTCCCCTCAGGCTTTTTGCCCTCAGGCTTCTTCGCGTTCGCCACCCAGGTGTAGCTTTGAGCGGACGGGCGGCTCATCTTCATCACGTCGTGAGGTTTCCCAGCCTCCTTCGCCGCCTGCTTTTGTGCCCTCTCATATTGCGCCTGATCAGCGTGCCATTGCTTGCGGTCCTTTATGTGAGCTTCCATACTGGTGCCATGCGTCCGTTGGGGGAACTTTCCTGGGGGTCGAGGGGGTTCCGCGCGTACGGATAACTGTTCGCCAAAGTAATCCCGATCAAAGAGTACCTGCAGATCGCCAAGAGCCCGCTCCGCAAGGTCGGCGTCGTCGCGGAAGCTACAGAGGGAAGGAGGTGTGCATCAGTCGAACCGCTCAAGCTGACTCGGCGAATGCGGAACAGCGCGTACGCAATGTAGGAAACGGGGCGCGCTACGGCAGACGACGCGAGCATCGCCGCGGAGACGAGAGGGAGGATGGTTGAGACGCGCATCTTGAATGGAGACTCGAGGTGCAGTGGCTGGACGACGGCGGCTGAAGGTAGGGCGCGGATACGTCGTGGTCGTGCGTCACGGTGCGGGTCGTTCAATAATCAAGCAAGGCTGCGTTGACAGCGGGCAGGTGAGAGATACATCGTCAGTACAGTCATTGACAGAATGCATACAGAGTAACTCACCGGCCGGCGCACTCGCTGTCGATGGGCTCCGAATAAGGGTTGGAGCTGGGTGTGCATTGCGGATGTTCCGTCCTTATAAATGTTTGCGGCGGTGCTGCGAGCCGACTCGGAAGGAACGTTGAGGTGACTCCAGAGGTACCGACTTTGGAGTCTCAGACGATATGCAATCATGGGGTGGGTGCGGTTAGTGATATGCGACATGCATCCTGATAGCATTATTGTAGGTCTTGATCCTGATCAAAACTTGAATATAACAGTCACGATGTAAGTATCTCGACTCGTCAGCTTGATAGCTGTGCAAGACTGGTGCAAGACCTAATGATGTCAAGGTACCACGACTCGGAGAGGCTCGCATGAACGCCTGTGATCCTGACGAGGGCGACATGCCTTGTTTGTGCGGACTCGATACGGGCTCGCTCTCTGTCTGTTTTACATGTGCTCAACACTACACACAGGTGCGCCGCAGTGACCGCATACAACGCGCTCTCGGGCGGCGACACCGTCCTCGTCCTTGGCACCGGCGGCGTGTCCATCTTCGGCCTCCAGATCGCCGTCGCGAGCGGCGCGACCGTCATCGCGACCTCGTCCTCCGACAATAAGCTAGGCGTTTCGAAGAAGCTCGGCGCGAGAAGACTCCCGACTGGGTAATGGAGGTTCCGTGGATCGTGAGTGATCGCTAGGCATGGGTACGTAGGTGGGCTGACTCCGGTAGACGGGCGGGCGAGGCGTGGACCACGTCATCGGGGCGGGCACGAGGAACAAGTCGCTCGCGAGCATGCGATATGGCGGGACGGTCAGCGTGATCGGCTTCGTCGGCGGGGTGAATATTCCATTTCACGTCTACATATGCCCGCTCACTGTCGCTTGTCCCGCCAGGCGCGACATGTCGAATTCGCCTAGTATCGTCTTGAGGGGAGCACTAGTAGGTTGATGCGTCTGCCGGGCCAAACCACACAACTCGTCCTCGATCCGGGCGGTGGACGAGGGGGCTCGTGTGGTCAACGAGGGCCTCAAGAGAGATTCTAACGGGGTGTACCTCTTGCCCTCGTTGTCTTGCTCATGTTTATTGAGAGATACCATCTATGAATGCTACTGTCTGATAGTTGTCCGCGCTTCGACTAGCTACGCAGCAGTCCTTCCGTTCTGGCACGTTGTCGAGACTCTAGAGGCCACGCGTGGCAGTTTCACGACCCGCCACCCAGGGGTTGATTCTCATCCACCATGGTTCCCCTTCCGCACTGAGCGCGTACTATCCTGGCAGAAATATGTTCCTAAACACCAGCCGCCTATCAAATTACATAGCCGCTTGAGTCAAAACTCACGGACAACATCCTCGACGAGGTCTTGACCGGCGCTACCGGCCGCAAACCCGAAGAGAAGGACTATGTTCGGATTGGGATGATCACTGGCAGACCGTTGTATGATGGCGCTACTAGCCGCAAACTGCGGTGAGTGTCCAACTGTTGGCGTCGTTGAATATATCGAGTGTTTATGAGATCATGCGGGCTTCATTTAGGCAGTACTAGCATCAAGTTGACGACGTGTACAACGGCCATAGCTTGGCACTACACGAGATCAGCGTCAATACAGGGAACGAGTATGTGTTGCACGTACAGCCGTGAATCAGACCTCGACGGTTAATTGCCAGCGGCAGAACAGACACGAACTGTCAAATCGTGACGGCGTACTAAGGTTAGCAGTAGCTGCCGATGCCGCATCCCTGCACATGCGTGGATATCATCCAATATCTATCGCCAGTGGCACTGATCATTGCTCGCTCCAGGTCTATCCCGTCGAGAAATTCAGCGATGCTCCGTGGGTAACGACACGGCTGTGCGCTCACCATCATCCCGGCGCGTCCGCTCGCCTCGCCCTCGTCGATAGTAGCTACCTCACGCAGCCCGACAGCGCCGTGACGCCATGCAATATTACTTCAGAATCATATTGCTGGCTTCGAACGGCGTTGATCTGGGTGAATGAGGTACTAACTCTACAACAGCTTTGCGTCTGTTTCGCAGAGTACACGGACGACACGAGTCTCATTCAGCGAATGAGACGCTGCAGGCGGGCAAGTATCGCCAGGTGAGGTAGGCTTCTCACCGTGACGGTTCTCGTTCCGGTTGACTCAAGAGACACATAGACCTCGCTGCATCGTTGGTCTGCAGGCTAGCAGGTCATTCAATGGGCGACGGTATATACCATTCGTGGACAGGACATGAATCGCCCTGTCAGCGCGGATACATTGACCCTCTGCAGACTGCCGACTTCGTCCTACTAACTACAGATCCCCATGCTACTTCGTCGCGCGGCCCCTCTTCTCAGTCCCTCTTAGGTGCCACCCACTTCTTACTTTGAGCCTTTGGGCGGCTACCCACCTTCTTGACGTGAGGACTGCTCCCCTGTGCAGGCTGGCTACTCCCCTGTGCACTTGCAGGCTGGCTAACCCCCTGCGCACCGGCAGGCTGGCTACCCCCCTTCTTAGCCGCCTTCGTAGCCGCCTTCGCCGCCTTCTTAGCCGCCTTTTGTCCGGCCTCATGCGCCCTAGCGCGCTCGTGCCAGTCTTCGCGCTCTGCTGTGTGAGCTTTCAGCCCATCCATGCCACGGTGAGCACCCCGTTGGGGGAACGTTCCTGGGTGTGGAGGGCCTTCCGTGCGTACGGATAGCTGTTCGCCAAAGTAACCCCGATCGAAGAGTACCTGCAGATCGCCAAGAGCCCGCTCCGCAAGGTCAGCGTCGTCGCGGAAGCTACAGACGGAAGGGGGTGTACATCAGGCGAAGCTGACGCTGCAGACACAGAACAATACGTACGCGATGTAGGAAACAGGGCGCGCTATGGCAGACGAGGCGAGAATCGCCGCGGAGGCGAGAGGGAGGATGGTTGAGAGGCGCATCTTGAATGGGAGGGGCAGGTGCAGTGGCTAGACGGCGGCTGAAGGTAGAGTGCGGATACGTCGTGGTCGTGCGTCACGGTATGGGTCGTTCAATAATCAAGCGAGGCTGCGTTGACAGCGGGCAGGTGAGAGGTACATCGTCAGTACAGTCATTGACGGAATGCGTGCAGAGTAACTCACCGGCCGGCACACTCGCTGTCGATGGGCTCCGAATAAGGATTGCGTTGGAGCTGGGTGTGCATTGCGGGTGTTCCGTCCTTATGAATGTTTTGGGTGGTGCTGCGAGCCGAAGGAACGTTGAGGCGACTCCATGGCAGAGGTGCCGAGTCCCAGACGACCTGCAGTCATAGCTACGTGCGGTTAGTGATATGCGACATGAATCATGATTGCATTTTTGTAGGTCCTTGATCCTGATCAAAAGAATGTAGCCGTCACGATATAAGTATCTCGACTCGTCAGCTTGGTAGCTGTGCAAGATCGAATAACGTCATGATACCACGACTCGGAGAGGCTCGCAGGAACGCGTGTGATCCACGCAGAACTCGTCCACGACTGGACACTGACAGAGTCACCAATCCCCCGCCTTCCCGACCAAGACGTGTTTCTCCAACATCGTCCTCATGGCCGCTGCGGCGTCTCCCGCCCTGGCCCCTCTCATCTCAAGGCACGTCACGTCTTCAAGCAAGGGCCGTCGGAAAGTCCCCCCGGCGAATGCCGACAAAGAGCTCGGGCTTCCTCGAGGCGCAGTTACGAGGCGGTGGTGCTTATGGTCAGAGGGCCGCAGAGTTGGTCGTATGGAAGAATAGGATATTTCAGGGCCCGCGTACAGCAGCCCGTGCCGGGATACAATTCCGTCTTCATCGAGAACGTCGAGGTCGCAAGCATTGCAGTCTCCTCAAGAGCACGTCCCTCTCTGCGACGGGCGGTGGTGAGAGACTGAAGGGGGGGACGGACCTGGAGAGAGAGGGCGTGAACGTTGAACCTTGACGAGGACTTTGGTTGACGTGGGGCGGTGGATGGAAGCCTCGCTGAGCGACAAGGTGTGAAAGTCGTCCGTCTGTGTGCGCGTCAGGATTGAACGCCTTCCGCGCCGCACACGAGAAACACAGCTTTCTACGTCTCCGTTTGAGGTTTGACGGTATGGATGGGCGGAGCAAGCAGGTCTACGCAAAAAGCAGGTCTACGCAAAGCCTCCGTCTTTGGTTAGCCGTTCCACCAAGAGGGGGGCGAGATCTGAATCGGAGACGTCCTCCTCACGAAAGGGGGGTGGGGGGGTGGTGTACGGGGTCCGGTTTTCAGCCACCAGCGTGAAGTGCAGTCGCTTTCGTTGAATTTTGTCTCTAGCTACTACATTCTGCACATCTCACTCTAGAAAACATGCATGTGTACTGAGAAGTATGCTAAGTACACGTGTAGGGTCCGAAGTCGACATAAACAAGGAGATCCAGAGGAGGAATTGAATAGTACGAAATGCGCTAAGTCACACGTGAAGCATACGGTCATGTGAGCTACGCGTCGGGTAAGTACGTGTGTTACATGGCGCGTGTCTCACTTGCATCAGTGACGCAAATTGGGCCAAAATGATTTAAAAAGATTACCGGGGATCGAACTAGCAACCACGATACGTACGGCGTCACTGTGCCCACTCCGTCACTCTGGCCTTACCACTTACTCAATATGCTTCCCTATGACAGTCAACGACGCCCCAGACATGACCTACTATGATTATGTGCCAACATGCACAGCGGGCGAAGGGTCAAATCATGGTTTGGCGAATACAATATGCTGTCACAGTGCCCAGAAGTTTTCTAGAAATCATTGAGGGATCCTCAGGGCACTTACAGCCTGCGGTCTCCAATGTCATATAACAGCACTTCGCTGGCGGCATTAGCAAAGGAGCTAGTCACCTGATATTGCCGAAGGAACTTCCTTTATAGGACTTGTACCTGGGCGCTCGTTATCGGGACCCCAACGGGAGCTCTGCCCCCGAAGACTGGGTACCCCCCCCTACCCAGTCTTCGGGGTCTCTGGGATTTGGGAGGAGGACGTCTGGAATTTTGTTATCGCCCCCCTCTTGCGTTCTGGCGATCTGCGAGAGGCGAGGCACGAGCCGAGCGCAGAGATTAGTCTAAGTAGGGAAGTGCAGGGCTTAGGCGCGCATCGCTCTCTCTTTGCGCGCCCACGTCCGAACTTCAACGAAGCACCCTAGAGCTTCCGTTTCTGTCCTCGGTCGTCTTTTCATCACCCTTAGAATACTAGACTCGACTTTAGAAGTACCCTAGTAGCTTAGTTCGACCTAATCAACAATGGCCAACCTACTTGTCGACCCGAACACGCTGGTAGCGCCCGATTTCACTCTTGAGGCCCACGCCCGAAAGAGGCAAACCTGGCTCGCGGCGGGCTTAACGGAGGAGCAGGTCCTCGCCGCTCTCGCTGCTGATTGGCAGGCCGAGAACGACCACGATAAGCTAGTATGGCAAGAGCGCACCGCAGCAGAGGCACAGGCAGCGAGAGAACAGGCAGTAGCCGCCGAGGCGGCAGCTAATCAGCTGAGAGAAGCAGAGAGGCAGGAAGAGGCGCAATCTCTGAAGGACGAGATGAAGAAGAATAAAGAGAAGTACTCTTTCGTACCAAATATTCCGACACCTGCAGGAAGGCTGGTCATGGCAGCCCCATATGCTGTCCGGCGCCTCGAAAAAGGCTTGTACATCGAGCTCTACTACTACACGAACCAAGGGCTTCGTGCAGCAGCAGCGGACGTCTCGCAGGTAAACGACGAGGGGCTAGTCCTGAAAGAGAACAGCGACGGCACCACCACCCTGGTGCAAGGCGCCACGCTGCGTCAAGGCAAATCAGTCATCCCTGACTGTGAGCTCACCTGGGCACAGCTCCGCGAAGCTGTCACCCGTCTCATCCCCGCGATGCAGCGGGCGAGATGGGCGCCCGCGCGCGTGGAGATGCTCGCGCTCTTCTGGGGGAACCTCGAGACCCACGACTTCCAGCAGTCCATTGACCCGATCGACGTACAGGCGCTCGTGGTGTACCAGGCCGAGCAAAGGATGCGATGGCACCAGGCCATCGTCGGCGACGGAGGGGGCTGGAATCTTTCCATCCTCTCAGAAGAGGCTTTGGAGGAGACCCGTGACAGAGTCTATCGGAGGGACCGAAACGCGCAAGACGCAGACGTAACTGTAAGTAACCTCGTTTCCCTCTCATGTGCCACCGAACAAGCACTCACCATTCCCCCTTTTCTCTCCATATCGACACGATACACATGTTCTCAAATAACCAACCACGCTCCTCGCGCCTTATGTCTCTGACCCCGCTCCTCACTTTCGCACCTCGCTCCCTGCTCCTCATCCCACGCTCCTGCTCCTCACTCCTCGCGCCTCGTCCCTCGCTCCTCACTCCTTGCACCTCGTTCCCACGCTCCTTGCACCTCGCTCCTTGCACCTCGTCCTGCGCTCCTGTGTCCTCGCTCCCTGCTCCTCGCTCCCCGCTCCTCCTCGCTCCTCGGTCCTTGCGCCCACCCCTGCACCTGCCCCTCGCCATCCCACAATGCACAGGCCAACCTGGCGCTGATGAAAGGGATCATAGCGACTCACCAGAGGGCGTTCCCCAGCGGCCCCGCTGGTCCCTCCTCATCAAGAGGAAGCACCGGAGCGACAGACGGAGGGGTGGTGCGCACCAAGGCGTCCACCTCGAAGAAGCCCGCCTCTGCGCCGTACCCGGACCGCAAGGCGTCTTTTCAAGACGGCGCAGGCACCAAAACGTTCGCCGCCTGCGCCGTCTGCCTGGGGCGCCACCAACACCGCGTCTACCTCTGCGACGCAAAGCGGACCTGGGACAACGCCTACGACACGGTGGCCAAGCGCGTCGACAAGGCCATCATCATCACCCAAAGCAATCGCCCCGTCTGCGGAGACTGGCAGCGGGAATCAGGCTGCCCCAGTCACTCGCACGACGAGAAGCACCTCTGCTCCGGGTGCGCGCAACCCACTCACGGCGCCCAGAGGTGCCCTCGAGCGCAACGCGCTTGAGCCACGCACCCCTTACCATGCAGACGCCTGGGAGCGTCTGCTACGGGCCAGCGGACTCACGAGCAGGTACCCGGGCCTCGTTGAAGGACTGCGCCATGGTTTCCTTTTCGGCGCCCCAGCGATTCGTGCCACCCAAGCGCCGCCGAATAGGCCGTCCGCAGACGAGCACAGCGCTGTCTTCCGAGGGCTTGTCGAGCGCGAAACTGCCGCAGGTCGGTACGTGGGGCCTTTCTCGCAGAGCGAGATGGAACAGTATCTGGGTGCGTTCCAATCGTCCCCAATCTCGATCATTCCCAAGCCTGCGAAGCCAGGCCACTACCGCATCATACAGAACTTTTCCTTCCCACACGCCCCTTCTGCTGCCCATCCCAACCCCTCCATCAATTCCTGCGTCGACTCCGACCACTACCCCTGCACATGGGGAACCTTCACCACAATCGCCTTGCTCATCTGGGAACTCCCCCCAGGCTCACAAGCTGCCATCCGAGACGTTGCGGAAGCCTACCGCACCATCCCATTGCACCCCAGTCAGTGGCCAGCTTGTGTGGTCCGTGCCGGACCAAACGAGCTGTATGCCGACACGTGCCTCGCCTTTGGCTACGGGCCTTCAGGAGGTGGGTATGGATATCTCGATGACGCAGGAACAGACCTCGTGCGTGCACAAGGCATGGGCCCACTTGACAAGTGGGTCGATGACCATTTCCTCACACGGATTCTGGTCGGATACCTCGACCAGGTCAATGACCGTCGGGCGCGCCGCAGCATCGATCTTGTTGCACGCGGCAGACATCATACGGGCGGTCGCATCTGGTACGGAGGTAAGGTTTACGACAACGGGCTCATTGACCAAGCCAACGAGGACTGCGCCTTCCCACTGCGCGATTTTTCCACCACCACTCCACGCAGCGCAGTTGACGCAGCGTACACGTACTGCCTCGCAGACGTGGACGCCATCTCCGAAACACTCGGCATACCCTGGGAAAAGAGCAAGGACTGCGACTTTGCATCCTCGCAGGTCTTCGCTGGGCTGGAATGGGACCTCCATGCGCGGACCGTCGGGCTACCGGCACGGAAGAGCACTAAGTACCTCGCTGCCATCGCAGATTGGCGGCGACAGCCCGAGCGCACTTACACCCTCCAGGATGTACAGCGGTTATACGGTAAGTTACTACACTGCACTCTCGTCATACCACGAGGACGCGCTTACCTCACCGGCCTGGAGGCCATGCTCCGGGTCTGCGGTGACCGTCCTTTCGTGCCACACCACCCCATCCAATCCATACGCAGCGATCTTGACTGGTGGGTGGCCATCCTACAGCAACCCAAACTCTACCGCCCCATCCCCCACCCCAGGCAGCTCATCGACCTTGCAGCCTTCTCCGATGCGAGCTCCGGCATCGGAATCGCGATCACCGTGGGGGACCGCTGGCGGGCCTGGCGGCTCATTCCGGGCTGGCGCACCTTGGGAGGCGAGCGCGACATCGGATGGGCCGAGGCAGTTGGCTTCCAACTACTCACCATCAGTGTCACCAGCGCTCGCGGCGTGGACGAGAGCTTCCGACTTTTCGGCGACAATACAGGGGTCGTCGAGGGCTGGCGCAACCGACGCAGTCGGAACACCAGCGTCAACCTCGTCTTCAAACACATCCTCGAATACCTACACGATGCGGGCAACACCGAATGCATCCACACCGCCTACGTCCCTAGCGCCAACAACCCCGCCGATGGACCCTCTCGAGGCATATACCCGCCTGAGACTCTCCTCCTACCTCCCATCCCCATCCCACGTGGACTCGGGCCCTTCATCATCGACGCAACCGACCCGCTCACCCCCCTCGAACTCCGGCTCCACCGCAATGGAGCATACCCAGCCGCAGCCGCCAAGTCCATTGACCAGGTCCTGGAACGGGCTCGCGCTGAGCAACAACGCGAGGCCGACGAGCTCTCCGACTGGCGCATCCGCAACAACGGCAGCTGGGACGAGCCGGACACCCGCAGGCCGTTTTGACGGCCTCGCCCCGCTCGCCTCGGAGGTATCCACTCAACGAGGGCGCCCATACCCACGAGCACTCGCACTACGGCCCTCGGAGCTGCGGCCGCACTGTCTGGCACGAGACCGACTACAAGTGTGGCAGCCTTTCAAGGAACGGTCCACACGAGACGAGGACGGGTGCGAGGCAGTAAACATCACACAGCAGGACATCGAACGCATCCTCCTGACCACGGTCTCGGCATACGCAACAGGCACGCGCGAATCGTACGGCGCAGGGCTGCTCGCCTTCCATGCCTTCTGCGACGCGCGGGACTTCGAAGAGCGACTGCGGGCACCGGCGAGTCACACACTCATACTCACCTTCATAGCGAACTGCGCCGGCATCTACAGCGGCGCCACGGTGCGCAACTACGTCGCCGGGGTTCACGCATGGCACACCATACATGGGCAACACTGGAGAATCCACGCCGACGAGCTCAATGCGCTCCTCAAAGGAGCCGACCGCCTCGCACCTCCCGCGTCCAAGCGACCGAAGCGACTCCCGGTGCTAATCACCTTCCTCACAGCTGCCAAAGCCCAGCTTAACCTGAGCGAGCCACTCGACGCAGCCGTCTGGGCATGTCTCACGACCGTCTTCTTCTCGGCGGCGAGGCTGGGCGAATTCACACAGCACAGCCTCAACAGCTTCCGACCAAATCTGCACGTCAAACCGTCCGACGTACGACAGGACGAAGACAGGCACGGGTACAAGGCAACGGTCATCCACCTTCCCACCACCAAGGTCGCACCGCTCGAAGGCGAGGACGTCTACTGGGCTGCACAGCCGGGGGCACCAGCGGACCCCGAAGAGGCGTTCGCAAACCACATGCGGGTCAACCAACCAGACCCCGGTGGCCATCTTTTCGCATGGAAACACGCCCAGGGCCCGCGCGCGCTGACAAAGTCGGCTTTCCTCAAGAGGATGGACAGCGTCGCGTCGCGCCTCGGGGAGGTGCCCATGAAAGGCCACGGACTCCGCATAGGAGCCACCCTCGAGTACCTCCTGCGAGGCGTCCCATTCGACGTCGTGAAGGCCATCGGGCGGTGGAGTGGCGAGAGCTTCAAGCTCTATCTACGCAAGCACGCCACCATCCTCGCACCCTACCTCCAGAGCTCGCCGGTGCTCGACAACGTCACGCGCTACACCATGCCGCCGTTATCAGCGCGGCAATAAGCGCCATGCGAGCAACGTTCAGACAGGTGAGTCGACTTCCATCCGGGAGCAACGGACGAGCCGCAACGCGTCGCCCCAGCTTCTTCACCATGGGTATCGCAGCTCATCCGCACCCACAGGTCCCGGTGGTTCGTTTTGGGTCTGGCAGCCCGGAGGGCTGCGCCCCGCACTAGCTACTACTTACACTCCTTTCCTTTCTCCCCTAATACTCTCGAAGACCGCGCGGCGGTCTACCCCACTCTCCCATTTGCGATGTTTTCCATTATCGAGCTCAGGCCTCACATTTGTATAGTACTATTTCAAGCCTCACTAATAGTACTACTCTAATCGACAGGAGCCCGAACGAAAATACCTAGATGGCGATCTGCGAGAGGCGAGGCACGAGCCGAGCGCAGAGATTAGTCTAAGTAGGGAAGTGCAGGGCTTAGGCGCGCATCGCTCTCTCTTTGCGCGCCCACGTCCGAACTTCAACGAAGCACCCTAGAGCTTCCGTTTCTGTCCTCGGTCGTCTTTTCACCCACCCACCTCTCCCTCTCCGCGTCTTCTCACCACTTGCTTCCCAGCTCAGGCAAGTACATTCCCCCTTCATTCCATTGGCTCGACGCGCTTCCTCCCGCAACCTGTGAAGGATCACGCTACGAAGCGGCCGCGGTGTCCCACCCGCCCTCGCAGCTCATCCGCACCCACAGGTCCCGGTGGTTCGTTTTGGGTCTGGCAGCCCGGAGGGCTGCGCCCCGCACTAGCTACTACTTACACTCCTTTCCTTTCTCCCCTAATACTCTCGAAGACCGCGCGGCGGTCTACCCCACTCTCCCATTTGCGATGTTTTCCATTATCGAGCTCAGGCCTCACATTTGTATAGTACTATTTCAAGCCTCACTAATAGTACTACTCTAATCGACAGGAGCCCGAACGAAAATACCTAGACACTACTACCAGTCACGCTGTCCGTAGCTGACGTAATCCGCCACGTCTTGTTTCAGTCAGTTCAGTGAGTCACTGAGTCGTCCTCAGCCAGCCTCAGCCCCTCCCGTCATCGAGACAAATCACTCAGTCAATAGACGGCCATAGGACGTCTCGCAAGAACCTTCCGCGGAACGCACGTCTATCATCGGAGGTGATCTCGCTGAACGAGGTAAAGTAGTAACTCTACGACAGTTGCAGAGTGCACGGACGACGACACGAGTCTCGTTCGGCAGATGAGACAGGCTGCGCCAGGTAAGGAAGGGCTTCTGACTCGCGGTGCTGGTTCTGGTTGACTCAAGAGACACTGCTTATAGACCTCGTTGTATTCTGCGGGCTAGCAGATCATTCTAAGCGACGGTGTGTACCATCACATTATTCGTGGACTGCTAGAATATCCTGCCAGCGTAACTAGACGGACCCTCAGACGGCCCGCCTTCGTCCTACTAATGACAATTACCCGTGCTACGGCTTATGCGCAGTCCAGGTCCTACTGTGAGGCTTGCGGGAATCCGGCGCAACCCATTTTTTGCTTTGACTCGACGGGCGGGGACCCGGTGCCTTAGCCAGGGTTCCTTTTTCTACCTTCGCAGCCCCATGTGCATGTTGTGCAGCTTTATGTGCAGCCAATTGCGTGTTATATTCTCCGCGTGCTTGTGTCCAAGCGTGTATACTGGAGAAGTGTTCCCGTTGGGGGTATGGTCCTGGGTGTTCCGCACGTACGGATAGCTGTTCGCCAAGGTAACCCCGATCAAAGAGTACCTCCAGATCGCCAAGAGCCCGCTCCGCAAGGTTAGCGTCGTCGCGGAAGCTACAGACGGAAGGAGGTGTACATTAGGCGAAGCTGACGCTGCAGATACAGAACAACACGTACGCGATGTAGGAAACGGGGCGCGCTACGGCAGACGACGCGAGCATCGCCGCGGAGACGAGAGGGAGGATGGTTGAGAAGCGCATCTTGAATGGGAGGCTCGAGGTGCAGTGGCTGGGCGACGGCTGAAGGTAGGGTGCGGGTACGTCGTGGTCGTGCGTCACGGTATGGGTCGTTCAATAATCAAGCAAGGCTGCATCGACAGCGGGAAGGTGAGAGGTACGTCGTCAGTACAGTCATTGACAGAATGCGTGCAGAGGTACTCACCGGCCGGCGCACTTGCTGTCGATGGGCTCCGAATTAGAGGGTTAAGGATCGTGTTGGAGCTGGGTGGCCTCTGTGGGTGTTCCGTCCTTATATATGTCTGCGGCTATGCAACAAATGGTGCTGTGGGCCGAAGGAACGAGGCGACTCAAGAGGCAGTCCCATCAAAACCCATCACAGTGCGTTCGATTAGAGTCGACGCGAATATTTGCATCATCGTAAGTCTTGATTTTGTCTTGATTTTGTCTTGAACTTGTCCTGATCTTGATCAAAGCAATATAGCAGTGACGACGCAGCGCGGGCGACGATGTCAGACCGCCTGTGCGTGCGTACCTCGATGAGGAGTTGGCTGCCAATTACAGCAACAGGCGTGAACCTCTGACGTGTAGAATTCCGAACATGGGAACTTACGGGGAGGGTAGCCCCTGCAAACGTGGCTCGTTGGTCGCGGAGGTACAACGCGCTGATTGGGTCGTCGTCAGTCGTGGACATACAACAACCATTGTCAAAACATGACACTTCTTCTCCGTCGGCTGGACAGCTAGGATGTAAAGGCGGATGAGTCTCCAGCTCCCCCACGCTCGCTCGCAACCGCATGCATAGCATCGCAATGCCCTATCCAGTCGGTCAGCCATGTCGTGTCCCCCCAACGCCTCGCATCGTCATACTCAAAAAGCACTCACAGTACACCTAGTCCCCGGGCTCGGCCCTCGGGATACTCACGAGCGTCGTGTCAAAGCATGCGTCCGGGTGACTCTCCGCGTTGAGCTCCTGCGCCTTCCGGGGAACGCCGTGCTCTCCAGGTCGAGCACCCAGTCGTCCGCGGCCAGCGAGTGCACGGGCGCGCCCGAGCAGAGGGTAGAGAACGGCCGGAACGTCTTGCACGCCGCTGCGAGCGTGAGCACGCGCCGGAGGTCAGTGTGTTGGACAGGCCGACTTGGCGTGGCTCTCGAGACATCGCGACGCAAAGTCTGCAGACTGCCGGTCGTCATCGTCATCCGTCTGCGTGCTATACCATCCCTCCTTCCCACCACGTGTGCCATCACCCATTAGTCACTCACCGGACGTCACGGTGCCCATCGGAGAGGGAGACAGTGTCTTCAGAGTCCAGGCGCGCCCTAGCGAGGAGTGTGGATCCCAGACGATGGTAGGTAGCCCAGTCACGCTAGTAGTGCATGTGAAGAGCCTGGCCATGGCATACATACAGAAACCAGGGCGGGCCACTGGCGCCGCGGCCTGGCAGCGGAAGAATGCCCAGTATTTCAAACCATCGTCGACGCAAATGGACCCGGGTCTAGCGGCCCCTCCTCGCCCGGTGTCGGCGTCACCGCAGACAGGGATGTTCATGAAGACGCATCGACGTAGATGGATCATTTCGTCACGGAAGTCATGGCATGCTCTGCACCCACCCAGTCATCGTCCTCGACGCTTGTTGCTCGCCGTTGCCGAGCGAAGCGCCGTCATCCAACGGCTCGACATGCATCCACCCGTACCGACACCATCCACGCTCGCTACACCAAGGCAGACACCTTGAGAGGGGCTCCAGTACGGTTCGGAGTCACGACGGAAAGCTGGGAAGACGTGCTCCGCCTCGATATCGACTATCCGAGCCAGGACTCACACGTCGGAAGGGGCACTACTCGGATCTGGTGTATGTAGTAGAAGTGCTCCAGCACCGCTCCGGTGGCAGGGTATGTGGGTATTGGCGTACCGCCTGTGGGTCGCTTCCCTCTCTCGCGGCCAGCCTGGGTTCGTATACAACGCGAAACGACGACGGAGCCCGGGCGTGCGTGTCATATCGCTCGACGACGTGCTTCGTGCACTCGGTAGCGAGGAACGTCACGTCGACCAAGGGTCAGCCTGAAGCGGAAGCGCAGATGAAACGCAGTACATACTCGTCGTTGGGCCGCAAGGTTGTCCACACCGCGACGACACGAGCATGGCGGGTTTGCTGACGAAGCGCGAGGCATGGCGGTGTAGATCGGTCAGTGTCAGCATTCAATATTCTGTATTCCATTACACACAGTAGGATTGGGAGCTGCCATGACAGAGCACCTCACCACGTCCAGAGAGAGTCGCGGCACCGTCGGGCGCTTACCACTTCCCGGGGTCATCGAGCTTTCTCGATTTTTTCGGCCAGTATGGACTTGCCAGTACCGCTTGTTTGACGTCCCCAGTGCGTTCGTGCAGTAGGAATGCTGCTGGGGCTGTAGAGTGAGTATTGCATGAAACTTAGAGATATGGAGGAGGCGGAGACGAGCGACGCGATGTGGTCGTGCAAATGCCCGGCCTCGACTATCGGCAACCGTATAGAGGTCATTCAATAAGCGACGGTAAGTACCATCACATTATTCGTGGACTGCCAGAATATCCTGCCAGCGTAACTAGACGAACCCTCAGACGGCCCCGCCTTCGTCCTACTACAGCTGTTTCTAAAACGATAGGCCCCTCACCAAAAATGCGTACAATCCCCCATGCTACTTCCCGTTCGGCTTCCAGGTCTTAGATTGAGACGGGCGGGCAGACCCCGGCTTCCAGGTCTTAGCTTGAGGCGGGCGGTGAGGCGGCTGGTGGCTACTCCCCTGTGCAGGCGGGCTAGCCGCCCTGTGTGCACGATGCGCCATTAGCTCAACCTGGGCCTGAGCCTCCCTCTGATGCGCTTCCCAGAGTTTGTCCGGCCCCTTTCCTTCCTTCGCAGCCGCCTTCTTTTCGCCTTTGATAGCTTGAGTCCTCGCAACATGTATGTCGCGGTCCCTCCTCAAAGCATCATCCCCTGCTGGGCCATGGGGGTAGTGGTGCCGTTCGGGCCACTTTCCTGCCTGTCCCGGAGGATGTCCCGGAGGGAATAATTCTGCGCGTACGGACAGCTGTTGGCCAAGGTAACCCCGATCAAAGAGTACCTCCAGATCGCCAAGAGCCCGCTCCGCAAGGTCAGCATCGTCGCGGAAGCTACAAGGGAAGGGGTGTACATCAGGCGAAGCTGACGCCGCAGACACAGAACAACACGTACGCGATGTAGGAAACGGGGCGCGCTACGGCAGACGACGCGAGCATCGCCGCGGAGACGAGAGGGAGGATGGTTGAGAAGCGCATCTCAATGGGGGCTCGAGGTGCAGTGCTGGGCGCGGCTGAAGGTAGGGGCGGGTACGTCGTGGTCGTGCGTCACGGTATGGGTCGTTCAATAATCAAGCAAGGCTGCATCGACAGCGGGAAGGTGAGAGGTACGTCGTCAGTACAGTCATTGACAGAATGCGTGCAGAGGTACTCACCGGCCGGCGCACTTGCTGTCGATGGGCTCCGAATTAGAGGGTTAAGGATCGTGTTGGAGCTGGGTGGCCTCTGTGGGTGTTCCGTCCTTATATATGTCTGCGGCTATGCAACAAATGTGCTGTGGGCCGAAGGAACGAGGCGACTCAAGAGGCAGTCCCATCAAAACCCATCACAGTGCGTTCGATTACTTAGAGTCGACGCGAATATTTGCATCATCGTACGTCTTGATTTTGTCTTGATCTTGTCTTGAACTTGTCCTGATCTCGATCAAAGCAATATAGCAGTGACGAGGCGCGGGCGACGATCTCAGACCGCCTGTGTGCGCATCTCGATGAGGAGTTGGCCGCCAATGACAGAAACAGGCGTGGTCCTCTGACGTGTAGAATTCCGAACAATGGAAACTGACGGGGAGGGTTGCCCCGGCGCAAACGTGGCTCGTTGGTCGCGGAGGTACAACGCGCTGATTGGGTCGTCGTCACGGTCAGTCGTGGATATACAGCGGCTATTGTCAAAATATGACACTTCTTCTCCGTCAGCGGGACAGCTAGGATGTAAAGGCGGATGAGTCTCCAGCTCCCCCATACTCGCTCGCAACCGCATGCACAGCATCGCAATGCCCTATCCAGTCGGTCAGCCATGTCGTGTACCCCCAACGCCTCGCATCGGCATCCTTGAGAGCACTCACAGTACACCTAGTCGCCGGGCTCGGCCCTCGGGATGCTCACGAGCGTCTTGTCAAAGCATACGTCCGGGTGGCTCTCCGAGTTGAGCTCCTGCGCCTTCCGGGGAACGCCGTGCTCTCCAGGCCGAGCACCCAGTCGTCCGCGGCCAGCGACTGCGCGGGCGCGCCCGAGCGGAGGTGAGGAACGGCCGGAGCATGTTGCACGCCGCTGCGAGCGTGAGCATACGCCGGAGGTCAGTGTATCAGGCAGGCAAACTCTCGAGACATCGCGACGCAAAGCCTACAGAGTTCCGGTCGTCATCGTCATCCGCCTGCGTGCTATATGTACCCTTCCCACTAGTGCCACCACGCGTGCCATCCACCCAGCTAGTCACTCCAGACGTCACGGTGCCCATCGGAGAGGGAGACAGCGTCTTCAGAGTCCAGGCGCGCCCTAGCGAGGAGTGTGGATCCCAGACGATGGTAGGTAGCCCTGGCAGTTACGCTAGTAGTGCATGTGAAGAGCCTGGCTGGCCTGGCATACAGAAACCAAGGCGGGCCACTGGCAGCGGAGGAATGCCAAAACATTCGTCGACGCAAATGGACCCGGGTCTAGCGGGCCCTTCCTCGCCCGCAAGAGTTGGCGGCACCCCGAGGCCACAGCCAGTAGATGCGCGGAAGGGCGTCGGTGACACCCACTGCCATGCACGGGCGGGGCACGGTCCGAGGGTCAGCGTAACCGCAGACAGGGATGTTCATGAAGACGCACCGACGCAGATGGATCATCCAATCCGAAAGTCATGGCATGCTCTGCACTCACTCAGTAATCGTCCTCGATGCTTGTTGGTCGCCGTTGCCGAGTTAAGCGCCGCCATCCAACGGCCTCGACATGCGCAATCCACCCCGTACCGACGTCATCCACGCTTGCTACCAAGGCAGACAGTCTAAGCTTGAGAGGGGCTCCAGTACGGTTCGGAATAGCGACAGAGAGCTGAGAAGACGCGCCGACTATGCAGACTGCCACATGCACGCTGCTCGTACCCACTGACACCTAACTGATAATTGTTTAAACGTTGAACGCACACCGTGAGGGGATTCCATTTCGTCTATCGGCAGAGATGCTGCATACGCTCAAAAGGACAGGCGGTTGCGTGTTGTATCATCGAACGAATGTACCATTATTCGTGGACTGCCAGTACATGTATCGCCCTACCAGCGTGACAAGATGGACCCTCTAGAGATGGCCCACCCTCGTCCTACTAGTTACTCCCCCCCCCTTGGGACGGGTGCGGTTGCTTGCCCTTCCCGGCCACATAGAGCGGACTCTGAGGAGAACGGCCCGGGTTTGGCTTCGGGACAGGCGCATTTGCCCTCTGATGTGCTGCCGCCGCCGCCGCCGCCTCCCTACCGTTCTTGTTCTTCTCACGCGCCCCGTCTTCTTTGGCCTTCTTGTCTGCCGCTTTCTTTGCGTGTATATCGGCCATTATTTTCTGATTAGCCGGGTGAACCGGGCGGGCTTTCTCCGGCGGCGCGCGTGCAGATAACCGTTCGCCAAGGTAAGCCCGATCAAAGAGTACCTCCAAATCGCCAAGAGCCCGCTCCGCAAGGTCGGCGTCGTCGCGGAAGCTACAGAGGGAAGGGGGTGTGTATCAGGCGAAGCTGGCGCTGCAGATACAGAACAATACGTACGCGATGTAGGAAACAGGGCGCGCTATGGCAGACGAGCGAGAATCGCCGCGGAGACGAGAGGGAGGATGGTTGAGAGGCGCATCTTGAATGGGAGGCTCGAGGTGCAGTGGCTGGGCGACGGCTGAGGGTAGGGTGCGGGTACGTCGTGGTCGTGCGTCACGGTATGGGTCGTTGGACAATCAAGCAAGGCTGCGTTGACAGCGGGCAGGTGAGAGGTACATCGTCAGTACAGTCATTGACAGAATGCGTGCAGAGGTACTCACCGGCCGGCGCACTCGCTGTCGATGGGCTCCGAATTAGAGGGTTAAGGATCGTGTTGGAGCTGAGTGTGCATTGCAGGTGTTCCGTCCTTATAGATGTTTGCGGCGGTGCTGCGTCGAGGCGACTCCAGGAGTGCTGACTTCTGAGACTATACGAGTCCCAGACTAGATTGCAATCATAGTGTGTGCGGTTAGAGGTATCCGATATGAATCATGATACATTATTGTAGGTCTTGATCTTGATCAAAACAACGTACTAGCAGTCACGACGTCTCTCGCGGGTCTCTCGACGCGTCAGCTTGGTGTCTTGGTAGCTGTGCAAGACCCAATAACGCGTCAAGGTACCACGACTCGGGGAGGCTCGCATGAACGCGTGTAATCCGCGCAGAGTTCGTCTACGGCTCAGGTTAGTAGCAACTCGATGACCGTGCGTTGCGTACATACACTTGCAAGAAAGGCATCCTGATCATCGGCGGTGGGTGACCGGTTTTTGCTGGTAGACTGAAGCGGTACTATTCGAATGCCAGAAGATCAAGATTCCATCGCCACTGACGCAATCAAAGATGAGCCCGCATCGTAAGTCTTGATCTTGTCTTGATCTTGATCAAAGCAATATAGGAGGAGGAGGAGGGTATAGTAGCAGTCACGACTCACGACGCGGGCATCGGGCAACGATCCTCAGGGCGCTTGTGCGTGCGTACCGTGACCTCGATGAGGAGGAGGCTGCCAATTAGAGAAACAGTGACCGTAGCATTCACAGAAGCCTTCTTGGTCGAGGCGTATTCGAGTTGCAGTCGTTTGGCACAAATGTACGTGCCACGGGTCAATTCAAAACGACCAGCACAATGTATACGATTTCGAACTGCTCGATTATCATGTTTTCTCACTCCAGATCCCAGTCGCCAAGGTCCCGCATCGCCCTCTTACCATGGTGCGTCCGTTCCCCAGTCGGGGCCTTCGACCTGCCCCGATTCGAAGGCTTCGTGCCGTCCGGACTCTGTTCTTTCACAGCCGGGAGGTTCGCTCCGTGGCCCCGCGTTGAAGGCTTCGTGCCCCCCAGATATTGCGGTGGGGGACGAGGGCTGTCCTGGCGGCTGTGGCCTTGGAGGTTGTGGCGGCTGTACGGCGGCGGAGCCGTCCGCCTGACGTAGTCTCCGTAGGGCGCGAGGCCGGAGAACGAGCGAGCGTAGACGTCCGTGTCGACGATGTCGGCTCTCGCCCATGAAGTCCTACGAGGGAGATGAGCGGGCGTATCTCACCACGGACGGTGCGAATCAAGGCGAGACTTACGGGTAGTCTGCGAGCGCGCCGGGTGCAGCTGCACAGGTTGTGAGTACGAAGACCAGGAGGGCGTTGGTGTTGAGTAGCATAGTCTTGATTTGGAACGTGAGGAACGTCTGCTGCGGTTTGCTGAGGTTCTGTGAGCTTTGAGAGAACGTGAGGTGGAGATCGCGAAATAATATCAATCAAGCACGGCTACAGGAGAATATCATCAGTTATGAAGCATAAATCACTGGGCTACAAGCGGGAATGGCGTAGTGCGAAGCGATGCTCACCGGCCAGCACCGTTGCTTTCGGGTGAGCTCAGAATGAGGAGAGGAGCTGGGGGATCTTCACAAAGACGGTGTCGGTTTTATACGCCGTTGACTATGCGTCTGTCTGCTTACTTGTTGCTTCCGGACACATCACCAGGGATGTCTGAAGGACAATTTTGGTGACCCTGGAACCCGATGGCCCTTGATAACGCCGCGTAACGTAGCAGGAAAGGCTCTCTCGCATCGCACTTCGTCCAGCGGCATCCAGGCCTTGCAGGACGACTATCAGCGAAGCACTGGCAATCCAAGGGCGCGGATGACTTACTCTAAATCCGGCACCAGAGTCAGCAACCGCGGTCTCGGTATTGTCCCAATCGTGTCGGAGACCACAATACTGGATAGCAGATGTCCAAAAATCACTTCGCCAGCAACAGATTACGCCTACGTGCATCGGTCTTGCGGTGGTCACTCCACCTCACGAACCGACGCGGCTGAATATGCGTTCATAGGGCTGTACCTGCAGGATCACGGTGGAGTTAGCGAACGAAATGAAATTGGTGTACACGGTGCATTGCCGATCTTTGCAATCACAGTACAGTGCCTTCTCTTAGAAGGGTGATTCAACATCATGGCCGTTGATCGGCAAGTAGGCATGATTCGACAAGAACGTTCACCGTTCGACGCTAGAGGTACACTGCTGCAGAAATGTTACCGCTAATCATGAGCGTTGGTGACATGCAACTTACGGTTTGGATCGAAGGCATCATAATACTGCGTCGTTCCTCCATTGACAGGAAAGGAGGATGGGACGTGAACGACGTGTATGGCTCGTCGGCCGCGTGGTCCAAATTGACCATTATCGATTCATCAACTTCTGTACGTACAGCGTCCTGCTTCGATCGTGTGATATCGTCGATGCATCTTTCGTTGTGACGTTGCAGTTGTGCTGGCATGGCTGCTACAGCGCCACTCGTCTTGCGGTATTCTTGCTGTAGACAATAATGATAGCCAACACTGGGCCAACACTGAACAGCTCTTTGCCAAAGAGCCCATCAGTGTTGGACTCACCAACTTGTAAGTCATTATTACGTTAATGGAGACGCGCACAGTTCAAAATTCACTGCTCTCGAGGACCCGGTAGTGGAAGGCGCAATCGGTGTGCACATTTGAGGGTTATTAATACACGTTCAACATCAGAGATTCCCCGTCATCTGGATCATAAAGTGCTACATATAATAGTTAGGTCTAGAGCGACATAACCTTGTAGATTGTGGACGAACTCACATGTCGCCGCGTACCTCCTGTCCAGTAGTCCCAGTGCACTGATTCCACATTCTTGTCGAACCACACCTTGTCCTCTGGAGCCAGCTTGCCACAATCACGTACAGAAAGGTCAGTCACCGACCTCACCACATACCCATCGTCATCCTGCCCTGCAAATCCCGTCGCCGAGTGCGCTTCGAGGCGAGCTTCAAGAACTGCCCGTAAGTCCGCGCTGGAGACGTGTCTACACCCAGAGACATGCAGCCCGCTGAGGTCAGGGCACAACCACACGTCATCGCCGCGATCCGTGTATATTGGCCCTGCAAGTGCACGGAGCACCTCCGGCTGGAGGCCATCGGAGTCACAGATGCTCATCTCGGCGCAAGGAACGAGGAAGTGGAACAGCGCTTCCGGGTCCTCGATCTCGTTGAGGTTGAGGTAGTACGACTGGCCCAGAGGGCTATCGTGAACGAGGGATACACTGCGAGAAGGCATCGAGCAGCGCGTGTACGACAGCACCTCGCCCCAGGGGTAGTAAAGGAGACGGTGAAACTCCGCGATGACGTCTCCGGACATGTCGGTGAAGTGCGCGTCGGCACCCCAGTCGTGAGACTGCAGCAAGGATCGGTCGGTATGAGAGGCATCGAGCTGGAGGCTGGTGAAGCGGACTACTTCTATGTGTTGACAGAGCACAAGACACTGCAGTAGGTCGATAAGGGGTATAGGTCGGTGGTGAGAGGCGTAGCCCGTGAGAAAGAGGTGGGTAAGCATGGGTAGAATCGGCGACCGGAGGAGAGCGTCCAGGTACGCTTCGAGGAAGTGGACACCACCCATGGAAAGTTCTTCGAGCACAGGCGTGATGAATGCACCTCGGCAAGTCGCGACGACGGAGGATGGGCGACCGCATCGTCGACAACAAAGTCGAGGTTCAATTGGACTAGCTTCTCCGCGTGTCCGACGAGGTCATCACGGGGAAGCGGAAGGGAGCTGGAGTGAAGGAGCTTCATGCACAAGACCTTCAACCGCTGGACGTGTGGCAAGAGCAGCTCGACAATGGCCTTGACATGAGCTTTCTCCGTTCGGTCTTCCAGCGACGGACTGAACCTCCGTATGACGTAGATATGGAGAGGTTGTTCGCGCGACCAAGCGAGGTATTGACGAATCTTTGTGAGCGGTGTCGGATTCGCTCCAGTCCAGACAACGATTTGTGCCCAGAAGATCGAACTGCTCGACATAGCTTCACGCCACTGAGGACAGACGGAAGCGAGGTGCTCTGCCGAGCACCTCGAAGAGTCGGTAACGAAATCATCAAATGGAGATCGGGGAACGAACTGCGCGGTTGCCCGGCTCAATTTCCCCCTCCGTCTGAATTCTTGCAGTGCATCCCTGAATACATCGCGAAGGATGATCAAAAGAACGTCGGGTGGGAGGTCATTGACGGTGGTGCGAGGGTTGCGGGCTGCACAGCTGTGGCCGTCTAGCAGCGCGTAGGCGACATTGTTTTGTGCGCTCTCTCTGTCCATGACTCAGGCTTCACTGAGCTGGTATAGTGTAAGTGACAGTAATCCCGCATAGGTCGTAAGTTCTCTGACTTGCTCACCACTACTAGTGTGACTGGGTCCGCGACACCGTTAGTCAGGCAAGCCGCAGTCCCGTGTATGTCGGTAGTAGCCCAAGGTAGAGATTATGTAGCTGGTACAGCAAGTGTGGGTCGGAGTCTTATGTTCTATGCCGCGCAACAGGAATGAGGTTTGCGTACACTCGAGCCTACTCGAGCTCCCTCGAGCTGGCGGCGACTCGGACACTGGCGCGGGAAGATCATGATAGCATCCAAGATAGCCACAGACGCGTCGCACACGTGACTACGGCAGTCCTCCCCGGGGCGGCCGCATCCCGCGTAAATAGTGCTCGTTTCGTCTTCTCTCCAACATGCACAACGGCTCATTGTGCGCAGCGACGTACCGACCAGTACTTGTACCAGTCAATGAGTTCTCAGCGGCGGAATGGAAAACAATGAAGGGACCGAAAAGTCAGTGCGGTGTTCCTCATCCGGAAGTCCCCAGGCTGTTGAATGCACAGGCCGATCATGTGTAGTGTATGTCCTTGACACCGTCTCAGACGAACTTAACATTCAGCAAGGTGACTGGTCTGGTGGAAACCGGCCACCTAACAACTCCCAGCTGAGTTGTAAAAAGAATGTTAGACGAATCCCAACGCGACATATGCCCCTCAGTAATATGAGTTGGAAGACGCACCGTGACAAGAGCGCACAAGAGACTCAAGCCGCATGACATTTGACGGGTGCCGTGTGCTACGAAGCATTGCAATTCTTGAGATCGTATTAAGCATGCCGTTACGAGTGCAACAAAAGCCACACATGGGCGCATGGGCCATCGCATCGTTACGATGATCCTGCTCGTTACGTGGATGTAAGCCAGAAAGAAGCATCGCGTACCCTGTCCTGGACATATGCTAGTCGGTTGGTTACCGCGACGTCCTAGTCATGCAACGACACGGTCACTGCGTATGCAATACTTAGTAGCATGTGGGTAGTAGAGAAAGTGGGACGTACTATGTATTGACTCGGGCTGAGGTAGTCAGTGGAGAATCAATCCATTCCATTGCCCAATTGCTGCACCTGCGCAATCCTTCGCACCAGAGCCTTCAGTACACACAGCATGTGGGATTGAAGGGAGTAAGGCCGTATCCCAGTATTGGTAGGGTCCAGAACACCGCGTGCCTCATGGTCGTCACGGTGGAAGTTTGCACACACACCATCACCATTCCAATTGACCTCCATCTGTATTCGAGTACATACATTATGACTTCTACGGCATGATACGAATTTAGCAACAGAGATTCGACAGCAAGATAGCAATACACTTATATACGCAGCACCTTCAGCTTTCCGCCCACTCTTCGTCTTCAACATCGGCCTGCGTGAGATGAAGGCCGAGGTCCCTCACGCTCGATATCGCCACAAGCAGCGGATGATTTGGGTCGAAAGTCACCAGGAGCTTGTGCATGTCCTCTAGCGCAAACTCCTCCATCTCCTCGATCAGCGTCAGGTCCTCTCGCTCCTCCTCGATCTGATTCGCAGGGCGAGCAGCGCGGGCCTTCCGTTTGTCGGCAAGGCTCTGGAGCTGCCGTTTTGTCGCTTCCACCACGCCATCGTGCAGTTCCGGCGGGAGGGAGGACGGTCCGCCGAGGAGACGCATCGAATCGGAGAACGCGCGGTATAAAGAGGCGAGGAATGATGCGTCAGGCTCGTTGGCGATGCAGTGAATCAGTTGATTCAACGTCCCTGAGACGATCTGGCTCGTCAGCGTTCCACTGTTCTTCCCACACGAGATGAGTACCGGGACGAGCCTACGGCAAGTCATATCAGCTAGTCTGTATCACGGTCGGTAGACAATGAACCACCTACAGCGCACACGCCTCCCTGACACCTTCATGGAAGAAGAATCTCAGGTTTGGCAAAACGAGTTCCAGCGTTTGCGCGAGGTAGCTCACGAACCGCGGACCCAGAGTAGAAGAGTATATAAGCAACGTCTCGAAGGCTTGACATTTCTCCTCGAGCGCGCTGGTGCGGATGCCAATCTGTTGCCCGTCCATGTTGAGCATCTCCCATCCCTCCTTGTCTTCCGGCTCATCGCTTGCGTCCTCTGCCAAACTATCAGCCACCCGGACACATACGAGTGTGACGAAGGCAGTTCCCAGACGTACCGTATACGGAGACCTCGGTCTTTGTACCTGCGGCAGCAAGGAGAGGCGGCATAACGACGGGAAGATACGGTTCGAACTCTTCGCCCAAAGCCTGGCAGACTTTTGCCCACGTCGCGATGAGGTAGTGCGTGAGCATTGTGTCCTGCAGGTCCGGAGGACTGTCTAAGGAACAACAGACGATCTGTCAATACATATGACAGGGAACAGAAAAGAGATGACCAACTCTGGATCCGCATGAGCAACTCGACAAACGTGTTCGCGTCGGGTCTGAAAATGTCTCGTCCCACCGCAATGGCTAAAACGGGAGAGGTTACTCTCACTGTTGATTTCGAGAAGAGAGTAGAGCAGACGTACCGATGAGGCCCGCACATTCCATGGCCTTCGCTCGCAACTTTCTGTAGTCCGGGCCGCTGGCATTCTGGAGGATATTCAGGAGCAGCGGCATGATTGCCGAATAATGCTTTGGGCGGATGTCAAGCCAGTGTATCATCAACTGATGGATACAGGGATAGCTCACCTTCGCAAACGTCGCCTCACTCGCGTCTGCGACCATTGCAAGGGTCGTAATGACCTGCTCCTGTACATATCGCTTGGGCCCCCCAGACGCTGGGTTCAGGAGTTTGAGGAGCCGTTCGACAATTGGATCGAGGTATGGAATGAGCGTGTCGCGTTCGACGCCTTCGCAGAAGTTGATCAGGGCGGCCGCGGCATGCGCATGCACACTAGCATCGAACGAAAGTGTTTAGTTGCCGGTTGAGTACAATAGAGAGAATGACGAACCGAGCCTCGGGGGCCTCGAGTGTAGGTATCAGAGCGTTGAATATCTGTTGATGGTACTGGTCCTGGATAACTTCCTGTATGCACGATGTTGGTTGAGTGGTGCAAACTATTATCGCGCGTAGCCCCGTACCTCGAGATCAGTGCACAATTGACCGCTAGTACAAAGCTCAGTCGTGACGACGGGCAAGAAAACAGAAAGCGTCGCTCACATGCATTGACAAGCCGCATACCTTACCCTTGGGTGAGGATCCGCGAACATTGGAGTGACGAGACTATCAGGAACGCGCTCTCAGTCATCCGAGCTTCAGCGACCGAACGACAACTCACTCGACGACCTTTCCAAGCTCCTCCTGCATGACTTTGCTCGTGCCCTCCGCAATTGCCGCGATGGCCATCAAGCCCGCGTGCCTCAGCTTCCAATCATGGCTTGCCAGCATCGCAGGTATGTACTGGAACGCAGGCTGGAGCACCGCCTTTCCCCCGAGCGCACACGCGAGGCGGTCGACGGACTGCTCGTACACGTGCGGGTACGTGTCCTCCGTCGGGTCATCGCCAGGCTGCCGTCACCATCACATCAGCGACCGAAGCGAGCCGTCACACGCCCCAACCAACACAGAGCGACTCACGTCTGCGTCGAGCCACACGTCCATCTCGTCCTCCGGGATCTCGCCCATGCCCTCCAGGCACCCCCGCACGCCGACTGCCGTCCAGCCATCCACGCGCTTCACCATGACCGGCCGCGCCTCGCTCAGGCTGATCATGAACTCCAGCGCCGCCTTCCGCACCTCCTCCGCCTCCTCGTCCACGTCTCTTTCCTCGGGTGCCTTCCCCTTCCCGCTCGGGCCGCCGTTCTCGGTCGGTGGCGGGAAGACGAAGCTGCTGCCCGTGCCGGGGTTTGGGCGTGCCACAGTGGGTGTGGGGCCGGCGTCGACGGCGGGGACGATGAGCGGGGGGAGGAAGGAGAGGAGGTCGCGGAGGTGGGGCTCGAAGAGGGCGGGGACGCTCGAGGCGAGGGGCGTGAGAGTCGCGAGGAAGGCGGGGAGGTGCTTGTGCGGGAGCGCGGGGAGGGTGTTGAGCATCGGGTAGAGGAGCGCGAGGGCGTGCGCCTGCTGTGCCTTGTCGCACGCGGCGAGGAAGACGACGGACGCGCGCAGGGCGGCGAGGCGGACCTGCGTAAGCGGGCGCGGCCGCTGCGTGAGCGATGCTGTCGGACGAGTCGATAGCAGTCTGCGGGACGCACCTCGACGCTCTCGGGGTCCTGCAGGCCCTTCTGGAGCATGCTTACCACTACTTCCGTTTGCAGGTCGATGACCAGGTTAACGCTACCTGAGAAGACTCTGAAAGCCGCCTCGCGCGTGATGGTGTCGCCGCCCTCGGCCATGCGGAAGGCCTGAGCCTGGAGGGCATGCCACGGGCGGCCGCGGGCCATGGCCTGGTTGGCGAGGTCGGCGACGGTGTCGACGGCCTTGCGGCGGACGACAGGGTCGGGCTCGTGGAGGAGGGAGTAGAGGAGGATGCGCTCGAGGGTGGCGACGGACTGGGAGGAGAGGTGGTCGTAGAGGGAGAGGCGCGTCTGTGATGTCGAGCGGAAGAGGAGGCGGCGGAGGAGGACGAGAGAGAAGGAGCGCATCTGTGAGGCGGGGCGCAGTTGGTCAGTGGAGTTTCTTCGTCGAGTTGTGAGTCGTTCAGGCTGGACGTGCGCATGATCCGACGCAGGATATGCTCCTGCAGCCTGTGTGCACCAAATATCACATTCGTTATGCAAGACATAGTGACGCGGATGGGACTGTATGGCATCCCAACTACTTCTCTACTGATCTCACCACGCCATAGCGAAGACATGGATGTCTCGCCGATCGCCAACGGTAGTCATCGGAAGCACGACTGCAACGGCAGTGGCAAGACGCGCATGGCGTAGGACGCCAGTCATGAGAATGCAGCACCAGAAGTCGCGGGCAATGACAGGATCCCGGTTATTGGTGAGAAAGCCTTGATCTCATCCGAATGACTTTGGCTTGTTTGGAGGGGACAGGCCTGATTCAATCGCGATAAAAGTTCACTTTTGCCGGAAGAGTTGTCCGAACAAATATCGGTGAAAGCCCGGTCCGTGCCCGGCGGGCATGAAGTCAGTGGTTCCGAGCATGTACTCAACGTACCCATATTGCCGGCCACTAGATATGTCAACCCTGCCGGTTGATAGAGACAACAACGAAAGTGCAAAAGTGGTGCCGCGAATGGACATAATGCCTGTTACAGAGTCCAAACAACGAATCACTGTATGCACAGAGGCCAGATTTCATCCGGCTCAATAATCAACGTCATCCGAACACGGAGGCCCAAGTTTGGGCGATGAGGATCAGGCATCCCCGCCTTTGACCAAGGCTAATGTAGCAGTGAAGCACATAGTGTGGAATGATATTGCCGAGCACCGAGCCGGTCATGACAGCTAGGTCCATATCGTTGGGCCCTGCGCATTCAAACACATAGGCGGAGTCCAGCGGGTCCGATATAGGATCACGCCGGACACAGCGGACGTCGACGGCCAGCTTGAGCCAGGCAGCCGCGACCTTGGCTATGGCGGCCGAGTTTGAGCGACAAAGTATCCGGACCACTGCATGCCAACGTCCGACGACCTCTGCTTCTATACACGCTTTTCGTGCGGGGCCCAACGATGTGGACCTAGCTTGAACGAAGCGGTACGCAATGCAGTACCGGAAGTCGCGGGCAGCGAGACGCGTCTTGGATACGTCTGGGCTAGATCGTGCCCTGGTGTGCATTCGACAGCACCCAGCACGTGGCGAATCAACGACCAGAACTGTATGGACTCACCACTTCCGTGTCCGCCTGTGTTGAGAACTGCGCGAGAGCGAGGATGTAAAGTTCCGGAGTCTGCGAGAGTCGGTCATCGACGATCTTTTCTGCGCTGCATGCCAAACGAACAGCCGCGATTAGCATGGAGTGTTACGCTGCGAACGCACGCGTACGCACCTTGAGCGGATCTGGTTGTCCCCGAGGACGAGGTTGGAGAGGATCTGGGTCAGCTCGGCGGTGACCTCGGGCGGGACGATCGCCTCCATCCTTGCTGCTCACTGCGCGCGCGTGTCGGTCGCTTGTTGCTATTCCTGTGTGCATGTCCTCAGTATAGCATGGTCCAGCCAGCACGATCGAACGGGAACTCACCAGTCGCGCACGCGATGTTTCAGAGGTCGCCGGGATGTAGGCGCGGTGAGTTTGGCGAGCGTTTGGCGGGGTGCGTGCGCCTATGATCTGCACGGCCAAGCGAGAAAAGGCTAGGTCGGGGCGTCGCGGGAGGAGGAGCGGGAGGAGGAGAGGTTGCTGTGCCCGACACCGCTTCACCGGCGCCTCTACAAAATCGTAATCTAGGCGCTTCGAGTTGTTATGTACCATTGCTTACCAAGACTACTACGTTTCATTGATTCTTACTATTGTACATCACCGTTGACCATTATTACAGAACTTCGCGGCGGAGGGCAAGAATAAACGAAGGTTCGCGTTCACCCTTTCGATTCAGTTTGGCTGAAGGGTCGGCTACCTTCAAATACGAGATCGCGACCATGGCATACAGATGCTAGGTCGAGGCTAGCTCGAAGACCTCCGTGACGGAGGAGAGGTCGCTTTTTCGGGAGAAAGCCTACGCCCACCGTCCTCCTGCCCAGTCGTCCCACCGAACTTCCCCCACATACTCGTCAAACCACTTTTATCCTCCTGCGCAAGCTCGCAACAACCATGCACGCGGAGACACTCCACTGACGAGACCGTATGCCCCGGGTACGACGCCATCGGAAATCCCGCCGCCTCATGTACCTTATGCCGTGCCTCCAGCGCCGCCCTCAAGTCGCCGCTGCTGAAGCTCGTGCATCCAACGATAGTTAAGGATTCGAGGTGTGGGCATTGCCACTCGTCTCCCCACGTAGGCTTCGCGAGCGCCTGGAAGACTTCCGCGCAGAGTCCGCCGCAGTCCACGATCGTCGCGTCATGGAAGTACTCCGTGAGGTAGTGCGTCAACGTCCGCCGGCACGCAATCCCGCTGACGCGGACGGTGCCCGACGAGCCGAGGTGATGGGCGCAGGGCATATCGGGGAGCGCGCAGCGCGTGTACGCGATGGCCGGCACCCAGGCATCGTCGTTTTCGAGGAGGCGGTGGTACTGCATGATGGCGACGCCGGACATGTCGACGAAGCTCACGCTGACCTCCACGCCCGGTTGGGCGGGAACGGGATCGGAAAGTCCATTAAGGCGCTGGAATGTACTGGGTCGAGCTCGAGGTTCTCGAGGTGGAGCGTGCGGAGATCCGGGCAGATCATGAGGCGTACCAGGAGGTCAAATACGCGGAATCGCTCGCGGCCTCGGGTGAAGTTGGTCAGGGCGACGCGGGCGAGTTTGGGTGGCATCCAGCGGTCGGGGAAGGGTTTCACGTAACACTGCAGGAAGTGATGCCATTGTCAGTTCCTCTAGCACGGGCGCTGAGAACGCTTCGACTGTGGGCATGGCCGTCGCGGGATGCCCGATGATGAAGTCGAGGTTGAGGCGGACCAGGATGTCCGCGGGTCCCACGAGGTCGATACGCGGGCGAGGAAGTGAGCTTGAGTGGAGGAGCTTCATGCACAGGACCTTCCACCGCTTCACGTGCGGCAGCAGCATCTCGACGATGGCCGCTACCTGGGCCTTCTCCGTGCGGTCTTCTATCAAAGGGTCGTACCTGCGCAAGACGTAGACCTCGAGGAGTTGGTGACGTGACCAGGACAGATACTGACGGACTGTCGAAAGCGGCGTAGAGTCTGTTCCCAGCCAGATGACAAGCGGAGTCCAGAAGCAGGAGGCGTTTGACATGGCCTCGCGCCAGAGCGGGCAGACGCTAGCGAGGGACTCTGCGAAGGGATGCTCTTGAACGCGGTCTTCATAGCCAGGCCAGGATGCTAGTTTTAGGGAATCCGAGAGAGCTGCTTCTCGTTGATTGTAGGGCTGGACGACCGCGTAGAAAGCCTCGCCGAGGATGATGACTAGGACGTCGGTAGGCAAGTCGTTGATGGTCCGAGGTCTGTGGGCGATACGACCGCTCTCAGGAAGTGTGTAGTCCCCAGTGCTAGACAAGTTCTCGTTGTCCATCTTGCTGTCTCAACTTGGCCTATGTAGATCGTACCGTAGCCAATGAGGATGAGAACAGGCGCATCATCATACTCGTGCTCACTCACCGCGCGCAATGAGAAAGTCCGTACGAGTTCTTCTATCTGGTACTTTGTGTAACGGTGGACTTCGGCGGGTATATGCGCCCTATATCATAACAGTCAGTCTCAGTCTGCATGTCTTATATCCTACACTGTGTTCCCCAAGCTATGAGCTCCCTAACCTCTGCCGTGAGCTTGTTGCACGCGAGCGACGCTTCTGTCGGTCGCCCTCCGTCAACCAGCCGATTCAAGAGCCTCAGTCACCAGACGCAGCAAAATACGGCAGAGGGCCACAGAACTCGTTCAAAACTGTTGGAGAAGTGAGCAAGGCGAGAGGTGAAATGTTGAAACAATTGACGCGTTCGCCGTTCGGCGTGGTACTTGGAGGATTCCGGTAGTCACGTGCACGACGCGTCTGTGGCTGTCTTTCCGCGCTCGTCTTTCCCCGACGCTCGCTGCTCGTCCTCCCCACAATAATACTTAGAAGCTCGGCAGCACCATGCACCTGGGCGCGAAGCTCAGCCAGATGGTCATCGCCGCCGTGCAGAACATCCACAAGCATGCCGCTGGGCGCCGCTCGGACCAAATATACGTCCACCCATCTGCCAGTGTGTCGCTGTGCTCCGCTTCCTGAGGTCTCTCCAATGAAGACTGGTGTGAACATGGGTCAATGCGCGCCTGCATTGTTAGCGGGCCTTGTCGTCGGTAAGCCTCCCTTTACAACCCTATGTGCACCATTCAAGTCACGCGCCTCCTCAGAATTGCGAGCAGCACGACTCTGCTCCCATATACGTTGCTCCGGTGGTGCAGCACGCTTGCATACAGCACCGGGCTGACCTCGTTGTCCGCGATGTGCTTCGTCGCGCGGTACAGTCACTCATGCTCGCGAGCGTACCTCATACTGCTTTTGGGTTCAGCATGTGCTCGTGTATGTGCCCATGGGCGCCGACGGCGGGTAGGGCCTGCGTGACGGTCGAGACACGTCATGGACGGATCTCCCAGAGTGCGAAAGCGCCTCCCGGAGCGGCGTGAGCGAACGGTTTCCAGTCCCGAGCGAACGGTCGCCAGTCCCGAGCGCGCCGCCCTTAAGCAGCAGCGAGACGGTCACGGATCCGAGTAGCTCGCCTTACGGGCACCGCTGCGAGGGTGGCTTGCGCGAGACATTACACGTCGCGGACGTGACGAAGTCGCCCAAGAGGTCAAGGCGACGCGCCGTCAGTCAAATGATGGGGTTTGCTATCAGATTGAGACTGACTACGACGCATCGCTGAGCGAATAGCACGCGCTGGGCGAGGAGCGAGGCCAATCTCATGCACCCCTCGATGCTCTGCGTTTTCGACGCCGTCACCCTGACGTTCGCGAACAGCCCCAAGGTTATCCATGTACAATGAGTATCGTGTGACTGATATGCCTTGTTGTCGTCCTACATAATAAATGCCTTCTCAGTACGTTGTACAACACAGCTATTGATCTTACGGTTTGTTCCATATCTGCGCACGATATTGATGGTTGGCTTTCCCGCGTCACAGCAATGTCTCCTGTGCAATCGTCAATCAAAGTTTACATTATTCTGAATCACCGAAGCTTCGTAAGTATCACCATGCAATATGCAGCGCAGAGCAAGTGGCACCGTCACCATTAGCGACACTTCGAGTGGTGCGATGCAATCTCAAACCTAGTACGCACTGCTTCATACGGCTAAATATCATTGACTGCGTCGGTGGCCATGAATTCTTTGTCTTTCGGCACTTGGGCAGTACCGCGTCAGTCTACTAGCAATATCAACCACCGCCGCCGATCGGGATGTTCCAATTTGCCAGCGCACGCAACACACGGTTATCAAGGTGTTGATCTAAGCCGTTTAGTGCCAGTCGTGTGCAAACTCTGCGTGAATGACACGCGTCCATGCGAGCCTTTAATTGTGGTATCTTGAGGTTATTTGGTCTTTCGCAGCTACCAAGGCACCACACTGAGAGACGTCGTGACCGCTACGGTATTCTGATTCAAATCAGGATCTACAATAGCGTATCATGATTCATGTCGCATATTTCGAACCACACGCACCATGATTGCACGTAATTCGGGACTCGGATAGTCTCAGGAATCAGTTCCTCTGAGTCGACTCGTTCCTCTAGCCCCCAGCACTGCCGCAAACATTTATAAGGACGGAACACGCACATTGCCTACCCAGCTCCAACACAATCCTTATCTTATTCGGAGCCCGTCGACAGCGAGTGCGCTGGCCGGTGAGTACCTCTGCATGCCTTCTGTCAATGACTGTACTGACGAAGTACCTCTCACCTGCCCGCTGTCAACGCAGCCTCGCTTGATTATTGAACGACCCATACCGTGACGTACAACCACGACGTATCTGCGCCCTACCTTCAGACCCACCGTCCAGCCACTGCACCTCAGCGAGCCCCCCGTGAAGATGCGCTTCTCAACCATCTTCCCTCTCGTCTCCGCGGCGATGCTCGCCTCGTCTGCCGTAGCACGCCCCATTTCCTCAATCGCGTACGTATTGCTCCGCATCCGCAGAGCCAGCTTGAACGGTTCGACTGATGCATACCTCTTCCCTCTGTAGCTTCCGCGACGACGCTGACCTTGCGGAGCGGGCTCTCGGTGATCTGGATATATTACGCCTCTTCGGGCGAGATGCCGTTGTAAAACAGTTAGCTGCACGCACAAGCAAAGGTCCAGAAAAACCTCACCTGGGGCTGACAGAATATCAACTACTAGGGCCCAAGCCCGATCGGCAGTTATTTCGCTCTGGCAAGCAAGGAGATGAGCAATGGAAGACGTGTTGCAAGGCGGCGAAACAGACTGGTAAAGAATTGAAAGCCGCTGAGAAGGCAAAGACGAAAGGGGACAAGCAGTGGGAAAAGGAAAGGGGAAAGCTTTCCAAGGCAGCGGCGCAGCATGCAAAGGGGAAAGGGAAGAATTCAATCATAGGCGTAGCACGGTGAACCGTAAGTAGCAGATGAAGGCAGGCCGTCTCCAGAGCGTCAGCCGGGAAGCGGCCAGCCCAGGTAATCAACCTCGGGAGGGTGCCAGGTATCAAGGCTGGTGTCGCTGGACATGTCGGCGAAGTGCACATCGGAGCTCCATTGGATCGAGCGCGGGTTTATGATAGGCGGGCCTTCGTAGGAGATATCGAGCTGGAGGTTTTCGAGCTGCAGTGCGCCGTTGTAGAGTGCCTTGCAGGTCACCAGGGATCTCAGAAGGTCGGCGAGAGGGAAGGGTGGTTGGTGTGAGGCATAGTCAATCAGTGTGAGGAAGCCGAGCTTGGGTGGCATTGATAGTTGAGCGAGGGGCTTCACGTACGATTCACGGAAGTGGATGCCACACATGGAGAGGCACTCGAGGTGTGTCGAACACTTCGGGTTGAGGGACGTCTGTTGCGGAAAATGCGACCGCGTCGTCAACCGTGTGGTCGAGTCTGAGTCGCACCAACTTCTCTGCATGACCGACGAGGTCAATACGCGGGAGCGGAAGTGACCTTGAGTGGAGAAGCTTCATGCATAATACCCTCCACCGCCTTACATGCGGCAAGAGCAGTTCAACGACAGCCTTGACCCGAGCTCTCTCCGTTTGGTCTTCCATCGAGCCTGAGGGGTCATACCTGCGCATGACATAGACTTCGAGGGGTTGATTCCGCGACCAACAAAGGTACTGGCGAATCCTCGAAAGCGGAGTCGGATCCATACCGGTCCAGATGACGAGTTGCGCCCAGAAAACTGACGCACACGACATGGCCTGTCGCCACGCAGGACATACGCAAGCGAGATACTCTGCAGAGGGATGCTCGGGGTTTCGATCATCATGCGGAGCCCCGGAAGCAATCTGAACGCTGTCCCAACCTACCGCTCGCTGTCGCTGCGCTCCGTTGAATACATCACGAAGAATGAGGAGGAGGACGTCTTGAGAAAGGTTGTTGATTGTGGCACGAGGCCTTTGAGAGATGCCACTCTCGGTAGCCATTGGCATCCTCGTGTGGCGTACCGTTGCCCCACTGTCTAAGGAAATGATACGTATCAGTAGGCAGTAGCAATGGGAAGTCCACAAAGAGAAGTGGTCCACGTACGGCCGTCTCGACAGCTCTTGTTGACGAAAGAAGCAGACACCTAAGTGGCGATGGCAGTACGGAGACAACTGTACAAAAAGGCTGAGCGTTGCGGTGAAGCAGTGGACAGACGCGTCATGCACGTGGATCCGACTCTTGAGCGCTTCATTGGACATCCAAGCCTCAGCACAAACCGAGTAACTTAAGTAGCAAAGGTCCGACGGACGAGCCAAGTATGATTATTTCCTTACTTACAGTAATGACCAGTAACATGCGCAATCGCCTGCCTGCTCAGGATACGACACCGTACCGCGCACTGCATCGCAGCGATGGACGTATCAATTCATGACTCCAGTCATTTTGGCGTGCGGGAACAACGCAGCGATATGGGAAGTGAAGTCTTTCGCCTCCGCCTTGACCGTCCAGCCATCGACGTGCAACTCCTGGAGACCATGCGGATGGAGAGGCGCCGAATCGCTGGTAGGCACATCACCGTCATGATAGACAGGTGGCAACGTCAGCGACTCCAGGTCGGCGCAGTGTTGCGCAGCGAAGCTGAGGGCATGCAACGAAGGTCGAACGGAAGACGGGCGGTGCCGCAGCTTGAGCTCCCTGAGCTTCGGCCAGCTCTGGGTGATCTGACGGATGTCGTCGTCTGACGTGTCCAGGGCCCACGCGCCGAGTTCGATCTCGACCTTGCGGAGGTTGCCAAGAGCGAGCAAGGGCTGGATGACGGCTATGACTGAGCGTGTCGGACGCGCAGAGGGTCGATTGGAAGTGGAGCCCGTTTTCCTCGAGCTCACTACCAACGTGTGCAGGTGCGGCAGCGTCTCGGCCACCTTGGGCCACAGCGTAGCGGCGGTACGCGCGTCCTCCAGGTGCAAGTGAAGCGTTCCGAGTCTAGGGAGAGCGACTGCGGCGAGGAATGAAGCGCAGGCAGCCGCTTCCGATTCATTGACCACCAACGTCTTTAGAGCCTTGAGCACGGGGCGCTCGCGCGTCTCCGGAAGGCCATATAGTATCCGTACGGTGAGAGTCGTGAGGAAACGAACGCGGACGAGTTTGTTGATTAATTTCGTGTTCAGTTGCCAGAACCTTGATATGTCCAATGAACGGTCGACCGGGGATGACGACGGCGACGACGGAATCTTGGGGAACACGTTCTCGAAACATGGCATTCCCCGCAAAGCAAGGTGCCCCAAACGCGGGGACGCGATATAGATACCGTTCAGCAGCATCTGCAGCGCATGGCGGGTCCGATCATCGGACTCATACCGGCGCTCGTAGGGGTTGTCCCGCATGAAGATGGAAAGCCAGCGCACGGATGGGTGGAGTAGAAAAAGCAGGGACGTGATGAGTGCTGAGTCCTGCGACCATTCGAGCACTTCGAGGTTTGGAAGTATGGGCTGGCCCGCACTTTGGATAGAGAGATGGTGGTAGACTGTAGGGTCTACAGGAGCGCGTACCTCGGGGTCAAATTCCCAGGTCTGTGCTCGGCAGCAACGAACAAAGCGGGCGTAGTACTTAAACCGTTCCCATTCGTCCGCCTGTATGTTGCGATGTAGGACCTAAACAAGCAGTTCAGAATTCGACGCGAAACAACCCTACGATCACGGTCAAAAAATATTCGCAGTACTCACGTAGACAGGCACCGTCTTTACACTGGATGACAGTAGCTTGACGAGTACCGCGAAAGTTGGTATCTCCCTCCACAGAACCCGCGAAGCAGGTTCACGGAAGTGCTTGCAGACACTGGCGGATCGAGCAAGAGAAACAGCGCAAATCCCTTCACGCTCTTGGTCCAAATTCTTCACGTCAGGCTTTAGCTGTTCGAAGACGTGCAGCAGAATTTCCGGCACGGACAATGCGCGACTGACGGACATATCAGACACGTAGAAGATGGTAGAACGCAGAACGAGTCGACAGTTCAACGTTCAACTTCCCCTAATTAATATTCATGTCGCACGGTAGCTAGTGGCGATTGGCGCTCGTCGGCAAAGCTCATGGATTGGCCATGACGAGACATAAAATCGTTTCAATTGCCGCAGGCTGGTATTAGGCGCATCCAGCGGCGCGGCATTTATGTACTGCAAGCTCGAACTGGTCGTCGCTTCTAGTGACATGGGAGCGGTATCCAGGAAACGGCATGGGAATCGATGCTACCATTCACGACCGATATGCCATACAGCGTCATGTCCCAGACTCCGGCTCAGAGTCTGCCTCACATGTGCACTTCAAGTTGTACGACTTAAGTAGCTCCTGGGCATAGGCGTATGGTTGCTGCTTACACGGAATAGAACAGTTCGCGCGGAAGCTAAGACCGCAAGCGAATACAGAAGGCAATACATACTACACTGAGATGTCACGGTCTGCTTTACGGATGCCCCGGACCCCGCTCCGTAACTTGACTGGCCTTCAATGGTGATGAGACGCCGTACATGAGGATTCGCGGAACATTTATACAGTGCAGCAACGGTCTCTTCCAAGAACCTGCTATAGCCCAGTAGCGACAACTCAGGCGATCGTGATGTGGACCATAATAGTTACTATTCAGCGGCGTCACCATATTGACAGCCCGTGTCAGAGGGAGGCAGGGGCTTTCCGTTGTACCTCATGCCAGCACCTGTTCGCTTCATAGTCGAGCTGACCTCCTCTTCTTCGAGAAGAAATGCACTCGGCACACGGCCTGTCAACATAAGGTTCCCGTCCACGGCCCTTCTGGTCTGCGATGTACTCTCATGACTCGATGCAATTCATCTACATCCTCGACGAGACGACTGAGAACAAGCAGCGAAGCTGCTATGTCTACTGAGAAGAAAGGGCCCGTAACGTACGTGTTCAACTACCGTACCCGTCAGGCTGATTGTCGACGTAAATTTAGTACATCTAATACAGGTACACGCGACCGTCTTGTGTTCAATCGGAGGATGTTCTCCTCCGTGCTCTTCCCATCTTCCGTCCGAGTTACCGTCAGTACGGTAGGTAGTCGCGGCCACTGCTCTGTCTGGGCATATGTCCGGAGACGCCAGCACCGACAGTGACTCTGCGAACATCTATATAACGCCGCCTCAGCATTGTGTTGGACCCCAGTGAAGAGTCCCTCCGCCTCCTCGGTAAGCACGACAACAACGGGATGCTTGCGTACTCAACTCACAACTCACCGTAGCTACACTCTCAGCCAAGTGCATTCGACCTGTTCATCGCAACCGGATCAACCAACGCAATAGGTGAGCACCAGCCTTGAACACCGAACCGACCACCCGGTACTAACAGTGCCGCATGTCGCAGCCACGATGACCTACACCATCCACGTCCGCATCATCAACGCGAGCCCCAAGGACTTCGCTGTCGTCGAGCAGACCGTGTGGTACTACGCCGACGGCGGCGTCTGGACCTATGCCGACGACATCCGCACGCTGACGATGAACGGCAGCGGCACGTCGGGCGTGCTGCGCTTCCGCGGCTCGGATGGCGAGGAGTTCCTCGTCCCGCTCGGGGTGCACAACTACAAGCGGTGGTGCGACATCGTCCCGGACCTCGCGCCGGGAGACACGGCGATGAAGGTCCAGCCCGAGTACTACAACAGCGGCGCGCGCGGGGAGATGCTCTGGAAGCAGCTGGAGGAGATCTCGAAGAAGAGCGCGAAGGGCACCCAGATCGACGTGAAGTACACGTCCGAGAAGGACACGGTGTTCACCGTCCACATCACGATCGCCTAGTTGTCGCTACTGGGCTATAGCAGGTTGTTGGAAAAGACCGTTGCTGCACTGTATAAATGTTGTTCGAGTCCTCATGTACGGTGTCTCATCACCAAAGTTGAATGCCAGTGAATTTACAGAGCGGAGCATACTGCACAGTTTACTATCGGACACATGAGCCGTCGCAAAGACGTACGTCCTGTTCATAAGTTCCTCCCGAAATAATCGTGAACGGCCGCAATCCTTGCTATGTACGGGTGCATCAACTAAGTACGGAATCATCGATCTCGACGGTCACGCACGACAGTTTCCGAGTCCCACCTCCGCCGTTCGCTTCCTCGCATCGCAATGCTTTGTGACCCGCTGCAACGCAAATCAATGATGCAGTGCAAATGGACGAACGCGACGCGACACGGGAACGGTGAAGCGAAGCGACCATCAGTGGTGAAGTGGATGAGCCTTCCAGATAACGAGGTGTCGGGTCAGGTACCGTAGACGAGGCAGCCGTGGCGGCGCGGAACGAGCAGAGACGAGCGGGCAAGGGGCGGGGGCGTGTGCCAGTGTTTGCCGCGGTAACGTCCTTCGGTGCCATCCCAACACTCTAAGCGTGCAGACACGACGGAGAAAAGGCGGGTGTATGTGGAGAGGCGAAATGTGCATGCAGGTGGACGTGAACGTGTCGTGGGACTGGATCATTGTGTAAGGAACAGTGCGATGCTAGAGATGGCCAGTCAGGAACACGGTCATCTACCCACAAGACGAACATACTCACCGGCTAGTGCATTTGCTGTCGGGAAAGGCTGAGGTGAATGGAGTAGGCGGAGTGAGAGCATTTAGAACAATCTAAAATATCGCATGCTGAGTGGTGTCGGAAACACAGACATGATCCACTCGAACTGCAACATTGCACGGCACAGCAGTATCTTCGACGTGAGACTAAAATTGCAGCCGTCAGTTTGAACGCTTCAATACGGGACACGGGTGAGACTGCTAGCCTCGAAACGTTGTAGGACTAACAACAGAGTCGGAGGAAGCAGAGACGTGCTATCGCAAGCTCTGGACATGGATGAACAGATACCGACCTTCCTACAGATAAAACATAGAATGAGCAGATGATCGCAGACAGGACTGATAGACTAACCTGTGCGTGCGGTCAGACCATGGCATCGCGAACTCTCGCCCAGCATTGGAAGCTGCCGTGACATGGCCAGTACTTCAGCCAATCCAATGAACCTGGTTCCCGCACATTCCGTCCATGAGCTCGCAGTGGCAGGTCCGAGTCGCGAGGTCACAGAACTTCGAACTAGTCACTAGGCCGTATGACTCCCGGGCACCGGCGTACATTTACTGCTACATAACACAGAACAAGTCGCGAAAGGTAAGACCGCAGGCGGATAGAGAATGCGATACTACACGGCCATCGCTGCCTGCGATAGCCTGCTGTGGCGGCTGTAGTAGCGTTCACGCCGATCTGGACATTTCGCGTTGCCCGTGCGGCACCTGGATGGATGGAGTTCTCGCTGTGAATCAGTCATGAAGACACCACGACCGGCTCACCGATCCCATCCCACGCTAACGCCATGACTCGTCCCTCTTTACCAGTATTCAAGCCTCAAGGCCTCAAGTCCCACCTAGGCATGACCAATTATCGACCCAGTTTCGACGCACCCGCTTCGTGGGAGCGCGGTTAGCCTCACGACTTCCGAAGCCAACAGTTCCACGCCACCAAGTGTGAATCCGGGCGGTGCAATGGGTATACCGGTATGCGAGACATGTTGGTTCCCGTGCGTTCATGATAACTCGGGCTCGAAGTCACGGTGGAGGTGCGGATACATACCGGTAACCAGAGGCAGTCAACCTGAGGGATTCATCGATGAGGCCAGGCAATCGTCCGCGTCGCTCCAACGAGCAGTTCAAGCAAAAGTGGATTTGGAGGAAAGCTTGTAGCGTTCGGCAGCAGCCTGTAGGCCTTAGGTGTGCACGTGCGCCGAGCTAGCCCGTATCCGAATCGTCCTCTCCTCAGACGGCATCGCCAAAAGCTAACCCGGCCTATAAGGCCATACAAGACCCTTATAAGCGACGGAATCAATGTAAGGCCTCGCAATAATTGTACATACCCTTACACCCCAATATGTGGGTTGCTCGGTTTGACAATACGTACCAGCAGTGTAAGGGTGTGCCGGACTGACAGCATGATATCATAGCATATAAGGGTGCCCCAGCCCGGGTACATCTTCTAATGATATACGGTATGTTCAAGTTGGTTTACGACGATAATATTACAGGTCATACATCGCCGCTTTCGGGGTGCTAGTAACACTAGCAGGAACGATGTTCACAGGCTCGCTACAGATTTGGGCCTCATAACTGATGTATTCGGCACTATATCGACACACTACAGTATACTAGCTATTTATGTATAACCTGGACTTGTAAGGATACAGTCATTCGATGGTTTGGTGTGACTGTCAGTTCGCCTGTCAGCGCTTCGGTATGGCAGAGGGTTCAAGTCGATACAAACCTCACGGGCTTCAACGTTCAACGTCCACACACCCTTAGTGACTACGTAGTAGCACCTATACGTGGTCACTGAATTCGGAAGCTGCGTCGCTGTCGGAAACTCATGAGTGCCAGCTTCAGTCCGAACACACAGATATACGTACCGCCTTTGAACTGATAGCGCAGTCCGAGGTTCAATGAGGCTCGGACTCGGAGTCGAAGAGCAGCGAGGCGTCCTCTGCTCTATCTTGCGCATTGGTGGGCCTCCCTTTATGTGCGCCGGCCCCATGATGCTCTCGGGGTCCCTGTTGGAGCGAGGCGCTGGTACGAAGCTGGAGCTCAAGTATCAGTGGAGTATTGCGTTGCCCGCTGGGGCACTGTTACGTCGCGAACCTTCGCGAGCACCGGACGAAGCAACGGTAGCTCCACGGCCACACTGACTGCAGCCGAAATCTCCGCCGTTCGCTGCGCTGCGAAGTCCTCCCAGTGTGTCGCCCAACTTGAGGTGGAAAAAGACAAGCTCTTCGACCCGGAATGCGAACTCAAGTTCATGGAGGCTGTTGCGGGTACCATTAGTACTATATACACACTTTCCAAGAGACCAATTCCGAACATTCTTACGCGCGTCGTATCCGTCAACATGTCTCTGCTGGTATACAACTTGAAGGAAACTAGCATACAGTCGCACAGATTATAAGCAGTATATATATACGCACCGATTGTCTGACTTCTTGTATACAGCAGGAATAACGGGAGACGTCTTACATGGTCAGCCAAGTATTGTGAGACCTTGTAAGTGCATTATATTCCTCTTACATTGCTTACGCAACGTGCCACATATTGGCAAGTGGCGCAAGGGCATACCGCATTTTTCCGCTTTTGCTGATGCACTCAGAGTCCTCTTCTTTCGACTCTGTAGCCAGATTGAGCGGGTCCGCAATGTCTGCCAAACGGGCTTTGTCCGTACCCGACATCTTGCTGTATGTCTTCGAGCAGCTGCAGCCCCAGGCGAAGCCGATGTCCGATCTTCACCCGGCGGCAGGCTTACACATAGACCCCACTGCCAACGGGTTTGCTGCTGCAGCCCTCGCCCGCTCTGCGCGTGTCTGCAAAGACTTTCAAGAACCGGCGTTGTCTATCTTATGGAGGGACATACCGTCGTTCGTAGTACTGCTCGGACTTCTGCCCCGGGTCAAACAAGCGATATGGGAACACACCGGTCGTTCTGTCTACGCCAATGTGAGTACTGTGCTTGTTGCTCTGCAAAGTGTTGGCCATGAATGTTGCTGACCGGCCGCACACTACATACTGCAGTACGGCATAGAACCGAATGAGTGGGTGCGATTTCAGTATTACGCTCGCTTCGTCCACCGCTGTCGCATGCTATCCGTGTCTAGAGTCGAGCGCGGCAGTTGGCAATTTACCCCGATCAATCCCGAAATCTACCGTACGCTGTTCCAACATAACAACAGCCAGCCAATTCTCCCTTGTCTAGAAGAACTAGAGTGGTTGCAGACATTGACTATCGCGTCCCTGCACACTGTCCTCACACCATCCCTACGCCGGCTCGCCGTCTATCTGCAATGGGAAACTTTCGGTCTAGATAGCAGTGCGCGCCGAAGAGTCGTGGTCGATGTCCTCTCTGCATCGCCCCGTCTGGAACACCTTGCTCTGTTGGGAGCTTGGAATTTTAACTTCCTGGGAGTGACATCCGAGTCGTTCTCATTCGAAACCGGCACACTTCAATCATTAGACCTCTCCGGATGCGGGGAGTTGAGCTCACAAGTGATCCTCCAACTCACCGACTCCAGTCTTCCTGCCCTGACAGCCTTGCGCATCTGCGTACTCGACCACCTCGAGGCATTTGTCCAGCCGCCTGCATTCCGTAATCTCAACACATTGTCAATGACTGGATACGCGGAAGATTTGGCATCATTCTTAGCAATCGCCAATCTCCCTGTCCTGTCCCAGGCTCATTTGCACCTCAACGACCGGGGGGATACAGGCACAGCGTTCAGCACTCTCAGTGGTGCTCTCAGTAGCGCTATACTACCGAACCTGCGTCAGCTCGCAGTGCGCAGCACTATGCAACCAGGGCACATGATGCGTACTGCTGTCTTCCCGGACCGATCATTACTGGCCGTCATTCGACCCATTCTTTCCCTCACCGAGCTACGTGGGGTCTCCCTCGACTTCGGAACCTTCGACGCATGGGACGATGACATCCGCCAGATCACGCAGAGCTGGCGGAAGCTCAGAACGCTGGAGCTGTGCTCCTGCGCGACCGGGGCATGGTCTCCGAACCAATTCTCGCTGCACGCCCTCGTGCACGTCGCGCGGAATTGCCCTGATCTCCAGTCGCTCAAGTTGCGACCCCTCCGCCATGACGACGACGTTCTCCAGCCCGCTATTGGTGACACAGCTGCTCGTCCACACGGGCTCCAGGCGCTTCACACGTATAGGTGGCAGGTCCGGCCAACAAAAGAGGATGTTGTTAGCTTCACTCGGTCATTGTTCCCGAATGCAGATCTTCTAGATACTATCTGAGCTCTGTTCTGTGTCCGAGTCGTACCTAACATGATAATGTCCAGACGAAGTCAAAATGATGCATTTGTAGAGGTCAATCTGAAGGCCTGATACCCGACCGCGACTGCTAGACGAATATTAACCATCCGAGGTACACAGACTTGCGGTTGAAGCGCACCATGGCAAGGCGGCGGCAGGAGGCTGTTGGCCGAATAACACCATGTCCCTTGTTATGTGTCCTCCCATACGACTTCGGACGGGATAAGTCGACTCGGTGGTCGAGGGTATGGAAGTCATGATTTGAAATGCGAGGCGAACGAGGTGAGCCCAGCAAAATTGACAGTCGGAAACACTAAAAGATAATCAGTAAGCGGGTGCTAAGACGCACAGAAACACCAGAGAACGCACGCCACTGTCGAGTAACTTGTCTCCCTCCAACGGTATACGAGACTAAGACCCAGAGCGGTCAAGGCGGAGACCGTGACGGCCCATCTCCGAATCCAGATGCGTAGGCGGATACTACTCACCGTTACGCCTAGTTGACGCATGCGGCCGCAACACCGGTATGCTGAACGATCACGCTCCGAGCGGAGAGGCCAAGCTGGAAGAAATCAACAGCGGAAATCCTGGAATACTAGCTCAGAAAATAAACTTTGGGAGCAGCGAGTCCGAGAAACTGAATGACATACCACATACGCTCGATACAAAGACAACAATTTGCACAACCATGCCGATGCTAGGGCCACTGACTTAATGAATGAGTCAAAGGAGTCCAAGGTCCGCCGTCAATTGCAAGTGCAATCAATTGCCGCCCATTGGGGTAAATCGTCGTGTGACCAACTGAGATGATGATGATGATGAGCTCAGCATTTATTAACCGCAACAAGCAAACAATCGTGCTAAGACGCGGCGGACGCCGGCCTGTACAAATGTGGGCGTTAAAACGCGCCACCCAGACCTGCGCCCCGTTCGAGGTGGTATAGTAGTCTATAGACGTGATGTGTGTATAGTAATGGGCAGGCAATCTAATCGGGTTGTGAGACGGGGTCTAATGGTGTGGTCTGAGGTCGGGACGTAACGCGCATGGTAATAAAGATAGAGAATAATGAAGAAGCGAGAAATGAGGGGAAAGCATACGGTCCATATCTCGGCACTCCGGTGTCTTTCTCCTAGGGGCGCAAGCCGGGATTGCCCCCCTAGTGCACGAGGTGTCGATGGTGGTGTTGGGTAGGGTGTGGGGACGGTACTTCGCCGTGCAGCTAGTACCGTTTACTAGTCTTCGTCGCCCTCGTCGTTCTCCGCCTCTCCTCCGTCTTTGTGACCAACTGAGAGTAGAAGGAGCCGGGCATTGAATATTGAGAGCAATGAACGTCGACATCGAGGGCACGAAGTCGGAAGCGCCGACTCGGTCCGCGAGTCTCGCATCACGTGCTAATCTAGATAACAATCATACCGACCACCGGCACCCGGGGCCACACTCACCCCAAATTTGCAGCCGGAACCATCTCGCCGGACTCTCGGCTTCCTCTGTCTTATGGCGGGCTGGCGTAATGGCAACGCGTTAGTTTCCGGAGCTAAAGATTCTGGGTTCGAGCCCCAGGCTCGTCGTGAATCGTGCTTCGTGGAATGTGATTGAGGCGACGGAAGGTGGGAGGCCTTCGTTTTTGTTGCGGTTCCATGGGGAGTGGTCCTGCATACAGACAGGGACCGAGTGTTCGAAGTGAGAAGCGGAAAAGAGCGCATCAGACCCTGACACGCGATGTCGATCTCCAGCAGTGGTGGCCGTTTGCGTGATACGTGACGGGGTCTACCAAGCTTGCAAAGGCCTACACACTACCACACGAGTGTTCGTGCAGACGTTGTAGTAGCATCCCAGACCGATTACGAACTGAGTGGACTCGGCTGTGGACAACTCCTCAGGAGGCGCCACACCGAGGCAGACGCAATACGATAGGCTACACCGACAATATACATAGCGAGTGTGGTACATTCTCGACAAACGCGAGAATAAGTTAGAGTCCAAGTGAGACAAATGGGTCAGACGGTATGCCCAGGCAAGTTAAGCACGCCACAAACGCAGCGATAGATATGGTGAGGCAGACCCTCTCTCCCGGGAGTCGACTCGAAAGTACGAGCCGCAATGGGGATCCCAATGCGGTGGCCCGCCACACGCGCGGTATGCGCGTGGGTCTGCACGTTCGCGCGTCCGCGGTTTAGTGGCGCCTCCTACGGCGCTCTTCGTCGACGAAAGCACGGTCGAACAGCCCGTCGACGCTCCTAGCACGCAAGGAACAATTGTCAGTTCGGAGAATGGGATCAGACTGGAGGACGAGAGCGGATTCACTCACACGCCGAGCGGGGCGGAGAATGCGGGCATCGCTGCGACGGCGGCGGCGATGACAGACAGGATGGCCCTAGCATGCATGGTGGGGTGTGTGAGAGGGGAAGGAGTGGTGGTTTAGTTGGAAGAGCCGAAAAAAACGGTGCACGGCGACGAAAAAGGACTGCATGAAGACGGTTATCAGGATACTCGCATGCGCATACACATCAGGATGCGGTGGGACCGTACCTTGCGAGAAGTGGAGGAAGACAAGAGATGAAGATGAGACACGAGCACTGCACCTGCCCACCTATAAGTACGCCCCGCACGAAGAAGCTCCCGCCCCGCGCCCACACATCCCATCGAAACCCCTCACGCGATCGGGTCGCCACGACCATCGCAAACTGGTTTCATCGGCGCTTGCGGACTTCCCCCAACGAACGCAAAGCCAATCCGGGGCGAAATTTCGCGGGTTGCGATCAGAGTTTTGATGTCTCGACGCTGACTAGCCTGGCTAGGAGGCTCTAGGAGGTCGGGATCGTCTTGGGTCTCAGACTTGGACGAATGAGGTCGGCGGGAACTTGACGGGAACGGGAAAGCTGGTGAGATGCGAGACTAGAAGCAAGTGGGCGCCGGCGGTCGGTCACTGGGCTGTTGTCCGCGTGGCCTGAGGGTGTTTCACGAGACAGACCAACAACAGCGAGGAGTCCAAGGGAGAGATCAACCGGGTCTGTGAGATGTCCGAGGCAAGGAGACAGCTATTGTTGTCGCTGGACGACGCCTAGCGGCACGAGCGGTGCAGCAGAAACGCTGCTGCAACTGACCTGTAGGCGCGGATAGTCCAAGTCCTTGCCTTCGAGATGCTTGCTTAAAGGAAAGCAGCGCATTGCTACATGTTGGATTTCTACAGGCGTCCGAGCACTTGGCTTGAAGGGAACCCGCGCTCCAGCTCGAAGGTAATTTGGCGTCCACTGGTCCGCTCCGGGTGCGCCTACGGACTACTAAGTAGCTGGCCTAGGAAAAGACATCGACGCAGCGCTCCAGGATTAGACTACAGACGAGTACTTGCGCGCACGAACTGTGGTGACAGGAAGAGCCTCTCAGTAGTAGTACTTGTGTACGACCGAGTTGAACAGACATTCGACGCCGTCGTCACGCCGAGGTTGCGCCGAGGAGGAGGTCGGCGCGCCCCGAAGCTCGCACGTGAAGGGCATTCTCTTGACCGCAACCTCACTGGACGACCCGACGTGGGCTTGCAAGTCGCTGCCTCGCATTCATTTTGCACTCATTCGATGTTCGTCGCTCGAGCTCTCTGTCTCATGCAACTGCGCTGTCGACATCCAGTGAACCGACCGACTGACTATATGCGTCCAATTGAGAAGTGGTGAGTGTCTACAGTCTGATTTTGAGGACGTTCGACAGAGCAGCCTGAGAGACACTTAACGCTTCGCTGACGTATGGCGGTTATAGATCGCATGTCATTCAGATGTTCTTTCTGACCGTGTTGCTGTTGTCCGATGAGCTACAGACACCGATATGTGCCATTCGTGAACAATATCTGCATGTTCGCCGATCGAAGCGTGCGTCGTGGTGCATTCTGGGAGCGCGGCGTTTAACGACGGTACAAATGTCCTGGACAGCAGAGGCCTGCAAGGAGAACCTTCCCTGACGGAGTTTTTTGAGTCCGAAAGGAGGCTATACCTCGCGTCGCGTAGACCTTTGGCCAAGGGCGGGCGCAGTCGCAGCTCTCGTCGACCACGTCGAACGACCCGGAGACTGCGGTGGATAATCAGTCGACGGCTGGGAGAACGACGAACGGGAATGGAGACCGTCGCTCCGATCGCGAGCTGCGTGATCTCAAGGTCATGTTCCCGGAGGGCCAGTTGTCGGTCGTTACGGGCCCGACGGCGAGCGGGAAGACTACTCTGTTGGTGAGTGTACCCTAAAGTAAGCTGCTGGACGAGCTGACCCATGGATGTTCGCGTCTGTAGATGGCGCTTCTCGGAGAGATGACCCGCCGAGGAAAGGTTTAACTGGCAGGTCGTAGAGTGCTGTGCACTCAAGCCTTGGAGCCCGATGCCCTCAAATCGAAAAATATCAGCCAGATGCTGGAACGGATCCCCTCCTCGATCAAAGCGTGTGTGGATGACCCAACTTTGCGGTTGTGTACCGGCGGAATGGGAAGAGAAGAACCATCGTTCGGTGGGGGAAGCCCGCGCTTTCCTCCCGCCCGTTCCAGAAGCGCTGTACTAGGGACCACGATCGCCCCTCTTCGCGGAACTGATTCCGCCCTGATGCTCATCCCCCATCTCCGGATGGTGCACCGACGGTCAGCCTTGGATATCACCTCAAAGGGACCCGAGGTGCGAAAGATTGCAGTTCCTGTCAGTTCCTGTCGGCCCTCACTATCATCTCACTTAGAGCCTCGGCCGACGAGGCACATCAGGCCTTTAGGTCATGTCTTACAGCAGCACAGGGCGGAAGCCATGCAGGGTGTGAGCTGATTGGTGGAAGCGCGTAAGCTTCCAGTCAGCAGCGCACGAGCAGCCCTCTCCCGGCCGCCGGCGCCTGTGAACACACTCCTCCGCAGCCAATCCAGACCCGGCGCTCACCCAACCCGCTCCTTTCCTCGTCCTGCATGCTCCTCGCTCGTTAACAAGCTCGCCACGGCACAGCACGCATCTCGCAAACCGTGTACGAGGGGAGGGCAAAACCATGCTCCCGTGTGAACGCGCGCAGCGTCGCCGGCGGCTGCTTATGAGTTATCATCCAGCGTGCTGACTGGTTTCCGTGTCAACGTCAAGCCTACTCGAGCATCATCGCTGCCCCTCGCCTATCGGTATGTGGTCCGCCGCCATCGGCGCCGTCTCGGGCGCGTACAGATATTTAAGCTCGCGCCTCGCGAACAAGGCTGCAAGATCGAGCTCCCTGCTTCCCCTGCACACACGCAAAATGACGACGGCTACTGCTACTCAGACCAACGCGCCGGAGCTCGCGCCGTACGATCACGCCTCTGAGGCTCACTTCACGCACCCGCCGAATCCGGAGTGGTCGTTTGGGCAGCCGGTGGATGCGACGCCCGAGGGGAAGGCTTGGATGGAGGGAGTGAAGGAAGGCTGGAAGGTCGTCGATGCCGAGACGGAGGATCCTGTGTACGTGCATCGTTTCAACAGGGACCATTCAACGCTGACGTTTTGCTGTATCCTGCAGCACGATGTACAAGTTGATGATCAGTGGTGTCGTACCGCGACCGATTGCATTCGTGTCGAGCGTGTCTGCGGACGGCAATGAGAACCTAGCACCATTCAGGTTGGCGAAGCTTTCTAATAGATTACACGCGTATGCTCATCAACCCTCACTGCAGCTGGTATAACATGGTCACTGGGAGTCCGCCACTGGTGTCCATCGGTATTATTCACCACCCGAACGCGTCTCGGGGTCTGAAGGACACCGCCGCAAATATCCTCGCCACGAAGGGTTTCACCGTCAACCTGATCAGCGAGCCCTTCGTGCACAACGCGAACGCATGCAGCGTCGACGCACCCACCGACGTGAGCGAGTGGGACCTCAGCGGCCTGACCCGAGCGAAATCCGTGAGCACTCTATCCATCCTCCCTACCGTCGACCTACCCCTGATCTCCGATCCCCTAGGTCCACGTCTCCGCCCCGCGCGTGCTCGAGTCCGCCTTCGCGCTCGAGTGCACGCTCTTCTCGAGCCAGGAGATCACGCACCCCGCGACGGGCACCGTCACGACGACGCTCGTGCTCGGGCTCGTCAAGGCCGTGCACATCCGGCGGGACATGCTCACCTCGCGCGGGCTCGTCGATCCCACGAAGCTGCGGGCGGTAGGCAAGATGGGCGACATCACGTACGCGCGCCAGGGCGCGATGTTCCGTATACCGTGCCCGGACTGGACGCCGGAGATGCTGCGCGAAGCGGCGTTCCACCCCGCGGTGGTGAAGAGGAGGAGCGAGGACGGGGCGGGCCCGGAGACGAAGAGCGCGTGAGGCGCGCGGGCGCGGCGATTGCGAGCTTGGGGACTGTACTCGTGCGTGCGCGCGAGCTTAGACGTGGGAGAGTGAACGTACTGATACCCTGTCGTGATATGCGTTCATATGCCTTGCTAGACTTTGGATAGACTTACATTAATGTGCTTGGTAGCGAAGAATCGACGCGTTCCTGTCTCATCACGGTGGCCGACACGCCCAACGAGTTTCGTGCGCGAACTGTGGCTAACTGGTGGTGCTAGCCGTAATTTTCTATGCGCATGTGAGTGACGACTTATTCAAACGAACCTTCTGCTGACTCGTTCTTACGATTGAGACTTCAGGCAGCCTCAAGCCTCAGGCATATCTACACGCTCACGTTGTCATTGTCATCTCGATTGCTATCGAACGTTACTCCGGTTGGTCGGCCTCATCGGAGTCGTCTTCATGAATTGAGGAAGGCTCAGAAAGTGACTTCACTTTGGGTCATGCTTTTGACCTGGGCGTGAACCGTGTCTATGGGACTTACCCGTTCGAGAGGCTTTTGTTCCGCCGAGCCCGGTGAGCAATGCCGGAAGACGGCAATGCATCATGAACCATCCTACTTGGGCTGTGTCGCGTTTCGGGGCCAGGTCAGTCCGACCTTTGTTGCACTACTGCATCGTTCAATTATACTCAACTAAGGCAGTGTTACCTTGCTCGTCGATGTTCTGAACACCATCCAAATCCGGCGCACTCGTTTACATGAAGGAAACTTGGGCTCCTTTCCGATGTTGCTGATTTCCAGACTCTCGTCATCGCTATGGTCGCGAATCTCCTAGACCAAGGGCCACTGGCGGGATAAGACCGATCGATGATTTGGGGTATGTGCACGTCCCTTCTACGAGCTGCTTGTGCGACTGTGTGGCGCTCTGTAGGGAGTATTCAGCGACCCGCTATCCGGCATCTGAAGACAGTGGTCAGAGGTAATGAACACACAGGGTCAACCTCGCTCGCCGTGGCCGGTCGCTCTCAACAAGTATCTCCGTCTTGCGCTCCGATTCGTGGCCGTCTCTGCTTTGTCTGTGCGGACAGTAAAGCGCTCCTGTCTCACCATCGCAAGTCAGTCATGCCGACTACAGTTTTGGTGAATGAACGTTCGTGCCGTGATACATTTGGCAAATATCGTTCTGATGACACTTACAGAGACACGGTACATCCAACAACTGACCCGTGGTTGCAGCAGCAGACATGCATCCCACCCCGTCTTTAGATTTGGGACCCGAGTCGGTGGACAACACGCTGAGTACGTTGGGTGTGAGACTGCGCGCGAGAAGATCACCGAAGCGACAGGCATGGTTTGCCAGGGACGGAAAGTCGGTTTACATGATTTCTGAGGTGGACTCAGCGTTGTCTAACATTGCTCACCAGATCAGACAGCCTCCTAGTACACGGTCTCGTCGTGGACTATCCAGCCAGTATCTAATGCGCCGACCCATCACGCCAACTGTCCAGCTCTTCCTGTCCCTCCGGATCTCATATCTCAGAGCTCATCGACAGCGCGCGCATTGGTTGGTAAGCTTGTCCGAGTGTGCTTGTAACCAGCATCAATTCTGATCTTTCATTACCATCAAGCCTCGCTCAGATTTGTTGGACAACACACGCGTTTCACTCTCAATCGACATGCTTACGCCTCCGCATCCACCAGCATCCACTTCTACACCCACCGGTAATCACGATCGACATCAACATGCGTATTCCATCATTAGTAGCCCTCCCGCTTGTAGCGGCTGCATGGTCTGCTGTCGTGCGTCCTGTTCCTGCGCTTCCGTACGTCGTTCCTCTCCATTGAGCTGAGTCAGACAGCTCGTCTGACGTAGCTTATCTCTCGTAGCGATGCAGATATCCGGACACGCGGTGTCTGTCCGAGTATGAGCTCAGCATCCTCGCTCGGGCGATCCCAATCGAGGAGCACATATCTGAATTCAAGGATCATAAGAACCGCAAATCTGATCGACAATGTTCCAGACGTCTAGTGACCAATATGGATATGTCGCGGTGTCCTGCATTGCCAGCGTCCCTGCCTTTCTAATGCCAGTTTCCGGCGTCGTTCGTGCCCGTCTGCGCCCGCGGCTACCTCGTCTGCCCGATCCATTCCAAACCGCTGTGATTCAGGAAGGCCTCTCACTTCAGCAATTGTCAGGTGCTTCGCTTCGCTGCTTCCGCGCCCGTGTGCATATGCCAATTTCTGTTGCATCATGCGTTCACGCCTCGCTCACCCCTGCGGGGTTGCGCGCATCCTTCGACGTGCTGCCATCCTGTTCCCTGCTAAGAGCAGATTGAAACGTGGATATTCACAGCATTGTATAGATCGTGACCATTGAATAGATAGATACTCGGTATTGACAGCCGTGTCGACTTGGACGTGTACTACGGGTACTAGTTGCTCAGAGAACTTAGATCATGGTGTCGCCCCGAGATCTCGAGCTCGGTGACCTTTGTGTTTGATGGCTCACTCTGTACCTTAATGTCTTCCAGCCTCAATACATCTTCATTGAATTTGCAGCATCGGGATTCTGCAATGTTTGCCAGTGAGGAGGAGAAGTCGTCGTGGCACTGGGCGCCAAATCACCGCGACGCGTACTTACGTGCACTTGTACCAGACCATCGACTCCGAGATTGGCTCCGCATCATGTCTCATCATCGAGCTCTGCAGCTGCATGAAGTCCTCACGCTCATATTTGAGCACATCCACCCAGGTGGGAAGGACGAAGACTCCCTTCGCGTCGTGGACCGATTCGACAATTACTCGGCCCTTGCTCGTTCGGCACAGGTCTGCAAGACGTTCTCTGAACCAGCTCTGCAAGTGCTGTGGACGAGCATACCGACCTTCGCGATACTCGTCCGACTTCTGTCGTGTTGCCACCGCACAGAGCTAGAAATTCTGAACGACAATGGATTTTGGGCCAGGCCGCCACGCTACGCTTATGTATGTGAACGCTGCTGCATTGACAATCTCCCTCAACTTAATCTCCATTTTCGTAGGTCCTACGAGGACGCATACAGCCTGCCGAATGGGCACGTTTTCAATACTACACTCGCTTTGTACGCCGATGCCGCGAAGACCCTGACACAGCTGTCATCGATCCTTCAGTCTACGCCTATCTCTTCCGATACAATGATGCCAAGCCTCTGTTCGCAGGGCTTCAACATGTTCATTTTTCACAGGAGCATGCGAACGACACTTCCCTACTCGCCTTCCTTACTCCTTCGTTACACCACCTCACCTTCCAAATTCTCACTATCGAGGACCAGAAGCACGGCATTGACCCACTCGTCACGGACTATGCCCTCGAGACACTACTCAGCGAGGTCGTTTCTACTGCTACAAGCCTGGAGGAGCTAACCCTCGTCGGGGTGCGCCACTGGCAGTCCGTGGCACCATTGGTCAATTGTCAAGAGCTCCAGCACTTGAGCCTCTACGATACTTCACCAATTGGGAAGTCAATGAGGGATGTTCTATCGATCCTGACACACATCCCTCGGCTACGCAGCCTAGAGATTCAATGCAATAGGGCAATGTGTTCTCAAGACCATCGAGGAGGCCGACTTTGCTTTCCACACCTCACGAAGTTGGTTGCTGGTGGGTTTGAGGATAGTGTAGGCCTGCTCTTTGCCAACACCACTCTTCCCCGACTCCAAACTCTCCGTCTCGCACTGGAGTTTAGGGAGCAAGAAAGCATCATCGGGCGTTTTATTCGGGATTCCAACCTGGCTGACATCGCACCAGAGTTGCGTAGCTTGTGCTTTACAACTCGCTCATGGAGTCCCACAGCCACCCCTGAGGGTGCCATCTCGCTGCTCGACCTCTTCAAGCCTCTGCTCGCTCTCAAGCAGATCCACGAGTTCATGTTCAGTCCGAGGCTGATCCGTCCACATTTTTCGGATGATGATGCCTGTCAGATTACGGAGGCCTGGCCGAAACTCCGGAAATTTTGGTTGGAGATTGCACCGTCATCCGTTCGTCCATCGCTTCACACCCTCCTCCTCTTCGCGCAGAACTGTCCCGACCTCGAAAAACTTTCCATACCTTCGATCCGTCACATTGGCGACCTTCCCGAAACTACTGCACTCCATTCACACCGCCTCGTGACGCTGGACGTGTACATTCATGGAGTCGATAGAGAGCGGCTGAATCACTTTCTGTCCTCGTTGTTCCCGCTTGCTCGGAAGGTGATGCAGGAGCGAGATTTGTCCACCCTCACAATGGCATTACTTAACGGAGAGGTAAGCCAGTCGCTGTGCCATCAACATCTCACTAAACATCATGACCAGGAAATTCCCGAGTAGTCCGGCACATCTCTGCGACAGGAGTCACATTGACGACCTTCCCAGATGGCACTCGTGAACAGGACGCACATCCCTGCGCAAGGTCATGGACTATAGAAACATATTATCTCATCATGCAGTGTGACCCACGTTATTCACTGACACCGTCGACCAGATATCGTACAATCGTTCCACAATACACCAACAGATCACAACAACAACAACAACAAGCTCTCCCAAACGCTGTCCCTGTGCCAACTCAGGCTATCGTGATGTGGACCTTGAACACCGTGTCCTTTTCGGACGTGTACTTCACGTCGATCTGGGTGCCCTTCGAGCTCTTCTTCGAGATTTCGGCGAGCTGCTTCCAGAGCATCCCGCCCCGCGCGCCGCCATAATACTCGGGCTGAATCCTAACCGCCGAGTCGTCCGGAGTGAGGTCCGTGACGCTGTCGCACCAGCGCTTGTAGTTGTGGGCCCCGAGGGGGACGAGGAACTCCTCGCCGTCCTCGCCCCGCAGGCGCAGCGCGCCCGAGGTGCCGCTCCCGTTCATGATCAGCGTGCGGGCGTCGTTGGCGTACGTCCAGTATCCGCCGCATAACACGGCTTCCTCGACGACGAAGAAGTCCTTTGGGTTCGTGTTGATGATGCGCACGCCGTGGACGGTGTAGGTCATCGTGGGTACGGTCAGTACCCAGGTGGACAGCTCGACCTTCGAGGCTAGTGCCCACCTGCTGCGTTGGTCGATTCAGCTACGGTGTGTAGCCATGAAGCGAACAAGGGCTGGTATAACTTGACGAACCGCTGCATGTCTTGTCGTCGATCGATAGGCCCCTGCGGAGAATGCACTCCGTGGATTCGGTGCTGTAGTTGTGCCTTTTCCTGTCGAGTTTGAACGTCGGACTGCCAGAGGGGGTACAGTCAGGCAAATGCCACTCCGTCGAATACGCATTCGCGTCTACGCGCAGGGCCCCTGCAGTCCGCGGCCTCCCTCTGATACGCTCTGTCAATTCAGCAACAACATTCGATTGCGAGCGGATACTCACCGTCTCGCCGTCCCCGTTTCTGCAGTTGCCTTGACCATTAAGAGGTTGGACTCGGAAGCTCAGCTGAAGACCCATAAACGCAGCCCCGGGCCGAGTTCACGCAACCGCAAGACACATTGGATTTGCAGTACAAGTCAAGTCCGCCAGCAGCCTTGAGAATACAGCTCCGGAATGTATGTGAAGGCGATGTTCGACAATCGAGTCACTTCTGTAATACTAACAGGGACAGCTGAGCGAGACCACGATATGGGAGGATGAACGACGACGCACCGATACACACTATGGACCGCTTGTGGCCATTGCCTGGGATCAGCTCACGCGGGGCGGCTCGACGATCTTGCCCTTCTCATAGTATGTACCCGTGAGTGCGTTCCCGTGTCGTCCGCTGGTCCTTTGAGCGCGAGCCACCTCGTCAATTCGTTATGCTCGACGGAGTCGACTCATGCCACCTAAATTCGCAGGTAAACAGTCCTGAGATTCGCAAGGGCGCCACCCGACTCGTCGCCTTGTGGTCAGGCCTGTGGACTACGGCAACCGATTAGTAGGTCTAGCAGTCCGAGCATATTCGGGGTCTGACAACGCTATCAGTCTCTGCTTGACAGTCGCATCGATGTTGATCAACTCGCCGCAGGTGACAATGAGCATGACACGGAGCATAACTCAGAATGTAGGTCCAAGATGATAGGTACACTGGCCACAAGGCATGGACGTACTGAACGACTCGAAGACTCACGCATCGAGCAGTTCCGCACGCGGGAACAACGACCTGATGAAGCTAACAAGATCCTCTGTACGCGCCTCGACCTCCCAACGATCCGTGTAAAGCGTCCGGAGCCCGTGCGGACGGCCAGTTGGGTCACCAGTAGCGATCTGGGGAACCTCGCCATCATGGCGGAGGGGTCGCAATTTGAGCGACTTGAGAGCAGGGCAGTTCTGCGCGACGTGCACGAGGGCGTGCAGCGAGAATTGAGGCCGTGCCCCGGGCGCGGAGTACAGCCACAGCGTTCTGAGATCTGGCGGATGTCATCGTCCGATGCGTCGAAGGTTCCCAAGTCGAGGAAGACCCCACTCAGCTCGGCGAGGGCAAGAATCGGTCGTACGACGGCTAGTAGTGATCGGCGCGGGAAGAGAGCAGGATTACTCCTGTGCTTTGCGTACATAGTGCTGCGCACCGCGAGGTGACGCAGTTTCGGTAGTGTAGTGGCACTGAGAGAACCGCTCAGAGTGCTGAACGCTGTGGCTGCATCGCCCACGTCGTCGAGGTACAAATGAGCCAGGCTCAGGACAGGGAGATTGGCAATTGTTAAGAAAGATGCCAAATCTTCCGCGTATCCGATCATCAACAATTTCTCGAGACTACGAAATGTGGGCGGCTGGACAAATGCCTCGAGGGGGCTGCGTGTGCAGATGCGCAGGGCTGTCAGGGAAGGAAGACTAGAGTCTGAGAGTTGGAGGATCGCTTGTGAGCTCAGCCCCCTACATCCGGAGAGGTCCAATGATTGAAGTGGGCTGTTCTTGAATGAGAACGATGGTGTTACTCCCAGGACCTTATCCCAAGCTCCCAAGAGAGAAAGGTGTTCCAGACGGGGCGCCGCAGAGAGGACGTCGACCAACAGATTTTGCCGTACACGCTGACCTGACCGGATTCCCCATCTTCTCCTCGCATTGAGCCACTCCGCACAAAGACGGTGAGCCGGCGTAGGAATGGTGTGAGGAGAAAGTGCAGGGACGCGACAGTCGATGCATTTTGTGACCACTCTAGTTCTTCGAGACAAGGGAGAATCGGTTGTCTGTTGTTGTATTGGAACAGCGTGTGGTAAATTGCGGGATCGATCGGGGTTACTGGCCAACTGTCGCGTTCGGCCCTAGGCATGCGACAGCGGTGGACGAAGCGAGCGTAATACTGAAATCGCACCCACTCATTTGGTTCTATGAGGTACTGCAGGATGCGATGTGCGGCGTGTGAGCGACATTCATGGCCAATCCGTTGCAGAGCGATGATCACAGTACTCACATTGACATAGACGAAACGATCAGCCTTGTCTCACGACACCTGTTGAGCGCGAGACAGAAGTCTGAGCAGCACCACGAATGACGGTATGTCCCTCCATAAAACACCCAACGCCGGCCCTTGAAAGTCTTTGCAGACACGCGCAGCGCGGGCGAGGGCTTCAGCAACGAGTGCGTTCGCAGTTGGTTCCATATCTAGGCCTGAGTAAAAATAATCATATGTCGGGTTTGCCTGGGGCTGCAACCAGTGCTGGAAGACATGCAGCAAAATGTCGGGAATGGACAAAGCTCGTTTGACAGACATTGCAAAGCCGTTCAGTTTACAGACGTCGGTGCTGGAGCGCTGGAGGAGAAACTTGAAGCTTGAAGCTTGAGCTTGAACGTTTGAACCTCAAATTGACTTCAAGAAGACTCGGAGGATGCGTACGATCAACGTACTTATGTACGATACAAGCTATCATAGCTCGGCGCACGTGCCCGCCTGAGGCCAGTCGCCGCGACTTTGTTCCTCCCAAGTTCCTCCTCCGCTGCAATTTCCAGCCAAGGTTTCTCCGCTCCTCCTCTTCCTCCTCTCGAACTGAGTATTCGCAGGGCGACGTGGAATATTTGGTCTCATCCCTCGAGCTGAGTGCATCTGGGCATCAGTACTGGCTACACCTGTACTTCAAGTTCGAGCAATGCAATTGAAACGTGACATCCGACACGTCCCTCAGAGTGAATAACCTATCGTTCCGCCTCTTGTCGCTATTCTGACACTCGGACTAAACCACTCCTTCGCTCTTGACCTGTCGCTCGCTGAATGACTCGAGGTATCATTCGTCAGTCCGTCTAAGTATTGCATCGCCTGGACTCACACTTCGTCGCGTGGAACCGTTAGCCTGCCGTTAGCTTCCGATTTCAAAAGGCTTGCCCAACCTCTCATCTACTACGACGGCGGTATCTAGACATGATAACCCTGCGCCCGATTTCTCAGTCGGAGTCGTGGGCCAGCCGCACATGAAGCGGGTACGTCGGAGCTGGGAGGTTATGGCCACTATGGTGGGATGACTCGTGAAGTTACTTAGCTTGAGAAGAGAGTCCTGCGATCAGTGAGTCAGTTGTGCTATCTCCATGTCTGACTTACATGAGAACTCCAGATCTGCGGTAGTTGCAAAGCACGTCAGGTCGAGATGTGTGAACGCCACTACGACCTAGCGCAGGCAGCGACAGCCGTGTATCGGCCTCTCCATTTGACTGCGGTCTTAGCCTCGATGCGGCCTGTTCTGCGTATGCCGTAGCCGCGTACCGACGCCCAGCCTCATGACGGATTGCTTCAACGCTCAGTGATCTCGCGACCTGCTGTTGCAAGCTCCTTGACGCGGTGCACGAGACTCATAGACGTCTCTGGGACGGTGTAGTTGCGTCACGGCGGCTCCGAGTACTGAATGCGAGGTCACGATGCCATGGTATGACCGGACACGCAAGTTAGTCCATCGCTGCCGTCTATTCTCCTCTGCTCATCCTACGTCGCATCTGTAGGAAGGCCGCTGTTTGTTCATCAAGGTCCGTCGGGGCTTTCGATAGCACGTCTTTGCTGCCTCTGAGTCGGTTCTTGGTCCTACAACGTTTTGAGGCTCAGTCTCACTCGTCTTCTAGATGGGAATGTCAGAATTGATCGCTACAACCTTCGTCTCACGTCTGAGATGTTCTAGGTCGAAGATACCGCTGTGCTGTGCAATGTCGCCTTCCGAATGGATCATGGCTGCGTATGAGACCCGTTACTTCAGGGCGCAAGCGACATCCTCCCCATATACCGATCCATTCTATTCACTTCATCATCCATCGACAGCAGACGCCCTGGCTGGTGAGTGCATTCGTTCGACGGACAGATGGCCGTGTTCATGATAGGCCACTTTCAGCATTGTTATATTCCTTTATACCTTTCGCGATCCATTTGTCTACCACGCCTACGTCCCCGCCGGCATACGCGCACCTTCTACGCGTCTCCACACCGGTCTGCGGCTCTTCGTCGCGCTAGTCACTGCTTGCGCCGCCAACGCGTACCCTATCTCCGCTCCCGTGCACGTCGTTATTAAGCCTGACTGCTTAACCCTAGGGTTTGCCTCCATTCAAGCCGCGATGCCGCACCCATCTTTGTGCGCGCGACTCACCCACGACCCACTATGGCTGCGCGTCGCTGACCCGGACGTCCGTACGGAGACGCGGTTGAGGGCGGAGCAGACGGAGAATACAAACGGCGGGACGAATGTGCCAACGGAAGGGAAGCCTGAGGGGAGGCCATGGGTAGTTGATGGGCAGCTGGGTCTCCCTGCGAGCGACGATGCGGCATGCAGTATGGAGACTCCGAAGAGAAGTGGGGCTAGACGACAGATCCGGCGCGGCGTGCGACTGAAACTGCTACGTACGTATGCACCGTGCGTTTGCGCTTCCGGTTTACCTGGACATCGATTAATTATGCACCGCTCAGGTTTCAGGGTGTCGCTGACGGTGACTGCGGGCAAGAGCCAAGGTGGATCATCCGCTCGATACATGTTCCTCTTTGGACTAAGCATTGTACCGCTTCAGGTTCTCGCGGTATTCGTCGCAGGCACATTCACCCGCGGTTGCCCGCGTTGATTCGAGTACGCTGCGCACGACGGCGAGGATGCGTATATGAGAAGGCCCGGAGACGAGGCTCTCCGACCCGGTGGATAATATGTGTGAGCTAGACATGCTGTAACGTCCCTGAAAGGTAGCATCGAGTCTGATACGGTCTGTCCCTGGTTTCCGCCGCCGTATCGATATGCTATGCAGATGAGCGACGACCAGAGAGCGGACGTGTGAGTTCTCTCCACGAAACACTCCACTCAGACGTGACATATCTTCGTATTTTGTATCATTCGCAGTTTGTACGCTAGCCGTGCTTCCCGAATCCCCATGGAGTTCACCGAACAAGGACCGAAGCTGACGTTAACATGGTGTACTTTATCATGCAAATTGCACTGCCGGTTCCTGGGCCATTCATCGAACACTGTGACACGTATCATTCGAGGGTGCTTTACTGCACAGCAATTTCGTTCTGCAGTCGGCGGTACTGTATTACAACTGTCTTGGTTCTGGGCGCTAGACTGATCACGTAAGTGCATGTGTACGGCATGAAAGTAGATGCTTTCTGTTCGTGCCTTTTTGCTCTCGCCGCAAGTCCACCGCTGGGCCAGTTTCTGAAATGTACGCGTCTCCTTTGTGGTATTGGCAGTACACCTATTAACGGTTTATTAGGACAGTGAACGGGTAACGTCCTTGAAGCGACACAGGAGTCAGCAGGAGTGCCGGTGACAAATTCTGACAGCTCGTCGAAGACGGGGCACTGCTTCTGAGCGCTTCGGGCTGGCTTCGGGCGATCGGAGGACTGTCAAGATGTGGATGCAATCCGCGCACACGACGTCCGCTACGTCGGAACTCGGGCTTCGCCAAAGGCTTCAATTGAGTCTGCAGCCGGTGAGCACTGCACCGTACGATGCTCTACTGCTTGTTAACATGCCTTGTATTGGCGCAGCGGCCTTGAGACGCCTCATTGAATGATAATTTCCAAGGTGCAATTGTGCGTAGAGAAGCGTAGCCAGCGCGATTCTGCAAATAATGAAAGCTCTGCAAGAGGGCCTCGAGTCGCTCAAACGCACTGCATGATGTATTAACGGCATCCCGGTTTTTGCTGCGCCGTGCGTCAATCAGCACGTCAGAATCGAGGGGACTCTGATGAGTGGAACGTCAACGGACGTCAATCAGCTCATGCTCCTCCTCGCGCGTTCTTCCGGCTCTCCTGCCGTCTCCATGCGCGCTGCGCCGAATGGTCACCGTGGCCAGGCAGGAGACGCTGGGTTCGCGTGCGTATAAAAGGAGCCTCGTCGCCGCTCTCATTCCCCAGCTCACTTCACCTTCTCGGGCTCACCTCCACAAGCAAGTACTGGCTAGTGAGTATTCCGCGTATACGGCCTTCACTGCGAATCGTTGACTGACCATTGTCTCTCCAGCTTCGCTTGTTTTATTTTCACGACTCTCGCTCTCATTCCTTACGATCCACACCGTACATCACTGCAGATAAATCATCCACCATGCGTTTCGGAGCCGCCATTTCCTTGCTTTGCGCTGTCGCCGCTGTGGCCCCCGCTGCGTTTGCTATGCCAGTTGCCTCTGACGCGTATGTCCTTTCCACCTGTATTTAGTGGTCATGGCGCTGACTTCCACACCCAGGACTGACGGTCTCGAGGCTCGTGCCTACGACGCCGAGGTCGCCGACCTGATCGCCAGGTCCGACTTCGACGAGGCGACTTCTCTCGTCGCACGCGCCGTCGCGGACGTGCTCAGCGCGCGTAGCGACCCGCCACGGTACCACAAGAACGACCCCAGCAACGGCAAGAAGCCGAAGTACTCGGAGAAGGACCCCAACCCTCCTCCGAAGTACCGCCAGAAGGACCCTCACAAGCCCAACCGCGAGCCCAAGCCAACCGGGCCCGTCGAGTGGGTCGCGCCGTACGCGTGACCTCGGCGAGGTAGAGGACTTCGCGCTCGCTGCGCGGAGCGACCCACCCCGCTACCACAAGAACGACCCCAACAACGGCAAGAAGCCCAAGTATTCGGAGAAGGACCCCAACCCTCCTCCGAAGTACCGCCAGAAGGACCCGCACAAGCCAAACCGCGAGCCAAGCCGAAGCCGGGCCCGTCGCGCCGCACTCGTGAGCTCGCGGAGGTTGACGATCTCTGGGCGCGCGAGGCGGACGAGGACCTCTGGGCGCGCGAGGAGTTGGAGGAGATGTGGGCGCGCGATGTGGAGGAGGTGATGGCGCGTTCCGACCCGCCCCACTACCACAAGAACGACCCCATCAACGGCAAGAAGCCCAAGTACTCGGAGAAGGATCCCAACCCGCCTCCGAAGTACCGCCAGAAGGACCCGCACAAGCCTAACCGCGAGCCCAAGCCCAAGCCGGGCCCGTCCGGGTCGCGCCGCACGCGTGAGCTCGCTGACTTCTGGTGGTAAACGGACAGATAGGAGTGTAGGGAGGAACCTTACGGTACTAGTTGTACATTTGACGTGGATTCAATGAGATTCGACGAGTTGCGGAAACTTTCGATTGTGTGATTGGATGATGAGTTGGAAATCTTCTAGCGGCTGCGCCTTCGGTGTTTTCATTTGTGATATGTTGGGTGAGTGGTCCTTCTCTCTGACTTTCGGGCTGAGCGCGACGCTGATCGATCTTTTGGTTAGACACGCAGACGTGTCGCGTCTTGGTTTGGTTACGCAAAGTGGTGCTTCACTGTGATCATTCGCATTCTTCGCCCGCGTGAGTACTTAGATTTAACGGTCAGACGAGCACTGGCAGTCATCGTCATTGAGGATTCAAGTCAGCATCAGGAGTTCGACAGCTCGGCGCACACATTGCGTCGTACAGCCAATTATGTGCTGCGAACAATCTATGCGAGAGATCAGGAGACGACACTGGCAGAGGCTTTGCATCCTTCTTCTTTCGCGTCGGCACCGCCGCCGCTTTCACAACTTGGATGAGACACCACGCATCAGATTTCAACGCACACTGACATTGACAGCAGCGGCGGTCTCTTGAAGAAACTGCCCGCTATAGCCCGTTAGCGACAACTCGCCCAAGTATGATATGGACCGTGAACACGGCATTCTTCTCGGGCGTGTACTTCGCATCGATCTTGGTACCCTTCGAGCTCTTCAAGATCGTGTCTTCCGCGTGATATCGCATAGTCTGCTTGACGATAACGAAGTCCTTCGAGCTCGTGTTGATGTTATACCACTCATCATTGGTTACGAGGTACTTCAAAAGTTGCACGCGATACACGTGTCAGCAGTCAAATCAGATTCATCCATTCACCGACAACTAGCACAACGTCTACGGCCCCGAACTCTCCCTCAATCCATATCCCATTCAGCGACCTCCCACATCGCCCTCTTACCATGGTGCTTCCGTTCATTCACAGTGGGGAGGCTCGACCCGCCCTGCGTCGATGGCTTCGTGCCGCCCGGATATTGCGGTGGCGGATGAGGGCTGCCCGGGCGGTCGTACGGGGGAGGGTCCGTCCGTCTGTGGTGCTTCCGCTCCTTCACGCTTGGGAGGTTCGAACCGCCCTGCGTCGAAGGCTTCGTGCCGCTCGGGTACTGTGGCGGCGGGAGCGGGCTGCCCGGACGGTCGTACGGCGGAGGGTCCGTGCGCCTGTGGTGCTTCCGCTCGTTGACAGTGGGGAGGTTCGAGCCGCCCTGCGTTGAGGGCTTCGTACCGCCCGGGTATTGCGGCGGCGGATGAGGGCTCCCCGGACGGTCGTACGGCGGCGGATCCGTCCGTCTGACGTAGTCCACGTAGTCGGAGAGTAAGCGAGCGTAGATGTCCGTGTCTACGACGTCGGCTCTACGCCATGAAGTCCTACGAGGTGGATGAATGTTAGCGGGCGTATCTCGCACCAAACGGCACAAGACTCACGGGTAGTCTGCGAGTGCACCAGGTGCAGCTGCACAGGCGGCGAGCACGAAGACCAGGAGAGCGTTCGCGTTGATGAGCATAGTATGAGGCTTGAGGGCGTACTGTGAGGAAACGTGTGCTGAGCCCGAGGTTCTGCGAGCCTTGAGAAAACCTGGCGTGGAGATCGTGAAGGTGAAATTATATCAATCAAGAACAGCTACAAGAACGGACAATAATCAGCTGTGAACCAAGGATGATGACTGCGCTACACGCAGTGGTGGCGCAGTCCGAAGCGATGCTCACCAGCCAGTACTGTTCTTTCGGGTGAGCTCAGAATGAGAGGAGAGGAGCTGGAGGACCTTCGCAAAGACGGTGTCGCTTTTATACGCAATTGACTGCGCGCCTGTGGGTTTACCTGTCACTGCTGATCACATCAACAGGGTCGTCCGAAGCGCACTCTCGGCGGCCCCGGGGGCGGTCCTTGATGATGAGTCGCATGACGTAGCAGTAAAGGTGCGCTCGCAACGCACTTGTCCACTGGTATTCCGGTCCTGCAGGAAGGCTAGTATTAGCTAGACACCTCTAAGTGATTACTTGGCCGGTGAACGTTTGATGGAACCCAATACAGGCAGGCCGCAATCTTGGCAGGCGAGCGCAGCCAGAGGCCAGTGTACTATGTACTAACCTACGAACTCGATCACTGTTTGACCAAAAGCTGCGTCTGATCAACGGAGTCTGATCCAAATCTGATCTCAGTGCGGTTCAAAGTTTCTGATCGGTGCTTGCTCACCTGCTTCAAGTTGCTTCCGCGGTCCAGATTTGACGACCAGTTTGCCATTGTGGGTGTAGTAAAGGACTCGGTGGTAATTTTCGCTCGCAAGCGGGCGTCCGCGCGGCCTTCAATTCGAATCGCTCCTCCACTAATAGCTCGAGTCGGTCTTCGATGATCACGCCGTGGTCGCAGAGTGTCTCTATGTAAGCGTCACCTGGCAGACAAAGAAAGTTGTTCGCGGATCTTGCCAATCAGCGATCATGATGCCATGATATTGGCTTGATGCTTAAACTTAAAGACCCGGGAACCCTAGAGGAGGCCGTGCACTCTGATTCATGCAATGCCTGGCAAAGGTCGGCACTGATACACCATATACTAGGTCGGAGTTCATCTCGTTCGCTAATTGAACTCCACTGTGATCAGGTTTCAGGTGAGTACGGTCTCAGGCAGACTCTCGCGTATAATATATTCAGCTGCGTCCAGCGGTATGTAACCACCGCAAAAGTCATGCGCGAACAGTGTCTGACATTGTTGCCGCTAGCGAAGCGATGTTCGGACTTTATGCATACCATGATACGGTCCTCCTCCGCGATTGCGACACTACGCCGCCGCCGCGGTCGCTGACCCTGATGCAGCCCAGATTTGGAGCAATTTTATTGCAAGACGCGTACCCTTTCAAGTGATCAGCAAGTTACAACTTTAGCCTAGGCCCCTCAACTGCCTTTGTCTTGCGGGTGCCATGATGTATGTATGCGCCGTTGGACTTCCAGTATCTACCTAACAGCGGTCCTCAGGCTGCAGGATCGACTCGATGTCAGTGGACAAAGCGCGATGCGAGACCTCTCATTCTCAGCCCACCAGAACGAACGGTACTGGCGAGTCGTGAGCGTCGCTTCGCACTATCATGCAGCTCCCGCCTGACCACCAGTCATTTACAGTCCTTAGCTGATGATTATCTGTAGCCGTTCTTGATTAAGATGTGTTCACGTTCACGATCTCCGTTTCAGGCTTTCTCGATGAATTCACAGGGCGCCGGGGCATACAGCATGAAGAGTAGATTTGGGCTCATGATTTTTCGCGCGAAGACGTGCGTCCTATTCACACCAGGCCCTGCCTGAGATGGCATGAATGCGATGCCGCAATTTTGACGACGTACCCGTAAGCACGTTTATTAACCACTAAGTGCGGGGTTTATTACTGATCTCGACGGCGACAATCTCTGAGTTACGCCTCCGCCATTCGCTCTTCGCGACTCCACCGGAATACCAGGCTCACGCCTTCGTCGTCAGCGCACGCCATATGCTATGTATGTATGATTGATTCCATTCCAATCCAATCCAAGCTTGTTACATCCATACGGGGTATACCATGTAGATATTGACCACTACTTATTAACCAAATTTTACCCGCGCAACGACGTGTCTCGAATGCACTCAAGAGCGTCACGGCCATGCAGACTAGAGGAAATTACAGATCACCGTGTACCTCCCGACCAATAATCCCACCGCACGGCCTCCACATTCTGGTCGAACCACTGCTTGTCCTCTAGAGCCAGCTCGCCACAATCATATACATAGAGGTCCGCCACCGGCCTCAACACATACCCGACATCATCCTCCATCGCGAAGCCGGTCGCCGCATGTGCCCTGAGGCGCGCTTCGAGGACCGCCCGCAGGTCTGCACTTCGGAACTGCCTGCACCCGACGATATGGAGGCCCCTGAGGTCAGGGCACACCCATACGTCCTCGCCGTGCTCTGTAGTCGTCGGCTGGGCAAGCGCTTGGAGCACAGCCGGCTGCAGGCCATCGGAGTCATGAATCCACACCTCGGAGCAGGGAGTGAGGAAGTACAGCATTGTCGCCGGGTCCGCGATCCCAGTGATGGTGAGATAATACGACTCGCTCACAGTCCCCAGGCTGGGAGAAGAGCTGGATGCGCCGCGGATGGGCATCGAGCAGCGCGTGTACGACAGCGACTCGAGGTAGGGATAGTCGAGGAGGCGGTTGAACTCCGCGACGGCGTCTCCGGACATGCCGGTGAAGCTCACGTCGGCACCCCAGTAGTATGCGCGCGGGAGGGGTGGTCCAGTGTAAGAGACGTCGAGCTGGAGGTCCATGAAGTGAACTAGACCCACGCTCGGGCAGGCTACAAGAGCCTGCAGAGGTCGATGAGGGGGACAGGTACGTGGTGTGAGTCGGTGAGAGTGAGGAAGCGAAGCTTGGGTGGTATCAGCGACCGGCGGAGAGGCTCCACGTATGCTTCGTGGAAGTGGACGCCGCCCATGGAGAGTTCCTCGAGCGCGGGCGTGTCGAATGTACCTGTAGACAACGGGTCCGGTGTGGCGCGCACAACCGCATCGCCGATAATGAAGTCGAGGTTCAGTTGAACTAGCTCCTCCGCGTATCCGACTAAGTCGGCACATGGGAGCGGAAGGGAGCTAGAGTGAAGGAGCCTAATGCTCAAGACCTTCCATCGCTTAACGTGCGGCAGCAGCAGGTCAAGAATAACCCTGATCTGAGCCTTCTCCGTGGGATCTTGCATCGACGGATCGAACCTCCGCATGATGTAGATGTGGAGTGGCTGGTCGCGCGACCAGGCAAGGTATTGGCGGATCCTGGTGAGCGGTGTCGGGTCCGTTCCGGTCCAGATGATGAGTTGTGCCCAGAATATGGAGATGTTTGACATAGCTTCACGCCAGAGAGGACAGACAGAAGCAAGGTACTCTGCAGAGCTCATCCAATGGTCGGTGATGCGACGATCGCATGGCGGTGGGGGTACAAGCTGGATATTATCCCGTGTGACATCCCCCCTCCGTTTGAACCGGCGCAGTACGTCACCAAATACATCGCGAAGGATGACGAGGAGAAGATCGGGTGGGAGGTCGTTGACCGTGACTGTGGTACGAGACTTGCGGGCAGCACAGAGAGTACTATGCGCATGCTCTCCTTCCATGGATCGGACGTCACTGTGATTCTGCAGTGTCAATGTCACTGTTATTGTAGAGGTCATACTCAGACTTACTCACCACTGCGACGGGATCAGTGACACAGTTGCAGCCTGCCCGCGTGGTCGAAGGTAACCCGAAGTTGAAGTCAAGTGTGTGACAACCTGGCAACGCAATGCAGCCTTCTGTAGGCAGATCCCGAACACGGCGCTGTTGGATACTGGGGAGGGCGGTCGTGTACTGTATGAAGCGAACTGACGAGTCGGCAGCGACTTGGCGGCGACCAGCGGTGAGCGCCGCGGGAAGAGGCGGGAAGGTAGCCACAGACGCGTCGTGCACGTGACTGCAACACTGGCACCCCTCGGATTTTGTTTCGTCGAGGCTCACGCTTGCCATCGTCGTCTCCAGACAGACCAGCCCAATGTCGCATCACAGAGCTCTGCTGCTGCCCGACATTCTAACGCTAATCTTTGAGCATACGCGTCCTGCTCAGCTGGACTCGCTGCTGGAGTACCACCAGGACGCACGCAATTACCGCACTGCCCTCGCTCGTTCGGCGCAAGTCTGCAAGACGTTCTCTGAACCAGCCCTGCGAACCCTCTGGTCGAGCATACCGACATTTGCACCGGTCATCAGGCTGCTTTCTGCTGTCATCGTACAAAGGTGGAACAGACGATGGCCTGTACAGGTCGTTGCTATGCTATGTGAGCATTGTCGACACGGTCTCTGGTGTGCCCACATCATGTTTTCACCCTTCTAGGTTCTACGGGGCGCATACAGCCTGACGAGTGGTCTCGCTTTCAATACTACGCGCGATTTGTGCGTCGGTGTGGCCTCGATACCGACGAGCTGTCATTGATCCTTCAGTGTACGCCTATCTTTTCCGGTGCAACGGCGGACACCCTCTCTTCCCAGGGCTCCAGCACCTTGTGTGGTCACAGGAGCTTCCAAACGAGACCTCCCTGCTCTTCTTCCTCGCTCCCTCGTTACGGCGTCTCACATTCAAGATTTCATCCGACCAGGGTGAGGATTCCGCCCCAACTGTGATGGATTACGCCCTCGAGACGCTCCTCAGTAATGTTACCGAGGTTGCTACACACTTGGAGGAATTGACCCTCGTAGGGGTGCGCCATTGGCAATCCATGACGCCGTTAGTCGAGTGCAAGGAACTCAAGCACTTGGATCTATACAACGCGTGGCCAACTGGGGAATCGATCTCGGACGTGCTCTCAATCTTAACAGGTCTCCCACAGTTGTCTAGCCTGGATATCTGGTGCTCCAGCTCTGTCGCTTCTCGAAGAGGGGTTGGCGATCCAACACACCTCCCGCACCTCGTCATTTTGGGTGCCGGTGGGGATGATAACAGTATCGCTTCACTCCTGGCGAATGTTGTTCTCCTCAACTCGAAAATCTTAGCCTCGAGTTAACTTACGAGACCTCAGAATACGGCATCGATCGCTCCATCAGAGAGTTCAGTCTGGCCGCCGTCGCACCACGACTGCGCACGCTCTTCATCGAGACTCGGACGGAATTCGTACCGATGATGCGCACGGCCTCCCACACTCCTTACTCGACATCATCAAGCCACTGCTCGACCTCACGCAGCTCGTCGACTTCGGGTTCCGTCTGTCCCAGCTACCGATAATGTTCGGACAACGATATACGTCAGATCACTGAGCCCTGGCCAAAGCTCGAAGCGCTCTCCCTGGATGTGCCTCTATCGACGGTCTGCCCATCGTTGCACACGCTAAACATCATCGCGCAAACTGCCCGGCCCTCGAAGGCTCTCCTTGCCTCCGTCTTCCATAACACCGACATCCTGATACGACTGGCCTCCAGCACGGTCTCATGGAGTTATACGTGCACATTCATGGATCGACGTGGATCAGTCGAGTCACTACGTGTCCTCGTTGTTCCCGTTCGTAGAGATATAGGCAGGATTGGACGTTACCCGCACATGCAACACTCAATGAGCAGGTAAGCCAGTCACTTTGTTTCCTGCACCTCACTGATGGTAGGAGTAGCTGCCGCCTCAATAACATATGGCGGTTGGCGCAATCGTGTGACGTGCGCAGGACACGGGCTCGTGTTTCCCTGCCATGTATGTATCATCGTGGGCCTCGAAGTATCGAATACACCAGAAGCTCGCTTGTCTCACGTAGTATCTGGCAGCGTGATGCTTACCTCCTTGCACGCCGCCAGTGCCCTCTTCCACAGCGGACTATTACCCTCCAACGTCGTGCGGCTCCCGACCACGATCAGCCCCAGCTTCGGCCTGGTCCACGCGACGTTCAACCTCCGCGCGTCCTCCACGAATCCGATATCGCCCTCCATGTTCGCGCGCACAGTCGACAGGACGCACACGTCGGCCTCGCGTCCCTGGAAGCCGTCGATGGTGCTCACGACCGCACCGGCGCTCTGGGGCAGCTCTTGCTTCAGCAGCGTTGCCTGGCGCGAGTACGGCGTCAGCACGGCGACCGAAACAGCCTGGACGAGCGCGGCTGTCTCTTCGCTGCCGTTGCGCGGCGTACGAAGGAGGGAGAGGACGTGCTTTACGAGCAGCGCCTGGCCCGTGTTGCCCTTCGACGCGCGCCCGAAGTCCTCCTCGGCTGCGCAGGGGACGAAGACGACGGGGAAGAACCTTCCGTCTTGCTGAGGCCATGGGAAGGTCGACGCGCCAAGCCTGCTTGCGATCTCGTCGTGCGCGGCGTGCCGGTCTGGAGGCGGCCCTCGTAGAACTCGTTTGATGGGAAACGTGCCATGTCTTCCGAGAAACGATACTGCACCTGTGATTCCGGATAGTTCGGTCATTCCCGGCAATGTCATTACGAGGGAAGATCTTACATCTAGCATGGTTCGAGTCATGCGGGAGAACAGCGGACCAGTGTAGAGCCTCTCAAACAGGGACTTGTCAAATTCCAGAGCCTTGCCCATCGGGCGTACCGTCGGTCGCAATTGCACACTGATACACCCTCTCAGTAACATGCCAACTGGCGTCGTGCTCTCAGTGCACTCACTGGTCTCCCACGAGCACCGCCCTCTTGCACCCCTTGACGAGCGGGATCAAAGCGACCGGCTCTGAGATCTGACTTGCTTCGTCGATGAGCACGGTGTCGAAGTCCATGTTTCGCAACACTCCTAGACCCGCGCCACTGCACGTCGTGAAGACAATACGTGCCTCCCGCACGCGCTTCTCGGCTTTCTTCACAAGATTGTGGTCGTCGGTGATGCTTCCGCCTATGCGAGCGTCCAGTGTGTACTTCTGCAGCGACTTGTTGACCTTGGAGCTTTCAGTTGCGACGCGAAGGATTTGGTCTTGGGAGAGAAGATGAGAGGTCGCATTCTCAGCGAGGAAACGTTCCAGTACGTTGTCGACAGCTAAGTAGCAGTCGCATGAACACCCTTTCCTTCCCTTGAAACTGACTGCATACCGTTGTGTGTAGAAGCCGTCATAAGAATCCTGGCTTCTGGATCCTCGCGCACGAATCTTGCCAAGATCTGGACAACCACCGTAGTCTTCCCGGTCCCTGGATCACAGCACAGTTGAGATGTATCGACCAATTGTCATGTACCGTGAAAGACTAACCGGGAGGGCCCCAGATCAATGCAAGTTTGCCGGGGCTTGCAGCATGGAGAGCCGCAAGTTGGCTGTCATTCAAGGAAGCCGAGACCTGCTGTGTGACATTATCCTGACTACCCCGGTCCTCGCTGTCAGTCTCCACTATCCTTGCTGAACCGGTGATGATATCGGCGAACGTGCACGCCTCGAATCCATCGAGTGCAAGCTTAGAGACCGCGTCCATCATAGCTTTCGACGTAGCGATGCTCCCAGCGTTATAGACATACCAGTCCACTCGCGCATACTCGGGCGACAGTGGATGTTTGAGCTCCAGGTAGAGCTCTCCTCTGGTCGCACGCGTGACGATAGCATCCAGCATCACTCCGCCGACCTCTACTCTTGGCCCTTCCACTGGCGACCCTATCCTGAGGCGGACATGCGAATGTATGCGTATCGGCGTTTGCGCGTCGACTCGAATATGAGCCACGACATGCTTCATGTCGACCGCGTCATCAACGACTACGCGCTCCTCGTCTTGACCTTGAGAAGGCTTTGGTGGCACGAGTGTCGCGCGAATGGGAGCCGTGCGCTGCCTCTTCGGCCTGCCAGCGTCATCGCAAGGGCATGCGTCCGCGGCTTCCTCTGCCCTATCGAAAGCGACCCCAAGGGCAAATTTATGAGTATACTCCATGGCCGCGCTTGTTGATCGTACGGAGGTCCGACTCTCGTGCATGCCCAATAGGAGCTCTTGCATAACTGTAGGAGCACGCACGCTCAGGGCAATCCACCAGAGTGTGTCCAGGTACGTGGCGAGGTCGAGGAGTTCAACATCGGGTGCGAGTCGTTCCAGTGCCGCCAACGAAGCAATACCGAGTGGATTCGCAGAGCGCACGACACTGCGCACCAGCGAAGGTCCGAACTGTACGACGTCTTCCGGAAGCCTTGCAGGGCCTTCTGGGAGATGGCGCTTCAGAACGCAATAAGCCAAGGACGGGTACTTCTCCATGCTCTCGGCGATCTCTTCCGAAGGGAGCTCCTCTTTGTCAAGCAAAGCCTCGAAGATGTAGAATATCTGGGCTTCTGCTCGATGCCGAATGGCGATACGCAGGTACTCGCATAAGCGCTCCGTCTCCAGACCGGCCAATAGCCTTGAAGCCTGCTCTTTTGTGGCTGCAAATAGTTCAGCACCTAGCTGGTCTTCTTCCCACTGAATGTCGAGGGCAGAATTCGGGGTGAATGGGTGGGGAGTACTGTCAAATCTCTTCAGGAATTCCTCCGTGGGCACTCTGAAAGCGGATCAGCGCGGTCATCGACTCGAGAACAGACCTACTGTTCAAACCGGAGGTCAAATGCTTGATGAGCCACCCGATCGCGGTTGGAAACGACGTGAATCTCGATGGTGATTACTGGCGTTCGGTATACGCGGCCGCATTGCTAATGTTTATCGAGTTCACAGTTCGTATGGGAGCTGGCAAACGTGTTTCAACATACCTTCTGGACACGACCCGAGATCTTCTGCAATGCTACGCTTGTGACTATGTCCGAACCTGACTTCTCCGGAGGCCGGGTGATGAATATGAAGGTATTGGCTCTATTTTGATCGTATAGTTGGAACATGCTTTCACTGCAGTGCAGCTTGTATCCTTTAGTTCCGCGCCAGTACGTCGAGGTAGACTCCGAGGTGACAGGCATGAATGGGCAGACGAGCACGTTGTCGTTAATCTCCGGCTGTGCGGAGATGGTGTCACGGATCGGCTATAACACGCCTGTAACAAGGACGCCTACCTCTTCATCCCATGGAATGTCGCCGCGCAGGAAGATGCCCATTGAGAACCTGTCGTCGGTCTAATCAACGCAGCTTCAGCATGACGCTCGACCTGTGGAGGCCTCCTTCACCTTCAATATTATCAAACGGCGCTTGTACTGTTGGGTGGCTTCCCGGAGATATTCAAAGAACGCTGCCCGGCCTTGCTCCGTTGACACGTAGAGCCTCTGCAGGTGTAAAGGGCCACCAAGATTCCGATTGGCAATGTCGCGCGGTTTCAATATCTCTGAGCGAATCAGACTAGAGGCGAAGATCGGCATCAGCTACTAGTCGACTTCCGTGACAGGACAGACCTATTCCAGATATACGGATCACGATCTGGAGTGAGGTTGAGCTGTACACTGATAGCGTGCTTCTCTGCCGAGGTGAGTGCTCCGAAGTCAATGTGAGACAGGTGGGGACGCATCTCCATGCCGTGCCTCCGTGCAAACGCGGCGGCCATCGTGATCACCTCGTATTCAGACATGGCCACCTTCTCTGTCGACAAGAACTTCACGAGTATCTCCGTCGCGTCATCAGGCGAGAGTGCCGAAGTCTCCAACGCGTCAGGATTCGACTGCGTAAAATCGTCGAAAAACTGTTTGGCCGCTGCCTGGAGAAGGTCGATGACATAGGGTTCCTTTTGCTCAGGCGGTGTCTTGAGACGGTCAGGAATTTTCACCGGAGCGCCGTCCACCGCGAAAGAATGTAGCGCGTTCAAATCCTGACACTCATCGCTCATAGCGCCCTTTGGGCTGCAACGAACCCATTTGGCGTGAAGCGCGGTAATCCTGGCTAGTGTCATGCTGATGCGATGCGGCATAAATGCTAAGTCTAGAGCGACAAGAAAGCACGCACGTGTTGTACGAGGCGAAGTGCTTGGCTAGATCCTCCCTAGTGACACTGTTCGTTATGCGCTCTTTAGGGGCAGGATAGGTATACGACTGTGTCACCAGTTAGTTAACAGTTAGATGTAGCTGCGGTGGATAACCTACCTCCGCGACCTTCTTAGGGACCAAATCTGGGTCCCACATTACCAAGAATCTATCACCATCTATAATCGGGAATGAGTATGCACCGACGATTAACGTAATTGGTAAGGCACATACCGAGATCGCCACCGGAGCTCATGGATGGAGCCGCGCGCTTCCCTCTGGATGCAAAGACAACGCAATCCACCAGATGGGAAAGGCGAGGATTATCAACCGCACGAAGTTTCAGGCAGTCGCCCGGATGCAGACACGGGTTGCGAACGACCAAAACGTCTGTATTCGTCAGTGTAGATGCGCCCTTGCGAGGCACTGACACGCGGACGAAGATCTCGCCCTCGCGCAAGACACCGTAAGGGTCACAGACACCGAAGAGGAGACGCGACTTGAGCACGATCATCCGCGACCGGAACTTCTCGTTTTTCTTGAACGCCACCAGCTCTGACATCTGGCAGGACCGGATCTCCTTCCGCACCCGCGTGTCGTCGACACCCTGGAGCAGGAGCCGCTCCGCGAGCTCATACTTCCCAAGAGAGCAGAGGAAGTTGAAGGCGACTTCCCAGTCCGTTGAGGCAGCTGTCAGCCATCTGTGGTAGGACTCCTGTTTCGCGAGCAATGTCTCCGACGTGATACCTAGACTCGCCAAAAGAACGATGATGTCGTTGTTAAGGCGGCCAAACGCATATGGGACTGAATGGTCAACCATCGAGAACGTGTTGTCTTGGGTCGCAGCGAACTTTTTCTGGCTCGCGCGAAAGTGGACGTGGTGCTCAGCCGGTAAAGCGGGGTGTACCATGAGAACGCCCTGTGTTAGCGCGACGATCAGTGCTAGGGGACGCAAACGCCGATTCCAGACTGACCTTATAACCTCGGTACCTAGGTACTGCGTCAGATACGCTATTTCCTTCACATAAGGATCACGGCTCACCTGATCTGGAACACGCAGGGTGTGTATGGGCGACCATGGAAAATGAAGCGTTTGCGACGACTCAGCTGCATTGCAAACCGCTTGGACATCAATCCACAACCGTCCGAGAAGGTCTCTCCGTTGTAGATGATATCATCGATGTCTTTCGTCCACACAGGGTCCAGGACCCAGTCCAGCTCAGCCTTCGAAAACAGCAACCCTATCCGCTTTGCACCTATACGTTCGTCAATCACAAGTGTCGATGTCAAGATGACATGTAAGACCACACGTTTGGCTGCGTTCATAATCCTCTCGAATTCCCCGAAGCTGTATATGCGAGCGTCCAACTCTCCGTCGGTATTCGCTTCACGCAAGAAGCAGCTTCGGGATCTCTGCCCAACGCAGGGTGAGCAGTGCAATAAGCCTCATATATGTTCACCACGTACCAGCTGAGAATTGCTATGTCCATAAAATCGATATTGTACGCCATTCAGAAAGAATCCTGCCTTGAACAAGCGCATCATATAATCCCTCGCCACGGAGGGTGGGTTGTCCGGGAACCTGAGCCCCTCGAATGATGCCAGAATGAACTTGTACGGATCGTCTGCATTGAGAATACGATTCGAGGGAAACAAGATGATATCCAGCTTGATCGCGTCTGGGGTGAATGAAACATGTTTGCCGTATCCAGCACGGCGGGCTGGTGGGACGGCCGAGGTGAACGACCACGACTCATCGTCGGGCTTTGGGTTTGCACGCAAGATGATCGGGCTCATGGTGGTTAAGACGATGGGGTCCGGCCTGCGATACCATCCTATAGCGCAGTATCGATGTATGTGAGCTGTCGAATCCGGAGATGAAGGGCCAGACTGACGAGGCGTGGTAGCGCAGAGACCACATGAGCCCCTTGTGAACATGCCAGTAGGATACTCTGGTTCCAAATACAGCGTGTGAGCGCGCCTACTACGCTTCTGCCCGAACTTTAGATAGCGTAAGCAAACAGACCTGGAGCTGAACAAATTGATGCAAGCGTCCGCACTTACCCAGCAGCCCGCTTCTGCCTCGCATCCGCGAATTAACGTACAGTCCGCATTGCAGGTGACAGCCAACGTCGCCCTTCTGCACTCGACCGCACTAACTGTCTTTGTCAATGATCCCGCAGAATGGGCGCCTTCGTCAGCGTGTTCAGAGCCAGAGAGCCGCCATCCACGGAGGATGACACGCAGAGCCGAAGTCTGCCAGCGAAGCCAGTGTTGCGCCACAGGAGCTCCTCTACCGGATCCACCGAACGGCAGACCCGCAGTAGCAGGGCCGTCTTCGTGCTCGGCCCTTCGTCGAGCGGAAAGACGACGCTCTGCGATGCGCTCGTCCGCTATCTCGACCTCGACCGCGCGCGTTACGTGACGGAGGTCGCCCGGGCTGTCATGCGTGAGCAAGGGTTCTCCCGGAAAGACGTGGACACGTACGAGATGCAGTATGCCATCATGACGGCCCAGCTGAAGGCCGAGGAGAAGGTCCTCGCACACAGTACTGGTACTCCGGATGATGATGGAGGCGTTATCTTGCTGAGCGACCGATCAGCCATCGATCCTATCGTGTACGCTTCCACGAGCAAAAACCCAGGAGCGGAAGACATGCGACGGAGGCTGATGCGGGACAGAGAGTTTCAGGACATCCTCCCTTTATATCGCAAATCGTTGTTTAGTGAGTGCATGTTTCGCGAGAACAGGATGCACACTCACTAATCTCATTCGTGATCTTAGTCGTCCTTCAACCGGTGAAGGAATGGATCAAGGACGACGGTGTGCGTTCTCTGGAAATCCCTGGAACTACAATAAGCACCTATTCGCGACACTAGAGGAGCTCAATATACCATACGTGACTATAGGCACAGACCTAAAGGACCTTGACAGTCGCGTAGCATTCGTGGCCACGTTTGTGGCGTGAAACATAGGCTATTTTGCGCGGTCGGTTGCGTAGAGATCCATGAGTCCAGGTCTCATTCCCCTTTTGATGGGCTTGAAAGCCAGTATAGACCAGTTGACGCTCAATGACTGAAACTTACACGGATGTAGAACACATTCCACGCGCATTCGCGTCCCGGCAAGACCAGTGCAACGCAGTCGGTTCCGACTCCCAGCCTGAGGCCTGAGCAGCGAGCGACGATTTACAACTCATCGCTTGAGCGACTGAAAATCCCTTTAGGGTCAGCGAATACATACTCAGAGTCGTGATGGAACCAGACTGGGGGGAGGAGGAGGAGGAGGAGGTCCTGCAACGGACCCGGTGGCTGCGCTCCGGGGAGTGCGATCACGTGATAGTTGTTGCTTCCCCTCGTTCCGCGTCTCGTTCAAACTTCGTTAGACCTTAGACCGCGTCCGAGTCGCTGCTAGAAGGGTTCCTCACGCCCTTCGAGGTGCCTGCCCTTCTGTCCGGAGCTTAAGAAAGTAAGTAAGTACGTCCTTCTTTCTTCTCAGTAAATTTGCCGCGAAGACTTCCCCAGAAGGAACTATGACGCGCAGTCGGACCTAGCAGCCCATTCAAAGGATCCCTCCGGATCCTACAGCCAGCGGATGCCTCAGAACACATTGGATTAAGTAATGGACAGTTAAAGTGAGTGCGCTGCGTGCTTCCGCTGCTGGGAATCAATTTTGGAGTGCTCGTTGACGTCGTCTTCAGAAGCCGTAACTTTCCCTACCAACGGGTTTACAGTCTCTAAGTCCGGAGTCACCGTCTTCTGCAACGGGTCTGCGCTTGGCACTGAACGGCCCGGATCGCAGCTTCTTCGGCGCACAGACTGTGACGATCCGCAGGTCACGCCGAGTGGTCCAGGGTTTTCGGTCATGGTGCGTGTGTCAGACCTTCTCCGTGCGATGCATCTCTGGTCATCTCCGTATGCAGAGACAATCTTGGCATATAGCTGTGCTGGGATCCCCGATAAGTACTCAGGTGCTGCTCAGTGTTGATCACCGCGCTGATCGTGAAGTCGACCGGCTTCAAGTCGCGATCAACACGCAGACAATTTGCTATGCACCTGTTCTTTGTGTCTCTCCGTACGACAGTGCATTCGGAGAATCCCCACTTTTGCTTCCGGAAATACAGTTTTCCTAGCCACCCGTACCTGTCTGTGACAGTGAAATCCTTTCTGGCTTTGTAGCATGCTGACTATTCTCATGACTCTTCAGCGAATGGATTCGGCAAGCGCATAAGCACCTATTCGCACAACAAAGGTGCACGAACTCACCGAGTGGCCTAGCCGTACCAGTATCGTGGCGACGTGCTAGTGCACGCCTAACTCCGGGACTAGCGGCCTCGCAGCCTGTGCAGCAAGCACGTGCACCGAGTCACCGTCCCGCGAACGCTCTCACATCCATCTGGACCTACCGGGCATCCCCAGCATTTATCGCATTATTTTACCTGCTTCCCTTATGCTACCTAGCACCTCCCACGCGGCGCGGACTATGCCTGGACCCAAGGACGCTGGCCGCGAGTTACCGGTGGCGGTTCTCTGTCGTCGTTGACGGTTGGATCATGGCTCATGCATCCAATCAGTGTTCTTCGAGATCCCCACCATCTGTCCAATCTGCCGGTGCAGATTTCATAGAACCTCGGGAGACATTCAAATTCGGACACATGAAGACATTTGTCCACCATGCGTTCTGTTCTCCAAGAGAATGTCCGAGACTCGACTCTCGTCCGCGTGCAAGTCTCCTTGTTTGAGCGACAACACACCACACATAGACGTGTCAAAAGGAAGACGTCACACCCCAATATCCCAGGAAAGAAAATCGGTACGTAAGTCGCCCGACTCCGGTTCCGAGCTGTACCTGAGACGCCAGCGCCACCACGCAGCACCGCCAAGTTCATCAAGAATACCCGTCTATACAGTATCGCATGACGTTGGGGATAATACACAGAGACCGCCGCATGGACTGCGTCTCGACTTCCTCCTCGAAGGTCTCGGCTCCTGGCCCGTCTGCTCCGGTCTCGCATACGCGTCCAGATCGCACTAGCAGCACCGGACGCCAAGCTCCACCCACAACAGCCATCGGTACGACCTGCGCCGCACATCGTACGCGTTGCGCAGGTCCTACACTGCGCAACGTTCTCGCACGCACGGAACCCGAGTGCCGGCCTCGGCCTGCCCTCGATTTCTCGCCTGTCCCGTCGTCGCCGGACGTTCGCGACTGACGTAGGTGTCTTCGGTCGCGATCTTGCGCGCTGTCAATGCCTGGCTATGACGCGGGGAATCGCGATCGTCGATCGTTCGTTACGCGCATCCGCACCCTCCGCGAGCTTCGCTCAGGTGAGATGCCCCTTACTCAAGGTTCTACTCTGACGCATCGCACATTGCAGTGCGCCCATGTTCTCATGCATATCCTCACGATGCCTACGCTTTGAGCCGTTCTGCACCGGACGCGAACAAGAGCTGTTAAGGGCGCCCTTGGGGCTGTAGTGCGCATGCGTACAAGCGCACAAGAAATCTTTCGAAATATCTCGACCTCTCGAACGACAACGCACCGGGGCTCGGTCCGTTTCATGGGAACTCCTCAGGATCACTCGGGACGAAGCGCTAATTGTCGCAACTTCGGTGCGGTGGTCCTGAGAGAATCCCTGTTGAACGCGGGCGGCTAACTGCGGGCGGCGCCATCGTCGTGACGTTCTCGTTGATTGTTCTGCTGGTTATGGCTCGAGGGCATGGACCGTTCTCGCCAATGTTTCTTAACATAGTGTGCGGCGATGAGCTGTCTCCGGTGCGGACGGGGGAAACGCTGCCAGAGACGCCCTCCGTTGGCTGTCGGTCCGGACATCTCCTTGCACTTCCGTCGTCATTGAGATATGAATCTCACCATGGATATGATCCTCATCACAAGGCATCGGCGTCGCTGCCGCGCTGAAACCACCCAGAAATCCAATATTGTTGGAAATGGCAAGGCATCACCCGGTCGCATGGTGGGTAAGCAGTATCTCGAGAGTATAATGCTGGTGAGGATTTTGCAGTCTGTCATTGCTGAAGCATCGCCGTGTATTGATGTTATCGTGGCACAACTTTTGTTAACCAATCAATGAAGTGATTTTCGAGACTGGCCCCGAGATACGAGTCGCCGCAGCTCAACAGAGGCAATCTCCAGCGGCTAAGACCCGTCCCGGCGCATCACATCCAGCCAGGTTGACGTTACGAGGGTAGGCCGCGCGCAGGTTTGGGCAGTGCACATATCTGGTCGCTGCTTCCAATTTGACTTCGGAGTCCCGGTGCAATCCTGCCGGTCATGCGCGTCTCGTTGACCCGCACAAGCTCACGACAGTTCGTCTGTCTTGTGGTGGTCAAGTCGCCGTTGCCCTCAAAGGGTTTAAGGTGGTGTCGAACCATGGTCCTGTGAGTGATCTGAACGTGCCATATGATCAGAGAATGGTCGTATGTCAACCACCTCACCACTTATACAACGACGTCCTCCTTCGTAAAGGCATCCACAGGCGCCTCGAATATCTCAGCGCTCGCAAGTTGCCTTCGAGGAGCGTTAAACCACTAACACATCAGTCTAGGGTGGGAGTGCGGGAGCGGGGATTCCGGTGCGACATCCGAATGCTCGAGGTTCGCGATTTAATTTTGTGCAAGCCACAGGCGCCCCTCCGTCCGGATTTGTTCACCTTTTCTGTTGACAGACTCAGGGTCTTGCGATGTGGCGTTGGTCGGGCCGCGACTTGTTCGCGCTGTGTTCCGAAAGCAGCGAGATCAATGCCTCTCACGGAGCGAGCGGCGCGCCCGCGCTGACCTGTTGCCTGCTTCATCTCCCTCGCCGCACGACGTGTTGCGCGACTGGAGAGGGGTTGAAGGCCCTCTACTGGCTCGATCGGTCCCTCCGAGCCTACGTCATACTTGAACTCGATCACGGAGTTCATTTGGGCCTAGACGGCGAAGCCTTGGCATTCTAGGATGGGGCTGAACAGCGCCGCTCCCGCGGCGCTGTCCGCTTCAGACACAGACCCAATTCTACACCCTCCGCCGCTGCAATGACTGTGACAAGACGAGCGTATTGCAGGTAAAATCAGACTGTCGTTACGCTCTCAAACGGTTGCCAACGCTAACGACCCTTCAGCCTCAGTACAAGTCTTAACCTCCAAGGTCCTAGACATCCTCAGATCCCTCGCGGTGTCGTTCGCGGTTCACCGAACTGACATCAGCGCGATGCGCATCCTGCCGGTCAACGTTAAAGGAACATCGGTCCGTGCCATCCAAGATACGCGCGCGGCTGCGACATGTCAACCACTGTATCAAAGCTCCCTCTGGCATATTGCGAGCCGCAAGGCCCCGGTGCGGTTGCCATGTCTGAAATTGTGCTCCAAAGCGCTGGGCAACATCAATGCATCAAAGTATCGCTCACCTCGGACCGACATATGTGTTGTTCAATGATATGAGCGCGCCAGGCCAGTATCTATCTGAATGGAAATGCGGTCCCTGGTCGCAGAAACGCACACACAGAGGCGCAGGGTAAGCACAACGCCGTTCGCTAGCAAGCCCCGGGTACAGGTCTTCACTGACAAGGCGTTTTAACAGGGAACTGACCCTATGTGGATGCGTCGATCTCCTGGGTTACGGCACGCGGTGGAAGGTGAGTATGGGAAGTCCACGGTTCGCGAGTGCTGAAGGACAGCGTCTAGCCGGGGGATGCCTGCATGGAGGCGTCTGTAAGAGACGCTGGCGCCCTTTCCATCCAGGGTCGAGATCGAGAGTGAGGATACGCACGAGGCTTTCAGCGAAGAAGGCCACTCACCGAGTGACAGTTCCGCCCGCCGCAAGGACCCGAGCGCCCACAATGCTGTAGACGCTACAGCGACTTGCCTTCTCCTCGACGGCGCCTTTGGCATGGCTTCGTCACATGCAGCCACACGAGTACTACCGCCGGCATGCCTCGAGCGGGATCATCTCAGCCGTAGGTCGCCGTTATTGGTCGACAAGACGAAATTTCTACGGTCTCATTGCAAGGTGCTTCTCGCAGACCTCCCGCACGACCGCAAGGGCATCGCAGACGCTGCGATGTCGAAACGGGTCCCGCCGCTGTCCGAACACATCACAGGTTTATATGAAATACTTCACTGCGAAACGCTGACGGCCGGGATGCACGCGCTATACGTCCATGGACGGAACGATCGCCTCTGACGTATCGCGTGCGAATAATCCTGACGAGACGTAATTCCAGGAGTAGACCCTAGCATCCGTGGAAAGCCTGATCTGGCATGCGCGATCCAGCTTCTGAGCGCCCAAACACTCCTTAGCGCGCTATACGAAATGTCAAGGGGTAGAGGTGATAGCGCAGGGCATATTTGAACGCACACAGGTCTCCGGTTTGACCGTAGGCTTCCCCCCTCCTGACTTCCTGAGTGAACCCATCATGCAATCCCCAGACGAAGTTTTCCAGCCTCGAGACCGCCGTCCCTGGACGGAGGAAGAGGACGAGATGCTTCGCATGGCCATCGAAGAAGGTTAGCCTATTTGTGTAGTAGCCGTCGAGCATTCCTGATGCATTGTTCGCCGTACAGAGGATCCCGAGTCGAGCCCACCCACTCGGTGGCATGCCATCTCGCAACACATACCCAACAGAACCAACAAAGACTGCCGGAAGCGATGGTGGGCCCAGATGGCCACCATTGTTTCGAAGGGCAGCTGGACAAGCGACGAAGACGAGGTAGCTCCGCAATGCCTCGGAGGTACATCCGGAGTACTTACCTTTCCTCTCTTTCTCCGCAGCGCCTTTGCAGAGCAGTCGACGAGCTGGGGCCCAAGTAGGTGTCAATGTCCGCTTCGGCATCCTCCGCGGTACTAACAGCGCACTTTTCAGGTGGGCGCTCGTAGCGAACCGAGTGCGGACACGAAACAGCGGCCGTATGTGCATCGCATAGCTATCAGTAGCGCCTTCTCACTCTCCCGTTCTCACATAGAATGTGCGAAGCGGTGGAACGACGCACTGAACCCCACCATTGACCGCAGTGGCTGGACTCGTGAGGAGGTAGGCTTCTTCCGAAGTCAAAGCATTGGTCTCCGAGCTGACCATCGGCTTCCGTTGCAGGACGAGCAACTTCTCAGAGCAGTGGAGCAGCAAGGGCACTCCTGGGCCAACATTGCACGGACTTCGCTTCCTGGCCGCACGGGACTTGCCGCAAAGAACAGGTCAGCTGAGCTAGCGTCAATGCCCGTAGCGCCGAACGCTCATTGCTTCCGACAGATACAACCATCTCATGAGAGGTGCATGCCGGCAAGCTGGGAGGCGAAGGAGTCGGACCTCGCCCATGACCACCGAGAAGCGCAGGACGCGCGGCATCTCTGAGGCGTCCGCCCCCATGTTCCACGGGACATCCTCGCGGTGGCTGGCAGTCAGTCCGGATCCGACAGCTCAGAGTCCGGAACAACCCCATCCACTCCGCGCTCGCTTCCCGAAGGGGATGAAGTGCACCTATACACCGCAACTAACGCGGCTGAATTCGCGGATGCCGAAATGCTATCACACCTCTCCGTCCGGCTCCCGTCGCCCATGGCGCCAGCGTCCGGCATCGAGAGGCAGTTCATGGATTTCTTCTCACCCAATATGTTCGGCGACTCCGCAGCAGCGGAGGCGTCCTCCGCTGCATCCCTCCTGTACAACCCGCCATCCCCATCGCAGTCTACCTTCCGAGACCCCGCCGCTTCTTGGAGACCTTGGAGATACCATGCAGATGGATCCTTTCTCCATGTGGTCGCCTTCCATCTCAGGCCCGGCGACCCCCATCGACACGCCATTCCTGGATTTAGCGCTGGCGTATCTCAGCAACACGCATCGAGCCTGTACCACTCGCACCCCGTCACTCCTGGTGGCAACGCGTCAGAAGTACAAAACCCTGCAGGGGACAGCCTCTTCGCACACACCGACTACCTTGCCCTCTACCCTCCTTCCAACCTCTCGCGACAATCGCCCTATCTGACACAGTCCATCCCGGACCTGTCCAGCCTCGCGCTGGACGCCCAGGTGACCATCGGGTCTTTGCCAGCGTTCCCGGATAAGGCGAGTGTCCAGCTCGCACAGCAGGCGGTCGATCCCTCTGACCGCCGTGTCGCTGTCGCGGTGGCTATATGCGACCAACAGGACGTCATCTCGACGGTGCACTCGCTGTCACACAGCCTGTCGTCAATGCTGGGGCAGGGCCAAGCTCCGGGACGGAAGACACGCCGACGCCAAAGACGTACCCATCTCCCCATTCACCGCAGCTTCAGACTGGACTGTGGCAGCCGTGATTGGTGATTGTACTGTCGCTTGTGACTGTATCTGTAACATTACTGTATTAGATTATGAGCCACCCGGACTATGGCATCCCCCATATGCATATGTAGTATACTGCATACTATAGAGCTAAGTTACGCCCTCAGCATGCAGCATGGCTATGCGTAATATAGATGAGCTACTTTCATTGACTAAGCCGAGAACGTTTGTCCAACAACCGTGTATGGCCCAGACCGCCCCTTTCACAGCGCCTGCGGGTTGTCACCGCGTCGACCATCAACTTGTTCCAAAGGCCATTGGCCAGATACCGGACCCCGCGCCTCACGAAAGAACCTGTGGCGTCGGAATGCCATGCACGAAGCTATGCAAGCTTCAGACAGCTATGGGATTTGGGGGAAGAGGCTTCCGAAGTCGGGCGCAGGTCGGCGCTGTCCGAGTGTTTGATGACCAGGATACCCATCGGTCGGAATGACCGCAGGCTCATGCTCCCGGTTGTCCGACCGGTCCAGGGCAGGAGGCGGGCAGACCGATTGATATACAAACGCACCGCAGTCACATCCCGAACCTTACACTGTCTTGCCTGTTAGTCGTCTGAGCAAGTCAAACTTGCCGGAGGCCTGAGGCCTGAAGCCCGTTGGCCTTGCTTTTCGATAGGCCAGGCTGGTGTTGATCGGCATATTGAGAAGCATCCTTCAGGGCTGGTGGACTGCCTTTCGGAAGCAAGCGCTCGATTGTCAGGCGTGGATAATCGGCGCTGAAACCGTGACAGAGGGCAATCATTCACAGAGAGGTCGGTGGGGGCATGTCATGCAATTGCTGTAGCTATCACGGCCTGCGCACTGACGGCATGATAGGCTATGAGGCGAACCCTTGATACCAACATTCGAGGGTCATCGGGCACCCGGGGCGCCGATTCGTCCCAGCGGAAGGCTTGCGGTGAGGCGTGCAAACTGAAGGTGCGTTCGGCTATGCATACCCTCAGCCTGTAAGTGGGTCTCGTGTCAGAAGCGGGCTAGACTCTTGCTTCCCGCGTACAGATACGCACCCGCATGAACGCTATATGTGTGCGTAGGGCTGTCTTGTATCTGGCGCCTGTTTGTTCGTATACCGTCGAGGGCACTGTGTATGTGACAGTCAGCGGCAATAGCAGCTTAGCTGAGGCTTCACGGAAGGCGCGCTGACGGTACTGTGGTGACTGGCATAAAGAGAACGTCATAATCAATACGTCTACTTCGATGCCACGTCAGCACTGCCTGAAGAGACGCACCTCAGGACCACTTGGACAGACTCCTGAGCTTGACCATTGGCACGCACCAATCTCACATCTGAGTATCCTCTAGAGTCCGGCGATACAACAATATCCCCTTCAATTCGAATGAGGAAGATAAGGGATTCAAGGCTGGCTCACCAGTTCATTAGATACTCGCTGCAATATTGAGCCGGTAAGACACAGCTTGAACACGCGCCTTTCTCCTTTACCGATGCCGGAGTTTGAGAATTGCCAACGTATTTGTTAAGAGTGCGCTGTCGCTTAGCTAGCTTGCTGTCGGTTGTCATTAGTTAAGGACACCTACCACGAGGTGAGCTAGACTATAAATATGAGTTGTTGTGAACCACTCAGCTATCTTATGGCATAAAAAATGTACGACGTTTCTGTCAGGCTCCGCGAAAGGTCTGGTGCACGAGTGAAGAATCAGTTGCCAGCGACTCGCAAAGCATCGCAGTCCGAGGCGACTTTCTGTTGTGTACACACTCACCGTCCGCTCCAATACTGTAATACACTGCCATGTCCTGGATGCCCGTCGATTCCAGCAAGATGACGAACTGGTAGTTGACTAACCTTGATTCAGAATCTCAGATGGTTTAGACCCAGGCGGACTGCGGGTATGGTGTGACTCGGGATTGCATTGACGCGCCACAGATACCTTGAGCGGAAAATCAAGATCGCCGCGTCAAGTCACTTCCTCGATGGCGTATCCCTCAAGGTAGGCATTGCAAAAGAGCAGGTTCAAGATTCGATTATATGGAACTTGTATGGAACATCGAGGGGAGTGGCTAAGCGACGGTGGCGCTGTGGTGGCTGAGCGCCTCGCACTACTGAATCCGATGAGTCGGATGACCTCGGAGGCGACGCGTCTGTTCTCTAACATGCACATTGAACTTGTACCCACCTTGTAGCAAGTAGATCAGGGTTATGGAAATTATGCTATTCGAAAAGGTACCGTTCATAATGCATAGTACTGGGAGTATTACTAATCAACTTGCCTGCGGCAGTGCGTCCGCCTAAATTCAACCGTCGAGTCAGGCTGCTCACTTACCTGGCTTCCGACGGTCCGACAGCATCAACAAGTACATGCGGATGTTCTCATGCTTCTGCGAATGCAGTCGCGACGACATGGGTAGCGTGATCTGCCCATGTTCTACACGCTCGCACCAGTCCCGCACTAATATCGACCTCTCCGTTCCAAGATCCGTCCTCCAACGAAGTCCAGCGATCAGCAGATCATCTTGGTGCGCTAAGCCTCGGGCTTCGTGGACGTCCAATGCACCATTGCTTTGTATAGAGTGACACAGGTGCGTAGGTGTTGAGTCTATACTTGTCTCCGTCTAAGCGGATGCGCAGATACACTGTAACCTCGCGTGCCCGTCATCCAATCAACACATGCCTTGTCACGAGGAGGACTAACCTTCGCATCTGTGCGTAGGGATTGTAACACAAGCTCATCACTGATCATCACACTAGGCGGGGTCATATGGGACGTGTGGCAAAAATAACGGACGATGGACGCGATGGTTCTTCTGTATCTCAATCTATCTTAATCTTAGTATCGCAAACAGTCCGTACGGCGCCGAAGGGGTATACGTCGTCATACTTCTGATGTGTGCGTTTACTAAGATTGTCTCAACAGATAGCCTGGGATTATCGCGACGCAAATTCTCAGACAATGGCTCGGACATGGAAAATACGTACAAGAACAATCACCACGGTTCACATGAGTCGAGGTAGGACAGGTAAGTCCACACCGAGGAACAGCGCAGGTCGTGTTGTACGAGGCTGGTAACACCATATCATACAACATCACATTTAGGACGCTGTATTGGCACCATCAATTGTAGCCGAGGAAGTGAACTTACATGAATGGAGCCCTGCCATCACTCATCGTCTTCGGTCGATGCGATAAGTCGCACAACAACCTTCAACGGAGTTCCTGCATAGACGGCCCCCCGGCTATCATCCGCACTGGCGCTACAGGAAGCTTGCCAAACATCCCTGCAACGAGGAAGCCTCAGGTGTCTGGACCCGTCATGCTCACCATCATGCTCTTCCATCTGGCATTGCAGGGACTGTTGGCATGCTACGGTCTTTGAGCGACGCCGCGATCCAAGAGCGGCATCATGCAGGGTAGTCCTCCGATGTGATTTGGATAAGCCATATCTCCCTCTGAGCCTCACGCTGACGCTGAGAACGAGACGCAGGTTTCCGGTCAGGAATCACCTCAAGCGCTAGACATCCATGGCAAGGGTCCCCGATCGAGGAAACGAGAACACGGCGGGGTCAATCCGGATTCGAAGGCTGTAGCAATCTCTCCATCGCTGGGCACCCCAATCTCTTCGAGATCCGAGTTCGTCTCTGCGCAGAACCCGCGTAGAGGGAAGGTTGGTCAATGGCACCGTAGCGCTGACACCGAGGCCGGAGCCTTGGTTCTATGGCAATGCCCGTTTCTTATGTAGGCTGCTGGCGCTGGAGATGAAGATATGGGGTCTTCGAACACATGGAGAAGCTCGAACTTTGGAAGGACAACTCCAGATGCAGCGGCGTGTCTTCACAGCAGTTCAGGCACTTTGACTCAAGCGCCTGAGGGCTCGCAACGTCCGCGATGCGCGCTAGGGAAAGGCATGCAAGTGGAGTACTTAGCACTGTGGAGAAAGGATGTTTTATCTCTGGGCAGCGTATCAGCCAAATTCGTGTCCCAGTTAAGGTGAGAGATCCGGATATTGGTTGACAAACGGGACGTAGGGGGACGGGGTCAAGTGGCCATTGCATGCCACTCATCTGCTTGACGTGGCTACTATCAGGCGGGTCTTTGTTGCGCAGTCATGTCAACGAGAACGCTGGCTGGATTTTGAAACTGGCGTTCCGAGCTAGAAAAAAGTGTGAAACAATCTGAAGGTTTGACCATTTCTAGCAACTCAGGCTCGGCAGTACGAGCCACATGAGGCACTACGGTAGGAAACGACTTTCTCGTTCTCTGAAAGTTTTGCATGGGACAAGTGAATAGATAACCAATCTGTACAAAGAGGCGCACGTTAGACGTCAGCGTCACGACGAAAGCAACGATCCACCTTTGCGCCGGGATGCTCAAGTAAGTCACTCAATCTCGAGCATGCCACGCTCATTCCAAACGCAAGCAAGTGTCGCAGATTCCGGATGATTAAATTCACTTCCTCTGTGTTACGATTGAATACCCTCAGGACGATCTTGACTGCCTTCAGTGCCGCGAACTTGGTACATATGTGTGTTTCATCACATGATCTAAGGGCCGGTCTCCGCGAGCTCTTCGTCGAGATGGTCGCCTCCCCTCAATAATCATCCCGAGAGAGGAGCCTCCCAGTTAAGGGCTGTAGACAGAGCTGGCAGCAGGCTCGGCGCGTCGACCTTCCCATGGCCTCAGCAAGACGGACGGTTCTTCCCCGTCGTCTTCGTCCCCTGCGCAGCCGAGGAGGACTTCGGGCGCGCGTCGAAGGGCAACACGGGCCAGGCGCTGCTCGTCAAGCACATCCTCTCCCTCCTTCGCACGCCGCGCAGCGCCAGCGAAGAGACAGCCGCGCTCGTCCAGGCCGTATCGGTCGCCGTGCTGACGCCATACTCGCGCCAGGCAACGCTGCTGAACCAAGAGCTGCCCCAGAGCCGGTGCGGTCGTGAGCACCCTCGGCGGCTTCCAGGGGCGCGAGGCCGACGTGTGCATCCTGTCGACTGTGCGCGCGAACATGGAGGGCGATATTGTATTCGTGGAGGACGCGCGGAGGCTGAACGTCGCGTGGACCAGGCCGAAGTTGGGGCTGATCGTGGTCGGGAGCCGCACGACGTTGGAGGGTAACAGTCCGCTGTGGAAGAGAGCACTGGCGGCGTGCAAGGAGGTAAGCATTACGCTGCCAGATACTACGTGAGACAAGCGAGCTTCTTCTCGTGTAGTCGATACTTTGAGGGTAAATGATGATACATACATGCCAGGGAAAGATGAGTCCGTGTCCTGCGCACATCACACAACTGCGCCAACCGCCATTTTAGTGAGGCACCTGCTGATCCTAAACATCAGTGAGGTACAGATAGCAAAGTGACTGGCTTACCTACTTATTCAATCTTCCAAGTCCGGAATACAGTATTGCATTCAGTAAGAATGGGAACAATGAGGCCGAGTAGCGATTCAACTCTTCCGCGTCGACTCCGCGAACGTGCACGAATAACTGCATAAGACCGTGTGGGTGGAGGCCAGTCGTATCAGGAATGTGGTTGGTATGGAAAATGGAAGGCAAGGAGAGCGTCTTGAGGTCCGGGCAATTCCGCTCGACGATGTGTAGCGCGTACAATGATGGTCGGACTCTCGACAGAGGCATATCCAGCCAGAGCGTTCCGAGCTTTGGCCAGGTCTCAGTGATCTGACGGATGTTGTCGTCCGATACATTGAGCTGTAGCTTTTCCAGACAGAACCCAAAGACGACGAGCTGCTTGAGGCCCAGCAGCGGCTCGATGATGTCGAGCAACGATTGCGGGAGGAGGTGCTCATCAGCGGACAATGGTCGAGTCATGATAAAGAGCGTGCGCAGTTTTGGTGTGGTGGCGGCGAATTTGAACTCCCTGATGGAGCGATCGATGCCATGTTCTGAGGTCGGGAAAGTCAACTCGAGGCGGAGCTCTTCGAGTTGAGGAAGAACGATGTTTGCAAGGAGGGAAGCTACACTGGTATCATCACCACCGGCAAACAACCTGATGAGATGCGGGAGGTGTGTCGGATCGCCAACTCCTCTTCGAGAAGCGATAGAGCTGGTGCACCGGATATCCAGGCTACACAACTGAGTGAGACCGTTTAAAATTGAGAGCACATCCGAGATCGATTCCCCAATTGGCGACGCGTTGCAGAGATCCAAGTGCTTGAGCTCCTTGCACTCGACTAACGGCGTTATGGATTGCCAATGGCGCACCCCTACGAGGGTCAATTCCTAAGTGTGTAGCAGCAACTGCAACATTGCTGAGTAGGGCCTCGAGGGCGTAATCCATCGCAGTCAGGGCGGGATCCTGACCCTGGCTGGATGAAACATCGAATGTGAGGCGCCGCAACGAGGGAGCGAGGAAGAAGAGCAGGGAGGTTTCGTTTGAAAGCTCCTGTAACCACTCGAGGTGCTGAAGCCCTGGAAAGAGAGGGTTTCCGTCGTTGCACCGGAAAAGATAGGCGTACACTGAAGGATCAATGACGGCTAAGTCGGTATCGAGGCCGCACCGACGCACAAATCGCGCGTTATTGAATGCGAGACCATTCTTCCGGCTGTATGCGCCCTCGTAAAACCTAGAAGGGTAAAATTTATGATCTAGGGAGGTCACAAAAGACCGTGTCGACAAGGGCTCACATAGGCATAGCAATTAGGACATAGCAATCTGTGCGCATCGTCGCGTGCCTGCATACAATGACAGCAGGAAAGCAGCCGAATGAGCGGTGAAATGTAGGTATGCTCGACCACAGGATTCGCAACGCTGGTTCATAGAACGTCTTGTGGCAGACTCGCGCCGAACGAGCGAGGCTGGTGCGGTAATTGCGGATGTCCTCCCGAGTGATTCCAGCCCAGTAGGACGGGTATGCTAGCTCAAATATGAGTGTTAGAATATCGGGCACCAGCAGAGCTCTGTGATGGGGCAAATATTGGGCTGGGTTGTGTGAAAACGACGATGGCAAGCCTAACTTTAAGTCAAAGTTTAAGCCAGGACGAAACAAGATTCGAGGTGTGCCAGTGCCACAGTCACGTGTACGACGCGTCTGTGGCTACCTTCCCGCCTCTTTCTCAGGTCGTCGCCGACTCGCCAGTTCGCTTCATACACGACCGCCCTCTCAATTCAACAAGGCCGTGTTTAGAGTCTGCCTACGAAAGACTGCAGTTCGTTTCCAAGTTGTAACACGCTTGACTTCAACTTCGCGCTACCTTCGACCACGTGGGCAGCCTCCCACCCGATCTTCTCCTCGTCATCCTTCGCGATGTTTTTTGGTGGCGTACTGCGCCGGTTCACATGGAGGGAGAACGTAACACGGGACAGCACTCAGCTTGTACACCCACCGCCATGCGATCGTCGCACCACCGACCATTGGATGAGCTCTGCGGAGTACCTTGCTTCTGCATGTCTGTCCTCTTTGGCGTGAAGCAGGACGATGACGCCGGAAACATAGATACACCGCCGAACCAGTGCACATCTTCGTCAAGATGCGACGACAGAGGGTCTCTCGGATCGATCGACCCAAGACGATCACACCAGTCGAAACGTCGATCCGTGAAGACGGGAGAAGATGACGATCTTGATACTCCCTTTCAGGTGAGTTGTGCGCTGCGAGCCCTCGTAGGTCGTTTGGCTAACCCTGGACTACATGATCAGCGACTGTTACATTGGCAGAGCCGAGCGAACACAGGATGTTCCACGTCTCCACCGCTACGACACGGCAGTCAGAACCATGCTGTGCATTGTCCAGGGAATGCAGGCCCTTGTAGTCCGACGGAGGCGCCAAGAGCGGCGAATCGATGTCAACCTGACGAAGTCGCATACGAAGGGCCCCGATGTTTCAACGAACGAACAGTAATCGCGTAGAGACATACGTGGTGCAGATTCCAACCCTCAAACCCTATGGCAGTCGAAGGAAAGTCGTCCACTCCTCGAGATGCCACCACCTGGATGTCGTCGCACGTGAGCGTACAACTGGCCGCAAGTCCAAACCATATTCAGACCACGTACCGGTTCGGTATAGCCTACATCACACAGGACTTTCGATGCACTGTGCGGAAGTGACGACTGCGACAGAGTATGAAACATGTCAGTCAAACTGGGATATCGAGCATTGTGGTCAGAGCGTACGCATGCTCATCGCTACTCATCATATCGGCCAAACTCTAACGTCTGAGTGATACGGTTGAACTTCAGACAGTCGACTATCCGCATGTGGAGACGACTGCTCATTCGCTTCGATAACTCGGATGAGACGCACACTTTGTTCCCTACGCCATACCAACTCCCGTACCGCACTTCCATATATCATAGCTCACCGACCTTAGAAAGTTAACAGTCAGTTGACTGTCACCACGAGTTCCTTGCAGTGTAAAGAGAACGACAGCTCACAGCCCCAGGGTTCCTTTCCAGTCGACCTGAAGCGAAGAGGACGGGTCTTGGGCAACCGCTGAGGCCCCGGGACGTACAGAGACATCGTCGAACATGCCAATCAGTAGCAGCAGGCATCACGAGGACGGCGAGGGCGGACGACGGGGGAAGAGAGCACTCGTGAGCATCAGTACGCGCAGTCAAGTGATCCTCGTCGTGACACTTCCGGCGCGTTCGTCCACGCTCGCGGGCTTCGCGTCCACCTGGCCCGTGTTCCCTTCGCGAAGTTGGGCCCACATGTGTCTCCACCATTCTCGTATAAAACTCTCTGGTCGCCATGCATGGGGTACGGTCGCGTCTCTTCCCACTCATCCTCGACGACGAACTACGACACGGCTTGGACGGATCTGCGAGACCTGTGCAGCTGTGCTCGTCGTCGACTCGGTTGTGCAGACTTTTGATCACAAGTGTCGGCTTCTCGACCCCGTCGAGCGACTCGAGCTTCGTGAAACAGCCCAGCCTCGCTCGGAACACGCGTCCAGCTCGGAAGTTTTCCACCCTCGCCACCCTCTTCAACTTCCCTACCGACCACGACCATCCCCACCTCTCCGTTCCCACTACCTGCTCACGAACTTCAAGACTCGTAACTTGACCCTTTCCCTTCGTTTCGCAAGATGACCTCTGTTCTCAACTCGCCCCGCTGGCTCCTTCTCTCGCTTTTCCTCGTCCTCTGGAGTTGGACCAAGGCCGGGCGGCACGATCCCCGCGGAAGCCTCTTCGGCCTCGGTGTCGAAGCGCAGATCAATGGCCTCAGCAGCTGCGCGACGACGTGCGCGAGTAGCGCGTCGAGCCAGGCGGGATGTGAGCCTCTGTGAGTGTGTCGGTGGAGATGAACGCGAAAGGCCAAACTGACGCGTCGAACAGCGACATGGCCTGCTCCTGCGCATCGTCGTCCTTCTTGCCCTCCGCGCAGTCTTGTATGACCTCGACCTGTGGCTCATCCGACGCTCAGCAAGGGATGCAAATCCTGCAGAGTACATGCGGTTCTTGTGAGTTTGTTTCACCTTTCTGTTTCTTCCGCACCTTGTGCGCATATATGCGTCGGCGAAGGCATGTGATGTACTCGCCATTACCATTACCTACCATGAGGTAGTGTGGGGCATCGGAGCGGGGCGTTCAGGCGGGTGTAGTATCCTTCGCACAGACATCAGTCAGGTGGTGTCATCGCCAAAGAGTGCGACACTCTGGCAGGCCGGAGTGCACTAGTAGCAGTGTAATTTTCGCGGCGGCTAGCTACATACAATTAACGCCACGGTACCAGTTGTTTACAATTGCTAATAACATGTTCAGCAGCCACGACTTCCTCATCAACTTCTTCCTCGGTCTCATCTGGATCTGCGACTAGCAGCACGGATAGCGGTTCCTCGACGGGCTCAACCCCGAGCTCAGGTATGCACGTCATGTCCAGCGAATAAGCGTCCGTCGCTGACTGTTTGATGCCTAGCGCCGCCGTCGACGAGTGTCTCCGCCACCGATAGCAGCTCGTCCTCGGCGAGTGGCACCGATGTCTCCAGCAGTGCCTCCTCTAGCTCGACAGACTCGTCAAGCAGCACCGCCGCTTCCTCAACAGACTCATCCGCATCTGCCGCTCCATCCACGACAGACTCTTCTTCCGCCTCATCATCGGAGGCGTCCTCCTCGTCAGTATCCTCTGCCTCGTCGACGTCTGGAGCGTCTTCGTCCACTGACACGTCGGGCGTCAGCGTGTCCGTGGTGTCGACGACGGCGGTCGTGCAGTCGACCTCCGTGCGCCCGACGTCGACACGGATCGTCTCTGGTTCGCCTGCTGTGACGCCGACGAACTCGGTCGGCGCTGGGACGCGCGTCGAGGCTGCGACGGGCCTGATGACGGTGGTGGCGGCACTGCTTACGCTGGTGTGTGCTCTGTGAGGACTGTAGCCTGCGGTGGCATTCACTCGCGAGGTAACTTACGCGGCGTCCATGTCAAAGTTTTTGGACGTGGGCGGGTGGGCTCGCTGATTGGGAGTGGATGGTGTAGCATATTTAATTTATGACCCGGTGCGGGTGCCGGGGATGTCAATGCGTCGGTGTAGGATGAAACTGCCTAGTGTATGTATACCTCTGTCGAATGCACCTTGGCTTGGACCTTGTTCTGCCAACTATGCTGACTATTCATGGCGTGACTGCCGCACTGGTACGTATGATCCCAATAAGGCAGGTACGAAATTGGCCGCTCGAGGCGAGGCGCAATGTAACCCGATTAATCTAGATTCGTTGATTAATGGATCACTGCCGGCCGCGGCAAGGCTCCCGATACAGCCTAGCCTTCTCAGAATGGCATGCAATAAATTACATAAAGTACCTCCGCCGACGCTCGGGCGGGGTGCCTGCTGTGACCGTCACGCTCGGCTCGCTTGCTCGTGCATACTCGAGCCTCGAGTATAACCTGCACATATCATGTATACGTTACCGTGTGTACGATGGAGTGTTAGCGTGTATCTCATAGTAGAGTGTATGTGGAGTGCATCATTGCATTTCAAGCGAACCCGCAGGGGAGTGACAGATAGTCACGGAGGTTGACATGTGTCACGGAGCGTGATGGCGACGTCTGAGAACAAGGGCGGCTGAACAAGCAACCGATCCTCCTCTCATTCCCGCCGTCTGGCTCATCACCTCTCCTCCTCCTCCTCCTCCTCACCGTCGTCCTTCCGCCCTCCCTGCCGTGCTCGTGGTCTTCGCATCTTCCCTCTCCGCATTATCCGGAGACGCGTCCATCCTCTCCAACGTCTTACGTGCCACCTTTTGCGTCGGCCATACGCTACCTCGATCACTCACTGCCACACCAACGACCCCGCCGCCACATTGAGTGCTCAACCCTCTTGTCCCCGCCATGGGCAACTGCGTCTCGGCCCAAGACCGGGAGGCGCTCCAGCGCTCCCAGGAGATCGACAAACAGATCGAGGAGGACTCGCGGAAGTTCAAGAAGGAGTGCAAGATCCTCCTGCTCGGTACGTGATCCTTTCTCGCTGGACAGCACGCAGGTGCGAGTGCAGGCGCGCATCATCTCGCCCGCATGCCGCCTCTGCGCATTCCTGCGCGTCTCGCAAGCCGCTTGCTCACCGCGCGCACAGGCTCAGGCGAGTCGGGCAAGTCGACGATCGTGAAGCAGATGAAGATCATCCACCAGGACGGCTACACCAAGACCGAGCTCATGACCTACCGCACGACCATCTACCGCAACCTCCTCGAGTCCGCGCACAACATCATCCTCGCCATGCGCAAGATCGGCGTCGACTGCGTCCAGCCCGAGAACCGCGCCCGCACCGAGCGCATCCTGGACTACGAGGTCTCCCCCGACGTGGCCTACTTCTTTGACGAGGACATGGCCCGCGCGATATACGAGCTCTGGCAGGACCCGATCATCCCCACCATCATGGACCACAGTAGCGAGTTCTACCTCATGGACAGCGCTAGCTATTTCTTCACGGAGGCGCTACGGATAGGCACGCGCGACTACGTCCCGACAGAAGCGGATGTGTTGCGCGCACGACAGAAGAGCACCGGCATTACAGAAACGCGCTTCACGCTCGGCCCGCTATCGTGAGTACCCGCCCTCCCCACTGCGTGTGCGGGGCTGACCCTAGCGTGGCAACAGAATACACATGTTTGACGTGGGCGGCCAGCGGTCGGAGCGGAAGAAGTGGATACATTGCTTCGAGAGCGTGACGAGCATCATCTTTTGCACTGCTCTCAGCGAGTACGATCAGGTGCTCCTCGAGGAGCGGAATCAGGTCAGTCTCGCAGGCATCTCTTGCAGACCATCGGACGCTGACGACCGGGTAGAACCGGATGGCAGAGTCGCTAGTGCTGTTTGATTCGGTGATCAACTCGCGGTGGTTTCTCCGGACGTCCATCATCCTGTTTCTGAACAAAATCGATGTGTTCAAGAGCAAGCTGCCAAAGGTACCACTGGAAAAGTACTTCCCAGAGTACACGGGAGGGCCGGACATCAACAAAGCAGCGAAATATATCTTGTGGAGATTCATGCAGGCGAACCGTGCGCGGTTAAGCGTGTATCCCCAGTATGTGTTCTTCTCTTAATGAGCGCATCACAATCACTGATGAAGGGCTTCAGTTTGACACAGGCGACGGATACGGGTAATATCAGACTTGTCTTTGCAGCAGTGAAGGAGACAATACTGCAGAATGCCCTCAAGGATTCGGGAATCCTATGACGGACGGAAAGTACTGTACACTTATTTTTGGTTATTCATGGTACGTCTGCATTCCTTATCGTTCTGCTCATGAGTGTTGCGCCCTCCTATGTTGCTGACAGTCTATTCGCGTTTGTAGGGTCCCATCTGCAGTTTCTCCATCTCCATCCTCATCTGTCGCTCATGTATGCACGCACACCATCCGGACATCTCATCCATCTCGTAATCCACTGTCTACGCCTACACCTGTCACTACCTATACGTCGCCTGCCGCTCTGCCATCTCTGCGTCTCCCCTGTGCCATCACTACCCTCACGACCACGACGTCCCTCTGCACCGTGCATCCCCAGCCTCGCCTCTAGCTCCTCCACCTGCCCTCGTTCTCGGCGGCGGTTTCGTCCTCGCGTTGTGGCCGGTCCACGCCAGACCCGATCTACTTCAAACCTACTCTCTTTCCTGCCTAGCACCCCACATCTCGTCGCGGGCTTCTGTTTCCCATGACACATGAACACACGCTATCGTACTCACTGCCCCGCCCGACTCTATCGTATCATCCCGTCTACATCCACGCCTTGCCTGCGCCAACACATCTTATGACATCCCGACTGCTTCCCAGCCTTGCCTCTAGGTTCACCCATCCCACTATCGGTTCGCTCGGACGCCTGAACGTCGGCGGAGATGCAGGTGACAGCAAAGACCCGCAGATAATTGATGGACATGGCCCACCCGACGCCACAAGCGCCCCCTCCAGTGCACCTTGCCGCACACTTCCCCCGGATTCCTACCTCACTCTCGGCGACTCGGGCAAGGGTGCAATGCAATGCACTGCGTGCCGACCGTGGTGATGTGCGTCATGCGCGGGAGGGTTTCGTTATTGTCGGATCAAGCCTCAGAACGCGGCCGTGCGCTCACGTCGGATCGGACGTTGGGCCGCTCCGTCGAGGATGACCTTTCGACTACAAAGGCCTGACTGTCCGGTGGGTGCCGTGGCGGTGATCCTCGACGTCTCGATCGATATATGGCTTGATAGCGCAGCCGCCGGGTTGTGACCGAACGACGCGAACTAGCGTGTACCACCGTACCTCCGCGCAATTTCTCATGGCTGGTCGTCCACCTGCATCACACAATCCCGACAAGATCGCTTCTCCGCCTCCCCTGTCTCTATCTGCGCAGCTTGGTTAATGCGGGTCTTGACTGTTCGAGAGCCCATCCTGTCGTCCTGTCATCCTTTACGTCCTTCCGTGTGTATAATTTACCTTGGTATCATGACTTCACTGCCAACATCGTGAAGTGCAGCATTGCATTCATCTGTATCATTTACCGTTGTACGTTGGTTGGCCTCATTCGGTCTGACTACGATCACTGTCGTTTACTTATTCTCACGGTCCCGTATACCTGCGTTGGTCCCGGCGTCGGGCAGTCGCGAGTTCCCTCCTCGACTGAGCGGCGTTGGCGGCTGCGCTGGACTGGGGTCTGCATCGCACTGTGGACACCTGCCGCCCGTCTGTTCCTCCCCTGTTTGCATTCCCGAGGTTTCATTTTCTCTTCTGAAGGGCAGGTGGTCGGGCCGTTGGGACTTTTCATTTACGTATGTGTAGGAAGGTGACTGTATTCTCCAATTTGCCTCCGAGCGAGTGCACGCATGGGAGGGTGTAATATTACCATAGACATCTATGCATTTCATTCAGTCGCTTCTAGGCCATGATCGTGGTTGTGGGTGGGCCGTGAGGCCAGCGATGGAAGCCGCAGCGAACCCTACAGAGTGACGTTACTCTTACTCTTGCGCGTCGCCTGTGTTATATGTGTATATACGAGCCATGGGTGGCCTGTACCACCAATGTACTAGCAATGTAAGTGACGACTTTGCATATTAGTGCGGGGGGACATGTCCTCGACTGTGTTGAGTATCACGGTACCAATGCCTTACGAGAACGCGCCTGGATTCCGTATACCGGAGCCTCCGTGATCTACCTGTAGTGATTAAGCTTAGTGGACCAAGCCTGTGTCATCGTGCATCATGGATCATGGATCATGGTCGGTCGCCGGTAACGCCGCTGTCTAGTATGTAAGTAGGGTGGTATCACTATCATCATATTCTAGTTCCATCCCACCTGTCTTCAACCCGGACTGCGACGCCTCCCCAGTAGAACGAGTCTGGAGCCTGAGCTAAGCATGGCATGCGCCCGACTTATCCGCACAGGCCCACAGTGACATATGTAAGTATCTTGTATCAAATCGTACGAACCAATTTCGCATGAATTCAGAAGGCAAAAAGCTATTCGGATACGGGGAATTGAACCCCGGGCTATCGCGGTCATAGAATGAGAGGCGATAATGTTAGCCACTACACCATATCCGACGCCCAATAAGTCGCTCGAAAAACCTGCGAGGAGAATGTGGAGATGTGAACATAAGCCATTCAGTCCTCCTCGAGGCAATTTGAAATGCATGTTAAACTGCAGAAGATCTAACGAATTACGAGACCCTGGTCAGCGAACATGTTGAACTTGAAAAAGCATCGCATCAGTAAGCGCTGGGCGGTCGATACAAAGCGTATCTCGATCTCATGGCGTTTGATGTGGCTGCCAGCGACTCGGAGGAAGGCTGCATCTCTCGCATGGGCCTCGCGCTGTGCAAAACGTGACATCAGTACTCTCGCGACTACGTATTTTACATATGTAGCATATCATGCCATTGAGACGGTGCGAAGTCCTTTTTCTTCTCATGATATTCCTTGAATTTCCTTTGACTCTTCAAGGATTGGATGGCTTGACCCTTGCCAGTGTCGGCATCACTGCTCTCTGCCTACACTGCGTTGACCATATGGTCTTTATCCCAAATTCTGGAGCCCATACTTAGCGACATGCCTGCTGCTCAAGAGATATTCGGATGCACGAAAACCGTCGCTCATCGCAAGATCCATGCCACTGTCAGTTCGTGGTCGCATTTGGCCATGACACCCATCGATGCCTCACGACTGAAGACGAGGGCAATAGTCCTGACAATCACTACCGGCTCCGGCATCTCGTGAGCTCCTAGATGTTCGCGAAGTTTGCAGGTCCTGCACGCGGCAGCTTGCATTGTTCGCCATATTTGGTCATTGTACATTTCATTGTACCAGCGCTATAAAGGTGAGCACTTTCAGAGTGACCGTCACAGCCTGTCTATACCACGGGGTCCGACTGCGACAAGAACCGTATCAGAAAAGTAGAAAGGTACGTTGTGGACCGGAACCGCTCATAACGGCAACAGACTGGTGCAGTCGCATCTCGTCATTTATCATCCGTTTGAACGCTTCCGAGAACAGCTTGGGCCATGTCTCTAACCACCCAGCTCGTGCGCGATGGCATCCTGGCAGAGATATGTCGCCACTTCGATCCTTGCCTCGATCTTGCTGAGCCACAGCTGAACAATCCAATGGCTCGCCGGCAAGTACCAGAACAGGTGCGTACGGACAGACGCGCACTCGCCGCGCTCGCGCGAACATGTCGCGCCTTCACCGACGTCGCGTTGGACGCCCTCTGGGGACAGCTGGACTCACCGGAACCCTTTCTCTGTCTCCTTTTCCGGGAGGTAAGGCGCGTGCCTGCGGATGACCCTAAGCTCGCCGAGGACACATTCGAAGGCATGGTTCTGGTATGTCAACACCTCTGCCTTCTATGAATCTATGTGATCAGTCACCCACAGACGTCTTTCAACGCGGGCCTGCCGATACAGCGTGCGCGCGTCGCATGGTACGCACAGCGCGTGAAGTCGCTCCGCATACTCAAAGAGGATGTAATTCACCCCTCCATGTTCCTACAACCTTCCATGGTCCGCGAGCGTGACATCAGCACCGGCCTGGAGCGGCCGCTGCTTCCCTCGCTTGAGGAAATCTTCTGTGAACCCTCGCCAGCAATGGATGAAGCGATAACGGTCTTCGCAGGCCCTAACCTCATGCGTGTCACCTTCAGTCTCTCATATCGCCAGACCAAGTCGAAGCAAGAGCTGACCGGCGAAGACTACGCACTGGCGAGCATCATCCACAACCTCGCCAGCTCGGCGCCATATGTGGAGGAACTCTTTGTCACGCATGTTCCCTTCCCGCGGACGCTGCTCGGCATTGAGGGGCTCCGGAACATTCAGGTGCTCGACATCCATGGAACGGAATGCACTACGGACCTTCTGCGCAAGCTATCCTATCTGGGGCGTCTGAATCGACTGACGCTCACCGCGTCCGCAGGGGGTACTCCGCTATCGTCAAAAGCGTTCTGCCAACTGAAGCACGTCCGATTCATCAAAGGCACGTTCACGGGTATCTCCCGCGTCCTGCGCTCGTTTGGAGTCTGCCAGCTAATCACCCTTAACGTTGCCAACGCGATGGCCTGGTCAGTCCGGTGTCTGAAAGAATTCACCACGTCCGCGTTGGCGCTGTGCCTTCGCTCGCGATGCACCCTCATCACTCTGTCCATCCGGGCGGCAGCTGCCCAAGAGCACGGGGAGGACCCGACGAATCTGCCGTGGCTCCCGCTTCCGGAGCTTCTCCAGCCATTCTTCTTCTGTGCACAGATGTCGACCTTCGAGCTGGGTATCCAGTCGCTCGTCGCCATATCCGACAACGATCTTTCTCTCGTCGGGACGCGCTGGCCCCATCTCACGCGCCTTGATCTAGTGCATACCAATGCGATCTCGCCCATACCGACCTTCGACGGGATCATCCAGCTCGTGGAGGACTGCCTGGGCTTGCGCATCCTGCAGCTGCCCATCGTCGCCGCTCCTACGCCCAGCCCAGTCGACTGGCCCGTGCTCCGGAATGGCCTCGAGGTGCTCGTGATCGCTCGCCAGCTGTACCCCGAGCGCGAGGTGCGGGTGTTCATAGACGACCGGGAGATCATCGCGCAGATTGCGGACAGGCTGTTCCCAGAGCTGGACGTGTACGAGAGCTGCGAGGCCACGAAGGCGCTGGAGGGCGGCATGCATTGTGAGTGGAGGAAGATTGTGGACGAGGTGGGTTATCTGCGGTATTTGAGATGGGTGGAGGGAAGGCGGGCTTTGTACTTGGTCAGGGTGAATGACCCTATGCCCACGGGAGAGTCAGCACAATCGTCTCCCGCGCAGTCGTTCATGGTTGTCAAAAGATGAGTTACTGGGTCACGTTTCCTCGCCAATGCCCTATCTATACTGTACACCCGTCGTTATACCATCAGTTCAATCCTACAACAACATAGTCACGCCAAATATAACACCCAACATCGAAGTAATCACACTATGCATCATCGAAACTTCCACACGAAGGCTAGTCCCAGCATTGGCTGTCGTTCCCGATGCCGAAGTCGTTGTTGAAGTCGTCTGCGCGGTCGAAGTAGCGCCGCTCCCCGTCGTCGTCACGATTCTCCGTAATAGAGCACGGATAGGGATGAGCCGAGCGATGAGTAGTCCGACGAGAGCGATGCACCATATGCGGAGTATTCCGACGAGAGGAACGATCCGTAGGACGAATACGCCGAAGACACTGATACCGCCTTCGACGAGCCGGAGACAAGTGCAGACGAGGCTGCCGCGGTGAAAGTCGAGGCATCAGAGGAAAGGCTGGACACAGCTGAGACTGAGATTTCGGACCCCGGTATAAGTCGCGTGATGGAAGCGTCGCATATTTCTCGAGAAGACCTACCGTATGCGCATTGGTCCTGATGTATGGTCTGTGCTAGCTGTGCCTCTGCCGCGGTGCATTTACTTTGAAAGCACGAAGTTGCTGCATTTTCGTACGCTGTCGACGCGCATACGCAGAATAGGTCTGTGCTAAAAACGACAGGGCTCAGCTTGCAGAAAGAACGAGCACATCCGACATATGAACTCACTAAAACGGACAGCCTGCGGTTGAAGCAGCCTCATTGACGCACGCGAAGATGCACGAACTGGCCGGGTAGCTAGTCGCTACCGCCGAACTGCTTTGGGCGACCGACCTGCAGGTAGCGGCGAGTGCAATGAGCAGGGTAGTGATGGGCCCTTGCATGGCTGACTTAGCGGGGCAAGAGAGGCGAAGGCAGACTTCGTTACTTAAAGGACATTTGCTAAGCGTCTGCGGGGCTAGAGTGCGTTGCCAGATAGCCTCGCTGCTGCCTTGCCGCAGTATAGACGCCCTCGTGTACCGGGAATCGTACGACATTGCTGGTAGGAGGAGAGCGCAGTACCAAGACATCGTTGCACGCAAGGCGATTCAAATGCTACAGGACCAATCCGGATGGTCTGCGTGCGCAGTGCACGATGGCGGCGCCCGGCGAGAGGGCTGTGTCATTATCTGCCGTAGTTCAAAGGCCCTCAACTTTGGGTCCGAGGAAGCTGAACCGAAGCTCCCCCGCCAACACGTATGTCAGACTGATCAAAATGCAAGCAAGAGATGCGTACTGGTGATCATTTCCCGCGCAGCCATATATGTCTATATGTATTGCAGAACAGAAAAGGCCGTCAATACTAGTCTTCCATTGAGCACCACTGTCATGTACAATGCAGCACGCAGCCCATCATACAATGCCAGGCCTCACAATACCAAGGAAATACCGAGAGCGATACCGAGCATCGTAGTAACGCACACGACCATGCCGCTCTGCACAAACGAAGCATCCAACCGAGCGCTGACCCCAGCGTTGGCAGTCGTAGAGTGCGTAACCACAACTGTGGCGCCGTTTGATGTGGTCGTCACAACATTCCCCGTCGTCGTCGCCAACACGGATAGGGACGAGCTGAGCACCGAGTAGTCCGATGAGAGTGAGGCCCCATACGCGGAGTACTCCGACGAGATATGCGAGCCGTAGGACGAGTACGCCGAGGAAAGGGACGCGTACTGCGACGAGTCGGAGATGTGCAAAGCCGAAGCGGCGGCGGTGAATGTCGAGGCAGCCGAGGAGAGGCTCAATAGGCCCGACACTAAGTAAAGAAGACTTAGGAATTTGTCGCGTCTGACACATCGTGGGACCCACCATATGAGCATTGATCCTGGTGCAGGGTCTGCGCAGCCTGGGCCTCTGCTGAGGAACATTTGCTCTGCAAACACGAAGTCGCTGCTTTTTCGTATGTTGAAGACCCGCATACGCAGAGGAGGTCTGCACTGGGTACGGGACAGGTCAATTGTCGCATAAAGGATGAGATATCATCGTGCATATACTCACTAGCTTGAGCAGCCTGCACTTGAAGCAGCCTCAACTATGCACGTAATGATACATGTGTCGCCTGGGAGAGCCGTAGTGCTTTGAGCTACGGCACTATAGACAGCCGATATGGCAAAGAGCAGAGCAATAATGGGAACCTGCATGACTGAAATGGCGGGGCGAGAGTGTCAAGAGGGGCAAGGTGCGAAGAAGGCGAGGGCACGATATTAAGTTGCACTCACAAGCGTCTGCGGAACCAGTATGCCACATTTGCCAGAACATGAGTAGCCGCCTCCAGAACACCTCTGGTTGGTGGACCGCACGACATTTCGTGAGAGGTGTGCCTGTACTACGGGCATATCACCGTACAAGGTTTCAATCCAACTTGTGAATGCGATTCCAGACAACAGAGATGATGATCTGCCAGACGCAGTCAGGCGGCCGAAGCGAAACGAGTCACCGTGCGCTGTTCAGTAGCAGGTCCCAGAAGTTTCAGTGATCCTACCAGCGCATCTCATTTGTTGCCAGAGAAAATGAGTCAGACTGTTATTGGTGGTGCCGTGCGCTGTCACTGTCAACTGAGGACGTGTGTGTGATGGTTGAGGAGAGGAGTAGGACACAGCGCGCGGCGCTGGGCGCGTCTGTGATGTGGAGCCACCGTGATGCTCACGTGACCGTGACCATCCGCGTTGCAACGCGACCGCTTGCCAGTGGCAATCTCGAACTCTGTCCTCGCTCAAGTGTCACCGCCACGTTCGGACACGACTTCTCTGCGGATCGCATTAGCGTCGAAACCTCAAAATTCAGGTCTTGGGAGCGAGTGAACCTCAGCTTGTGAGTACATATGTGTAATCGTCACTACTCCCAGTTGTTCACACAAACTCTCCGCGGCATACTAGAAACATGGGTAGTGATAACATGCCCGGCAGCGTGAACATCGCTCAGCCTCGCTCGCATTGCACAGGCGGCAGGTCTTTGCACCGTCGCACCAACATCAACGACCTTCCGTGCGACATTCTCATCTTCATTCTGTGCGACGTATTCCAAGAGACGCCGCGTTTCCTGTGTCCGCAGGGCGCTTCAGACTGGGACGACATGAAGCCTGGGCCCCGAGCTCCTTATGATGACCGGAGCCCAGAGCGTGCCTCTGCCGAGTATCTCGCTTCCGTCTGTCCTTTGTGGCGGGAAGCCATGTCCAACATCTCTACCTTCTGGACACAAATCATCATCTGGACCGGCCGTGACTCTACCCCCCTCTCAAGGATTTACCAATACCTGACCTGGTCGCGGAACCAGCTCCTCGACATTTTCATTATGCGAAGGTTCGACCCGTCTGTGGACGATCGTATGGAGAAGGCGCAGGTCCAAGCCATCGTCGGCTTACTCTTACCTCATGTTGGCCGTTGGAGGACTCTTTGTGCACGAGTCCTTCACGCCAGCTCGCTCCCAATCCCCCGCATCGACCTCGTAGGACACGCGGGAAACCTAGTCAAGCTCCATCTCGATTTTCTTGTCGATGACGCCGTTGCAAATACCACGGCAGCCTCTCTCATAGCTTACCACTTCGATACCCCTGTGCTGGAGAGCCTCGCTATGGGTGGTGTCCACTTCCGTGAATCGTACGCCACCCTAACCCCCAGTCACCGATGCCACCCACCCTTCGTTACCTCACCCTCACTGATTACGCCTCACGCCAAGAGCCCTTCCCTGTCATAGACCTGCTAATGGCTCTCGTAACTGCAAGAGGCTGCGCGAACTGATTTTGACAACCTCCAACTCCACTCTTCCGGGTACGCCGGCCCAGCCTTTCTGCCGCGGGGTTGGGACGTCGAAATCAGCTTCATCGACATGTGTGGCGACGTCATCGAGGCATACACCCGTCTCCTTGATTATCCTTATGTTGAGTCCGTGGCGTACTCGCGCTGCACGTTTCCCCCTCGCAACATCTCCGAGCTGGGACCCGTAGGCGCCTCGTACATCGTCTCCCTCGACGAGATCGCGGACCCGACAGCACTCTTCTACTTCCTCACTACCGTGGCGGGCAGCGTATCCTGCACCCAAGCGTATATCGACGACTGTGACGGCCTTCAGGCGAACGTACTCCGCCAGCTCGGTGCTCCGGTGCCAACCGAACACGAGGACGAAGGATGGCTGTGCCCATACCTGAAAGAGCTCCACATCAACGGATGTAAACACTTCAGCAGCGCGGATCTGCGCGCGATGGTGGAAGCGCGCTACAGAGCGCACGAGGAAACGGGCTTTGCGGAGGAGCACGACGACGAGTACGTGGTGAGGTCGGTGTTGGAACTCTATGTGTATGACTGCTGCGAACTTGCTCCGGAGGACCGGGAATGGTTCAGTAAGCATGTGGAGATTGTTCATTGGGATGGTTGGATGGGCGAGACATGAACGACAGTCGTCGGGACTTTCACGGAGCCATAATCCATACATGCTGTTCAGCATTCTTCCAAGGAGCTGAGGGACAGATAGCGTGTAGTCGTATACCGTAGAAGGCTCAGAGTTTGCAGTTGATCCCGTACATACGACCATCTCTGACATTCTAAAGGGAACTACTTGACGAACCCAATACCATTCATACGTACACTTAGTCTGGCTATAAATACCTCCCGCTCTCGGTCATGCTGAGAACTTGTCACAACTCAGTAAGCTGTATGTGTACTTGGACGCTTTCGCCTGAGCGGCTGATGCCGCCCACTCGGCCGTCGCTCTTTGCTTTATTTCATGACTAAGTACGCGTCACTGCTGCATGAAGATGATCTACATTAATTCCACCTCAACCACCTGCGGCTTGATATCTCATTTACACCGGTATCGTTCCTACGACGCGCTGGCCAATGTCATGCTCTATCCTACCGCGCGGTGTCAATCAGCGACTCGGACGGCCTTCAGCCAACTCTTTGGGAGTACTGGTTATTCATGAATAAATACACGTCGCCGACCTTACTGCGTCATCATCATCAGCATCGAATCCCACTTCTCGTGTCCTACACCTATCTACCACCACAACTGACTGATGGCATGCCGTTGAGAGTTGCGGCACATCTAGCAGGATTAGATATACAAGTCGAGTTCGCCGAGCTGGGAAGACATAACGACGCGGCTCCCGGGAAGTGGGAAGGTGTTGCGCGGTGAGTCAGGCAAGTGGATATTGCCAGAGATACCACGGTCGGTCAGTGAAGTGACACGCATCGCCCTGCCGAGCCGATCATGCTCCTGATCGAAGTGAGCCAACGGTTGATTCCAGCCGCCCCAGGTGTTCATGTTCATGGAGAAGTCGCCAATGTACGTATCGGGTAGCGTCACGGTCGTCGGGGCGAAGGTGTTTTGTGTGGTCACGCTCAACTGAGTCTTCTCCGCGGCAGCGATCGTAAGGTCGATGGGTGCGTCACTGGTTCTGACTTCGATGGGGAACACTGGCTCGAAGCGGCTCGAAGCGTGCGACTTGACGAGATCAATGTTGGCGACGATAGCTCTGAAGAGACGGTTAGAACCTAGCAGGCTTGACCGATGTATCCGACCGCAGTGCTCACCGGTTCGTCGAGGTCATCTTCAAGTACGGAGACGCGTAGAACCTGCCATTCGCATACGACGGCCCGCTTGGCATTGTGACGCTGGCGTTCGCCCTGATCTCCCCGTTGTAAGCATTGATGTCGATGCGCGCCGCCCTGAATGTCCCGCTGATAGGTGCATTCATAGTACGGAGGTTGAGTGCCGCCGTGGCTATGAGCGACTACAGCGGACGTGAGTACATGAGGAGTGGAACCGGCAATGAACCAGCGTACCTCTGCGTGAATGGGCATGTTCCTTGTGCTCAAAGAGAAATCTTCAAAGGTAACACGGCCCTCAAGATCGTCAATGATGACTTCGAAGTCCTGAAGAGCGCCAGAGACACTGCGAAGCTGCGTAGGAGATGTAGCGGACCCAGCAGGTAGGCGTACGGTCACTTCGAACGCCGTTTTCAAGGAGCGTGACATGAACCCCCCATGCTAAAGTAGTTGCAGATGAGTTAATGAACACCGAGTCTCAAGTGACATCAGGTTTACCGCGGAGCCAATACGCAGGCCTGTACTCCCGTGCCAACCCCAAGGACCTGTCCGACACACTTCGATGTTTTGTCGGAAAGTAGGCCAGTCATCCATGAAAGCGGTTACATCGATCGTGATATTGCGACGCTTAGTCTGATTAGCAACGTCGGTGCTGTTGTCGAGAACGAAGCGGATAGAGCCATGCGAGGCAAACGCGTTGAGTTGTAAGTTGGCAACGTCGCCAGGGACGCTGAAGGAGGTGCTCGCGGCGCGCCGATACTCCTGACGGCCTCGACGGTAGTAGGGCTGGTCTAGATGAAGAGAGAGTTCCGCAGGATTGGCGCATCTCAGAACGGTGGGCACGGGACGATAGGAGTGCTACGGCAGCCACGGTCGCATGAGTTCAATGGTAGAGACGGCCATGTGTATTACATACCCTGCGAGCGCGGCGCACGATGGCGACCACAATGGGAGGAACAGTGGCTGCCAGAATTACCAGGACAAGCAACACGTAGTGCCACCAACGCAAGCGAAACTGCTTCTTCTTGATAGCCGTCCAGTAGTTGGTGAAGCGAGAGGGGGCGTTCGGTTCGTTGTCATGAGTCGCCTCCTCGTCCTCCGGGAGCCGCACGCGACCTAGCCGCCCAAGTGAAGGGTAGTCAAACGTGACATACTGAGGAAGGCTGGGGAGCTGGATGGTAGGGACTGTGAAATGCATCGCAGATAGATGGCTAGAGAACCGCGACAGCATCCCTTTCTCCTCGTGAGATGTAACTCGACAATCTGCGGCATCGGGAACGACAGGAGGCGTGGGGTCGGTAGCAGTGGGGAGCAGTCTATCGGTCTCTCCAGCTACCAGTTCCCCTGCAGCGTCGACATAGGAAGGATTTCCGGACGAAGGACTGTGTTCAGCGCTCTCGTCGAAGGTGACGGAGGCCGAAGTTGGACCATTGCCCAGCCTCGAAGACGGCGGGGTTGACGGCGGGGACAACGGCGGGGACGACATACGAGAATGACAGTGTTGTTGAAGTTACTGTGATGAGGGACACAGATCTATACGCAGACAGACATATATATGGGACAGGTACCGACCGCAGCGTGTCGTCGGGACACGGGTTCAGTACTAGTATCTGATCCCGCAGCTGTGCACACTGCGCAGCTGTCAAATACGCCCAACAGCACCGGTAACGTGTTTGGTGCGATCTCGGGTTGATGGATGAGTCAATACCCATTTGACGTACGTCAGTAGCTCTGTTTATACCTGACAGCAGATGCTAAGTACTTAGGCTAAGTAGAAAACGTACCAATTATGATCTACCTCGCAGCAAATGAGAGCGACGTTTATTGGACTTGAGCCGGGCGACTCAGAGGGCCGTTCGCAATGGGAGATGTCCAAGTCTGCACGATTGCGACTATCCGCGGCTGCCGTGACGGTCGTGGCAGGCGACCAATGTGTTCTGCGAAGCTCATGCTATGTATAAGAATGTGGGGCTGCGGCATGGCGGCACCGTCAAAATCGGTCTCACTTACCCTATCAGCACCCGCTCGTGTACTGGTGGGGCACTACGGTCCACTTGGACTGACAAAGTGCCATGTCACGAAGCTGTGGATGATGAACAAGTACTTCAGTTACTTACTACTGTTCCGTATCGCTCAACTCGCTGAAAAGCCTGTACAAGCAGCGTGGCGGAGAGCAGACCAGACCGAGTTTTGAAGCCGAGATTGACTGGCACTGCAGAACGTGCATCACCTGAAAACAAGGCCAGCCCGTAAAGGCCCTGGGCACGCTGTTTCGGAGAGGTCTAGTAGCAATGTGGAATGAGCTGGCTAAACGGACTCATCCTCCTTCGGGGGAAGGACACGGTCGTGTACCCGCGCGGCGCTTCGGCTGCGATTAGCCGCAAGTGAGTCTCTCACACCTGTGGGCGTCTCCGCTTGGTCTCCGCTAAGACCGACAGCGCGGGACGCGGGGAATTGACTTGACAGAAACCGCCTCACTGAGCCTGAGGACACGGGCTTGCAATGTATCTTCGCCTCGGAACCGCCACATGTACACTTATCAGAATCATTCCGTTGATCGTCCAAGTAATGTACCAGAGTCCATTCCTTGCTATCGCTACAGTACAGCCTCTTACTCCAACGCAACAGAAATGCAGTACAATACAGTAGGCCAATCCAACAATCGCAGGCTAAAAATAATGACTGTAGTCGTCATCGCAATCCTGATCCTGATCCAGCTCCTCACGGTGCTTGCGCGACGGTTTCGCTTCCCTGCGCAGGAGCCGCCGGAACGAGTTGCTCTGCTGCAGCTCGCGTTCGAGCTCGGCAATGCGGCGGGAGGCGTCGACTAAGCTTACGACGTTGCCTGTACAACACAAACACGATGTCAGTACTGTCGCTCCCCAAAAGGACATGTTATCCGGCACTGACTTTCATCGCCGAATCGACTAAAGCGATGGATATCGCCATCGTTTCTTGACGGAGAGCGCCTGCGCGGCTCAGGCTTCGGGGTATAGACGCGCGAATCTTCGCCGACGTCGTGACGAGGCTTGCAAGGGCATTCGTCAGAGCGCGGATGCTCGCCGAGGTAATAGCCAAGGACCGACGCAGCCTCGTCGTCGTCCCGTCCGTCGACAGAGCTGCCGAAAGATGTACTCGTAGTGTCGCTCGACGCTGACGAGCCCGAGCCCGCATCCGCGCACGCATCATAGCCCTCCTGGTACGGCTGGTGCGGGGAGGGTGCATACCGGCGGCGGTGCGCCTCCTCCGCGCGGCGGCGCGCAAGGTCCGGCTTCTGCGTGACGAAGCGGCGCGTGCCGGGCGGGGCGACGTCCAGCAGGCCCTTCGACAGGCGCTCCCAGCGGTCGAGCATCCACACGGCGAGCGTGCGCCCCGCGGCGTAGCTCGCCCCGCCCAGCAGGTAGAACCCGAACTTCTCCCCGATGACCTCCGCGCTGATGCCGTTGCCGGTGTACGCGAGCACCTGCTTGAAGAAGTCGAAGAGGTACACGAGGAGCGAGAGGCGCTCGACGGGCAGCAGGCGGAGGACGTGCTGGGCGATCTCGATGAGCGGCGCGTCGAACGCCTCGCGGATCGCGCGCCGCTCCGTGGGCGTGAGCGACGCGGGCTCGATGATCTCGTGCTCCATCTCCGGGATGGTGCCGCGGAGCGTCTTCCGCGTCCGCTTGGTTACGGGCGGAAAGATGATATCCCACTCGCGCTTGAGCACAGGGTTGACACACCACTTCCAGAGACCGTAGTTGAGGTCTTGCGGGATGAGCGGTTCGGGGAGATGCTCCAGGATGGTCTCAAACAACCCGCAGATGTCGGCAGTGCTGGATCTCGCGAGGGGGCCGATGCGCACGCCTAGAGGGCGCTTGTAGCCGTGGTCGAACATGCGCCGCATTTTGTCGATATTGTGCTTGATGGGCGTGCCGCGGAAGAGATTTGCATCATAAATGCCTGTACAACGGTGTGAGACAGATCCTGGAGCCTCATGACGGATCTGGCGACCTCACCTGTTCTGTAAAGCTCTTCAACACACTCGTAGATGACAGCAGGCAGATCATGCTGATACCCGTTCATGACGATCGTGGTGGATGAGACCTCCATCATTTCGAGAACGGACATGTGGTATATTCCTACAACGACGCCACACATGATTAGAACGCAACAGAATGCCCAGCAATGAAAACTTACTCGGAGGCTTGCCGTCAGGGTTCTCCTCCTGTTCAGGAGGATCATCCTTGTGCTTCAGAAAATGTTCTCGGGCCTCACGCTCAAACTTCTTCTGCTCGCCAAACACCCGAAGGTCGAGATAGTCCGCCAGCCTCTCCTGACGTTCATGAAGCAGCTGGGTAAGGTCGTTCATCACGTCCTTGTGATCGGCGATCTGGAAGGGCAGCCGGGGCACGGGGCTGCCCTTCTTCCCTACAAGCTTGGACGTCTGGTCGGCGTCCCGCTTCTCCGGCGACGGAGAGTTTGACTTTGAGAACGGGGCTGACTTCCGCACGGCTGCGGAGGTAGCGCGGCCCCGCGTTTGACGGGCATGCTTCCCCTCGGTGTCGGAGCCATCTGAAGACTGCCCCGCGAGCCTGCTGGGTACGGAGGGGACCGTGCTGGACCGGGGACGGTGTCGGTGATGCTCGGGGAAGGGAGGAAGATGGCCGCAGGCGCGGGCAACGTAGTCCTCTTCCGCGTTTGTGTGGGACGTGCTGCGCGGTCTGATCGCAGAATCTGGGGTGCGAGTGTGGGGTGCGGGGTCTGATGAGGAATGAGGCCGCGATCTGTCGGTGGTGGAGCGTTGTGAAATTGCCGGGTCGTCATGTTTGATCTGCGCACCGAGTGCAGATGATGCGGAGGAAGATTTAGAGGCTTGGGCTTGCGGGGTCGGTTTCTTCAGGATGCCTCGAACGGGCGAGACAGCATGGTGATTGGCGTCCGCGATAGTAGGTCGGAGGATCCCGCGCAGGGGGAGTTGAGGTCGCGTTGCGGGGACAGATGACGAGCGTTGCTTGCCGGAGGCTGTTCGCGATGTGTTGACTGCGTCGGGGGAAAGAGAGCGTGAGCGGTGAGATGACGGCATGGGGAAGGTCGCGACGGCGTAGCAAATGTGTACGCAGCGATTCGTGGATGGAGAAATGAATCACCGCCAGGCCACCTCGACGATGTTTATATGTATTTCTGCGACCCTGAGCGCGGACATGAACGCACGGATGCTGAGGATCCGTGCGCCCACCACATCCGCCACCGGGTGACATTGCCGTACTTGGTCGAGATGCGAACGGCAACCGCCGTCCCGCCGTTTTGCCTGTTTGGGACGAGACGTGGCTGGGAGAATTGATCCGCCCACGAGCGTTCCGTGCAGCCGTGCCGCGGGCGATCGCTGGCGAGCGCCGGGCCAGCGGCTCGTGTCCGTGCTGTTCCTTGTTCCTTGCTTATCTTTTGCTTCCCCCTTCTTCAATGTGAGACTAACTTGTGATTCCTTGCCTCTCCCGTTTGTGAAATGTCGATCTATGTGCGACTCGTGCCCTCAGTGAGGCAGACAGAAGTTGGACAGAAGAGGTGAACAGAGCTTCGGAAAAGCCGGTCGCAGCAAGATCCGGAAGAGCCGTGGGAACACGGCCACGTGACACACTGCAGTGGGGCCAGGCGCCAAAGTATTAGGCCGCGATCGCGTTCCGGAATCCGCACTGGCAGTGCCGGAATATCGCAGCCGCTCGCAATTTGTTCGTCGCGGCCCCAAGAAGATTGAAAACATGCAGCAAGCTTCTGCAATCGATGTGCATGTGCGGGACGTGCGAGCGGATACCATTCGCGGAATGCGGGTTTGATCTCTCATTTGTTTCCGAATGTCTCTGGATGTCTCTGACGATATTACAGCGATGTTGGAGCGTGGCGGGCGCCGCGTGTAAACGCTGCTGGAGTGGGACTTACGTTCTTCTTTGTCCTCCACGGCAGTCGCTCGTGGAGCAGATGAGTCATGGCCTGCTGGGGAACGCCGCATTGTACGAGATGAATGCTCGTCCCCAGGTCATCGGGGAGGCCAGATAGGAAGCAATACCGGTGCAGGAGGTACGATGACCGCGGTTCGACTTCTTGCGGGAGGACCTTCACTCGCCTGGATAGGTACTGCAGCGGCGAGCGCATGGCAACGCGCCGACTCCGCCCGTGAGACGCTCCCGAGGTGTCTGCTATGGAGCCCCCGAATCTGCCGATGAACCGACCGCAGGTGTGTCATCGGATGGTGCCCGGATCGTTTATAAGCCCGCACTTGCATCCGCATCTAAACACCCTCGCACAATTTGGGCCCCTCTCTACACCCGACGAGCGACCCCGCTGTGCTCCGCGACAACACCTCCTCTTCCCCGCGATTGCGTAGTGATCATGTTCAAGTCTCCGTTCGCCGCCCGGACGAACTCGTCCCGCAGCAGCAGCGAGAACACTGCCATCTCGGAGCCATTGCCCTCTAGAAATACCGACAGCGGCGCAGGTGGGAGGCCGCGGAGTCGAACCGTGGGCCACGAAGCCGCCCAGGTCCAGGCAGCGATAACTTTGGTGAAGGAGAAGCAGGACATCTCTGGCGAGGGATTGGAGGCCAGGACTGTCCTGCCGGACGGCCGAGTCGTCTTGACCGAAGCGGAGGCTTACCCAAAGCTTGGCTTCAGCTTCCCGACGTGGAAGAAGTGGACGATACTTTCCGTCATCTTCGCAATCCAATGTTCCATGAATCTCAACTCGTCGCTGTACGCCAATGCCGTCGGTCAGCTTGGACAGCACTTTGGTATCAGTGAACAGGTATGTATGTCCTCTCAAACGCCTGTGCGCCCCAACTCATTCGACGTGTGTAGGCTGTCCGAGTGGGCCAGATGGACTTCTTGATCGCTTATGCCTTCGGTAACGAGCTGTGGGCGCCGTGGTCCGAAGAGCTCGGACGGTGGCCCATTATCCAGCTCAGTCTGTTCCTCGTCAACAGTGCGTCCTCTCCTTCCGCCCTATCGTTCCCCTTCTGAACTCTGCTATTCTAGTCTGGCAGATTCCCTGCGCGCTCGCGCCCAACTTCGGCACCATCGTCGTCTGCCGGCTGCTCGGCGGCCTTTCCTCCGCGGGCGGGTCCGTAACGCTCGGCATGGTCGCCGACATGTGGACGCCCGAGGAGCAGCAGTTTGCGGTCGCCTTCATCGTCTTCTCGTCTGTCGGCGGCTCCGTGCTGGGTCCCATCTTCGGTGGCATCATCGAGACGCACCTCGACTGGCACTGGAACTTCTGGATCCAGCTCATTGTCGGTGTCGCCGTGCAGGCGGTGCACTTCTTCCTCGTGCCTGAGACGTGCTCGAAGGTGCTGATCGATCGCGAGGCGAAGCGCCGGCGGCAGTCGGGCGAGGACAACGTCTGGGGTCCGTCGGAGGTGGAGGAGCATAGGTTCGCGCCGAGGAAGATCATCACGATCTGGTTGCGTCCGGTAAGCAACAGTCTCCGCATCCCACGGAACGACCGCTAATTAGCCTGCACGCAGTTCTCCATGTTCATCTTCGAGCCCATAGTCCTCTTCCTGTCGCTCCTCAGTGGCTTCAGCGATGCCCTCATCTTCACCTTCCTTCAGTCCTTCTCGCCCGTCTTCGAGCAGTGGGGCTTCGACGTCGAGATGCAAGGTGTTGCCTTCGTCACGTGAGCATCTCGACTATTTAACCTCACCCCCACGCAGCCACCTAACATCTCTTCCAGGATCGCCGTCGGATACTGCATCGCCTACATCTCGTTCATTCCATTCATCTGGAGACAACGCAACCAGCTCCGCAAGGACCCTCATTCACTCCAACCCGAGGCCCGTCTATACTGGCTGCTATTCAGTGAGCAGCTTCCTGCATGAACGCCCCGCACATACTAAGCTCTGCCGAACACAGCTGCACCTCTCGAGCCGATCGGTCTGTTCGGCTTCGCATGGACCAGTCAGGGCCCACCCAACGTCCCGTGGATCGCCCCGATGATCTTCGCGGCGATGATCGCCATTGCCAATGTGCGTGCAGTTCCAATTCGTCCACTAACGATGGTGCCTGACTCTCCGTGTAGTACGCGATATACATGGCCACCATCGACTACATGATCCAGGCGTACGGTCCCTACTCCGCTTCCGCCACCGGTGGCAACGGCTTCGCGCGCGACCTCCTCGCTGGCATCGCCGCGATGTACTCCGTCCCTCGTAAGCACGCGTCTCCGGTTCACTCGCCCCCCGACACTGACGTGCCCGCGCCCCGCAGTGTACACGAACCTGGGCAAGTCCCACCCGCTGGAGTGGGCGTCGACGCTGCTCGGCTGCCTCTCCGTCCTCGTCACGATACCCATATTCATCTTCTACTTCCACGGGCCCGCGATCCGCGCGCGCTCCAAGTTCGCGCAGGAGATCAGCGGGGGGCACGAGCGGTTGGTGGCGGAAACCAAGATGCCCGTGGGCCAGGCATAGTCCCCCCTCCGCGCGCGGAGCGGGATCGTGGTGTGCTTGGGCCGGGAAGAGTCATGAGTTGATGCGCTCACGATTTTCATGACGGCTGCGACGCAAATGTGTTACAGTAGATCGGTCTCTTTATAGTCGCGTGTAGAGTAATGCACCTCTGTATTGCGCTGTTGTACAATCTACTCAATGCAATATTTATTCTCTGGGTTCATGAACGGTTACGTGTATTTTTCGGACGCTTGTCGGCTTATCCAGTCTGGACAGAGTAAGTTCTGGTACAGTGTCTATGTAGCGCGTCGGCAACTCACGGCATAAGAGGGCAGAAGATATTCTGATGCACGGTGTGTAGACAATCGGCACAACGATAGTACTGACATGCGAGGAACAAAGGTGGCATCATATCTGGGTGAGCACGTCCGTTCCACCATCAAGAATCTTGTTCATGTATGATCGCACCACGACAGTTGACTGGGATGTGAACTTGGACTTCCTTCCGTGGTGAAAAGAAGTTCAAATTCCGATTTGTATGGCACTCGTAAACAAGCTTAAGGGCCAAGCGGCGCAACATCACCATACCCGCCTCTCCACCCATCCCAGCAAACAATAGACACATGCTCATTCAACCACTCCCGATCTTCCGGTGCGAGCTCGCCGCAATCGCGCACATAGAGGTTGCTCACCGCTACTATGCCGGGGTGCTCAGTATCCCAATCCAAAGCGTGCGCCGCCGCACTCGCCGCATGCCAACGTGCCTCCACGAAGGCCCGGAGATCTGTGCTGCGGAACTTCGTGCATTCAGTGATTATGAAATGCTCGACCTCGGCGCACAGCCATTCAGCTGTGCCATCTGCCCTCGTTCGCATTGGCACCGCGAGGCGGCGCAACACCGCCGGGAGGAGGCCGTCACAACGCACGATCTCTGCTTGACAGCAAGCGACGCTGCTAGTATCCAGGCCAGTCGTCAGGTAGTATAGAAGCGCCCCCGGGCTAGCAATGTCAGTCAAGGTAACACTGAAAGCCTCTGGTAGTTCAGGGGGGCTGGGAGGGCGGGTTGGCAACGTGCACCGCGTATAGCACAGGTATCCGAGTGTCGGGCCATCGAGGAGCGAGCCGAATTCCGCGATGACATCAGCGGACATGTTGACGAAGCTCATCGGGGTGCGCCATCGGAAACCATCAGGGAGCACGGTAGAGAGTAGCCCTTCGCTGTCGTCACTGTAGCAGTCCAGGCTGAGCCCGTCGAGTTCGACCTCGCGCAAGTTGTGTGTGCGCACAAGGCACGCCAAGAGCTCATGGAGCGGGAAGGGTACATTGCGCTCGTCGTAGCTGGTGATCGTGAGCGAGAGGAGCTCAGGCGGCATTGGTGACTGTTCGTAGTTCTGCACGTACGCATGGCGAAAGTGAACGCCGCAGATCGAAAGATCCCGTAGCTTCGGAGTGTAGAACTCGTACACCGCGGGTGAGTCGATGTCGGGACTGGTGATTAAGTTGTCCAGCAAGAAATCGAGGTTGAGCCTGATCAAGTTGTCCGCATACCCGACGAGGTCTACGCGTGGACAAGGGAGCGACCTCGAGTGAAGGACCTTCATGCCTAGGACCCTCCACCGACCCATATGAGGCAACAGCAGCGCCATGATGGCGTCCACCTGAGCCTTCTCCGTCGCATCGTCCAGAGTCAGATCAAACCTCCGCACGATGTGGATGTCCAAGAGTCGGCCCCTTGACCATTCGAGGTACTCGCGAATCCTCGAAGGTGGAGTAGGGTTCCTGCCAATCCAAATAACGATGTGCGTCCAGAACATGGATATGCTCGACATGGCATCCCGCCAAAGCGGACTGACAGAGGCGAGGCATTCAGGGAAGGGGTGCTCACAGCTGGTAGTGTCGTGCGAAGACCACGGATTCAGACGGAGAGTGTTTGTCCGGTCAAGGTAGCCTGGGCGCTGAGCCGTGTGGGCTACATCACGGAAGATGCCAACGAGGACATCGGCCGGAAGGTCCTTGGCAGTGGTATTGGGCTCGTGAACGTTATCATTGGCCTGGTCTTTGCTATCCATGGCACCACCTAGCCTGCGCTACGTGAGCAAGCGCATCGTGTCAATGCGAGAGTAGAGATATATATAAGTAGTGCTACGCTTGCTCACCACACGAGTTGCCTCAATCAAGCTTCAGCAACAAAGACGGGCCTTGAAGTCAGATCTGATCGCTTGGCTGCGGCCAGTGATACTGTCCGTAAGCGAGTGTGTGCGCACTTGCTGCGAGAAGTGACGACGTGTGGCTAGCCTGTTGGTGGTTGGAGTTTGGTTGGCATACTAGACTTGAGATGTGCGCACTTTGTGCACGCGCCCGAGAGACCGCGGGAAGAACGCCACAGACGCGTTATACACGTGACGAACGCGACCGCGCTCGACTTGAGTTTCGACTTGGAGAGCTTCAAATTTCAAGCTTTCAAGATTTCAAGAGTCAAGCCAGTCCCAAGCAAATATGTTTGATTTACAGCTATCAGCGCGTAACACGCATGCATATTCTAAAGACGAGCGTGCGTGCGTAGGGAACAAAGATATACGAAACCACGAACGCCGTGACTACACCGCCCTACTGGGCTATACATAGCCATACAAGCAGCACTGTACGCGAACCGGACACCGAGACATTGTAATCTAGCATACACCATCAAGATAATCATGGCCACTCCGTACCTCCCCTCCAATCGTCCCACTGCACGCGCTCCACGTTCTTGTCGAACCACTCCTTGTCGTCCGGAGCCAGCTCCCCGCAATCGTGCACATAGAGCTCCGTGACCGACCTCAACACAAAGTCGGCCCCGTCGTCTTCCATCGCAAACTCCGTCTCCTCATGTGCTTTCAAGCGCGCCTCGAGCATGTCGCGTAAATCCTTGCTGCTGAACTGCTTGCAGGAATTGATATGGAGCTCCCTTAGGTGTGGACACGGCCAATCCACCCCGCCATGCTCTGTAGCCATCGGCGTCGTGAGCGCATGGAGCACCTCGGACTGGAGGCCGTCAGAGCGGCTGATCAATACCTCGCGGTAGGACGCTTCGCCGGCTAGGAGATTCACGAGCACCATAGGGCTTGCGATATCGACAAAGGAGACGCGGAAGGCATCGCACACACACCAGAGCGGAAATGTATTGCGGATGGGCATCGAGCAGCATGTGTAAGAGGCCGAATCGGCCAAGACGTACTGTAGGAGGCGATTGAGCTCCGCAATGACATCGCCAGACATGTCAGTGAAGTCCAAGTTAAAGCCGAAGTTGTAGTTCCAAGGTGGCTGACGTGGAGAGGACGTGCCAGTGTCAGAGATGTCGAGCCGAAGGTTTTTGAGATGGAGTCTGAACAAGTTCTTGCAGGTAATGAGAGCCGTTACGAAATCGAAAACAGAGAAAGGTATATTCTGCGAGTCGTAATCGGTGAGAGTGAGGTAACGGAGCTTGGGCGGCAAGGGAGCCTGAGGGTAGGGTACCACATACGATTCCCGGAAGTGGACGCCACCCATGGAGAGCTCTTCGAGTACGGGCATGTCGAGTCGACCTGTGGGAGACGTCGCTCCCATAGCATGTGCGATCGCGTCGTCAAAAACGAAGTCGAGATTGAGTTGAACCAGGTTTTAGGGTCCGCGCCAATCCAGATGACGAGCTGTTGCCAGAATATGGAAGCGCCAGACATAGCATAGCGCCATGGAGGACTGACAGAAGCAAGATGCTCGGCAGAGCACCTTGATAGGTCGGTTACGCGGTCATCCAACGGAGAAAGCGGGACGCGTTGAATGGGGGTGCAAGGGTACCCTGCTCCCCTTCGTATATATATGGGCAGCTCCTCTTTGAATACATCGCGAAGGATGTTGAGAAGAACATCGGGCGTAAGGTCGTTGACTGTCGTACGAGGTTTGCGAGTAATGCAACTGCGCTCGTCAGGTGTGATGTCCATAGCGTAACTGGATGTGTTTTCCGCCTTATTTGCGGACCGCTATTGATCCTTCAAAATCTCTAAAACATGCAGCGAAGCGTTTGTAAGCGGATACATGCGCATATACCCAGGTTTACTCACCAACTCACCAAGTTGTCCAGCACTGTCGTCGCCGCGAAGCTCCTAGAGGTAGGTAGTACACTGGTAATATGGGGAGACTGAAAGATTCGTAAGCAATATGGACTGCAACATGAGTGAGAGTTGGATACAAACCGGAACAATAGTGGGAGAGCTGAGCGTTGAAGCACAGAAGTTGCGCTCGACCGTGACGCTGCACTAAGAATCGAAGCAGCCACAGACGCGTCGCACACGTGACCAGAGGCTTGCCCTAATAATAGAACTAATTCACCACCTCACCGAAGTTGACCACACCTCTGAATTAAAGGGACCCTTGGTACTCTGCGTCGACTCTGTGGGGCAGCTGACCATAGCTGTGAGACCATTCACATGATGATTCTGGACGGAACGGGCGACCGAGGCAGTGCCACAGTCGCACCAAAAATGCGTGAACGTGCGCGCACTCGAAACTGGTGTCCTAACGTTCAAATTGGAAAGGCAGGGACTGCCACATAACAATACAGGGCAGCGCAGCACCTTCTTGAAAAGCACCACCGCGATGCAGTCACACAAGCGGGGAATAAGAGCCGAAGCGAATAGATCGCCGAGTCATTGACATAGTAGTTCCTTGGTTTACCGAGTCTCTGGCCAGTCTCATGTGGCCTTTGGTCCGACAGTCCATGACGATGACGACGGTGCGAATTCGCAGATCAGCATCCTCTTTAGGGGAGCCAGGCACTCCGGATCTATATGGCGTTCAGAGAATCAATGAGCGACACAATACGACACCGTCATGGTGTGTGATTGAACTTTGTACTTACGTAGAGAAGTCGCATTATCCGCGCTTCCCCGACACGATGTTTGATACGGGAGGCTGCGCGCGCCTGCGGGCGAGGCCTGTAGGCCACTATCGATTAGCAGCGTAGATCGCCCGAAAGCCCAACTTTGTTCCCGTACGTCAGGCCGGCGTCAGGCAATACTACAGTGCCCGCAAGGACACCATCGCAGAGACAGACAGACCGTCTGCTACGATCGCCGTTAACTTTGTGCATCATTGCAGGTCGTCGACATGCATTAACCGGAGATGAGCTCACGTTCGTCCCGCCACGGTGCATGGGGTACGGCGAGGGTGCGGCAGCGATCACAGAACCAGAAGCACATGTGCGGGGAGCCGAAATGAAGCTGAAGACCGTCGCATAACCAAGTCTGGTTGGTTTCCAACATAATCGTACGACACGGGCGTACTGAAAAGACAGAGTTTGACTGAGAGAAACAGAGTTCAGGCATCACATGCTCACGAGTCACCTTTCGGCATGGATCCGTACGTATGATAGTACGGAGCGAGAGTCACCGCTTGGAGGCGGACCAATGTGACCGACGAGGTTAGTGCACCCTCGAAGTCTTCCGCACCCTCCGCATGGAGTCCGGAGGTGTTCGTTGACGTGCGCATACACGGTACGGGGCAGCAGGTCCGGCTCTGGAGACTTGCTGCGGGGAAGGCAGTTTGGACGCCTTTGACGTGGCAGAAAGCGGTGTCCTCCGTGGCTTCCTGACGGTTCGGGCTGCAGCATGTCTGTATTGCCTCCCGCGACGTTCGGTGACTGCCAGAGAGACGCGTCGAGACAGGCGGGCGAAGGAGGAAGATCTAGGAAGATACATAGCCGAGAACGCGCAAACAACGCGCCCTGTGAAAACGTACCTGCCAAACCTGGTAGGACACATGACCGGTCTGTGACGCGTCGCGCGCCATGAGCGCTTCACGCGCAGTCACTGGTCCCGACAAGAAAATATGTTCGAACAAACCAAACGGCTGAGAGGTGAATTCAGCAGAACACGTCCGACAATCATCATTCCCTCATGATGACACACTGGTCGTGAGAGCCCTAACGAATAAATCCGATCAATATCACACGACTGCCTGTCAGAAGTCTCGCGATTCGTTAGTCTCGCGATCATGAACTCACCTACGTACCATCCCCAGCGCGCGTTTACTCGCCATTCGAATACTGGGTCGACTAGTCCCACCCGAAGTCGCAGGGACGCGGTCAGGCTTGCAGGCGCCACACGATTCTTTGGTTAACAGCCTGCTGCCATCACTGCCTTGTAGTCGTCAACTTCAACCGGAAGTATGCGGAGCCCGCCCGCTCATAGGTGTCTAGCAGCCGCGGTCGAGCATCGTGTTCCGACAACGCTGTCAGTCTCTGTTCAACAGTCCCATCAGCATCGACTCTGCCCCGACATAGTAGGCCTACTGTAGCGGAGTATATGGTGCCAGCCGGCGGGCATGACGGATGACACCATACACTCCGCTACAGTATACGACACCGAGTCATACTCAGTAGGGAATCTGGACGATAGGATGTCAGCCACCGGGAACGTACTCAGTCTACTGACACGACTCGGGGACTCACTCGCGCCTACAGACCTGCTATGAATGCCGGGATAACGGCCCGATAAAGCTATCAAATTCCTCTTCTTGCGCCTTGAAGAGCTCTCCACCGGCGGGTCCATGGCCAGAAGTTGTACACGGTGGGCGCATCAAGCTTCGAGTACGGGCATGTCAAGTGGACCTGCACAAGACGTCCCTGTCACAGCATGTGTGATCGCGTTGTCAAAAACGAAGCCGAGACTGAGTTGGACCAGGTTCTCTGCGTGGTCGGCATGCGGGAGCGGGAGGGCGAGAGTCACCGCTGTGAGGCGGAGCAATGTGACAGATCCTAGTGCACTGCTGTCGAAGTCACCGCCCAGCATGGAGTAGGGGTGTTCGTTGACGTGAGCGTGATACGTACAGGGCAGCAGGCCCGTCAGGAGACTTACTGCGGGGAAGGCAATCTGGAGGCCTTTGGCGTTGAAGAAATTGATGCCCTCCGTGGCTTCCTGGATACTTCATACTGCAGCATGTCTGCATTGCTTCCTGCAGCGTTCGTTGGCTACCAAAGAGACGCATCGAGACCAAGCGGGTGAGGGAGAGGAAGACAGTCGAGGACGCGCGAAGCTCAATTCAAGAACGCGCCCAAAGCTGTGAACCAAGGCACCTGCCAAAACCGGTAGGACACATGACCGGTGCGTGACGCGTCGCGCGACGCGCGCCGCCCCACGCACACGTCCAATTCAACAGAATCCAACGGCCCAGGGCACTGGTAGCTCCCCGCGCTGGTCATCTTCCCCTTCTATATAAAACGCCCTAAAATGCAAAATATCGTGTCCCCCTCGTACTTATTCTCTCCTCACTGGTCAGACACGCACGCATCCTCCTAGTAACGACTGAACACGACGCATAAACTCGCTACGATGAAGGCCTTCTTTGCTAGTGCGTTCCTTGCGCTCGTCGGTGCTGCCGCCGCGCAGAGCTCGTCTGCCGCCGTGCCCTCCAGCACCGCCGGCATCGACCCATGCATCCTCTCCTGCGTACAGACCGCCGCGACATCCGCCGGGTGCTCCAGCTAGTACGTGTCTTCCCTATCCCGCGTGCGCACGAAGTGCTAGCTGACCAGACGGCGCGCACAGCACGGACCTCACCTGCATCTGCTCCTCCACCGCCTTCCAGACCTCCGCTCTGACGTGTCTCACTGCGAACTGCACCACCGCCGACCTCGCCGCAGCCCAGGCCCTTCAGTCTGCGGAGTGCGCCGCAGGTACGTCCCGCCCCTGACCCGACATCCGCCTCCCGGGCTCCCTGATTTACCCACCACTTGTACCCCCTAACGCTCACCCGTTCTCCCCTGTGCAGTGAGCGCGAGCTCCGCGGTCGGTTCCTCCACCGGCTCCGCGGCCTCCTCCGCCCTGTCCAGCGCGTCTTCCGTGCTCGCGAGCGTCTCCTCCGCTGTCTCGTCTATCACCGCCTCTGGCTCCAGCTCTGGCACCGCTTCCGGCTCGACAAGTTCGCATGCGTCGACATCCGGCTCCGGGTCGGCCTCTGGATCGGCCTCTGTGTCGGCTTCTGGGTCGTCGGGCTCGACTACGACAAGCTCGAGCGCGGGTAGCAGGGCTGAATTCGCGCAGGGCGGGGTGTTCGGCTTGCTGTTCGGCTTAGTCGGTGTTGCGGCTGGCGCGGGTCTGGTGTTGTAGACCTTTACGCGAGATGCTGCTATGTCAAGCCTTGTACGAATGTTTGTGACAAAATTCGTAGGTTCGTCAGAAGTGCCACGGACAGATGCACGGTATGCATACGGTGCAGCTGCGATGGGATGGGTAAAACACGACGTCTCCGAGACTCAAACACTGTCGATTGATCGCCTGCGAATAGTCTCGCCGCAAGACCGTCCACGTTCACGTGCGGGGTCTGTGTCGAACCTACGCCTGCGAGCCGAAACTACAGTACCAGCCGTTGGGATGCTAATGAAGCCCTCCAAGTATGCTTTCAAACAGTAGCATTACGGATACGCGCGATGGGCCATCACTATGTCGACACTATCATGCGTTGAGTTTGTATCGCGCCTCCCCGTCCTCCGTCATACAAATGAAAAACACAGCCAGGACGCTCCAGCATAACCGCACCGCATCTCCTCCGGAATCCTATACACCCGTCTTCGAGAAGTTGAGAGCAGAAAACATCAACGTTTGACTTGTCCCCGCCTCTGCATCCTCGGAGATAGGCAGCAGCAGGGGTCTGTTGCGCCTTTGATTTTGTGCGAATAAGCCCCGCGGGGTCCATGGCTAGAACCTGGTACTACTAGTGCGAAGAACTGCGGATTCGACATCCTTCTAGACGTCAGCGGCGGTTCTTCCGGCGCATTGGCATCACTCAGCGTTGCCTCGAGTCCGTGGCTGTACTAAGGTGGAAGCACGCGGTAGCGCTACTGCCGTTCGCTGCATCATGCGGAGGGCCTGGGATAGCGCGAGCCCTCATAGACATGGCAGTGGTCGGACGCTAGCAGTGGGTGGCAAAGCGATCGGCGCACCGCTTCTGATCGCTTCGTGATTGATGTCAACTTGAAGATCAACGGCTGTGCCAAATGGCGTTGACAGCTGGTTGACAGAATGCACTACGTACTAGTACCTTGCGGCCTCTACCCGAGGTCCGGTACTAATCGGACTTGGCGCTCTGCTGGTACTCAGTCTTCGTTCAGTCGCCACCGCCACCCGCTGAACCATGCCGTGCTCTCTGTTCGCGACACGACGGCCTTCAAGCTTCAAGCTTCGAGTTGCACGGCTTCGCTGAATCCAAGACACTCTTACACGAGTCCAGGTGGGCGCGTAGTAGAGCAAAGGTGGGGAACGATAGCATACCAGCACGGTTGCGATCCAAGTGCATATTCTCCAAAACGTTCAGCAGACACGTACTGCAGGATGCAACTGCCATGCACCCCGTTCTTGCCAAGTTCAAGTCCTCGCTGTAGTCAATGCATTTATCACGAATGTGTCACGGAGAGGCGCGCTGATACGGTGATACGTCAACTCGACACGGACACGCTGTCGCTCGCCTCTGCGTGTTCCTCTCCGCGCTCCTCGGAATCCAGGCTCGGCCTCTGCTTGGCCTCCTCCAAATGACTGGCAAGAGACGCTGGGCTTCCACATAAAAGGGACCTCTCGCCGCTCTCAATCCCCAGCTCACTTCACCTTCTCGGGCTCACCTCCACAAGCAAGTACTGGCTAGTGAGTATTCCGTGTATACTCCCTTCACTGTGAATTGTTGACTGACCGTTGTCTCTACAGCTTTGCTTGTTTTATTTTCACGACTCTCGCTCTCTCATTCTTCACGATCCAGCCCGTGCATCACTGCAGATAATTTTCATTCACCATGCGTTTCGGAGCCGCTATTTCCCTGCTTTGCGCTGTCGCCGCTGTGGCGCCCGCTGCGTTCGCTATGCCAGTCGCCTCTGACGCGTATGTCGTTTCCATCTGTACTTGGGCGCAACGGCGCTGACTTACCTCCGCAGGACCGACGGTCTCGAGGCTCGCGCCTACGACGCCGAGGTCGCCGACCTGCTCGCCCGGTCCGACTTCGACGAGGCGACTTCTCTCCTCGCTCGTGCCGTCACGGACGTGCTCGGCGCGCGTGAAGACCCGCCCCGCTACCACAAGAACGACCCCATCAACGGCAAGAAGCCCGCGTACTCTGCGAAGGACCCGAACCCTCCCCCGAAGTACCGCCAGCACAACCCGCACGTGCCGAACCGTGAGTCCAAGCACAGGTCTTCGGGGGGCTCGAGTAATGGTCCGCGCCGCCCGCGTGAGCTCGCGGAGGTCGACGATCTCTGGGCGCGCGATGTCGAGGAGGTGATGGCACGCGAAGACCCGCCTCCCTACCGCAAGCACGACTCCATCAACGGCAGGAAGCCAGCGTACTCGGCGAAGGACCCGAACCCTCCCCCGAAGTACCGCCAGCACAATCCGCACGTGCCGGACCGTGAGTCCAAGCACAGGCCTTCGGGGGGCTCGAGTAACGGTCCGCGCCGCCCGCGTGAGCTCGCGGAGGTCGACGATCTCTGGGCGCGCGAGGAGTTGGAGGACATGTGGGCGCGCGACGTCGAGGAGGTGATGGCGCGCGAAGACCCACCCCGCTACCACAAGAACGACCCCATCAACGGCAAGAAGCCAGCGTACTCGGCGAAGGACCCGAACCCTCCCCCGAAGTACCGCCAGCACAACCCGCACGTACCGAACCGTGAGTCCAAGCACAGGTCTTCGGGGGGCTCAAGTAACGGCCCGCGCCGCCCGCGTGAGCTCGACTTCTGATGAACGGCTGGATGGAGGGGTGGGGAGGAATTGCATGGTACTTTCTAGTTGTACACCCGACGTGGATTAATGAGATACGAAGAGTTTCGGAGACTTTGGCTTGTGTGCTTGAGCGGTCGGTTAGAGCGAAGTTGTGATGTCTTTGAACGGTGCGATCCTCGACATCCGGTTTACGAGCCGGCTTTAGGAGTGGGCATCCATCGTGCTTCAATTCACGTTCTTACTGTGCATCTGCTACAGTTGACTCCTTGTTAGACGTGTCGAAGTAACAGCTCATCACGAGTGTTGCTTCACAGTGATCTAATCGTCACCTATTCACTCAGGCTCTTGGTCGGACCCACATCGTGACATCAAACGGTAAGACGAACAGTCATCGTCGCGTCAATGAGTGGCCTAACAACGCCAGGAAGTTCGACAGTGCCTATAATCACGCGTATACCCATGTCCCCTTGCACATCGTCGTCAACATGTGCGAGACTCTTCGCCGTGTATTTGGCGATGGAACGCGCAAATGACGTCTGGATCGCGAGCTCATGCGTGCGGGAGGGAGGTCTACATACCGTTCGATGGACCGCACTACTCTCATATGCACCTGGTCGTCAAACACCCAGCTCGGCTGCAGCTTGATACGGCCCTTGCGTGCGCCCCGCTAGTAAATGCTGACCTTCCCGGACCTTCCCGACACTCGTTGTCCCAGCGGAACTCGTGCGTCAGCAAACTCGGGGAGAAAATCGTTGGGGAAAAGCTCGTCGTGACCCATCGTCAACGTGCAGGGCCGAGTGTGAGCTTCGCACAGCTATAGCTATCCGGGCACGTACTCCACAGGCCCATCTGGCTACCGTGTTCCCCGCCGACTCATATAGCGACGTGGTTCCGCCGGAACTTGCCACCGAAACGACCGTGTGGCGGTGACCCATGATACACACAGTTCGGCGCTGAGCGCTGAGCGCTGAGACCGACGCATCTTACAAGTGACTCCAGGCCGTACAGAATCTCCGCACCTCCCCCACAATCTCCAAAGCATGAGCTCCTTGCTAGCGTTTGTGCGGCGCCTCACCACCGTACGTCTCATCGTCTGCTATCCGTCGTAGGCCTTCCGCTGACCTTCTCAACAGGGCAGCAATCCACCACGAGTGGAGAAGACGCCCAGTCCCCTGCGCTTCGGCGTGCTGGGAGCAGCGCGCATTGCGCCAGATGCGATTGTGAAACCTGCAAGGAACCATGAGGATGTCCTGGTCACAGCTATCGCGGCGCGAAATCAAGAGCGCGCCGATGCATTCGCGAAGCAGTGGGACATTCCCAAGGCATATGGAGGCTCGATGGCTTACCAAGGTGAATATGCCACATGTCTTTGAACATGAGCATAGCCATTGAACGAGTTCAATTGCAGACCTGGTAGACGACCTTGAGGTTGATGCCGTTTACATCGGAGTGAGTTCTGTCGTATTCGCTCTGTCGGGACAGCATTTAGTTGAGGCGCAAACCGTCGCAGCTCCCGAATAGCTTGCACTTTGAATGGACGATGAAGGCTCTCGCCGCAGGCAAACACGTCTTGTGCGAGAAACCAATCGCTGACAACGAGGAAGAAGCACGCCAGATGTTCGCGTTTGCCGCCGAGCGGAACCTGGTGCTGCTAGAAGCCTGGCAAGTTCGGTACGCCAAGCCTTCTACGGCTCTTGGCGCGCAATAATCGCTGATTGTGGATAGTTTCCATCCTTCATTGCTGAGGGTGAAGGAGTTAGTGGACGAGCTCGGACCAATCGTCAACATGTCGACATACCTTGGCGTCTGGGATAGTGTCTTCTTCTTGAAGGACGACATTCGCTTCAACTACGACCTAGGAGGCGGGGCGCTCATGGACATGGCACGTACGTCGCGTCCCAGACCGATCTCATCATCCTCCTGTCTGACGCGCCGCGTTACGCTATGTACAGCATATCCTATCAACTGCATGCGCTTCCTCACCTCACACGAAGCCTCAGTCCACTCCGCCACAGCAACCCTTCGACCCGGGACAACCAACATCGACCGCAAAATCGAGACGCACCTCTCCTTCGGGCCGGCCGACATTCCCGCAACGATAATCACCGACTCGTGCATGGACGGCTGGGGCCCGTTCGGGCTGCTCCCACAGTGGATCAAGATGGTGCTGAGGGTGGAGTGCAAGGAGGGCGCGGTCGAGTGGTCGAACTACGTGCTGCCCCACCTCTATCACTCGATCACAGTGCATCCGAAGGGGGGTGCAGCGTGGACGGAGGCGGCGTACAAGCCGAAGGAGGGGCTGGGAGAGGAGTGGTGGTCTGCGTGCGTACATTGTATGGCTTTTCACGCGCGTGCGACGCTGATCCGGTATCGGCGACTGAATAGGTATAGGTATCAGTTGGAAGCGTTCGTGGACAAAGTCAGAGGGCGTCAGCCTAGCGCGTGGCGTTCCGCAGAGGACTCGATGGAATCTATGAAGGCGATTGACGCTATATACACTGAGGTTCGTTTTCGCGTTGATGAAGGTTGATTGGAGCGGGACTGACTTCTACTTAGTGCGGTCTGCCGTTGCGGCCGACCTCGCAGTTTACTTTCTCATGACGCATTCGTAAACATCGTGTGAATGATGCCGCTAGTAACTTGCCGACTTTCTCCGGTGTTTACATCGAGTGAGACAGAGCGCGCTGTATCCTGATGACTGGTTAGTCGCGACGAAACCACCATGATAACAGTACGGCTACTCACTAGCATGCGGCTATGCTAGTACCTCGTCCAAGACCCTGATGATCGTTTCGACCTCCTGCACAGTGTTGTAGTGTACAAAGGAGATGCGCACGACAGCATCGTCGACGTCAAGTTTCGGCTGCAGCGTGTCGACCAGTGTGTACGCATAGAAGTGTCCATACCGGATCCCGATCTACCGTTAGTGACGAACGGAACGCAGCGATGTGCACTCATCAGCGCAGTTCGCAGAGCAGAGAGCAACGCGCCACGTACATCGCCTTTCTCGTCGAACGCCTTGACGACGTCCTTGCTCCGTATCGGCCTCTCACCAGCGACCACAAAGCTGACGGTGGGTACGCGGCTCAGGCCCTCGTGCTCGTCGCCCACGATCTGGACGCCCTCTCCGCCTTGCTCCTGAGATACGCGAGGAGCGGTTTCAGCAGCGTCTGCTCGTGCGCCGCAATGGCGTCGAATGCATCCGCGAGAGAGCCGACGGCGCGAGCGACTTTAGGTAGGGCGGCACGGCGGTGCAGCCGTAGACGATCTCGTAGCCGGGCCCGCCAGGCTGGAGCTTGTACGGCTTGGCGTCGACAGAGAGGAAGTGGTGCGCAAGCGAGGAGAGGGAGCTCGTTAGCGCCGACGCGCGCACGTAGAGCGCCGACGCGTGCGGGCCGTACACCTGCACCACGAGATACGTCAAGAGATGGCATGCAGAGGCGAGTCACCAGCGTACCTTGTACACCGAGAAGACGCAGTAGTCGATGTCCCAGTCTTTCACGTCGATGCGCCGATGCGGCGCGTACGCCACGCAGTCGACGGCCACTTCGAACTTCGGCGCCCCAAATTTCCGCGCCTTCTCCCGCGCGGCGTGGACGATCTCCTTCACGGGCACGACAGAGCCAAGGATGTTCGAACAAGCCGTAAACGCGATGAGGCGTGTCTTGGCGGTGATGAGGGGCAGGAGGTCTTCCAGCTGCAGAGAGACCGCATAGGGATTGTTCGGAGACGCAGCGATCTGGGATGGGAGCCAAAGCTTGATGATCGCCCCACGTCGGGCAGCGAGCCGCTTCCACGGGCCGACGTTCGCTGCACAGGCAGTTCACATTCAGCTCATTCAAGGGCCGAGGTACTGTGATGGCTCGCCCTGAGAGCAAATGACTCACCCTCATGCTCGCCGGTGATGATGACTTCGTCGCCTTCCTGCACGTCCTTCTCCATCGCCCGGGCCAAGTTCGCGACCAGCATCGTCGCGCTGCTGCCGAAGGCGATTTCACCGACGCTATCCGCGTTGAACAGCTCCTTCGCTGCTTCTGCTCCCGATGCAACTCGGGACGTGCTCTTCTGCGACACGACGTAGTCGGCACCAAGCTGGACGTTGGTGTTGAGGAGGTAGTCCGAGATACGGGTGACCGCGTCGGCAAGACATTGCGAGCCTCCTGCGTTGTCCGCGTACAGGAAACCCGACGAGAGAGCAGGGAACGCGCTACGGACGGTGGCGATGTCCAGAGAAGGCATGTTGCGCCTTGCAGGTGGAGGTGGTGGTGGTGATGGTGGGCAACGTTGCGTGTTGGTTGCCTGTGGGAGTCACTTGAAGTACGGGCCGCCAGTCGGGCGAGGAAGAAGGCCGACACCGTGTGCCCTGATTGTGGGCAGATAAGACCAAGGGCCCGGAAAACCTGATACGAGGTTAAGGTTCACGGAACCCCTATTCTCAGGGCACCGAGGCACAGTGAGTGCGCAGTTGAGTCCATAGCATCAGGGTGCAATGTATCGCAGCCCTCCGGGGAGAACTGATGGTGCCATCAGTCCTCGCGTGTCTCAAACTAGAATTCGAAGTCATGAGAACGGGCGCGTCAAACTCACCATAAAGACTAGGCAAAGGCAGTGGCAGCAACGTCGTACAGGAGTTCTACGATGGCACACTTATCGTGTGAGGCTGGACCAGGACGTTCAGATACAGTGCATGTATATAGTTATCGGCGAGAGCGTACCTGGGAATCTTTGTCGTAGCAGACCGCAGTTGCGCTGCCATGCGTTGTCGAGCCATATGTTGTATCTGTGGCCTACTTACGCAGCATACGCTGCCCCCGAGTCCAGCGCGAGGAGGCGACGAGTTGACGGCGAGTATATGGCATAGAAGACGTCCAGATCTAGAGCTCGAGCATAGGTACGTTGACGCGCTGTAGACACCGTTGAATGACTGCTCGACTGTTAAAACGGCACGAAGCTGAATTTTCTGGGATGGGCTCACCGGATGAGTATGGGTGCTGGCACGGCGGGTGATGCCCCATGCACATTCGTTCTTTGTTAGCGGTTTGTCCTTGGTGTGAGCATCCAGAACACGCGCGTAGCCATACGTTTTCCGGGTGGAAAAGTTGTGGAAAAGTATTGCATGTCTGATCCTGTGAGCCAAGAGAGTCGGCGAAAGTCGGCGACCAGACCAGCCGACGATGCATTGATTGTGGCAGATTTGTGCCAGCGTTGAACGTTGGATATTGAATCCGGGGTGGCGCGACCAGCGGAGAGCATGAGCAAGGCCACACGTAGATAACACAGTAGAATCAGTCACTGAGTAAGTGCGTAGTCGTAAGAATGAATGGTGCAGAGTTGTAGAGTCGAGGAGGGGGAGGACATGAGGTCGCCGACGAGCAGACCCTCACAAGCGCTCACGCACGCGCCACCAAGCGCCCGTAGACGGGCCAACAGCTGATGATGAACCCAAATAGAACATCCCATTACGAACGCAGAACCCTACACCACAATCCCAAAATACCAAAAGCCCAAAATTGAAGAAACCAGCTATACAATCCCAGTGCGCACACCGCCCATCCCCGCAGCGCCCTCCTCCGTCGCCTCCTTTTCCTCCCGCTCTTCCCTCCGTACGAGCTCCTGCGCGAACCGGGAGCGCGCCCTGATCTCGGGTCCCTTCCAGTAGAATATGTATACCGGGATGGCGACGAGAATGGCGAGGAAGCCGAGGAGCGTCGATGCCCATTCGAGCGAATGAGGTCCGAGGTTCGTGTACACTGCGCGTCGGGTGCATGAGTGGGTGGATGTCTGGAGAGATTATAGACGGGAAGGATGATACTCACGTGGAACGGAATAGAGGGCTGCAATGCCTGCTAGGAAGTCTCTTGCGAACCCGTTTCCACCTGTCGCTGACGCTGCGTAGGGGCCGTATGCCTGCGAAGTACGCAGTCAGAGGGTGAAGCAAGAACTGCGATGGACACCGACCTCGATCATATAGTCGATGGTAGCCATGTAGATCGCGAACTGATGGTATCGCGGGTTAACAGAGCAGAATGCGACGCTGAGCTGGGGCACTTACATTCGCAATAGCAATCATTGCTGCGAAGATCATCGGCGCGATCCAGGGGACGTGCGGTGGGCCGAAACTCGTCCATGCGAAGCCGAACAGCCCAATCGGCTCCAGAGGCACAGCTTCCGATCGGTAAGTGCTGTGTCAAATAGAGGAAAATACGGAGTCTTACTGAAGAGGAGCCACCACAGACGGGCCTCCGGCTGCAACGAGTGCGGGTCCTTCCGGAGTTGGTTGCGTTGCTTCCATATCCAGGGTATAAACGACGCATACGCAATAAAATACCCCACAGCGATTCTGTGAAGCGCGCATGTCAGATGGTCTGCCAGCACAACCGATTTAAAGGACTGACGCCACGAAGGCTGCACCCATCGTTTCGGTGGTGAACCCCCATTGCCTGAAGACAGGTCCGAACGACTCGAGGAATGTAAAGATGAGCGCATCGCTGAAGCCGCTCAGGAGTGACAGGAAGAGCACGATCGGCTCGCAGAGGAACATGTGGAACTGCACGCCATGTCAAATATATGTACCACTGGAAGGGCGAGGCGAGACATACCGGCCGTATCCAGATCGTGAGGATCTTCCGCGGCGCAAACCGATTCTCCTCAACCTCCGACGGACCATACACGACTTCCTCACCCGCTCTGCGGCGCCTCTTAGCTTCGCGATCGAGCAAGACTTTGGCGCACGTTTCGGGGACGAAGAAGAAGTGCACGGCCTGGACAACGCCGCCCGCGATGAGCTGTATCCAGAACTGCAACGAGCTAAAGTCAGTACGGGAGAGATCACGGACTTGTAGATGCAGGACGGACATTCCAGTGCCTGTTGGACGCGCGTGAGTGTCGAGAAAGCGGCGGATTGGAATCATCGTAAGTAGGACGCACCATGATAGGTTTGCCTCGATAAGGCCACCGAAAATGGGGCCGATGACGGACCCACCGACCGAGGAGAACACTATGAATGCGACCGCGAATTGTTGCTCTTGTGCCGTCCACATGTCGGCGACTGGTTGGACTTTTCAACGTGAATTCCCCAAGACTCGGAAGGAGATGGACATACCCATGCCGAGTGTCACGGATCCACCCGCTGAAGAAATGCCGCCGAGAAACCTAGCCACGACGATGGTCCCGTAGTTGGGAGCCAGTGCACATGGAATCTGCCAAACTGAATGACGGCTCAGTCTCGTCTACTGTGCGTATGAAGGATAATTAGATATACTGTTAACTAGGCACAAGCTCAGCTGGAGAATAGGCCAGCGTCCGAGCTCCTCGGACCACGGCGCCCACAGCTCGCTCCCAAAGGCATACGCGACAAGGAAGATCATTTGGCCAACCCGAGCCGCCTACACAAAGTCAACTAGAGCACTCGCTGCACGGATCGAGGCAACATACCTGTTCGCTGATGTGGAAGTGGTTGCTCAGCAGTGGAGCGGCGTTGGCATACAGCGACGCGTTGAGGTTCATGGACACCTGGATCGCGAAGATGACAGAGAGGATGGACCACTTCTTCCAGGTAGGGAAGCTGAATCCCAAGTTGTCGTACGCCTCCCGCTCGGTGAGGACTGCCCTGCCGTCCTGCAGAGTGTACCTCTTCTTGGCCGCATGACCGGGAGCGGGCTGAGGCTTTTCTCCCCCCGGTACAATTTTTGTTGCAGACCCTGCGAAGTTCGAAGAGGCCTTGTCGGAGTTGACCCCTGCGACGTTTGTTCCCGAAGAGACAGCGGTGCTCTGAGAGTCACGACTGCTTTGTGACGAGGACACTCGCGTCGCTTCCAGTACGGGGTTGTACATGGCAAGGGGGGGAGGCCGCAAAGCGGATGAGGGGGAGGAGGAAGGCTAGTCATGAACGCGATGCATATTTATGTGCCAGGTGGATTTGGAAGGCTGACATCGTGTTCGAGCTGGCTGACAGTAAGGTGGCTGGCAGTGTCCGCAGTGCCAGCCCGCTCAATTTGCGCGACTTGTCCATGTAGCGCCATATTTGAGATTTGCTTCAGCATCGTAGATTAGTAAGATGGGCTGAACGGTGCTGAAAGCATGCAGGGTACTTTACCACGACTCCCTAGGGAAGTTCAGAGTCTTCAGACGTGCAAAGCGGCATGCTGTGAACCCTCTGTGAATGAGTGGGCTGAGACGACAGATAAACACAGCACTAGAAGAGCGAGAAAGAGATGCGGACTATGGGGGACACTGTCGTCGTCAATACATACGACTGCGACCGTTATTGTGTCCGCAGGCGCGGCAGTTTAGTAGCTTGAGCGGGACTGGCTAACGGGGCAGTAACCGGTAGGTTCGTCGTCTCGCCATTTGTTGTTTGATAACATATAATGGCGATGTGTGTTTACGGGGACTCACTTGTTACGCGTCGCTGCAACTTTGTTTCCAGCTATCTGAAGGATATTACACTACTGCGGTCTCCTCCTGCAACGATCGTGGGTGACGCGCGCCTATCATTGTCATTACATAATAATCTGCTGAAACCCCTATTCGGTCGGGCGCTTCGTCATAGTACTCAACGTCAACTTCGTCCGCAAGGACTGGTCGTTGTAACTTATCGACACCCCAATGCGTTTGCTATGCTCCCGGGTTAACTGTCCAATTACATCATGGGCATACGTTCCTCTTCCGCCGATTAAACGATCCCCTGGCTTTGACTTTTGCTGCCACTGCCGTCACGAAAGCTTCCGCCTCCGACTACCCGCCTTCCGCGCGGATGCGGCGTCACAGACGTATTGCGAACATCCCCGTTGTCAGGTTCGGGGACCGGAATGACTGCGATTGTGGGCAATGCGCCTATATAATAGGTGAGTAATGCGTTGACACCATCTATCTTCACGTCACCCCGCACTCGATCGCTACAATGTTCATCTCACTGCGCACTACCTTGCTCGCGCTCGTGCTCGTGTCAGCGCCCCTCGCAGATGCTGGTAAGCTTTCGCGTTTGGTTCCCCTCTTGGCATCGACTCACACATAGCAGTCGTCGTCAGAACCTCGACGACGTCGACCATCACGCGCACGCGCATCGCTTACACTTCGTCGACGTCAACCGATCCGGTCACAGTGACCTCCACGACGACCACATACGACGAAACTGTCACTGTGCCGACCCTCACGACGACGACGACGACGTTCTATACAACTGAGACGCCGCCCTGATTGTATTCGCTGCTTCGGATTCACGGTCTATGACACTGATTGTGGAATACATGTACTTTCACGACGTAAATGGAATTTAAAAATCACACGGCGCGTTCATTTGTTGTGATCATCGTGAGGAGTATCGCAATGTCTGCTAAGAAGCAATTTACGTATTGCGTCAGAGTCAGGATACTCGGATTGGCACCCCTCCGCGGTTTGTACATTGGGAAATGGACCACTGAACGCCAGTATTTACTTGTCGCGTAAAACTGCACATGTCAAATCCTCCACGCCAACACTCTGATTACATGACAAGAAGCGAGATGGTCCAAGTTCCTAGCTCAGAAGAATTCAGATATGCTCATACGTCTGTGTAGTAATACGAGACACAATACGAGACACAGTGGATGCGCGAAGTTAAGTAGTGGCTACCACACTACTAACTTCGCGCATCCACTAAGTAATTCTGACGTATGTATTTGCTGCCGCCCCATTCCCAATCTGTGTCCGCATTCCCCCTGGAAATGCCCCAACAACTTGCAAATATCGCCGCCGCCGCCGCCACACCGTCATGTTGTAAGTCCGAGTAATCCGCGCGGAAGCAGGTGCGTTCCGATCCACCTCGCGCGGACTGACGTCCATTACCTAACGTCCCGCGGGCCCAGACAAGGACGGCGAGAACAGCCCTCGGATCCGTTGCATGTGGGACGACTGAGGGCGAGTATATAGGTTGAATCCGACGGCGGGGAAGGCACAACTCTTCCCGTTCACTTTGCACTGCTCCCAATCGCAAATATGTTCGCAAAGATTCACGCTCTCGCCTTTGGCCTCCTGGCTCTCGCGTCTGTCGCTCACGCAGGTAGGTTCTCTCTTATCCCATCCCCTCGTGTTCAATTTGACCATGGAGTCTCATTCAGTGACGACTATCACTGTCACGGTGACCGACCGCGAACAAACCTTTACAACATCGACTTCGACCATCCCCGTCGTCGTCCAGCCGACTGTGACAACGACGACGACTGTCGATGGCGGCGAGTTCGACGTTACCTCCACGGACGTCATCACTACCACCACGACCGTTTTCGGCGATGCGCCTACCAGTTCGAGCTCCAGCACGAGCACTAGCACGTACACGTCTTCAAACACGCCGAACCAGACGGGTGCCCCAGGGAACAGTGGTAGCGGTCAGCCGTACCCTGGCTACCCGGCAGGATATCCGCCGTACCCAGGATATCCGCGGTTTGCTAAGGAGCAGTAGAAAGCAATGTGACCGAAAGTGGGATAAGTTCGCGATCGGACTTGTCAGGATGGATAGTGCGGAGCCTCTGATGTTTAAGCTATTTAGTAGCACTTTGAATAGTCGCTTTCAATCACAAATTTGGCAAATGTATGATGGAACACACCTTGCTGACGAGAGTCGGCTACACTGGCATACACATCCCGACTCGGACTGCCACTGCCACTGCCAGGAGGTTGGTTTGTTGGTAAAAGAATAGTAGTCGAGATCACATTTAGGCTGCGTGATGGCGACTACAGTATCGACATGAGTCGTGGTATTAGCTCGCCCTGAGACAACTCGAAGTTGCAGATCTGAGTCCATGGTCATGAACACCGGTGGCACGTAGCCGTCGTTGGATAGATGCCCGGGTACTACGATAGCTGAAACCGTTCAATAACCGAGGAGGAAACTGTCAAACGAATTTAAGAGAAAGACGGGATCTGCCAGGGATCTGCATCCACTCGTGATATAGTTTGTGAGTGTAGTGAGTGGACGTGATGGCATCCATCACTCCATATAGTTGGCAGCTGTGCCTCCGGAATGAATTAATGATGGGTCGATCACCGTCCAATGGACTCCTAGTAATGGTGCAGCACCCACCGTAGCAGCCGACACTTTCTCCGGAGTATGCTACGGAATACCTCGGCGGGCGCGGGCTCAAGAAGACGGTTATCGACCTCTAAAATGTGTGAATGCAGCGAACGTGGTGGATGTGGGCGACAGCGGTGCAGCACAGCAGCCATTGCTCTTAGATATATGTGAATGCTACAATTCGATTGAGTGCAACACATTAGATGGAGCTAACTTCTTATACGCCGCATACGACTAACGTCCGAGAATACCATCACGTTGACCATCTAGCTTCCGAGTCGTGGTGTTTCTCCCAGTCGTCTTGTAGACGTGTGATCTCGTCTAAGACGGCAGACCATTTCTTGAAAGAGAACTTGTCTAGGTTGGGAACGTGAAGCCCAAGGAACATGTGCCATAAGATGCACGCGACTTGATGCACATCGCGTAGATTGCGGTCCGGAATCTGAACATCGAGTGGGAGCTCACGCACGAGGTGAGAGTCGACAATCCCTAGAGACGGCTGTAATACGACCGAGGAGAAGGTGACACGATGAAGCATTGGAAAGAGGTTTGCAAGCTCGATGATCCCCTCCATAGTCGGCGCAACGGTCACGGGTCTGAAAGATATGTTGCACGAGAGTGTTAGGGCCTCCAGCTTCGTCCACACTCCGCAAATGACGTGCAACTCTTTGTCTGTGAAGTTCAGAGGGTCTTCTGCGAAGAGGAAGAAAGACCGGATGTTTGGCAGAGTGAAGAAGGGAGCAATAAGTGTGGGCACTGGTGCCGCGAGGCTGCCGAGTGTGGTCAGGTTTTCGATCCGCACACTCGAGAGCGAGCTGCGAGTCCCGAGCGGCAAGCTGGTGACGAGTTCCTCGACAGGGGCGGGTTCCCCGATGACAGCGTCCATCAGTCGTAACTCCTCGAGGCGCAGATCGGGCAATGTGGCCAACAGAGCCGGGATCGTCCGGATGCTACCACGAAGAGATAGCCTTTTCACATTCTTGAAGCCTTCGCATGGTGCGGCGTCTCGCGTGTCAAAAGAGTGCGGGAATGCCAGTTCCTCGAGCCGGACGAGACACGAGAGTCGCCGTACCAGATCCATGTCGATCGGCGTCCATATCGTAGAAAGATCCAAAGCGCGCAGCTGTTGCATGTCGCCGATCGGGTGCAGCAGCGAAGGGTGCGCACACATACCGACGGAGAGTTTCTCTAGGTTCGGCGCGGACGCGCAGATGTTCTTGAGTAGTGGGCGGGGTGCGTAGTTATGTCGGTTGAGCGGAAGCTTCCAATCGTCGTCGATTGTGGAGTCCGGGCCGCCAAATGTGAGGTCCAGCACGCGGAGTGAAGGACCGCTCAACAGCGACACGGCCATGTCCATGTAAGGCCAGTCGTACTCACAGATGATGGTGTTGAGCTGCGGCGCAAGGGGCATGCCGAGGTTCTCATGCGAGAGGCGGAAGAACACCCAGGGATCAACGCGACGCGACGTCCGAAGATACATTGTCCGGATGTATTGGGTATACCAGAGGAAGCGTTCGCGTTCATTGTCGGTGATTGGGCCTTCCAGGATCTACCTTGGCATGAACATCTTTCATGAAAACCGACTGGCAATTATTCACGCACCCAAACTGTCTCTTGATGCCGAGGCGCTTCGCGAGGCAGGTCGTCTTCGTCTGGGATGACGACGTCGGAGACTATCTTGATGGATGAAGACAAGAGGCAGAACAGGGCGTCCAAAGTGAAGACATGTGTCCAAAGGAACTTCAACGCGGGCTGACTGAATGCTTTGCACGTGCGGGCGGCGGCGCAGAGCGTCCGTTGATAGTCTGGGTCTTGCTCACATGGGTAACAATGCAGCTTGGAGTATATGAGCGGGGGTTTCAAGTGTTTGAAGATCTCGTGTAGGATGTCATCATTTCTGAGGGCGGCGTGTGTGACATACATGATGGCGGAGACGTTGCTGTTCGTCGCCTGGGCCAAGTACAGCAATGTCGTTTGCTTGCGAGTGCCTTCGGGGAGAGATCCATCGATGAGCACTGAGCCTTTTATACTGCTGCTGTGGCCAAAGCGTGTTCGCTTACCGAAATGGGAATAGACCGCGGCCACAACCGTGCACAAAGCGTGAAGGCTCGCTTTGGTTCGTAACCCTAGTTACGTGTGGCTAGCTTCCCTGGTTTCTATGTGTGCTGGGTAACTGGTTATGATAGTCAAACTCAAACGATAAAAATTTGAGGGCATGCCGCGTGCGTTGCTAGTGCCCCTGTGGACGCGGAAGCAAACGGGCGCTTAAATACGACACTAAACGTGAAGCTGTGAGCTGGCTACGAAGTGCACTTCTGACCTGCAGTTTCCTCGAGCTGGTGCAACTTGGGCCTTCATTGGAACCTGACCGAAAGCAGTCCTCAAGCTTGTCACTGAGGGCGCTACGAGGAGACTGTCAGCTTCGTACCTATTTCATGAATGCAATGGCTCCTCTTCTCATCTCTCCCGCCATACTAGATCCTAATGAGGTAGAAAACGCTTGAACCGAGTAGCAACCTCTTCTGCAAGCAGAGTAATCAGCGGCACGATGATGGAGCAGCAGATGAAGAGAATCCGGCATGAATCGCCCACTTCCGCGGCGACATATAAACTCGAAAAGGTGCAGAAGGTAGTGCGATAGATCGTTGGCCCTTCCTGTAGCCTGTAGCATGTTATGAGTCGATGCAATGCATATCGGGATTATCCTCAAGATCCTCGTTGGTCTTTTCACGTTGCGCCACAAAGGCAGCCTTCGTGGGAACATCAATCTCTCGGCTCAGCAGCCGATTGGGTGCGCCGCACGCTGCCACAGCCGCGTTGCACGCAATACTACTAACTCGTCTGAACTTCAGCTACTCAAGTTACGATGGTTTCTCCTGCTTGGAGGAACTCGAAGAAGCACCTCGTGCTAAGAGGTTAGCGTACGACACGGGAACATATCGGGGCCTGTCGCGCGCACATCGGGGACATAAGTATTGCAAGTAAGTATATTAAGAGAGCGATCATCATGGACCCAATCCCCATGAGACTGATGTCTCACTGGCAGACTTGGCCAGAAGCGAACCATAGAGCGTTTCTGAAGGTGCGTATACATTCATTCCAAATATTTGCATTGACCTTGACGGTCTCGCTCAGTTATTCCTGTCTAGATCAGATAGACGTCGAAAACGGCCGTCGCATACTGACCCCACCGATGTCACGCACGCCGCGCCCGCCGGGAGTCATGTACCCACCCCGCCGCGCCCACGTCGCTAGCTAGGGCGCCTGCGGCCACACGACCGCTCGGGCCAACACACCGGGCGCGGTCGGTACAGTCACTCAACATCTCTAGAGCTGCACTTGAATCCCTGCAGTGGGCCGGTGCCGGCCCAGCGCTCTGGGGCACAGTGCCATCCTCTTCGCGCTAGTGTCTCTGCGGAGTCGGGGTAGTCACTGCACTTGCCAAGCTAATCGGAGATGTTGGAACATACCGGATGTGTTGCGTTGCGCACGACTGGGTATTGTGCCGCCAACCGCCTCGTCCGCGCACCGAGAGCGACGTTCGCTGATCAGTCTAAGATACGCATGCTAGGCAGCCAGTGGGACTCAAACGGGTACGCGAGCGAATCTTCCTGGGTTCCAGTGCTCGTATCAGCAGCCGCACAATACCATTTGCTCGTTGTGCTTGCGTACCGTTGGACGACGTGCGCCGCCCAAAACTGACGCAACAACGCTTGCCCGATGACAGCGAGTGCCGTCATTGGAACGCTAGCAGCGCAAAGTTTCCTTGGCGTCGAAGTCATCCTGCGTGACACGGAGTATTAGCCATGACTGTCTAGTACGGTTGTGCCCCCGATCAAGAGCGCGAGTGTAAGAACATCAAAGTGAAGCATCGCTCCTTGTGAGCTACGTCGACACATATAACAGAGGATTCAACTTCGTCACATTCTCAGTGAGAATGTGTATCACAAAGAATGATCACACCTAACGCCGACTCGCAAACTGGATGTCTAAAACCTACTCTTCACACTCTAACCAGTCGCTCAAGCACGCTAGCCAAAGTCGTCGAAACTCTTCAGATCTTATCAATCCACGTCCGGTGTATGTACAGTTAATGCCATGCAATTTCTCCCCACCACCCTATTCAGCCGTTTACCAGATGTCAAGCTCACGCCTGCGGCGCAAGCCCGATGGGCCCGGCGGGTACTTGTGCAGGCGGCTGGGCTTGCGCGCGTCCTTCAGGCGGTACTTCGGCGGTCCGTTCGTGTCCTGCTCCAAGGATCTCCCCTTCTAACCGTTCAATTAGTTGATTGTGACGTGGCGTTCAGCATATGGTCGCACGGACACGCACCTTGCGTACATGGTTGGCTCCCTTACCGATGCCCTGTGTGGACTTGGCAAGGTCGTCTGTAATGCACGGGTCAGCACAACCTGCATCTGCAGCGTATGGGCCCGACCACCCGACGAACGGCGACGCCGACAGACTACGCACCTGTATTATGGCGCAGTTGGTCCAGATGCGCGCCTCGGTCCGCCCCCTTGGCAATGTTTTCGTGCATGTGATCAGTTTTCGAGTCAACCTCCGACTTGTGGTCGGTACGCGCACTGAGCATGTCCGTGACGGCGCGAGCCAGGAGAGAAGTCGCCTCGTCGAAGTCAAACCGGGCGATCAGATCGGAGACCCCGGCGTCATGGGCACGAGCTTCAAGTCCATCGGCGCTGTAGAGGGAAGTCAGCGCCGTTGCAACCAAGTACAGATGGAAATGACATACGCGTCAGAGCTGACTGGCATAGCAAACGCGGCGGACGCCACAGCAGCGGCAGCGCAGAGCAGGGACATGACGGCTCCGAAACGCATGGTGATCGATGATTCACCGCAGTGATGCACGATGTGGATCGTAAGGAATGAGACTGTAGAGCGAGAGTCGTCAAAGAAAAACAAGCGAAGCTGCAGAGACAGTGGTCAGTAAACGAGTCACAATGAAGGGCGTATACACGAAATACTCACTAGCCAGTACTTGCTTGTGGAGTTGAGCCCGAGAAGGAGAAGTGAGCTGGGGATTGAGAGCCGCGAGGGGGGCCCTTTTATACGGGGGCCCAGCGTCTCTTGCCGATCCGAACATTTGGCGCTGCCAGTGCCAACTGCCGGACGGGCCAAACTTGGGAGATGTAACATGTTCTCGCAGTTCGTATGCTACCGGCACGCGGGCGCGCTGCGCCCGCAACCCAGGTGTTACGTACCCTCCGTAGAATCGCCGCCCTGCCATTGAACGTAGACGCCACCTGCAGCGCTAAGGATATGCTACCTGCCAGTGCTGGTCTCAGGCTTCTGGAGACTCCAAAGGATCAACGTTCAAGTAGCATTGGAGGATATCGACCGGGATGCGATGTGACTGTCTACTTTCATCTTGGGTAGCCCAACATGCCACTTCTCGCGGGGAGGGTACGTACCGCCTGCCAGCGGGGTGCGGGCGCTGCGCGACCACGTATCACATCATAGCTGTATTCGAAGCGGCGTGTGTGTGATTTCGCTCTGCAGCCGGCGCTGTACGACCAGTATAGTCGCAACGGTCTCGGTCTGAGATGTAAGTGATCAGCGGGATGCAGTGAGCGGTCTATTGGGCGTCGGGCGTTCGTCTGGCGTTGTTCTTGGGCGATCCGCGCGCACTGCAGGTCGATCTTGGCTGCAAACTGGCGCTAAGTAGTTCGCCCTCCACACAGTGCTCCTCCTCGCGTCTTGGCCTCCGGCTTCCCTGTTGTTTCCCTTCGCGCTGGGAGCGCTGCACTGGCAGGAGGCACCCAGGCCGGGCCGTAACGGGCGCGCCCGCCACATGATTACGTCAGCACGTAGATACATACTTAGCGCCAGCCTGTACTTACATAAGTGCCGTAGCTTTTCGCCTTTCCATTGAACACCAGTAAGTTATTTGGGTCTATTCCGAGCCCATTCTCGCTCGTTCCGCCAGTTCCGCGCGACCGCAGCCACTACGACCGCCCGAGCCGACCTTGCCCATCACACGGTCCCGCGTATTAAGCATGTGAAAGGACCGACGTCGCCAGTGCTCTCATTCTCCAGCTTACTTCTTCTTCTCGATCTCAACTCCACAACCACTAGGTACTGGCTGGTGACTCAGTAACGAGTTGAAGCTACTAGTACGTCTGCGTCTCTCAGTGCCATGGTACCGAGGGAGTGGCACAGGGAGTGTATTGGCTACTGTCAGTCCGATTGCAGCAAGATCTCGGCACCGTTCGCTAGCAGATCGAACGGAAACCCTGCCAGAATCGACGGACAGATTTGCTCAGGGACTGCGTGATTACAGGCACCTTCACCATCTTGTGAACCCACTCCAAGTCAGTCGAATGTTTGCCTTACCGTTGCATGTTATAAACGGTGTGCGCCCGACCAAGAGCGCGAGCAGTGAAAGAATATCAGAGTGAAGCAACACACCTTATGAGCTACCTTCACGTGTCTGTCAAAGGAGTCAGCTTATTACATTCTCAGTGAGAACGCGAATCACGAAGGACGACCACACCTGACGCCGACTCCTCGCAAACAGGATGTCCTAGACCGAACCACTCAAACGCATCGCTCAAGCACACAAGGCAAAGTCGCCGGAACTCCTCGTATCTCATTAATCCACGTCGGGTGTACAACTAGAAAGTACCATGCAATTCCTCCCCACCCCTCCATCCAGCCGTTCATCAGAAGTCGAGCTCACGCGGGCGGCGCGGACCGTTACTCGAGCCCCCCGAAGACCTGTGCTTGGACTCACGGTTCGGTACGTGCGGGTTGTGCTGGCGGTACTTCGGGGGAGGGTTCGGGTCCTTCGCCGAGTACGCTGGCTTCTTGCCGTTGATGGGGTCGTTCTTGTGGTAGCGGGGTGGGTCTTCGCGCGCCATCACCTCCTCGACGTCGCGCGCCCACATGTCCTCCAACTCCTCGCGCGCCCAGAGATCGTCGACCTCCGCGAGCTCACGCGGGCGGCGCGGACCGTTACTCGAGCCCCCCGAAGGCCTGTGCTTGGACTCACGGTCCGGCACGTGCGGATTGTGCTGGCGGTACTTCGGGGGAGGGTTCGGGTCCTTCGCCGAATACGCTGGCTTCCTGCCGTTGATGGAGTCGTGCTTGCGGTAGGGAGGCGGGTCTTCGCGTGCCATCACCTCCTCGACATCGCGCGCCCAGAGATCGTCGACCTCCGCGAGCTCACGCGGGCGGCGCGGACCATTACTCGAGCCCCCCGAAGACCTGTGCTTGACTCACGGTTCGGCACGTGCGGGTTGTGCTGGCGGTACTTCGGGGGAGGGTTCGGGTCCTTCGCCGAGTACGCTGGCTTCTTGCCGTTGATGGGGTCGTTCTTGTGGTAGCGGGGCGGGTCTTCACGCGCGCCGAGCACGTCCGTGACGGCACGAGCGAGGAGAGAAGTCGCCTCGTCGAAGTCGGACCGGGCGAGCAGGTCGGCGACCTCGGCGTCGTAGGCGCGAGCCTCGAGACCGTCGGTCCTGCGGAGGTAAGTCAGCGCCGTTGCGCCCAAGTACAGATGGAAACGACATACGCGTCAGAGGCGACTGGCATAGCGAACGCAGCGGGCGCCACAGCGGCGACAGCGCAAAGCAGGGAAATAGCGGCTCCGAAACGCATGGTGAATGAAAATTATCTGCAGTGATGCACGGGCTGGATCGTGAAGAATGAGAGAGCGAGAGTCGTGAAAATAAAACAAGCAAAGCTGTAGAGACAACGGTCAGTCAACAATTCACAGTGAAGGGAGTATACACGGAATACTCACTAGCCAGTACTTGCTTGTGGAGGTGAGCCCGAGAAGGTGAAGTGAGCTGGGGATTGAGAGCGGCGAGAGGTCCCTTTTATGTGGGGGCCCAGCGTCTCTTGCCGGCCATCCAGCGCTGTGCGAAGGGTAGGCCAAGCGGAGGCCGAGGAGGAGCCGAGCAGCGTGAGGACAAACATGCGGGGAGCGACAACAGGCGACAGCGCGGCCGTGTCGAGCTGACGCATCACCGCCGCATCAGAGCCCCTCTCCATGACATTATCGTGATAAATGCACTGACCAGAGCGAGAATGGGGCGCAGTTGCATCCTGTAATAGTGCGTCTGCTCAACGTTTTGTAGAACTTGCATCTGGAGAACCGTGCTTGGTCTATTGTCCTCTACCCTTGCTCTACGCACCTGAGGTGCAGGAATGACTTGGATTTAGCAAAGCCGTGCAAGGCCGCCGCCTCGCACGAACAGAGGGCATGGTGCTGGTACTGACTCGCGAATGGAGAGCCAAGTCCAGGCCAAGTCCGACGTATCGGACTTCGGGTAGATAGGCTTTGCAGTCCATCCTCCATTCGGCACAGCCATTGATTTTGACAGATCGGCGCATTAATCACGTCGACGCGATCAGAAGCGGTGCGCCGATCGGTTTTGCCTGGCACCCACTCCAGTTTCAACTTATGCGCGCTGCGAGAACGGTAGTACGCGTCGCAGCGTCCTTACTGTCGTGCAGTCAACATGCAGTTGGTGGCCTCTAGAGATCACATGCACGTTGAAGGAGACGCATACATGTCGACAATGCGCCTCAGCAGCTGGATCTCAGGCTGCGGCAAGAAGATGACAGAGAGAAAGAGATACCAACAGAGCATTTACATGTAAGTATGTATATCACCGCAGCCGTTGCTCAACGCACGCGTCCCAAAGTCGGTGGAGAAGTCTATTCCGGGTCGCTGCACGCCTTTGCCCGGTATTGCTAGTAGCGTCACCCGACCCCTGCTACGCCTCTGTGGGCTCCCACTATCCCAAGCTCTCCGCATGATGACGGACGGCAGTAGCGCTATCGCGTAGTCCCACACAAGTAGACCATGGTGCCAGTGGTCAACATCAATGTGGTGGAGAACCGCCGTCGCATCTCGGTCTACAACACTAGATCCGCGCCAGCCGCAACACCGACCAAGCCGAACAATTCGCCCTCCGTGAACTCGGCCCTGCTGCCCGCGCTCGAGCTTGTCGTAGTCGAACCCGACGACCCAAAAGCCGACCCGAAGGCTGACCTGGCTGGATGTCGACGCGTGCGAGTTCGTCGACCCGGAAGCGGTGACAGAGCTGGAGCTCGAAGTGGTGATAGACGAAACAGCGAAGGAGATGCTCACGAGTACGGAAGACGCGCTCAAGATGGTGGAGGAGGCCGCGGAGCTGGTGGAGGAACAGACGGCGGAGCTCGCGCTCACTGCACAGGGCAGAACGGGAGAGCATTGTCTGCGGTGGTGCAGTTCGCGGTGAGACACGTCAGGGCAGAGGCCTGGAAGGCGGTGGAGGAGCAAATGCAGGTGAGATCCGCGCTGTGCGCGCCGTCTGGTCAGCCAGAACTTCGTGAGCAAGCGCGATAGGGAAGACACGTACTAGCTAGAGCACCCTGCGGAAGTCGCGGCGGTCTGAACACAGGACATAATGCATGGGTCGATGCCGGCGGCGAACGAGCTCTGTGCGGCGGCAGCACCGACGACTCGAAGCACAAAGAACTCATAGAAGATCTTCGTCGTAGTAAGTCTATGCAGCGTATTCAGCCGTTAGGAGGAGGCGTGCGTGTCTGACCAGTGAGGAGAGAAAACGAGGGGGACACAATGTGCGTTTTGTCAGAAGTCAAGGCGTTCGGCGTCGTGCTTGCTGTATTGCATCTGCCACTGTCTGTCAGTGTGGCTGTCGTTCTGAGCCTGATCTGTAGAGAAGATCGAGCAGCGCTCAGCCGCCAAATTCCCATACGTGCGACTATGTGAATATCACTGCAGTCTTGTGGAGGCGGGAGCGACCGGGCGCTTAACTGCGACACTAGGTATGAGGAGGCTGTGAGCTGTTTGCGAAGTAGACTTCTTACCTTTCTGTCCTGTAGTTGCGTCGAGCACATTTAAGGGTTTGGGCCTTCATGGGCCTCTAACGAGAACGATGCCTCGGGCTCGTCACTCTAGAAGCTGGCTACTGAAGGTATGAGAATGATGCGGTGACTCAGCTTCATCCATTTCGTACCTATGTCGCTCATGGGCGCAACGGATCCTCGCCTCAAATGACCCATCATATCAGGTCCTAATGAGCCAAGTAGAGGTCTCTGCAAACAAAGTAATCAGCGACACAACGACGGAGCAGCAGTTGTTCGGAATTTCACAAAATGTAGACAATCGGGCATGACTGGATCGCGGATGCGTCAGGAAATTAAGCTGCAGAAGATAATGCAAAAAAATCGTCGGCCCTTGCTGTTTCATGTTCGGAGTCGATGCAATGCATGTCGGGATCCTTCTCAAGTTTCTCGTTGGCCTCTTCACGTTGTGCGCCACAAAGGCTGCCATCGTGGGAACATCATTATCGGCTCCGCAGCCGATTGGGTGGCATGGCATGCACAGGTACGCGCCTGTGGCCCGGTAACCTCAGGCTGTAACTAGTCTGAACTTCAGCTACGATGAGTTCTCTTTGCCATCGGCAGACGAGTCTAGCTAAACAGAGGGGGGTGAGCATCAAAAACATGACACCGTGCTCACTGCGACAGCAGTTGCGTACCTTTCAGCACCGAGGCAAGTCGCTCATGGCGTAGTACGTCGATGGACCGACTTCAACAGACTGAGTAACAGGCTAACCCAAGGCTAACCCTCCTTCATCCAGTCGGGCCTCGCGGCCGGTGTGCGCTAGGCTAGTCACTTCAGACGGGTTCGTTCGACGCGTTTTGACTGGCAATGTATCATCGACTGATGGCAGCAGCCTGACTACATAGTAGATTGACACCTTGTGGCGTTGATCCCGAACACGCCCACGTGACCGTAATGTTTCAGCGTCGACGGTAAGTTAGTATGTACGCCGGGCATCAGACCGTAGATCGCATTCTTCCTTTGATGGCTATATTGTCTGTGGGCGCAACTTGGCGACAACGCTCCGTGGTCTTCGCTGTGCCTCGCCGGTATCCTCACGTCCAGTCGCCGTATCGGCCAGAAGCGAACTACAGCCTACAGAGCGTCCGCTAGCAGCTCGCACGCATACCGAGGATATTCTAAGCATATGGGTGATGTGCGGAGCGACGAACGTTGAGTCGTCGAGTTCAGTGCGTGCTTATTCAGCCACCGAGGACGGGTCGCCATATGCACGATCCCGCACCCGCGACATACCCGCGACAGCGGCAAGATCTGCACAGCACCGCTGCGCGAGGACAGCGGCTGTCGCTGCTACCACGTCTCATCCCGGAAATTGCGGTCGATGACAGAAACAACCTCTTTAGCCTAATTCTATGATATTACGGAGTGATGCTGTGTTGTGCCATGCAGCGCGTCAGCAACACGTCAGAAGCACACTATAAAGGTCGCTCGTACTGACCATTGCACCTCAGCTCGGCCCCAGCACCGTCATGAGCTTACCGATTCGAAGACTGGTGAGTCGCCAACGCGTGATCTTCCCCAATCGCCATTCAAGCTAACCACTTTGCCAGTCTCGACTATGGCCAAAGGCTATGGCCCATGATCTACGGGGCAAGCCTGAGTCAACGTTATAACAACGACCTCTGGCAGTCTTCCGTCAACCGTACATCCAATGCAGATAATCACAACACCTGGGTTCCAGAGGCATCGCAGCGATACGCAAGGTACGTCCACGGTCCTCGCCCGATCCTTTAGCTCGTTCTCATAGTCTTGTCTTCGTACGTTGCAGACTTGCGCTCCTGCAGAGGAATGGGACCCTGTCACGAGTCCGACGCGCAGTGAACCCAACCTCATCCTCTCCCACCTTCCACCTATACACCGAACACCCGTCTCCCACTCCCTCTTAGCCATAATCGCGGAGTAGGAGGACCCACCATCTATTTCGCCGACCCTCGACCTCAGTACAGGCCGCAGGACGACAGTAGTCCCCGTACATCCAATGCAGATAATTACACCACCTAGGGTCCGCGAGGTTCCGCCGCGGGGGTTCTCAGCAGGAGAGCTCGCCCGACGCCAGAGTACGTCTACGGTCCTCGCTCGATCCACTCGCCCGTTCTCACGTCTTGGCTTCGTGCGTTGCAGACTTGCGCTGCATGGGCCTTGTCACGAGCCTTGGCTCATGTCCCGGCTTCACGCGCAGTAAACCCGGCCCTCACCCCCACCCTCCCTCTCCACCCCGCCACCCACCGCGGAGTAGGAAGAACCACCATCTAGTCCGCCGACCTTCGACCTCAGTACAGGCTGCGGGACCACGCTGGTCCACGCGACAGCTTAGGAACGGGTACCTACTGAATTAATTGAATAATCATCAGCGATTCATTCCGTTTCTGTTGACTGCTCACGGTCGAAGCTGGTAGAACCCGCAATGTAAAACCCCATTGAGTTCCGGGCCTGCTTCATGGGTGTCACTGACTCGGAGGCTGTAAGCTGTAGGCTCCCATACTGAGTTGTCCGAAGCAGCTGGATCGCTGCACCACGTCGGGTGTTTTAGTCACCCACGAATTCCCGGACCAGGGAAGTGTGGTGTTGCTTGTACCAGCGAGAGGGCTGCCTCTTCTTCTAGTCAAGCTTGGATGACCGCACGAGGACAGCAGTCTCATTATCTTGACCCTTGTCAGGTTATCTGCGGGTCACGCCGTTGGTGAAAGTAAGCGTAGATGCGGTCGTGCACTCGTCATCCAGCCAAGCATAGCCACCCTGAACGTCCCCGAACGTCGTTCTGGCTCTGGAAGATATGCCACCAAGAAGGAAGCGAATCACATTACCGGTATGCAGTTCCTACACCCACATACAAGTGCTCGTCCTTCCACTAGTCCTACACTCGTCCAACGTTCCGTTCCAGGTCCGATCTTCTGCTTCGCCCAGTACTCCGCTCTACAGGTTCGCCTTCCCGACCGACCATCCAACCTAAGCACACCCGCAATCCGGTCAGCACACGTCCCTGATCGCCCCAACCCCGTAAACATGCCCACGCACCTTCACATACGTCTCCACCGGCTCCGCCGCGCCCGAGTTCTTCACGAGGTCCTCGTCAAACGCGACGAGCCCCGCAGGGAAGAGACACACGACCGTGCTCCCGCCGTACGCGAAGAAGCCGAGCTCGTCCCCGCGCGCGACCGTACTGCCCTTCTGCGCGCCGCCCGTCCACTTGATCGAGCCGACCTGTGGCCAGTGACCGCGTGAGTTCACCTGGATTAGGGGAAAGGAAGAGGGGGACGCACGAGCATGGCACCGATGGCGACGAACGCGACCTGCTTACCGGACGCGGTGTGCGTGAGATAGAGCACGGAGCGCTTGTTCGCGGTAAAGACGTCGAATCCGGGCTCGTTCACCGCCTGCGGGTTCACTGCGCACTCGTCAGCATCGTCTATTCAGCGCCCCGGGAGGGGAGGGAAAAGAGGGCGACGCACCAGTGTAGTATTGGCCGGGGATATCAGTGGTCTCGCCGACGGTGCCGTCGAGCGGGCTGTGGAAGCGGTGGTAATCCGCGGGGGCGAGCCGGAAGCACGCGACACCGGCGCCCTCGAACGCGCGCGCCTGCTCCGAGTCGTCCGGGACGCCGAGGAGGTGCGGGATCGTGAACTCGTTGCCCTTGATCCTGCGCGCGGCGTTGCGGGTCAGCATGAAGTCTGGAGAGAGCCTGAGGGCGCGGATCGACGTACCAGAGCTTTGTCGCGAGGTCGACGGAGGGGTAGACGACGAGCCTGCAGTCGGCCGCGCTGCAGATTGCGCCGGGGACGTCAGCGTTCTGGACGGGGCGCGCGCCGGGCTTGATGTGGCGGTAGAAGAAGTCGTTCATGGTGCGGTACTTGGTCGGGTCGGGCTCGAGGAGCTCGTCGAGCGCGATGGTGTAGGTTTCGATGAAGGAGGGGATGTTCTTGACGGACTCGGGCGAGTCGTAGATGCGGCCTTGCTGTTGATGCGAGTGAGTGGAGTCTGCAGAACAGTGAGGGGAGGATGCGTACCCGGACGGAGAGCTCTTCGAGGATGGACTCAATGTCCTTGTTGTGCAGGATCTTGCGCTGCTCTCCGCCGTAAAACAACAAATGCATACCAAGCCTACATCCTTGTTTCAGTGCGTAAAGCGTGTCAGCAGGGCCGAGACGGACCTCGGGTAGATGGGCATGCTCTCCCAGAATCGCTGCCCCGTCTGGCGATCGTACACGTAGTTCCCTACATGATACTCAGTGGCGAGCTTCTCGAGCCCGGGGATGAGCTTGTGAACGAAGGGGAGCTGGGCGAGCTTGTGCATGGGCGCGTGGATGCCATGGCGGACGTCGGTGTGCTTCGCGGACTGGTCGACGAGCTTGCTGAGGGACTCTGCGACGACGGAGGGGTCCTGGGTGTGGGCAGGGAGGTTGGTGGCAGTGATGGCCTGCTTGGGCTTCATGTCTGCTTCGTGGAGGGGGAGCGACGCCATGGGTTGCGGATAAGCGGCAGGCGGTGCGATGGGATGTCTGTATCACGCTGAGGGTATAAATAGGCCAGCGCGTGCCTTTGAGGTCATGGGACCCTAACCCCAGCTTATGACCAGGTACGAACCCTCCATGGCACCTCTCCATCCGCTGCCAGCCTCTCCATCGCTCTCCCCTGTCTCTGTCTCCGCAGCAAGCCACGACTCACATGGGAACATTGCCATGTGAAACGGGATCCAAACGGAATGAGCTGCAGACAGGACAGACAGCTTCTAGTATGCGTCGAGATCGATACACCATGACGCACCAAGGCACGAAGACTCAATGAAACTCGCGTCAGATTCAAAAGACGCACGCCAGTCAGGCATAACCCGTGTCAGAGCCTGAGGTAAAGCGTGCGCGGCAGCGAATCACACACCAACTACCGCCTTGCGCAGGTCGGTCGAAGAGTCGTGGATGGACGAGAGGCTTGAAGGGAGAGAGGACAGTGGAGAGTTGGGGTTCTGCGGCAGAGTAACGAGGTCGACACTTACTTAGCAGCGAGCGAGCGACTGTTGTGACTCGGTGACACAGCGTTCACCCGATTCTCTAAAGGCACGCAGACGACGCGGCGTCGATTTGAGGGCGTGAACTTGAGCCCGCGTAGAGTGGAGGCCCGAGCGATGTGCGCGAGGAGAGGACGAACGAGAGCGTCGAGAGAGGGGGGCTCGATAGAGATTTGGGCGACACGGCCCAGTATAAGTACACAGACGATATTCTGGAACAGCGAGAATCGAACATATTGACAGAAGGAAAGATAGAAGAGCGGCGACGTTCGAAAACGAACAGTGACGTCGTCGAATGGAGGTGGAGGTGGACGAGAAGCGTGACGATCGAGACGTGAGGTGATAGTTGAAAAGAGAGCCAGGCTTGACAGAGAAGGAAGGCATGTTAATACCCGAAAAGGAATGTATCGTAAATAGCACCATTCGCGAGCTGCCAACCGAGTCGTGCCGAGAGTATGTATGGTCGAAGGGGACTCAAGGGACGGCCGTCATCCGGACGAGCGCTCAAGCTCAACGCCTCAACGCTTCGCTGGACTCTCGTACGACCAAATCCACTACTTCAAGATTTCCTTAGATCTCATCGTCGTCACAATCGCACATCAGAGTCTTTCAATCCAGAAACAATATTCAACAAGTTCAAAACGTACATTTCGACCGACGCACGCCACTAGTCCTACACGTACCAACACAAGAAGAAACATGTCCATCGCTCACTGGTACGTCAAGCCGCTGATACTCTGCCAAAGCCTGCGCACACCGACACCACCACATCAGCCACTGACCGCATCACACATCAAGAAACGAAATAAACACTCACGCGCATCGCTCGAGCAGCGCCGGGTCCGTCGTCGTCGTCTGCACGACGGGCTCGCCCGCGGCGGTAACGTTGAACAGCACCTCCGCCGTCCCGTTCTGCCACACGGCCCACGCGGGCTTCAGGTCCGGCACGGCCTTGTCGTTCGGGTCGAGCGAGCTCACGACGGACATGAACGACTGCGAGAATGACGTGATCAGCTCCGAGTTGTTGTAGGCCGGCGGGTTCGAGCTGCGTCGGGTCAGCGGGTGAACGGACGGCAGGGCGACGGAGCGTACGTGGGGAAGTAGTATTGTACGTCCTGTCCGTGGATGGCAGGCGGCACTGCGAACTCGCCCTAGGTCGGAAACGATGAGAAACGGCTTAGAAGCGCTATGGATGGGAAGTGTGGCACCTTGTACGCGTTATCTCCAAACGCTTCCAGAAGCAGATACGTCGGGCAGATGAAGATCGCTATGTCCAACGTCAGCCTGACAAGCAGCCAACACCGTACACCCAGTACACGTACACTCTCCCATGATACCAATGGCCTGCGCCAGAGTGTCGTTCAGCGCGGGGTCGCTCGTGTACTGCTCGACGATCGTCTGAATGATCGTCTGGTCGATCAGCGGGAAGAGCTGCGTGACATAGTCCGTGATGTTCGTCGGCGGCGTGGTCGTGTCGACGAAGTTGTACCCCTCGAACGAATTCGTGACCGAGAGGAGCACATTCTGCCTCGGACGTCAGCAAGCACCTATCAGGTTCGGAGGGAGGAGGACGCGCTTACGCCGTTGACGCGCCGCTTCTCGAGCGTCACGGTGGGCCGCTCGACGATGAATGTTCCGTCGACCACGGGGACGAAGACGTAGGTACCGTAGAAGTCCGCGTAGTTGATTGCTGTGTTGGCGGTTTGGAGAGCGGAGGCGGAGGCGGAGCGCAGACACTCGAGCGCGCCGGAAGCAGACGAACAGCTGGATTCGACTGGGTCAGCCTAGATCGCGGTTACACGTTCGGTGAAGACTCACTTGGTTTGTGCCACCGTCTCAGAGAATATCTCCTGTATGGTGCGTGATGACCGGTGAGCCGGAGCACGTAAAGCGAGTCGCAAGAAGCGTACCTCGGGGATGGTGTCGTTGTAGTAGTACTGGAACGGCAGGAACGTCGAGCTAGTCATAGCAGCACGGAAGAGCGGAGGCTCTGTCTGCCCGCCGTGTGCTACGATGTGTTGCATAACGGAGCCCGCACCTATCGTCACTGCTGAGCCCTTGCCAACACTAAGCTTAGAGCAGAATACTACTCGCCTGCCGATTCACCCCAGATCGTAACCTTTGCCGGATCACCGCCAAAGGACGAAATCTGTATTTCCATTCAGCATCAGGGTAGGTAAGCGTGAAGAGATCAGCAGCTAACGTGTTCCTGGACCCATTGCAACGCAAAGTTCTGGTCGACTGCCACGAACCCGTAAGAACCACGCGCGTCAGGCGCCTAACCCGAGGATGCACTCACGGAGACCCGCGTTGAGCGAACCGTTCGCCTTTACCTCGGAGCCTGGGAGGAAGCCGAAGACACCCAGCCTATACTGAATAGCAACAGCGATGACTCCGTAGTCGGACTCCTTGACGAGGTCTTGGCCGGAGTATATGCTTGCCGACCCGGCGATGTACCTGCGCGTCGTGCACTCAGTTGTCGAACTCTGTGAACATTGCAGACGAAGCCATACCCTCCGCCGTGGATCCAGACAACGACCGGCAGAGCCGCACCCGGCTGCAATTGTCCCGGGGTGTAAACACTGATGGAGTCAGGCGTGAGTCCGTACTATATCAGGGCCAGACGAAGTGCGCACTTCAGGAAGAGACAGTCTTCGTCCTGGGAGGCGGCTCTCTTCTGGAGGGATGACGGTCTGTAGGGGTTCGTACTGTTACCACCATACGCCGCCTGGTAGCATTGGTTAGGCGTCTCTGTTGCTTGCTGTACACCGGTAGTTGTCGCCGGCGTCTGCGGCGCCTGCCAGCGCAGTTCCCCTGATGAGAGCGTCAGCACTGAAGTACACCGCGGACTGTCTGCACTCACCAGTGGGGGCCTGTGCGAAGCGAATACCGAAGAAGTAGGAAATGTTTGCATCGGGGTCGTACGTTCCCTGATATTGAGAATACCCGAGGTCTACGACAGGGGTCGACACATTGGCCCATCGACCCTCGAGAGACGCAGAGGGCGAAGCCGCGACGAGCTTCGCGACTGCGAGGAGGTTCAACACGCTAGCGAACCCTACGATCATGGCAGCAAGATCCGGTGGACTTCCCTTCCAACGAAGGCAAAGGGGAGGAGGGCGTGCATCAAGTCGGAGAATTTATATACGTTGGTCGACGCAGTGTTCACAGCGCTGATCACACCCACAACGCTGGGCAAATAGGATTGGAGCTAACGGGCAAGTTGGCCGACGGAAAGGGGGCGGCCGTCAGATGAGCGAACTATGTTCGGGAGCATGGGACGCACCGCGCATCGAAGGCTTGCACTAACGGCAGTGCCGGAAATAGCGGACCGCTTACGAACCTCGGTCATTAGTTATCCTGGAGTCGAGACTGATCTGCACTAGAGGCATAGGTATGATGACCTCGCGATGTGAACTTCATGGCGCTGCTACTGTGCCGGCGGTACATTAGACACAACTCAAACTGCGAAACATCAACAGTGGTACGAGTTCGACAGATGTTCCGAAGCGATATCATGGTTCGAGAACGCCGAAGGCAAGGAATGCTTCCTGAAAACTCACAAAGACCAGAAATATTCCCACTCGACATTTCTCCGCCAAGGACCGGCGTGTGTGCAGCGACGCTGGACACGTGCGACGCCCACGGGGTTGCACCCTGAGTCACCAGTCGTTTCAGCGCACAAGTGCAGAGAGGGGTGCAAAGTCGCAGGCGACGGTGGCCATTCAGTAGTAGTCCCGGCTTCGTCTGCTTGGTGGCAAGTCCAGCGCAGGTGGTTCGGTCATTGCTCAGGCACCGATCGGGTCGGCCTGGATACTCTGTAAACATCGATGCGTAATGGCCTCCTGTGCAATCAACGAAAGTCATGCACATATCATGGGCGACGTTGCACATGATACTCACCAGAAATCGTGAAAATATGACCAATCACGGCGCTGTTATGACCTCGGTCGCAACTTGTAGGGGGATGCCAGCGAAGGCTTCATGCCATGCTGAACAGTCCTTCGAAGAATTGCACGTCAAAAGAGCTAGTCACAAACATGTGGCTGCAGCATTTATGTAACACGGAGAGTTGCAATGGCGGTAGCTCCAATTTTAATGTGGTGTCTCAGTCTGCACTGAGGTCGTGGTGGTGGGTGCGTGCACGAAGCGAGATCTTGATCCTCGGCCTCAACGATCGAGTTTGAGTGCACGTGCCACAGCAGATTTTGGGAAGCGCCGGCGAACAGACTGCCTACTTGATCGCTTTTCAGAGTTCAAACGTTCAAGGCCAATTTCAGGTAGTCTCCCTGGGCAGAGTAGACAATCTTTTCAGCCTCCACGCACTCCGGATATTTGTGCTCTCGCCCACTCTGCTCTGCTTCTCCGTCATCTCTGCACACAACGCCAAAGCAAAAATGGAGGATGTTCGGCCTGCCAAGCGGTTTAAGGTGAGCTCTACGATCCTATACTGCTCAGTGCTCATGTGTCCGTAGCATCAATCCCATAAGGATGCTCTGAAGGAGGTACACCTACCTTCGGCACTCGTCCAGAGCAAGTTCAACCATGGCATTGCTGTAAGCCTTCCGAAATCCGACTCACATAACACCGCTGACTTCTCGTGCAGGATAACGATTCGCATTTTCATGAAGCATTGAACGAATGGCGAGAGCTCAATCTGTCGCCGTCGTTTGTCAAATTTGCCAATGCGTCCGATGGAATGTCAGCTTCCATGCCATTACTGCTTCACAATTGGCAGGCAGTGGTGGATCTCTGGCTGGATGCGCTAGAGTCAGCGGACGACGAAGGTTTGAAGGCTCTGTTAGAGTGCGTGCATGCTCATATTACTCTTTCACTGTACTGACGTTTTACGCAGCCTATTCCAAAAGCTCGCGCACGATCTCCGGACGACTCTCGCTCCCAGTTACCCGCAGGTCCTCCGCCGCCTCACCCATCTCCTCCCCCGTTCTTTGTCTGCGTCAGCTTTGACTTCCCTCCTGGCGACCTTCTCCTCCCTATTCCGCTACGTCCTTGTCCCCTCTGTCGACGCAGAACTGCTCGAACAAGCATGGGCGATCTTCCGCGACACGCTCACGCGCTGCAATCCCGAGGTTCAGAGGGCGACAGCGGAGGTGTGGGGTGCGACGATCAGACGGCTGAAGGTGGCGGACCGGGAGGTGTGCGTACATTTGGTTGCGGGGAGCGCAGGTCACGGGCTGGCGGACGCGTGCGCGTGGGTGTTCGTGTCGGCTTGCAAGGTACGTACAACGAGTGCGCTTCATATGCAGATCCTGACGCTCCTACGATAGAGCGTTTCACAGACGTTGCACACGGCGACGCCTTCTGTCATTCGGCCACTTATTGACTACTGCCTCGGTGCCGAGGACGAAGAAGCGTCATACACGCTCGTTCGGCGTGTGCTCACCGCCCTGATCCACCACTGCAAAGACAAGGAGCAGTTCTCCGGAGTCGCTGATGTACTGGTCAACATTTTTGAGGAGGAAAGCGCGAAGGAACCCGCAGACGAGGAGCGCCTCCGCCGTATGCTCGAGGTCGCCTCCGTCGCGTGCTCGATCAGGCAAGGATCGCGCATGAACCGTGAGTCCCATCTTCGCCATAGCATATGGGAACTGACGACCCTCGCTCAGCAAAACACCTATCAACGATGCTTTCTCGCTTCCCCTCGCTTCCGCTCACATCCCCGCTCCACCCCGCCACCCTCAAGTTCTCCCTCTCCGTGCTCACCGCGGGCGATATGGCCCTCTGGGCCGGGCCCGGGCGCGCTGTCCTCTCGCGCGCCTTCGAGCAGCGCCCCGAGCTCGCGCTGGAGCTCTGCGGTGCGCTCGCAGAGCTCAACTGGGGCGGGTGGAAGCTGCTCGCGCTCCCACTCGTGCTGAAGAACTCAGGCGAGCTGCTGAAAACGATGCCACGGAGGATGATGGAGGTGCTTGCGGCGCTCGAGAGGGGTGGAAGGCTGGAGAAAGGCGCGGTGGATGTGGTGTGGAAGAAGAGGGTGTTGGATTGGGTAGAGGAGCGGTTTGGGGAGTGGGAGTTCAGCGAAGAGAACGTGAGTGCTGAGAAGCGACACGACGGTGTCTTTCACTGGTGAATGCTGACATGTAGGGAGCAGGTCCTGCTTCTGCATGATGTCCTCGCGCTCTCCAAACACCTGCCTACGATCGCCCCGATGCTCGTCCGGATCATCGACTCATGCCTGAGTCAAGCAGATCCAGACCCGCAAACGGAGTATGCAGACTCATGTACAAATTCTGCCTGGGTGATCGGGGCATGTTTGGAATGCCTTTCGGCGCGGCCTTCAGAGGAATGGGGCAAAACCGCCGACATGTTGGTCTGGGCACGGACAATCGTCCTGAGATGGGGATGGTCCAGTAATGCGTTAGGCGGGCTCGTTTCTGTGGTTCAAGCCAGGTACGTTCTTCCGTATTCCTGAGGTATATGAGACACTGAAGTACGCTGTCCTAGCGGTTCGACGTCTCAGACTATCCCGTTCGAGGAGCTCTACCCTTTTCTTCAATCACCCTTACTTTCTCATTCTCGTCCTCTCCGACTTGCGTGTCTCCGGCTACTCGCTTCGTCATTGACAAAGGTAAACGAAGGGACGTCCGACGCTATCGAGCGCTGTTTGCAAGCAGAGGAGATCTCTCTGGACGTGAAAGGCTCTCGCGAGCGAGCGTTGCGGATCAACAGGTTGCCTGTTGTTGTGAGGGATGGGGATGACCGAGGAGCTGACATCGCGGCGAGATGGTCGATCGGTGAGCATTGCGCCCGAGTATACTGCCTGCACCTTCGCTCATGACATCTCGCAGCGCAACTGAAAGTCAATCTCCGCCCCTTGTGGATACCCGCAGCGCACACTATGTCGGCTCTGGCCGAGCGCTTCGGTGACTTAGTCTGGGGCTTGCTCTTTGCAGAAGTGCAGGCTGCTACTAGCGACCGTGCGGCCAGTAGCGTCCCCAACTGGCTCCAGGAAGCAGAAGCAAGCGACGACAACATTTGGGAGGAGGAACGCACGTGGAGAGATCCGAGTGCGCACAAAGTGCGCAGCGCTATGCAGAAGTGGTATCGTGGTGATGCGACCAAGCGCGCCGTCGTAATGGTGGGTTTCGCAACGTGTCGCCATCGCTGTACTGCAGGAGAACTGACCGTTGGACACAGGACCAAGATACTGGTGATCGCTTCGATGCAGCGTCGTACGAGCTCCAGCTCCTCTCTGCTCTGGGCGAATGCTCGTCGCTAGCCGAGAAGCACAGTCGAGACCTTGTCCCTCACTTCCTCGCACTCTCCAGTCCTTCGTCCACGTCCCCATCCAGACTCCCTCGGCATAAGCTCTCAGCATGGCTCACGCTCTTCTCAAAGTTCGTCAACCCGAAGGCGCTGCGTTCCACGGACACCCTACATGCTCTCTACACTTCCCTACTCTCGCACCCCGATCGCTCTCTCCAGCGACTCGCTCTTTCTTGCATCCTCACATACAAGAGCCCGCATCTAGTACCTCGGGAGGGTAATCTGAGGGAGCTTCTGGACGACACGCGATGGCGAGACGCCCTGACGCAGCTCGAGATCAGCGAGATCGCGGAGTCGGACAGGGCGGAGGTGGTCCCTGTCGTAATCCGTCTGCTGTTTGGGCTGATGCTCGAGAGACGAGGACGGGCGCGAGGAGCGGATCGGCGCGCAGCTGTGCTGTCTGCGTTCGGCGGCTGTCAGGACGAGGAGCTGTACCTCCTTGTCGAGCTAATGCTCCAGCCCATCATGCCGGACGGTACCCGGAAGACAGATCCCTTCGTGATTCAATCTATACCGCCGGAGGTGTCGGAGAAGCAACAGATCGGCTTCTTGACCCTCCTGGGCGACGTTGTTAAGCAGCTGGGCTCGCGATTGGTCACTCGTTGGCCTGTCTTGCTGCAGGCTCTACTCGACGTGCTTGGCAGCGCTCAGCGTTGCATGAGCGCCCGCAGAGGTGAAGACGCGCAGGACGAAGACCAGGACGGTGATGCAGAGTCGGACGACGAGGAAGGGAATGCAGCGGAAGGGACCTCGAGGAATACGAAGACAATACGGTCGCTCGGACTGAAGCGGTTTGCGGACTTCTTCCGATGCCCTGCTTCCTTCGACTTCACGCCCTACATGCCGGAGGTCTTTAGAGCCATCATCTCCCCTCGTCTCCCGAGGCTCGATCAAGAGAATACTCAGGCACCTTCTGCGCTCCTAGAGCTATTCTACATATGGACTCTGCGAGATGATCATGTGAGATTGCTCATCGAGCATGATCAGCTCACTCTTCCCAAGGTCTATGACTGCCTCGTGGCGAGTAATGTCAAGCCTTCGGTCATCTCCAAGGTGTTGGACATCGCCGAGCACGTTGTATCGCTCAGTGCCGAAGATGAACCCCTCCGCGAACAGCTGCTAAAGCCGCATGTCTCTGTGCTGTTGACGAATCTTTCCATCCTAGTCGAGCGTACGAGGGGTATCACTTCGGTGGCAGACAACCTTGGTCGCCGGCAAATCGCCATCTTGTCGCAGATCGCTCCGTACCTGACCGATGCTACGCAGGCTTCCACTCTCCTGGCTCTGTTCTTCCCTCTCTTACGCAAACCGTCAAAGCTCATCCCAGAGAAGGTCAAGGCGGATCTCGCAACTATCATGTGCTACCTCTTCCCTCTCGTTCCCGAGCTTTCCGATGAACATAGTGATACATTCTGCAAGACATTCGCATCCATTTCGCAGCTGTTCCAAGCTCTTCGGTCGAGACCAGCGCAAATGGCACTCCTGGCTGCCTTCAAGGCACTCGCAGCAGTCCATCCGTCCCTTTCCGGCCTGGCGGAGCTGATGGAGTCTCTCAACGCTTTTTCCACGAAGAGAATAGATGAGCCCGACTTCGATCGTCGTCTCGCAGCCTTCGCGTCGCTCAATGAAGTCATGTACAAGACCCTCTCTTCACAGCATTGGTTGCCGGTACTCTACAACATGCTCAGCTTCGTCCAAGATCCCGAGGAGCTCACCATCAGGAACAATGCTGCAATGGCCATGAAGCGTTTTGTCGAGGTTTTGGCCGACAAAATCGCTGTGTACGAGGCTACCTGGTCCAAGGTGCTTTACCCGGGCTTGAGGAATGGTCTGCGGTCTAGGAACGAGCTCGTCCGGGCGGAGATCCTTGGCGTTTTGGCGTACGCGGTCCTCAAATGCGACAACATTGCCTCACTCCACGAAATGCGCCCTCTGCTCGCCAACGGTGATGAAGAGGCGAACTTCTTCAACAACATCCACCACGTCCAATTGCATCGTCGCACGCGCGCGATGCGGCGTCTTGGGGAGTATTGTGACGAAGGGTGTCTACGCAGCACTACGTTGTCCGAACTATTCGTACCGTTGATCAGCAACTATATGCAGTCTAGCGCGACCATCGACCATACGCTCGTCAATGAGGCTATAACTGTGACCGGCCGAATGGCACGGAAGCTAAATTGGGGGGCCTACTACGGTGTCGCGCAGCAATATCTGAAGTTGTCCAAGTTGAAGAACGCCTCCGAACGGATTTACATCCGGGCGTTGGTCGTTGTTCTAGATAACTTCCACTTCGAGATGACAGACCGCGTCGAAGAACAGATTGGCGGTGATGAAATCGACGAAGATGAAGGGCATGGCCCTGACGACGAGGAGCAAGCCCCTTTAGAGCCTCTTGTTCACGTAGTGTCCACGCAGACATCTCGAATCGCGGACGCGGTCAGCAATCGTCTCCTTCCCAAACTGCTACAACATCTCGAAGGCCGTGACGAAACGGAGGACAGCCTCAGGATACCCGTGGCCATAGGCATCGCGCAGATTGCGAAACATCTACCGGAGAGCGCACGTGAGATGCAGATTGGCAGGCTGTTCACTGTTCTGAGCCAGATCCTTCGCAGCAAGTCTCAGGAAACACGCGATCTTACTCGCGAGACGCTCTGTCGCATAGCAGTCAATCTCGGCCCGTCGTATCTCCCTCTTATACTACGAGAGTTACGAGCTGCTCTGGCTCGTGGACCCCAGCTGCACGTATTGGCTTTCGTCACGCACGCATTACTCGTGCACGTTACGAGTGGAGATCACGCAACACACTTTGCCACATTGGACAACGGTGTCAACGACATCGCGCATGTTTCCGCAGAAGTCATCTTTGGAGAGTCTGGAAAGGACGTGCAGTCGGAGGACTTCAAAACGAAGATGCGGGAGGTTCGTTCCTCCGCCTCAAAGGCACTCGACACCTTCACCATTACTGCGAAGTTCATCTCCCCTTCCAAGATCAGCGCTCTCTTACTGCCCGTCCGCAACATCATGAAGCAAACAGAGTCGTTGAAAGTCCTCCAGCAAGTCGATGATTTGCTACGTCGGGTTGCGGGCGGTTTAAATGCGAACCAGCACCTGCACCCAACTGATCTGCTTGTTCTGTGCCACACTCTTATCAGTCAAAACGCTCGTTTTTTGAAGTCGGTCCCACCTTCTCGCAAGAAGGCCGGGAAACACTCAGAGGCCATCGTGCAGACGAAACGGAAGATTGATGAGCTTGTAGATCATTACGCCAACAATTCATTCAGGTACGGTACATTGCATTCGCTTCATAATTGGCTCTAACTTGATATCATGGCAGGTTCGTCGCGTTTGGCCTTGAGTTGTTCATTACCGCACATCGTCGAAGTCGATTCGATTTCGAAGACAGAGCTATCATCGCTCGATTGGACTCCATGGTCCCCGTCATCGGAAACACGCTCTATTCTGATCGTATGGAGGTTATCCTTCCTGCTCTAAAAGCCACAGCTGCCATCGTGAAATGCCCCGTGGCGTCCATTGAGAAGACGCTACCGGTGTTCATCCGACAGATGATAGACATAATCAGGCAAGCCGGGAATACAGAGGCCGATGCTGTACAGACTGCATTGAAGTCGCTGTCTACAGTTCTGCGTAACCAATCAGCGGCGCAAGTCAAGGAGCAAGATCTCGTCTACCTGCTGGAGCTCATTTCGCCTGACATCGAAGACCCGAGTCGACAAGCGGCCGTGTTCGCCATGTTCAGGGCAATAGTAGCCAGGAAGTTCGTTGTGCCAGAAATATACGACGTCATGGACAAGGTGTCGGAAGTCATGGTAACAAGTCAATCTCCTCAAGTCCAAGAGCTCTGCCGCGGCGTTCTCCTCCAGTTCCTTCTCGATTATCCGCAAGGAAAAGGTCGGCTGCGCAACCAAATGACATTGCTGGCGAGGAATCTGTCGTACGTCCACGAGAGTGGTAGGAAATCGGTCATGGAACTGCTCAGCGCTATCGTCGCCAAGTTCGAAGCCGGGCTGCTTCGCGAGTACGCCGACATGATGTTCGTAGCGCTGGTTATGGTCATTGCCAATGACGATTCTGCGAAGTGTCGCGAGATGGCATCCGAGCTGATCAAGAGTCTTTTCTCGCGACTAGCAGACGTTCAGCGGAACGTCATCATGTCACATCTCCACTCCTGGGCATCCCAGCACGAACGCGTCCAGCTTTCCCGAGTGTCGTATCAAGTCTCCGGTATCATCATTGATCTATTGCAGAACAACGTCTCCCCATATCTCCCTGCCATATTGGACGACCTGAACAATGCCCTGCAGAATAGTCGGCGATCGCTCGATTCGACCTCTCTAGAGTCTGCGGAGTCTGTAGGAGAAGGTTTTGACTGGCAGGCCCCATACCATGCTCTTCTAGTCGCCGCCAAGATATTGAAGGTATCTCCTCGTTCGTCGGAGACCGTCGCATGGGGACCGGTCACCGAACATCTCCTATTTCCGCATGCCTGGGTTCGCTCGGCAGCATGTCGTCTTCTAGGACAACTGTTCGCTGCTACCCCTGTTGGTGCTCCTCAGGAGCAGTTGCCAGACGACTCTCCTTTCTCTCGCAAGGGAATGGAAGATGTCGCCAAGAGACTCTGCCTCCAGCTTCGTAGTCCTAACCTCGACGAAAGCCTCAGCGTTCAAATAGTCAAGAATCTGTTCTACATTGGGAAGTGTTTCTATGCCTCGGACACCCCAATTTTGTCGAATCGCCCTTCTGGCGACGACGTCGTGCGGGAGGCGATCGCGGAGGCGGACGATGAAGAGGCGCAAAGCGAGGACACAGGCAGAAATCAGTTGCCTTGGATGTTCTCGAAGCTGTCTCATCAAGCTCGCCACGCCCATATTACGAGAAGAAACAAAGCTTCGAGCCCGGTACGTCGTGTGTGATAGCCGGAATGCTACCTGCTCATAGTGTGTATTTGAGGCGAACTGGATCCACCAGCCATCCTCTATCTTCAAATGGTTCGCTGCGATGGTGTCGCATATGGAGAGCAACCACGTCGAGCACTTTCTGATGCATATACTGTCGCCGCTGTACCGCATCGTGGAAGACGATACGATTCGCGATCCTCACATGGGTGCGTGGATTGGAACTTCACTACATAGAGACAGTCGTTTACGTTTGTGAATGCCCTATAGGTGAGTTGAAGACGTTGGCGACCGAGTTGCAGGATCTGGTGCAAGCGAAGGTCGGGACGACCAAGTTCGCGAACGTATATAGCGAGATCAGACAACACATCGTCGGAGTTCAGAGGGAGCGTCGGAACGCACGAGTCACGCAGGCAAGCCCTCACCGTTGTCGGTCATGTTGTCAATGCTAACTGGTGCATCAGGCCTCAGCCCACCCTGAAGCGGCTGCGAAGAAGAAAATTCACCGAAACGCCCTCAAGAAGGAGAGTCGTAAGCGCAAGGCCCAGACGTATGCGTAAGTTACAGTGACTCTGGCTGTGCGCCTACTGACATAGCTTTAGTGACAGCCAGGGCAGATCGAAGCGACTGAGGGAAGACTGAGCAGTCTTCGAATTGCTAGTTGCGCAATGTTTGGACATATCATGCACGCATTCTCATCACCGCAAGTAAATCGCTATCGTACATGCCACCCTTGTATACGAGCAAACGCAATATGAACTTCCATATACAGTTCTTGCGTAGATGTTCGGTTGTACTGGCAGTGGAGCGTCCCAGCGAACAGACTGATGGCGACGTATTCTTGGTGAGCTTCACAACTACGAGACAGTAACTTCGCGATTGATACTGTATCTTGCCGACTCGGACACGAACGTCCTCACTTCTGTCCATTATGCTCTAGTGGTTCGTGCGGAGAAACTTACCAAATGGCGAGAAGCAGTGGTCGAGAGTAGTTTAGGGAAGAGCGCAAAGCCTTGAGTTGGCCTTGATCGAGCTCGACATTCTGGAGAACGATCGTATAGCTCGTAGCAGTACGGTCCCCGGCGCTTAGTGGGTTTCCCAAGGTTCTGTTGTGGCACGTGCGCTCAGACTCGATCGTTTGCGGATCTCGATTCGTGGCACATCCTGGCACGCAACCACCGCAATCACCACGACCTGCAGACTACAGTACTGGACTCGGAGCTTCCGCCAATTTGAACTCGCCGAGTCCGTGTCCAACGCTCAACGCTGTTATGACTGCTCTGCTGACCAGCCGTTTTTCGGAAGGAGTCTGGAACACTATCAGATGGCAAGCACAACAGGGTGGAGCCTTCGCTAGCCTCCCGTCGCGGTCGCGGGAGTTGCAACCTAGAGTTATGTAATGGCGGCGCCGTAGTGGTCAATTCCTCACAGTTGCTGGTGAGTCTGCTGTGTGAGGCTGCCATGATCTGTGCTCTGGCTGCCGTGCCCTGTGCAGGAGATCATTAACATATCAAACCGTAGTGCAAGCCGACCCGATCGGTGACCATACCACCCGCGCTGGACTTGCCACCAAGCATTCGTCGCTGGGACCAATGCTGAATAGTTTATGGCCAACGTTGCCTGCGACCTTACATTCCTCTGTGCATCTGCAAGGTGACGCAACTGGTGTTTCACGGTACAACCTCGTGGGCGCCACACATGTCCAGATGCCGATCCTTCGCGGAGAAATATCAAGTGCGAATATTTCTGGTCTCTTCCTGCCTTTGCGATTGTATCAAAAAGCGTCTCTCGCCTTCGGCGCTCTCGACGACGTCACTGCTGAGCATCTGTCAATATGTAAGTTACAGCTATTGATGTTTCGCAGTTTGAGTCACGCCTCCTACACCGCCGGTACAATAGCAGTGCCATGACGTTCACATCGTGAAGTCCTGCTTATGTCTCTACCTCTAGTGCAGATTATGTCTCGTCCCCAGAATCGTTAATGCCCTTGGTTCGAAAGCGGTGCGCTATTCCGGCATTGCCGTTAGTGCAAGTCTTTCATATGAGGTACGTCTCATGTTCCCGCCCATATATATAGTTCGCTCATCTGACGGCTGCCCCAATTCCGTCTGCCAACTTTCCCGTCAGCTCCATTGCACAGCATTGAGCGCTGTGACAGCAATTCTACAGCTGTCGCGGAAATGATAGACCGCTCGGGCGCGACATGGTCGATTGTTGGCGAAGTCACACATTCGCCACAGCCCACCGTTGCCGCTCAGAGATGCATTCTCGAAGTCTACTTTGACGTCAATCTCGCTCATGGTGATCGTCAGCGCAAATCTCAGCTCCACACACCAGTGCAGGCCGGCCTATCGTACCGCGTTGACCAACGTATATAAACCCTCCGACTCGATGCACATCCTCCTCATCTTTGCCTTCGCAGTAAGGGACGTCTACCTGATCGTCCTGCTATGCTCCTGGTGCTCTCTAACGTGTTGAACCTTCTCGCAGTCGCGAAGCTCGTCACGGCTTTCCCGTCTGCGCCTCTCTCGGGTCGACAGGCCAATGTCTCGACCCCTGTCGTGGACCTCGGATACTCCCAGTATCAGGGAACGTACGACCGTGACACAAACATATCCTACTTCTTTGGTATACGCTACGCGCAAGCTCCCACTGGTGAGTGTAAACAATGTGCAGTGTACTACGGCGCTGATGCTCCCGTCAGGGGAGCTGCGCTGGCAAGCGCCACAGACGCCGGTGACGACTACGGGTGTACAGCAAGCGACAGAACAACCAAATGAATGCTACCAGGCGTCAGATGGTAACAACAGTACAAACCCCTACAGAGCTTCATCCCTTCAAAAGAGAGCTGTTCGAGTCTCTCAAGACGAAGACTGTCTCTTCCTGAAGTGCGCACGTCGTCACCCCCGCCTTGCTCTTATATACGAGCTCACGCGACTCCTTCAGCGTTTACACCCCGGGACAGTTACAGTCTGGCGCAGATCTGCCAGTCGTTGTCTGGATTCACGGCGGAGGGTATGCAATACTTACTTGACACAAAGAGCCTGAAAACAACTGAGAACACGACACATAGATATTTCGGCGGATCGGCAAGCGGGTACAGCGGCCAAGACATAATCAAAGAATCCGACTACGGAGCGATCACCGTGATCATTCAATACAGGCTGGGTGTCTTCGGCTTCCTCCCAGGCTCCGAGGTGAAGGCGAACGGTTCGCTCAACGCGGGTCTCCGTGAGTGCATCCTCGAGATAGGCGCCTAACTGCGTGGTTCTTACGAGTTCGTGGCAGTCGACCAGAATTTTGCGTTACAATGGGTCCAAGAACATGTTAGCTGCTACCGTCTTCCTGCTTGCCTTGATACTGAACGGGAACACAGATCTCGTCCTTTGGTGGCGACCCAGCCAAGGTTACGATATGGGGTGAATCAGCAGGCGAGTAGTATTCTGCTCTAAGCTTGGTGTTGGAAAGGGCTCAGCAATGACTATAGGCGCTGGCTCCGTCATTCAACACGTCGTGGCACATGGGGGCAGACAAAGCCTCCGCTCTTCCGCGCTGCTATGACCAGCTCGACGTACCTGCCATTCCAGTACTACTATAACGACACCATCCCCGAGGTGCGTTTCTCAGAAATGGGTATATGTTCTCCGCCTAAGTAGGCATCGGGTGCTACAGACGGTGTTCTCTCAAACAGTTGCGCAAACCCAGTGAGTCCTCTGCGAACGCGTCGCCGTAACGTAGGCTGACCACATCGGGTTCAGCTGCTCGTCTGCTTCCGGCGCGCTCGAGTGTCTGCGCTCCGCCTCTGCGTCTGCTCTCCAAGCCACCAACAAAGCGATTAGCCGCGCGGCCTTCTACGGCGCCTCCGTCTTCGTCCCCGTCATCGACGGCACCTTCATTGTCGAGCGGCCCACCGTGACGCTCGAGAAGCGGCGCGTCAACGGCGTAAGCGCCTCCTAGTACATCCTTAGAATGGCACTGGCTGACGTCCGAGGCAGAATGTGCTCCTCTCCGTCACGAACTTGCTCGAGGGGCGAAACTTCGTCGACACGAAGAAGCCGCCGACGAACATACGGACTACGTCACGCAGCTCTTCCCGCTGATCAACTCGACGATCGTGCAGACGATCGTCAAGCAGTACACGAGCGACCCTGCGCTGAACGACACCTTGGCTCAGGCTATCGGCATCCAGGGAGAGTGTGCGTGGATTGGGTGTATGGTGGTGGTTGCTTGTCGGACTGACGTTGGACCCAGCGATCTTCATCTGCCCAACGTATCTTCTGATGCAAGCATTTGGGGCTAACGCGTACAAGGTGCAAACTGTTCATCCGTAGCGCTTCCACGCATTTTCATCGTTCCGACCTAGGGCGAGTTCGCAGTGCCGCCTGCCACCCACGGCAGGACTTGCAATACTACTTCCCTACGTACGCTCCGTCCCCTCCCGTCCGTTCACTAGCTGACTGACGACCCGACCCAGTGCGATCCCGCCGAAGTACAACAACTCCGAGCTGATTACCTCCTTCTCGCAGTCGTTCCTGTCCGTCGCCGCTCGCTCGACCCGAACGACAAGTTGTGCCCGACCTGAACCTGCGTGGTCCGTGTGGCAGAAGGGCGACGGAGATGCTCTTCAACGTGACCGCCGGGGCAGCCCGTCGTGCAGACGACGACGACGTCCCCTGCGCTGCTCGAGCGATGCGCGTGAGTGTTCTTTTTTTTGGTTGTGGTATGGAAAGGGCTGATGTGGGTGTGCGTAGTCTTTGGCAGAGCATCAGCAGCCTGACGTACCAGTGATTGACGGACAGCTTGAAGTCGTTTTTGATGAGTCAGGCATATTAAGACCAACGGCATGCATCACTCAAGATTGTGAAATCGGGAGTCGGGCATCGGGCTGAGGCGGAACATGGCCTGACGATGGTGCGATGTATGCACAACGCATTACTGTATATGGAACGTGATTAGTGTTAGCTTCCATGCGTATCTGTTAGCTACGCAGATGACGCACCCCAACCGCTTTCGCACTCGTTTGGGAGAGGCTGAGGTGAGGAATTACTTACATTCATTACAAATCTATCAGTGATATACCTTAGACATTCGTTCTACTCTCTTACTATAGGTCCATTCAATTCAGTCGCTTTTGCACTCATTCGAGACTACGACATTCGCCTTACTCTCGCACTCTAGCCCGGAGTCCGCGCCCGAATTTGCACAGAAGATGGACATTTCTGAGAGACTGTTATGTGCTCTTCGTGAGCTTCAACTGCACATCTTTCATATCTATGAGAAAGTGACATTGTGTCTTACTGGAAACTTTCACGACAGGTACGCTAGGACTAAAACACATACAGTAAGTCATGGGAACTCGCCTCCACTCCAAGGCGCGAGCGTTGAGCTGGTCCTCCTCGTCGAACGAACGTCAAAAGAGTTCCTCATCCTCGAATGAACGTTCTTCGATGAACTCCTCGACGTCGCGAGTACGACGAGGCTTTGGCCTCACCTGGATACTGGCAGGCTTGACAGGATGTTTGACAGTGTTGCCCTCCTCTCCATCTCGCGGGCATAAGGTCTTCGTCGACGAACGATCGCTCGAAGAGGAGCCCGTCGTCGCTGCGGGAACGGATAGGCTTAGACGGGGGAGGGCCAGGGGGCTTCTCGCCGACGGGCTTGACAGATGGTCCGGGATGCGGCTTTACTCGTCGTTCCAAACCGCGCACCCAGAGTCCCTCCTCGCCGGTTGCGCGTGGAGAACTGGGGAAGGTTGTCAGCTGGGCTCGGTAGGATAAAGCGTGATACGTACATATCAATGGGAAAAGCGATGGCGGGAGCGGCAGCGGCAGCAACCAATGCTACCGAGACGATGATAGAGCACCGCATGGAGGTCGGTCGTCTGTAAGGCGTGGAACAAGAGCGCAAATCGTTGAATGAAACAAGCAGAGCTGAAGCAGAAAGTCGGTCAGTCAAAAGCGTGCGAGCACAACGAAGAGAGTAGTTACGCACTAGCCGGTACTCGTACTTGAATGTGAGCTCAGAAGAAGAAAAGGAGCTGCAGTCGCAAACGGCACTGCTAGCGGTTTTTATAGCCTGTCCCTTGGTATCCTTCCGCGATGGGCCGAGGTGAAGGTGGGCGATGCATCGGGACCAGCCCGAGACATCATCCCTGAGCGTCGGGAATAAATGTTTGACACGTAAAGGTGTCCACTCTGTCTCGGGTCGCTTCGACGTTCACCACGAAGATCAATGATGAAGGGTCTACGTAGCACTTCGTATCGTAGAACGTGATCATCCGAGGCGTTACTTGCATGATGCCACTGTGTCTGCGACGATGTAGCCAACGGGCAACAGCGCGTGCATTCAAGCTGACGAATTTCATATCAGTATGTATGACATAGATCGACCAAGCAGAAAGATATACCATACCGTGTTGTATCACGCTTCAAGTATAAACGGTGTTCAATCTACATGGCCAATGTGGAAGCTAGAATGGCGCCCCGCCACATTGATATTGGTCGCCCAGATTGTCGCCCGCAGCCCGTTGTGTCGTAACTCGTTCACACACTTGCAGCGAATTCCATGTAGCTAAGTATACCCCGAGCGCGAAAGCGTGGACAGAGCGTGTCGGTGTTGGTATCTCCGGGATGTGCCCATCAGAGTGAGGAATGTCGTGGGCGAGCTAGACCGCGGTTCATGGCAGAGGTCAGCTGGCAGAGCCCGGGGTGCGCATCGCTCGACGAGAAGGTCAGATACAGGCCCGACGACCTCCGCTTGTGGACGCTTTTCGGGAAGGTGTCTAGCAATGTAGGATTTCTTAGCTGTAATGTTGTACATCATTGGCCTGTTCTGAGGCTCCGTCTTGTTATCTTGTATTCATTCGTCGTTCGCAGCACTAGTAATCTCTAAACTGGGGTGGCAGGCCAGTGGCCTAGTAGCAGCCTCACCGAGGTTCATCGCGCACCTCTCCGATACAAACTGCGGCTCCGGTAAAAATCATCTCTGTATGCTGAGCGTTGCATATTGAATGCCAGAGCTGAGGCCAAGTCTCGCCAACGAGTACTGGGCAGTGAGTACAACTGAGTGGTCGTCCAAGGTTGATTGCGGTGCGGTACATAGCTGCGGGCCCATCGCGGTGACTGAACTTGCCATCACCGCCACCGCCACATTACAATCACAGATCGAGATACTACTTACTACCGGACAGTGCCACGACAGCCGTGACGGTCCATCTGACTCGTCGCCTACTCACCAGCCTGAGTGCTTTCGCTGCATACACGACCACATTCTCCCATTCATCAAGGCCGTGTTTAGGGTCTGCGTTCGGAAGATTACATTCTGTTGTCACGCTGTGCACACCTGGCTTCTACTCCGGGTTGCCTTCGACCACGCAGACAGCCTGCAACTGTGTCACCGATCCCGTCGCGGTGGTGAGTGATCTGAGTATGGCATTTACAATATCACTGTCACTAACTTTGCAGAAGCTCAGTGATATCCAATTCATGAAAGGAGAGCATGCGCACAGTGCTGGCTGTGCTGCCCGCAAGTCTCGCACCACAGTCACGATCAACGACCTCACACCCGATCTTCTCCTCGTCATCCTCCGCGATGTATTTGGTGGCGTACTGCGCCGGCTCAAACGGAGGGGTGACGCAACACGGGACAATACTTAGCTCGTACCCCGCCGCCATGCGATCACCGTCGACCATTGGATGAGCTCTGCGGAATACCTTGCTTCTGTCTGTTCTCAGCGGCATGAAGCTATGTCAAACATCTCCATATTTTGGGCACAACTCATTATCTGGACCGGAATGGACCTGACACCGCTTGCGCAAGATCCCACGGAGAAGGCTCAGATCAGGATTATTCTTGACCTGCTGTTGCCGCACGTCAAGCGATGGAAAGTCTTAAACATCAGGCTTCTTCACTCTAGCTCCCCTCCGCTCCCATGTGCCGACTTAGTCGGCCATGCGGAGGAGCTAGTTCAACTGAACCTCGACTTCATTATCCGCGATGCGGTTGTGCGCGCTACACCGGACCCGTTGTCTACAAGTACATTCAACACACCCGCGCTCGAAGATCTCCCTGGGCGGCGTCCACTTCCACGAAGCATACGTGGAGCCTCTCCGCCGGTCGCTGATACCACCCAAGCTTCGCTTCCTCACTCTCACCGACTGGCACCACATACCTGGCCCCCTCACCGATCTCCTGCAGGCTCTCGTGGCCTGCCCGAGCGTGGGTCTAGTCTACTTCATGAACCTCCAGCTCGACGTCTCTCACACTGGACCACCCCTCTCGTGCGCATACTACTGGGGTGCCAACGTGAGCTTCACTGGTATGTCCGGAGACGCCATCGCGGAGTTCAACCGCCTCCTCGACTATCCCTACCTCGAGGACTAGCCCAACCTCGAGTCGCTGTCGTACACGCGCTGCTCGAGGGCCATCTGCGGCGCATCCGGCTATTCCAGCGGCTCTCTGATCGAGCTCGTTCTCTACTTACCGGCGTGCATGCTGCAGTGCTAACGTTCCTATTCCTATTCCGTCTCCACCTCCTTACTGTACATAACCACACTCTACACTCTAGCCTCGGCGACGAGTGCATGCTCAGACTGATCGTGACCACGTGAACCTCGCACTCATGTATCGCTAGCGTACTGTCTACATAAGGCTCACCCTTCGCGGACAATAAAGGGAACAAAAAGCAACCTGCCTAGCGGTCCTCGAAGCGCGCCTCAGGGCACACACGGCGACGGGAAGTTCGCGATGGACACAAACGTTATCACTTGCGCAACCTCATCAGCTCTTTCCTTGCCTTGTTGAGTCGCTCGCGTTTGTTCCTCAACTCTTCACGGCGCGCCGCAACGTTCCCATCCTCCCGCAAGTACTCCGCGCACAAGCGGTACCCATCTGGGCCACTGACGCCGAGCTCCTTCCTCAAGACCGCGTCGAGTGCCTTCCCGCGGTTCAGGCCCAACACGAGCTCGTGGTCGATGGCATTCGGGACGTTGTCCGCGAAGCGCTTGTACGCGACTGGGGTAGATAGTGTAAACACGATCACCCTTTCCGGTAACTCTGGATGAGCACTCACCTTGGAAGTAGGCGCGGACGCTCGCCATGATCCCAATCGCGGCCTCGTAAGGGTCGGTCGGGAGCACTTTAGCGAGGTCGGTGGGCTCGATGTCGTGGATGTCGAGCGCGCTGAACGCTGCCATGATCGCCCTGACGTTCTCGTCGAACTCGGATGATCCGTTCGACGTGTTGTGCTTCTTCAGCTTGTGAAGGAGGGGGACGTTGTTGTATTGCGAGCGATGACCTCTGTACCAGGCCAGGAACTTGTCGCGATAGTCACGGAAGTAATGGTCGTTGAGCGTGCGAGGACGCCCCTCGAGAGCGACCAGCCATTGGAGACATTCTCTAGTAGCCCGCGCACGGTCGGCGATGTAGTCGGCGATCACGATCCTGTCCTAAAGTCAGCTGAAGTTGTTCAAGGTATGGAAATGGACACATACGAGATGGTGAACTCCAGATGAGGATACTGGTTGCATTCGGCATGCACGAAGTCCGCGATCTTCTTGTTGAGGATCTCCTCGACATAGTCGAACAGCTGCATAGCCGGCGTCTCCCAGCGAGCAACGACTTGGTGGATGAACATCTCAGTGACAACGAACGGGATGTTGTCCGGGAGTTCGCGCGTGATGGCCCTAACCGATCCAACGTGAGAAAGGAGCTTCAGTTACAGCGCGATCATATAACGCACTGGACAGCGAGGTTCATCACTTCGTCGATGTAGATAGCGCCGACATCGTCCTCAGGGAGAGATGGCACCTCCTCGTTCGACAAGAAGTCCGGCGGGGTAAGATTTGCGAGCTGCATGTCATCAGCGTCTGGCTTCTCGAAGGGCCTGAAGTCCGGGGCCGTCTTCTGGATCGCGTCCTTGAACTCTTGCTGTTTCGGCCGGATGATCTGCAACAGACCGTCGGCGCCGGGCGTGCCTTCGACGTACTGAGTCAACGCGCTCGAGAACTTGCTAACGAGGTTGTACACCTCGCCGACGGGATCCTTCGATGGCTCCTTGGGGAGCTCGCCAAGCTGGCTCTCCGTCGTCCTCAGCATCTCCTGAATGGTCTTCTGGATCTCGGGCAGCCTGGAGGTTGCTTGATCATCTTGTGCACAGTCAACGAAGGCGCGAACATACCTCTTGGCGATCAGGCCAGACAATACGTCGCTGCATCGTTCCGCCAAGTTGAGCGTTCCGAGACGTCGCTGAAAGAGCTGAGGCAGCAAATCCCAAGGCTTCGTAGACGCGAAGAAGTGCCTCTCTTCTTGTCGCGCGTCCGCGCGCGTGATGCCTTCTGACAGCTGTACGGAGTCAGGTTGCTTCACGCTGAACCAGCCGTTGTCGAGAGCAAGCTGCGGGTACTCATTCTTCAGCAGCGTGACCCATCGCTCCTCGTCGCCTCTTGGCGCACGGTCGGGTTTAGTGAGAACGCCTGAGGCGGAGTCAGACGAGCGGCATTGAGAACGTTGGGGAATGTACTCACCTATGGTGCGCTTGCCTGCTGGATCGAAGGTGCGCGCAAGCTGGTAGGCACCTTGATTTTCGAACTCCGCTGTGGGGACCAACCGCATTACATCGGTGCGTGGAATAACTGGATTAAACGAACTTACTCTCGCACGTAACGGTCAAGAGAATGATGCAGCTTTCATTCTTGGCGTACTCTGTGACGAGCCCCTTGACTAGATCTATATCCGCGGTGGTGCTGCCGCTGCCCGCACTAGCGATCAAACCTGGTGGAGGGATCATGAGAATCGGAGGCAACGTTCGGAGACATGACGAGTGCGCATATACCCGGTAAGTCAACGAAGGAGAGATCGACAACGTCCGGGCCACTGATCTCCAGGGACACGCATTCCTGGAGAACGTAATCTCGGACGTGGTCTCGTCACCTTCACCGGTGAGGAAGGAGCTAGCCTCCGTGCTTGGGTTCAGGATGGCGCGCTGGGCGCGTTTGATCCTCTCGGCGACGTCTTCGGGGTTGGAGATCGGGTCGCCGAACCGGATTGTGCGAACGGTGATGGCCTGCCCCTGCCGGTCCGTGAGCAGACGCAGACTGACGGTACACACCCAAGGGTCGGATGAACGTGACAGCGACATTCGGTGGGGCATCTACGGCAAAATTGATTAATCCAATGAGTATAACCTACAGGGTCGGGCGACAGACCTTGTACAGGTCCCGCTCGCTCTTGGTAGGGTAATGCCACAGATATTTTCCAGCAAGGATGACTTCCCTGTGCTTTGAGAGCCGATGACAGCAATCATCGGTATCTCGATATCCATCGAGACGCTATACAGCTGATTATCAGCCAGGATATATCACGAACCAAGCAGGACTCACCCTGTGCCGTACAAGCTGTTGCCGATGTCGAGCATATTGCGCCTTGTCGTCGAGTAACTGCCTGCATCCCCGATGTCGGTAGGCTGCATATCGCCCTGGATATCGCTATTGGTGAGCATACTGGCTGATGGTCAGAGCACCTGTTGCCGTAGAACGTCTGAGGAGCGTGCGTCGGGGTGACTCTAGGATTCCGAATCCCTAGAGACCTGGATCTTTATGAGATGGAAGAGAGTTAATACAAAACACGAACGTTCCCTACTCGAACTCTACATCGACGTGAGGCGCTACATGGACCACCGGGTTAGTTCATGGGCAGTATAGCTACACCCTGAATGAGGCGTCGCTGGCATGAAGCGGCGTTCCATCGAAATCTTGTCACCCACGCGGCGCACATCTTTCGAGATTTTCTGATCATCGTAACAAAGAACTATACATCGAGGCAAGATTTTGATGCTAAGAAAAGACCTTACGGATCAACTGGCAACACAAACACTCCAACTGGACGAAAGACACCTACAGGTAGCAAATAGTCTGCCCGAAATGTCTGGTCGCGACGGCAATTCAAGCCAGAAGAGCTCCAGGTTGGCAGCGCCACGCGCTAATTTGTGCTCCATAACATGATGGAATGTATAAGACATGTCAGCCAAAAGCTAATCTTACTTGCCGCAGTCGATGGTAAAGAATGCACGTTCCCCTCGTGGGGTGTGGCACTCGTCGAAGGACTTCAAGTTGCGCAGTACGTGCCGCAATCCGAGAAGCGTCTGCAAATGGTTATACGACGTGGAGTAGGTACCGTGAGAGGAATTGCGCTGCTCATACGGAGACGGTTTGAATTTCGCGTTGATGCCTCCGCAGTCGGAAAGGCTCAGCGAACCACGCTGTTCATCAGGCAGAACCAGAAGGGCCATCGAATCATCCACTGGCTGCCGTGCTAGCGGTGGAAGTCGCCAGCTGGTCCTGTAATGTGAGCTCAGGTCACCCGCCAGCTCGACTTTTAGATTTGTGCTGCAAGACGCACTGGCAATCGAAGCTCCTTGCTTTCCTCACGGCCACCCCAGGATTCCTACCCTCATGTTCGGGCCTTCAAGTTCAAGCTTGTTCCGTCGATAATAAATAGCTCGACCGTTACTGGTGGCCGTATGTAGAGACCCGTGTCAGGATGATTCGAGTCGTCGGAAAGCTTTGATTTGACAGTAACGAAACATCCGATTCTCTGAGTCTATGCGCCCCAGTCCCAGTGATTCCCACGCCACCCTGTCCCGCCACCACGACCCCGGCTGCGCCACCAAATACTTACCTGCGTCCGTGCGTACCACCGTACCACCGCCACGACCACCTGCGCACGCGCAACCACGACGCGTACAACCATCTTATCTGCGCAATGCAGGCAGACGACGTTACAAAGTGGTGAGATCGGTTGCTCAATCTGGCCAAGGGGCAGTATTTTTCGTTTTCATTTTTTTTTTACCTTGCATACGGGGTACCACCTCGATCGGCTGTTCTCACAAGTAGCCTGATGGCGATGGAACCGAATATGTATGTACTTGCAGACGTACAGGTACCACGAGAGCGCGTAGGTCGGCCAAATGATTGCGTGACTCATAGTTGGAGGTAATGTCGAATGTAGGGTGAAGGATAGGCTAGGAGAAGGACACATCTGAAGGCGCCGAGTGACGGCATGTCTACAATATTCAGCATGAGGACCGTCGACGCAGTCTACAGCGCATCAGTACCGGCTGAAAGGAGTTGTTTTTCGATAGGCTGTCGTGCGACGGGCCTCATCAATACCATGGTCGGAGAGTGGCCGCGCCGCATGCCGGTGCAGCACCATGTGGGACATGTTGCTCTCGCCGCTACTAGTAGCGCAGTCGGGGTTGGACGAGCTATACCAAAGCTGTACTGCCTAATAGTTGGGTAAGTGCGTCGTCGAAGCCCTAAACCGTCGTCCTCAGAACCTCGTGCAGTGACGTCGGAAGGGTATAAGTGCCAGACCGTGAAATCGCCTCCATCCAAGACTACTGCAAAGTGCCCAAGTGCAGTGAATATTTGAATATCCAACCTAAATGTCCAATAGGCCTTGTAGTACTCGCGCCGCCGCACACTGTGACATGGCATAAGCACACTGTGGCTGAACTTTCTGGCGAGACCACAACGGTCGCGCGGCTGACGGCATTCCCGGAGAGCGAGCTCCAGAGCCCCCGCAACTTTGAACGTCCCTAATGGCTGCGCGCGGGGACGTATTCTACGTGCGGCCGCGCCGGCGCAGGGTGCCACCGGCCCGGGTGAGCGGGGATGTGTTCTACGCGCGGCCGCCCCGGCGCAGGAGGAGAGTGGCCCGGGTGAGCGGGGACGTGTTCTACGTGCGGCCGCCCCGACACAGGGTGGCCCGGACGCATTCCCGCAGGCCGCGCACCGCAAAGACCAGAGCCCAACACCATGTCTGACACAGCTAGTCTGACAGTAGCACGGTTCTTCACGTGTACCACGGCGTCGAGGCAGACTCTGTCAGTCAACTCGTCGCTACATGTGCGGAAAGCTGTACTCACCACGCTAGGCGGTCTCGACGCAGTTCCCCAGTCGATGAGATACGCTTTGGAGGCCTGGTCGTCGAAGAGGACGTTCCCCAAAACGGGGTCTTGGTGAAGCCAGTGAGTGCGGTGGTAAGTCTCCATGATTGCGTCCGTCGCGACGTCGACGACGCGGTCCAGCAGCGCCCAACATTGCTGCGTGTTGTGTCGCACATGCGCATACGCGGCCGTTTGATCGAGCCGTTTGCCTGGGGATGGCTTCACGATGATCCACTTCTCGTGGTGTTCGTCGAAACCGAACTTCCACAGAGCGCCGACCTAAGTAGACCTGTTGATCGTGCACAAGCGAGGCGAAATGGGACGTACGTCGGAAGTCGCATGGATTTCGTCGTCCGAAATCTTCGTCTTTGCATAGCCGCCCTTAAATTTGCCCTCGACGACTTGATAGACGACGCCGTGCACGCCTTGCAATTCGTTCTTCCGCACCTTGTACTTCTGACCGTCAAGTGTCAGGTCTATGTCATCTACATTGTTCCAACTGTTATGCGGCGATGCTTAGGCATGACCGAGCAGAACATACGTGGCGCACGCGGCCAAAAGTCGCGGACTGCGAGCTCAGACTGTTCACACAAAAAGTCAGCGCACGAATCAAATTTTTGGTCAGTCTATTCCATGCTTACCGTGCCCTGGAGGACCGGTGCAGCCCATGCTGTAATGCATAAAGCAATCAACGAGGAAAGAAGGAGCCTCATGGAAAGATCGTCAATGATGCGAAAGAAACCCAAGATGAGAACAAAGAAGATAAAAGACAAGAGAAGGAAAGAGAAAAGAAGATTAATGCAGTAGGAGGAGGACCAGCCAGACTCGACTTGCAGTTCATCGTGCACCCTCTTTATAGACCGTTGGAAGTGCGATCCATCGCTTACGGTCGCATGGCCGTGAATTCATGTCTTGCCAATATTCCTGATGATGGCAGCATAAACAATCATGGTCGAGTGTATTGCCGGCGTACAACCTTGGATCCGGGTCGCCTCTTGTCACTGTGTCTTAGCAACACGTATGTGAAGTAGACTCGGAACTATCCACACGTGATCTCCACTAGGACCGCATTGAGGCCTGCAGAGTGATGGTACTGTAAGCCGGGCGAGTCGCTCGGGATCGAGTCGGATATCCCGAGCAGGACGGTGCCACAACGTTGCGACATTGAAGGTTTGCACGCCGATCAAGTGCAAGTGTTACAACCACCGGACTCATAAGTATTGATGTACGTGATTGTCGACGCACTTGGTCGTGACAGAATGGCGATGCTCGCGATCGAGACGCGTTTAGTCTTGACAGAATTGTGATATTCACGATCCAGACACAACGGGACGACTCGTCAGAGACAAGCCACAGACGACCTGCTCTAAATGCACTTTACACGAAGCGCTGAGTCCGCTCTTGGTCCGCTCCGTGTGCCTCAACTGTGCCTAGCTCCGTGAACTTGTACCCTCTTGCTGGGACCGGTACGGATGAGGGAGAAGTCATGAGATATCGTTTTGAAAGCCTTAGATGATCTACATTCATTCGCATCAGCAGGGACGGGCATCGGAGACCGGTAAAGACTCATCGAGGTGCTGCAAGATGAGCAGGGACTTCAAAGACGATGGTAGGACATCGAATGATCGCCGTCGTAAACCCGCGTTCACATACTTTGCTCCGCAGCGCCTCTCAGCAAACACTGAGGGCGGCATACCGGCCGTGCATCCTGAATGGAACGAAAGGGCATATATTCTCTTCCTAGTCAGAGATATTCACTGAAAGTCGTGTTGCCGGTCAGACCGATGAAGAGTCTGGCTGAGGCGCTGATTGGGCTTACCTGGGCTCACTCGTGCTATGACGAATGTATTCGTTGCGCTTATCATTAAGACAAACAATGTGTTGTATCTGCTTCCCAAGCTTCAAAATTTGGTGGTGGCGGTTGCGGTCACGGTCGCCCAGCAGCGCCCAGCGCCGGTCACTGGCGGCGAGATCTAGAGATCTCGATCTGCCGCCACTGGGCGCTTAGATGCCATCCTTCAATCGAGCTGGCTGGCTCAGGCTTGTCTTCCACCGTCTCCGAGTCTCTCATACTGGCTTCCTTCCGGCTCACGCAAAGATGGCTGATGCGACAGCTGTAATACTATATACCGTGAGCGCGTACTGGTCTTGCATGTACTCAACTACAGAATGCATCCTGAGGCCCAACTGGTGGTGCGTGGCCACGGTAGGACTGGCGTACTAGGTGTGAGTTCGCGTCAGCAAAAGCTCAATGATTTGTGATTTTAACTGACCGCTCTTTACAGATTGTGTTGAATTGTAAACGCACGGAGATCAAGGCGACCCTGCAATTGAATGGGAAGATCGGTCACACCAATATTCGTTCGCGCCGTCCTACACCCACGATATCAGTGCATTGTGCACACCTCGCATAGCTCCATCTGGATGAATGAGCGGCTGGAATGTCTACTCCCCGGTAACAGTCCCTTGAACGGGTGTTCTACGCCGGTGCTGGTGCTCGAGCAGGCTAGCCTTTGCAATATTTGGCACTATCTGCATGTACCGTCAGTGTCAGGCTCGGGGCTCGTCATCCAGATACGTAACGGGCTAATTAACACACAAAGAGTGATCCCTCTTTGGATTTCAATATCATACAGGTCGAGTGTTCCTTGCACACGCGGTTCTTCAGGACCGCCCTTTGGCTACCCGGTATGTGTCTCGCACGGGCGTAAGCACAGAAACAGTATAAAACAATCTTATTAATCCCTGAAGCAGCGGATCCTCACCTCCAGGATGTCGCTCTCCACTCGCCTGGCCGCTCTCCTGGCCCTCGCCCTCTGCGCCGCCGCCATCCCCGCGCCCGTCGGCCATGTCGTTCACGAGGCACGCGACCACCTCCCGCGCGGATGGGCCCCCGTCCGGCGCGCAGAACCAGACATGGTCTTGCCCTTCCGCGTCGGCCTTGTGCAGCCCAACCTGGAGAGCATCGAGGAGTATATCATGGACGTCTCCCACCCCGACTCGCCTAACTACGGTAAGCACTGGAGCCCCGCCAAGGTCGCGTCGACGTTCCGCCCGACGAAGGAGTCCGTCGACACCGTGCACGGCTGGTTCACCGAGAGCGGCATCGCGCCAGAGCGCGTAAAGTCGAGCACGGGCGGGAGCTGGATGAAGGTGAACGTGACGATCGAGGAGGCGGAGCGACTGCTTGGCACGGAGTACTACGTCTACCAGTTCGGTGAGGATGGCAGCCGCACGCACGTCGCGTGCCACGAGAAGTACCATCTTCCGGATCACGTCTCGAAGCATGTCGAGATCGTTTCGCCCACCCTCCACTTCGATACACCGCCTCACGGTCCTGCTGGCTCGTGGCACAAGCTTGGTGGCAGGGACAACGAGACTTTGAACCTGGATTATCCTGCGCATGCGGTTGGCCAGCCCGGATTCGGTACGAGCTTCCCAAAGACCCAGGGTACCGTTCAGAACGTAATCAATCAGCTGGAGCACTGTGACGAGCAGATCGTTCCCGATTGCCTCCGCGCTCTATACGACTTTGAGTACTACCCTCTTGTCCCGGAGAAGAACTCGCTTGCGATCGGTAGGAATTGCCTATTCTCCGCTGCCCTACCCACCGCTGATCAGCATCTATGTTAGTCGAATACACTCCGCAGGCATACAACGCCAGCGACCTCGACATGTTCTTCGGCAACTTCTCGCCCAGCCAGGTCGGGCAGCGCCCCGTTTTCAACAGTATCGACGGGGGCTACATACAGACCAACTACGGGGGCTACTACTACAGCGCCGAGTCCAACCTCGATCTGCAGTACTCCATGGCGCTCGTCGGCCCGCGGCAACCAGTGCAGCTCTACCAAGCGGGAGACCTCAGTGAGGGCGCATCGTTCAACACCATGCTCGACGCGCTTGATGCCTCGTACTGCACGTTCGACGGCGGAGACGATCCGACTTACGATCCGACATACCCGGACCCGTACGGCGACGGGTACGAGGGCAGCGAGAACTGCGGTACTGTGTCGCCGGCGCACATCATATCGACGTCGTACAGCTACACGGAAGTGCAATCGACTCCCGCGTACGAGCAGAGGCAGTGCGCGGAGTACGCGAAACTCGGGCTGATGGGTGTTACGGTGCTCTACTCGTCAGGTGATTATGGGGTTGCGGGTAATGGCGAAGCTTGCTTGAACGCCAGTGGCCAGGAGGACTGGTTTGGCCATGTATTCGCGCCGGGGTTCCCCGCCGGCTGCCCGTACGTCACCTCGGTCGGCGCGACCCAGGTCAATCCGAACTCTACCGTATGTGGACGCTGCGCTCTCGCATGCCGTGTAGTATAGCTGATCCTTGTGCACAGGTCCTCGAGCCTGAGAGCGCCTGCGCGCAGATGATCCAATCGGGAGGTGGTTTCTCAAACGTATTTCGAATGCCGTCTTATCAGGCGTCTGCTGTCGAACACTACCTGACGAACTATCCGCCCGACTACCCCGTTGGTACTTTCAACGCCTCCGGATCGCGTGCCTATCCTGATATTTCCGCGAATGGGTGAGTCGTCTCAGTCACCATGCATCAGCTTGCCTATTGAATGCGGGGTGTCAAAGTGCAAGATACGTCATCACCGTACAGGGCGAGTACTACCTCGTCTACGGCACGTCTTGCGCGACACCGGTCTCCGCTGCGATCTTTTCTGCCATCAACGACGCCCGCATCGCTATCGGGAAGTCGCCTATCGGGTTCATCAACCCTACGGTACGTGCACCTGCTGCCTACTCACTGCTGTCTGATTGTTCATACGTGTGGCAGATCTACACCCCTGCATTCATGGCAGCGTTCAACGACATCACGACCGGTTCCAACCCTGGGTGCGGCACGGAGGGCTTTGACGCCCAGCCTGGATGGGACCCCGTGACGGGTGTGGGCACACCAAACTTTGTGAAGCTGCTCGCGCTCTGGCTCGCGCTTCCGTGATTGCTCCAGGGTGCGCACCGGATGACATTGACGAATTGGGCTCGAACGATGATCGTTGTGGAACATGGGGAAATATGACTGTATTGCACGGTGTTGTCGTTCGCTTCGGTTGGGACTCGGACTGGCATCGGGGCTTATGCGTGCGTTTTTTTGTGAACTGGCTAGACACAACGTAGCTGCTATATAGCAGTCACTTGGACCGTCTCCACGCTCTGCATGACTTCTAACCCAAACCATCTTTCTCAATTCAACTGGCTTTGCGATCGGTAAGTTGAACCCATGTAATGGCCGCATCTCAACATCTCGCAAGAATTTGCTGTAAGCGAATGTGCGCCTCATCAGTGCACTTGCAGGGACATAGCCCACTAGTTAAGGTAGCCGTGACGATTGCATAGTCTCTAAGAGCTGGGTTGGCTGTGGACTCCTGGACCGTCCAGCATGGGTCCCGGTTGACTCCTCCACTGTCGATGGCAGCGCTGTCACTAACGGTGTTCATTCAAGTTGTGAAACCAATTGAGCCCTGCGTATTGCCGTTGGAGTGCCAACGTAACCCATGCATATCGTACAATCCGTCGTGAGGTGACAGTGCGAGGTACTCAGGATGCGGTAGCTACTAGTAAGCAAGATAATCGGAAGTGACGTTGAGCAATAAGATGCGAACTAAGCGGGACCCTGCTAGCAGAACTACATCGGGGGAAGGAAAGACAGACTCATCGAAACATCGCAGAGGCACGGACGCCCCACGTCAGCGGCCCCACGGTGGGTGGCCCCCGTGTCTCAGCGACTTCGATGAATTCTCGCACTCCTCGCAGCACTGCTAGCAGAATGTCCCGGCTATCGCGTCTCAGAATGTACGTGTCGACGAATAGCACGTCAAACTTCAAGGACCAACTGTATCAAGCACGTGAGCATGCACAGTAACCTTCAGAATAATCAATCAACTATGGGCTTACCTGGTCGACAGCGTTCATAGCCTGACCGCCGCACTTGTCGTAGTTGTGAATGAGCTCGAGGAGGTCTCCATTGCGCCCGTTCCATGCGTTCAAACACGACATAAGCTGGTGCATATGCATCGGCCATTCGCCTCCAAGCCCGAACTCCTGTGGCATCGAGCCAGCCATCGACCACAGGCTCGAGCGCAAGCCGGGACTCGTCGCACCCGCACGCGCCCACGTAGCATGCAACGTGTAATGGAACATATTCGAGCAGTCGTGCTTGTGCCAGAACGTGTCGTATACCTCCCTCTGCTCGATGGACGAGCCCGGCATGTACACGTCGTCGATGAAGGCACGGCGCGCGTCGATGACGCTCCGTCGGCATCGCTGGCGGTATCGCAGGAAACGGTCGTAATGGCTCGCGGAGACGAGCTCCATCTCCGGGTAGTACTTGTCCTCGGGGCAGAGCAGCGCGCACTTCGCTGCGAGCCGCGCCTCTGCTTCCCAGCCGTGCTCCACAGCGACGAAGTACGACCGCACAGGTTCGGCCTTGATCTCCTTCGACCATGCGCTCTTTGCGAGCTCTGCAGCCCTCACCAGCTCGTACTTGTATGCTGTCTCGAGGACGGCGGTGAGCACTTGCCAGTCACGTAAATGAGGGCTTGGTCCCGGATAGGTGAGCTGGAGTAGAGGAAGGAGGAAAGCCGCGTCCTCAGGGAGATCCAGGACGTGGTAGCCATCGTGCGATTTACGACTGCTGTTGCGGGCGTCGTGCAAGAGAACCGCCAGCTTGCTCGGGAACTGGGTAAGAATGACTTCGTTTACGTAGAAGTTGACTGTGTCGCCCGAGCGTACGATGATATTTGCATGTGCGGATGGTCGATCAAATGGGGAGGGCACGATGAAGGTCTCCGACGGCTCCGAAGGGCTGGCAGAGGCACTAGGCGGCTGCGTGAAGCAATAATGCTCCGCGATCTCGTCTCCTCGGTTGAAAGCGTCACAGAAGTGAAGGAGACGGAAGTACGTCCCAGCTGGAAGAGCCTCCATCTCCTGTACATACGTGTCCTCGAGGTCGAATGCGCCGTCTTGACACCACTCGATGGCGGTCTGGTATGCCAGGTCCTCGAGATCGGCGAGGCACGCGACGGTGAAGACGCGGAGCGGGTCTTCAAACATCGAAAGCTGTCTCTTCAAGTGCTTGACGGCGTCGTCTACTTGGTATTTGACCGCAGCCCGCAGTATGTCTCCAATCCGCATGACATCGTCTATCACCGGATTGTCGCAGGGATACATGAAGCGAAGGAGGGCATCCAGCGTCGCGCTGTCTTCGGAGACCTTGATGATGGCCCGCTCGCTGCCGCCGGCGGGCTGGGGAAGCTTCTCCATCCCCTCGAAAAAGCCGGATGTCAGTCCGAGGACGACCAAGTGCACGTAAAAGTGGACATCGTCCGACGTCTGCAAGGCGATGTCGGCATTAGGCTTGTTGAAAGGGTCGCCCGCGACCTGGCATTCAGCGGGACTCTGGGACATCGCAACGCCCGAGGGCCGACGGAAGGGGTGGAGAGGGCGAGGGGCTGGGAAAGTGCGCACATACTAGGCCCCAGCTTATGAGTAGGCGGGCGTGGAAGCATCGGTCGTCGTGCCAGTGTTGAGAACAAACCTTGCCTTTCAGTGTTACAAGGTTTGATAGTAAACATAGTGGGCAATGGGCATGCCATATCAGCGAGGCGATCGTCAGCCTTCGCGCTGATGTTCCGACCAAACCTACGTCTCGCGAACATGAGCGTTACGCTGTCGCTATACTCCTTTGCAACGAACTTCAGTATCGAGATATCGAACACTGAACAAGGCTTTCAACGTCAGTCTACGTACCCGAGTTGTAAGGCGCATAGTCACGAACCCAATATGATCTCGTGATTTCATTAACTCACCTTCCTTCATACAAGAACCCGCGAAAGCGCACACGCAGAAAGTCCGAGATCCTTGTCTCTTATCGTCGAGACTCGGGAGGACCACTATGCACCACATGCTACCGATAGTCCACACGTTTTCGAGTCATAAGTCCGTTGCGCAAGTCCATTAAGAATCGAGTCCAGTATCACGGAAGAGCGAGCCAAAGCCCGAGCAGCTTCGCAAAGTTCGGTGTGCCCACACCCGTCACGGGGTCCCACCCTGGCTGGGCGTAGAAGCCCTCCGTGCCGCAGCCCGGGTTGGAGCCGGTCGTGATATCGTTAAACGCCTCCATGAACAAGGGCGTGTAGATCTACCGTGCACATGAGCAATCACACAGAGTAGTCAATCCATAGTGGGCTGACGTACCGTAGGGTTGATAAACCCAATCGGCGACTTCCCGATTGCAATACGAGCGTCGTTGATCGCGGACAAGATCGCCGCGGAGACGGGCGAGGCGCACGAGGTGCCGTAGACGAGGTAGAACTCACCCTGCACGGCAACGATGTAGTTCGCACTGAGCAGCCATGCGTCATTTTATCTGTTCAATGCGACATGGCGAGAGACTGCAACTCACCCGTTCGCGGCAATGTCAGGGTACGCACGTGACCCAGAGACGTTGTAGGTGCCGGAAGGGTAGGCAGGCGGGTAGTTGGTCAGGTAGTGCTCAACCGCGGAGGCCTGGTACGATGGCATCGGGAAGACGTTCGAGAAGCCGCCACCAGAGTAGATGACCTGCTCGCAGGCACTCTCGGGCTCGAAGACCTACGAATCCGGATCAGCACTGGACGACACCTCAGGACGCTATGCGCACGCACCGTAGCGTTCGGATTGACCTGCGTCGCTCCGACCGCAGTGACGTACGGACAGTCTACGGGGAAGCCCGGGGCGAACACGTTTCCATCGTAGTCCTCCTGGCCGTCAGCGTCCAAGCAGACGCCACCATTGCCCGAAACGCCGTTATCCCCAGACGAGAAGAGCACCGTTATACCCATCAGGCCGAGCTTCGCATACTCAGCGCACTGCCTCTGCTCATACGCCGGTGTCAGGTCCGCCTCCGTGTAACCGTACGACGTCGACATGATGTACGCGGGCGAAACGGTGCCGCAGTCCTCGTTGCCCTCGTACCCGCCGTACGGGTCCGGGTAAGTCGCGTCGAAGTCGGGGTCGTCACCGCCATCGAACGTGCAGTACGAAGCGTCGAGTGCGTCGAGGAGATTGCCGAAGGACGCGCCCTCGTAGAGGTCGCCCGCCTGGTAAAGCTGCACGGACTGCCGCGAGCCGACGAGCGACATGGCGTACTGCAGATCGAGGTTGGACTCGCCATTGTAGTCGAAGCCTCCGTAGTCGGTCTGGACGTAGCCTCCGTCGATGCTGTAGAGCACAGGACGCTCTCCGACTTGGCTGGGCGAGAAGTTGCTGAAGAACAGGTCCAGATCGCTCGCGACGTATGCCTGAGGAGTGTACTCGACTATATGGGCCGATTAGTGGCATGTGGTGCGAGTTAGAAGATGCATACTCACTGATAGCAAGCGAGTTCTTCTCCGGGACGAGAGGGTAGTACTCAAAGTCATACAGCGCACGGAGGCAGTTCGGGACAATCTGCTCATCGCAGTTCTCCAGCTGGTCGAAAATACTCTGTAAAGGACGTCATTGAACATGTCGAAAGCATCATCAGACATGCTAGCTACCTGAACAGTACCTTTGGTCTTTGGGAAGCTGATACCGAACCCGGGTTGGCCAATGGCGTGGGAGGACTCAGTCGAAGGTGAGTCCCTGCCACCGAGCTTCTGCCACGAGCCAGCCGGACCATTGGGCGTAGTATCGAAGTGAAGAGTGGGCGAAACGATCTCGACATGCTTCGAGACGTGATCCGGAAGATGGTACTTCTCGTGGCACGCGACGTGCGTGCGGCTGCCATCCTCACCGAACTGGTAGACGTAGTACTCCGTGTCAAGCAGTCGCTCCGCCTCCTCGATCGTCACGTTCACCTTCATCCAGCTCCCGCCCGTGCTCGACTTTACGCGCTCTGGCGCGATGCCGCTCTCGGTGAACCAGCCGTGCACGGTGTCGACGGACTCCTTCGTCGGGCGGAACGTCGACGCGACCTTGGCGGGGCTCCAGTGCTTACCGTAGTTAGGCGAGTCGGGGTGGGAGACGTCCATGATATACTCCTCGATGCTCTCCAGGTTGGGCTGCACAAGGCCGACGCGGAAGGGCAAGACCATGTCTGGTTCTGCGCGCCGGACGGGGGCCCATCCGCGCGGGAGGTGGTCGCGTGCCTCGTGAACGACATGGCCGACGGGCGCGGGGATGGCAACGGCGCAGAGGACGAGGGCCAGGAGAGCGGCCAGGCGAGTGGAGAGCGACATCCTGGAGGTGAGGATCGCTGGACCACGAAGAGTTTCCCTCGGTGGATGTGCTTATTATACTCGCGTGCGAGGCGCACAGCGAGAAGCCCCGTCTAGGCGGGGAGCCAAATCCGTCGCCAAGGAGGTGTCTGTACGGTATCAAGAACCGCGTGGGCCAGGGACACTCGGCTTGTGCGTTGTGAAGGATATTTCTGCGTTGGTCGGTTCATCACGTATCCGCTGATGGGCCCTAGAATCAGCTCTATCAAAGGCTGACGACACGAGGATGTAATGCTAATCATCGCACAGGCTAACCCGTTTGAGCACCAATAACGATATGAAACAGGCATTCGAGGTCCTGAACAAGCCCACAAGGAGACTCATGACCTACGATCCACGACCGGGCTGGGCGAGGTGTGCTGATATCGTTGGCTGAGGGCGGTGCAAATGGATGACAGATCTTCTCATTGCAGGGTCTCCTTGTTCTTAGCTCGTTTCCGATTACACACGAACTGTCAAATGCATTTATCTGCGGCGAAGGATGAACGATGATCTCTCGCAGTGACTCGACGGGGTACGTACTCACACCTCCGACCGCCCACCACGTCGGATCAGATGAAGGCCATCCAAGCCGGCAGGGAGTTACTGGGCAAGTGGTAACTTGAATGAAGAGCCTCAGCTAGCGATTACCGCTTCACGGAGGTGTGTTTTGTGAATCCCAGTGCCATTCTCGGGGTCCAACGAGAGAGGAGAACATCAAGACTGGGATGAGCGTATGAGACAAGAGATGATTGACGTGTATAGGCGCTCGGAGATGCAGATTTGGCGCCACCGCCCCCGAGCTGAAGCAAATCCAACCCTCCTGCCTTATTCGGAACCACCACTGGCATATACGGCGCCCAGTGGCGTCGCAGAGTTTCAACAATCCTTGCACAATTTGCTCGTGTCAACGACTCGTGTGCTATATTGTTTCGTGAGTGTATTTATCCTTACGTCGAACTACACTGATGACAAGCTTAATACGTATATATTCCCCGGACATTAGCACCGCCATGAGAGCCAGATGGACCCGATCTGGACACGATGTGCTTGATCCTGCTCTCGTTGATGCTGATAGACTGAATACTTGGGCATATACAAGGCATACCTGGGCATATTTGGCAGGGCAAAGCGCTGTCTTCGTGGCGCGAGGATCCCCGGCGCACAATCGTCGTCCTCAACGCAGTCGTCGTACTCGTGGCTGGTTCGACACCAGGAATAGTTGTATGGTATCTTTACAGCATCCCCGGACGTTCTTGGTCCGACTCAGAATGAAATTGCAAGTACTTGGCACTCGGTGCCCGCGCTCGTTTTTTCCTATTCATAGTATGCAATGACTGATCCACCTCAGTCATAGGCGTGCCTCACACAGAATCCCGAGCAACCACTATATCATGGCTATCTGTGCGCGGGTTCTCCTGTGCCTCGACTCGCCTTCGGCGGCCTCAGGAGCCCAGTCTACTCAATATCCAACACAAGACTGCAGCCCCGTATGCAGTCCCGCACAACTCCCTCAACCTCCGCGGTCAGTGTCCTCCAGGGACATGGTGTTCCAACACATGCATGCTTGTTTTCCATTTCTCGGATCCTTGTACGAATCAAAGCATTCAAACGCGGGTTTACGACAGCAAACGGTCTCACCTCCTGAGTCTCCCGAGTCGCTATCATCCTCTTTCGTGCTCTGCGGTACCCAGGCGAGTCTTTGCCGGCCTCTGAAGCCCGTCTGCTAATACTCAATACACTACAGTCTTTGGCATCCCACCCGCATGACCCCATCCTCGTCCACGTCCGGTGTCATCAAGGGCCAGAAAGCTCGATCCTTTCTGCCCAGGCAATCCGCGCTCTCCCTCTTCACTCTGCGAGCTTCGGATCGAGGCACGCACACGCGTGCCTTCACGACAGCCTACCGACATTCCTCCAGGAAGGTCGGAGCTTCAAGTTCGGAGTCGGGGATAAGTAGGGCGCGGTTTCCGGTCCTTTTGCTTTTGTCTCTTGCTTGCTAGGACGACTCATGGGACTCTGAGGGCTATCGCTCCCCCTCTCTCTTTCTCGCTTTCCTTCCCCCGTGAGTGGTTTTTGGACGAGGTTAGTACTAATCCTCTGGCTTACGACTCGCTCTAGACACTCGACTCATGGTGTCATCGCCAACCTGCTCGTGCACGGCGAGTCTTGCATCATTCAAAGGTTTGCCTCACGGTGGTCGGAGACTGCAGTCCTACATGTCATCACCTGTCGAGTGCTGCTACCTCACTCTGGAGCCTGCAGGCGATGTCGACGACAACGAAGACATCACCGCGAGCGCGGGCTACATTATCAGATGGTAAGCGCACATTGCGATGAACTCTGATCGGGGTATATCACAGCGTCGACTCGCGTCTTCGTACGTCTTCCGTTGGTCCAAGCCCTCCTTACCTCTCGAGGCATTCCAGCTGTTCTCTGACAACAGAATGTGTGATGTCATGCCTCACGTTCGCTCTGTGATCATACTATACATCGCTGACAAGGATTATGTTCGATGATTTACTCATCACCCCCCTCGCTACCTAACCAGAGCAGAGTTTGCATCGGCGCAGGACGACAGAATGACTCTAAACAGACGACAGGCCTGCCGGGGCGATGCAGAGATGCACGATCGAGTGATCGTATGGTCAGACGCACACTCGGAGTACGTATGGACCGCTCTCCCAGTGTGGTTGTCTGTGCACAGTGGCGGCCGACGCAAGCTCTTACTTCATACCGACAGGCATCCCCGAGCACGTTCCTCAGGCGCGAGGCGTTCGTCCGAGACCGACTCCTTGCCCGGCAGCGGAGACAATCGACTGCGCCATTACAACCCCCACCCAAGGACTCCGTCCAGGCTGTCATACAGCATCCGTGTTGCGTCTCAGCCAAGTCAATCCCACCACACATCCGCGTAAGCACCGACAGCCCACATGTAGGGCGAGCGCTTGCGTGCGTCTGTGACCACAGCCCCCACTGAGGTACTGACATTCGGCCTCCCCGTCGACGGTTCCCCGGTGCATGCCCGCCTCCCTGGACTCGGACTGGCCGGCGACTCGGCGAGGAATGTTGCCGCGGGTCGGAGTCGAGTGTCGATGCTGGCCCGCGGCAACACTGCTCGATCCCCGTGTCTTCCTGCGATCAGTCGTGGGTGGGGCGACGCGTCAGCCGCAGGTCGCGTCGCAAGCCGATCATGGGTTCTTGTACCTATGCCCTCCCCTCGGCGGCGTAACACGGCGGAGCTGTCTCTTTTGTGAGGGGGAACCAGACACGTACAGTATCGCGAGGGTAGAACCTATCTACAGCCGAGCGGCCGGTTCCACATTGGTTGAGTGAGATGCTTCCGTGGTGGCCCAGTCGCCAGTCGCAGTCGGGGAGACACCCGTTCGCGAGTGGACGCATGAAATCACAAGTTCACACACAAGTCATCGGCATACACGTACGTATGTACGTGGTAGGACTCCGAGGCGGGCTGCGGCATCTGCATCACGACCCAGGTGCGCAGACCCGTTCTCAGACCCAGCCCCGCCCGTGCGGTGCTTCGGGTCCGACAGACGACGCCCACCCACAGGCATACACACACCACGTACGGGAACACCTCCGGACCCCTAGATGAGGCGCGTCTCGTATGTACGCCCCGGATTCAGAGTGCGGACTGATACGGCTGCCGCCGGCGCACTTGTCCTCCCGGGTATACGAAAGCGTAGAGCCTTCCCCGGCCCGACGACGCCGCGCGTGAGCTTGCGCGGTCTCGCTGCGAAGGGCGAGCCCGGGGAGGGAGCAAGTTATGTAGTGCGGTGCGCGGCAGGAGGCCGTGCTCGAGGGTGGCCGACGCCGGCTCTGGGGCGTCGCGGGCGGATGTCAATTTCAGTATAGGTGGGTGAGCGGGGAGCAAAAGCCGCGACGGCCGAGTCCCTCCGCCTTCGCGCCTTCAAGTTTCCTGTTGCTCGGTTGCCGACCTGCCGTCCGCGAGCGCGTGCATGCATCCGAGGCGAACATCGAAGCAACGTCGCAGGAGCGCAGCGGAGGGTCACCGCGCCCTCTCCAGTTCAGCCGCGGGGACCCGGGGAAGTCCACCAGCGTATCGCCCCCGGCGAGTGCCAGCCCGCCATAGCTGGGAGAAGGAGAAGGCCGGTCCTACGAGCCTGGAATATTCGCGGGTCAGTGGCGAGCTGGGGTCGTTCCTGGGCGTCCTGCAGATCCCCCAAGTAACCGAAGAGCGAGGCCGCAGTATGCACGAGTGCAGTCCCAGCCATTTCCGCGCCGTCTGACAGGGCTGACGGGAGAAAGAAAGCGGAGGTAGCGGTGCCAGTCTCGCACGTCGCTGCCTGAGCGTGTTCGACTTTGAATTTGAGGTCAGAGGCCTGCCGATTCAGAGGAGCGAGCATGCGACCGGCGCGTGCGCAGTCGCTGTGTGTCAGCAGCAGGCATGCCTGGTCGCGGGCACTAAAGACATCGCACTGAGACGTGCAGGTGCAAGTGATGCGGGCCCTGTGGAGTGAGCCTGCGAGTCGTTCTATCAACAGATCAGGGCGCCGTACCTCGTTCGACACTATTCTTATCGCACCGCGATCCCTCGACGCCCCGCCCAGGCAGGATTTTATTACAGGCTCCAGCGACCATGACAGTGGGAGGCTGAGAACGGGGTGAGGCGTTGGCGAGGGCCCGCCAGAGGATCGGGTTGAACGTTGCGAGAGCGAAGGAAGAGGTTGAAACAAGGTCCGCCGCACGAAGCGCGGTGCACAGAGTGATCCGAGCCGCCTGCTGCGACGCGCTTCTAGGCTTGTGCCGCTGCCCAGAGGACCAGCGGGCGCACCCCTTGGTGTGCGCGACGCGATAGCAGCTCGTAGAGGAGAGGGAGCGCGGCAAGTCCCCGTTGGAACATATAAGGATGTACGGCGGGAGGCCGCCGATCACCCTCGCGGCGCGCCAACCCCGACATCCCACCGACACGCGGCATCTGCCAGCGGCGGACCCGGCGCCCTCGCCTCGCGCTTCTTCTCGCACGCGCGAGCCCATGACGCCATGCCTGACCCGCACCTGCGCGCTCGCTGCCCTATCTCCGCCACGTGCATGCGATCGACTGCCCTCAAGAACGCGCGCGCATCCAGCCCCACTCCAGTGCGCTCCTCAGCCTGCTGCTGAGCTGCTCCCCTCCGTCCGACACGGCGCCCCCCGCGATGTCCTCTGAGTCCTCCGGCCTCGCGCCGCCCCCGCCCGTCACCGCCCCCGGCGACCGCGCCTCCCTCGGGCGCGCCGACTCCTTCGCCGACTCCGCCGCCGCAGGCCCCTACGTCCCCCCGAGCACCGCCGCCCTCGAGCCCTCCGTGCCCTCCACCCCCGTCGGCGCCTACGCCAGCCCCGCCGCCGCCGCCGCCGCAGAGACCAGCCCGTTCGTCCCCCAGAGCACGAACCCGGACCCGGACCCCGAGGCCGCGCATCGCAAGGAAGCGTCGACCGGCTCGAAGGAGGCGTTGGCGGGGGAGGCGCGCACGGCGGGCGCAGCGGCGCGCCCGTGGTACCACTATCGCCGGCCGTGGATCTGGCTCGTCGGCGGCCTCGCGCTCGCAGCGCTCGTCCTCGTCGTCGTCCTCCCCGTCTGGTTCGTCGCCGTCAAGCCGCACCGCGACGGCGCGAGCGGCGCTGCGGGCAAGGGTGGTGGAGGCGGCGTGGCCGGCGGCGCGGTGACGGGCGGGAACGGGAGCACGGTGACGATGGCGAACGGGAGCACGTTCACGTACACGAACAGCTTTGGTGGATATTGTGAGTAGCGTCGTTTCCCCGCGGTCGCCCTCCCCGCGCCATGTGCTGACCGCGCGCTCTCCACGCAGGGGTGTACGACCCCGCGGACCCGTTCAACAACTCCGCGCGGGCGAACGCGTGGACGCCGCCGCTGTCGGAGCCGTGGAACTTCAGCACGCACCGCATCAACGGCGTGAACCTCGGCGGGCTGTTCGTCCTCGAGCCGTTCATCACGCCCAAGTACTACCAGCAGTACGCCGCGGCGGGCGCGATCGACGAGTGGACGCTCGACACCGCGCTCCGCGCGCAGGCGAACATCACCGCGGTCATGCAGGCGCACTACGGCGCGTTCGTCACGGAGCAGGACATCGCTGAGATCGCCGGTGAGCAGTCTGCCTGCCTGTCTCTCGCACGTCGTGCGCGCGCGCTGGGGATGCTGACGGGCGTGGGGGTTCGTGCGTAGGTGCGGGCCTGACCTGGGTGCGGATGCCGATCCCGTTCTGGGCGATCGAGGCGTGGAGCGACGTGGGCGTTGCGGACGGGACGACGGTCGCGGAGCCGTTCGTCGCGCGCATGTGCTGGAGCTACATCCTGCAGGTGTTCCAGTGGGCGCGCAAGTACGGCCTCCGTGTCAACCTCGACTTGCACACCATCCCTGGGAGCCAGAACGGTCGGTCTTCGTGATCCTTTCGCTGTATTCTACTGAGGCGCTGATCGCGGGGCGCAGGGTACAACCACTCGGGCAAGCTGGGCACGGTGAACTTTTTGAACGGGATGATGGGCATCGCGAATGCGGAGAGGGCGCTGGAGTATATACGTGTTATCGCGGAGTTTATCACCCAGGTGCGTGCTCTGCTGTGTCGCATCTCGTCGCGGACATTCACGAACTGCTCTGCAGCCGGAGTACCAGCCTGTCATCCCGATCTTTAGCATCGTGAACGAGGCGCTCCTGCAGACGATCACGCTGCCTGTGCTCACCACCTTGTGCGTCGCTGTGGATCCATCATCGCTGTCTCATGCTCACTCTGGACTGCACAGCTATCTGAACGCACACTGGATGATCCGGAACATCACGGGCGTCGGCGAGGGCAGCGGGCCGTACATCGCGATCCACGACGGCTTCATGGGCACCGCGTACTGGGCGGGCTTCCTCGAGGGGAGCGACCGTGTTATCCTCGGTGCGTCGCGCTCTCTCGTGCCGGTCGGGAAGCGTTGCTGACGGACTGCTGCTGTGCTCTCCCCCTCACTGCTCTCCCCCTACCGGCAACTGCCGCTCTCCCGTGCCTGCTCCTCTCGTGTGCCCCTGACGCGCGACTGCCGCGACGCGCTCTTCGCCGCCCGCTCGCCGCCTGTCGACGCCCGGTCCGCTTGTGCCCGCCCCGATCCACGCGCCCCGCTTGACGTGTGCTCGTCGCTGCGGCCCCGCGATCGGGTTCTCCGCGCGCCTCGGACCACCACGCCTTCTGCTTCTGCGCTGTGCTGGACGATGACGTGCGCTGCGCCTGCTGCGACGTTCTGTCTCGCGGACGCCACCGCGGATCCGCTGCGCGTCGGTCCCGAACGACGCCCACCCTCGGCCCCGCCGACGCCTGCACCGCCTTCTCCCTTCTCTTCCGCCGCGTGGTCGTCGCCGCTGTGTTCCCTGCGCCTCCATGCGCACGTGGACGTCGACGCTGCATCCTGGCCCTCGTTTCTCGCGCGACGGGCGACAGACACGCACCCGTACTTCGCGTTCGACAATGAGCCGAACAACGAGCCGGTGAACGTGACCGCGAACGGCACGGCGGACGCGTCCGTGTATGGCGGGCAGTGGCCCCAGATGGCGTGCAGCGCGTGGGGCCCGGGCATGAACGCGAGGTGCGTCGCGCGCTCGCGCCTGTCTTCCTTTGCGGCGTGACGGCTTGCTGACGATTCTGTTTGGGGTTTCTGTGCGGGGCTGGACGTTGGGTGCAGTCGGAGCGCTTTCGGTGTGACCATTGCGGGCGAGTTCAGCAATGGGATCAATGACTGCGGGTTGTGGGTCCGCGGCGTCAACATCAGCGCGGCGTACGTCGGGAACTGCGATTACTGGGCGAACTGGGAGTCGTGGAGCGACGAGACCAAGGCGGGTCTCAAGACGTACGCACTCGCGAGCATGGACGCCCTCGGCGACTGGTTCTTCTGGACGTGGAAGGTGCGTCGTGCCCGTTGAGTTTCCCGCAATCCGGCCGGCGACTGACGAGGACGCATCGTTATCATCGCAGATCGACGCCTCGTCGACGAGCGGCACCGTCGAGTCCCCGCTCTGGTCGTACAAGCTCGGGCTCGAGCAGGGGTGGATGCCGACGGACCCGCGCGCGGCGAGCGGGACGTGCGAGGCGCTCAAGGTCGCGCCGGCGCCGTGGAACCAGTCGTTCGCCGCGTACGCGACGGGCGGCGCGGGCGCGGGCGCGATCGCGGCGTCGTCCGTCGCGCAGTACGCCGCGTGGCCGCCGGCCTCGATCAACAACGTCCCCTCGGCGAGCATGCGCCTCCTCCCGCAGTACACCGCGACGGCGAGCGTCGTGAGTCTCCCCGCGGCGAGCACGTACTCCGCAGCGACGGTGAGCACGGGGAGCGGGTGGGCGGACGGGGGCGACGCGAGGGGCGCGCCGACGCCGATTGCGGGGTGTGCGTACCCGGATGCGTGGGACGCGGTGAACGCGGCGGTGCCGACGAGTGGGTGCGGCGCGGGCGGGGCGGCGGAGGTGAGGAGGGAGCTGGTGCGCCCGCTCGTGGTGACGAGCGTTTGAGGCGTGGAGCCCGTGCGCGCTGATCGCTGGCTTGTTGGGCTGGCGGTGGGTGGATGGACGGGGGCCTCCCTGGACTCGCCGTGCTCTTGACCGGGACTGGGACTGGGACTGGCTTTGCTTATATAGATACGTAAGTACACATCCGCGGCCCGCTCGCCACGCTCCTCCCTGGCTTTCTCCACGCATCCCTATAGTGTGCTCGGGATCCGAGACGCCACGCCTCCTCCTCTTGCACCCGACACCCATGCCTACCCGTCCTACCTTACTGACGTGCGCATTTATACCCGATCTACCCCGCGAGCACGAATCACACGCACCGCTTGCTTACCTCTGTACATGACGACTTCGACGATTCTTGCATGTGGCGCTTGCCGGCCACCACACATCCGCGTCTACATCCACATCCACATCTACGCTCGTGTCCGTGTAGACGTTCCGCGTCCCTCGCTCTATCTCTCACCTCTCACCTCTCCTCTCGACGCTTGACTTACACTTCCCTTCCCTCTGTGCCCGCCTTAAGCTTGGGTTAGCTCTCTCTCAGTCTGCTCTGCCGCGCTCTCGTACGTACCGCACGCGTACTTGGTCCTTCTTCACTGGCGAGTTCTGCCTGCGCCCCGGACCCCTATATACCTTTTTTACTCGCTGGATAGATGGAGACGGGTTTAGATTTGGATGCTTGCCTACTTATGTGCGATAGTTGGCACGACGCGTTTGTTGCGAGAGTTATGCGTACGTACTGATATACGAATGATGCGAAGACTCGGAGGAGACATTGTGGATCTGCCTTGGTCTCCTGAACACGTCGACCTGCATGCATGGACTGCGCATTGGCGGGCCCGCGACGGCCAGTGGACGGTGCGGACTCGCAGAAACCACTGTGCATGCATCGGCCTGACTCGGACGGTACGCATACTCGGCAATGCTTTTATACTATGACTGACAGCATACGATGACTTGCGTCAGACACAGTCCGGCGAGTCTAGGTGTCAACTGAAAACAGCCCAAGTAGGGAGCGTTGAAACGTTGAGGGTTGGACGTTGGACGTTGGACTCCAAGCCGGACGTCTGGACGTTTAAGGTTTGGACATCAATGTTTGAACGTTGTGAGCTTCCCTGGAAGAGTTTGAGAGTCTGAGGGTTACATTGTTCACGAATATAGCCAGAGCAATCACTGATCGACCGGAGTGGCAGGCAGGACCATGACGGCACTGATAATATTATCGCTATCAGTGCCAGTGCGGGCCTGAGGCCTGAGGCCTGAAGTCATGAGTGCTGGGGCCACATCATGGTCACGGTGTTGTCTTTTGCATCTTCATTGCTGAGCGCTGAATGCACAGTATGCCCGATTGCCTTAACGATTGGCAGGAAGGTCACAGCTGCAGAAGATTTGGTCTAGTAGGGCCTGCAGTACCATGACGATTCCTCAGGATCGCACTCGCTAAGTACACTGCTCGATCTCGATCGACGAGTGCCAACTAGTAACCCGAGACACTACAGTGTCTACCGCCGTCTCAATAATATGCCCTTCAAGTTGGCACTGGCAGGACTGATCATGATCCGTCTCATCGGGTCAGTCATTGCTCGACGGACGCCAGCATTAATATTATGTTTCTCTCATGATAAAGCACCACAGCACTCCGGGACGCCCGGATATCCGCAGAGCAGACCCCGGGGCATTACAGCTTCAATGAAGCGGCCCGCGGGTCCGACACGGGATGCCACCGCGAGGAGACAGGCCGACTCGGAAACGCGACGGTTGTACTTACGAGTAGGCTACTACATATTCTCCCTGTACTATCAACTAGTGCACTCCTTCAGCTTCAGCTTCATTCTTGAGCCGTCGAGACTTTGCAAGTTCCAAAGACATGACCGTTTAAATACCAGTATCCAAGACCTAAGTTAGCTTCCAATGACCGGAACAGTACGCCCTTTGGCACCGTCATCCCTCCAGAACAACCTTGTCACATAGTATGACCGCTCCGTCATTCACTGACACTACAGTAATGATACACCGTACACGAGCTCTCGTACAGCGTTACATCAACATGGAACCGTGACAGCAACAGCAGCGGACTCTCCCAATCACCCACCGACGACTAGCTCGACTCACACCATCACCCAGAGATCGCGATGCTGACCTGGTACTCCTTCTTCACCGGGTCCTCGTCGGTGTACACCACATTGACCTCGGTTCCCTTGGAGCTCCTCTTTGTAGCCTTCGGGAGATGCGATTCTCGCGCGTTCACATAGATGCCGCTGCTGTCGTAGTACTGGGGCTCGATCTTCATCGCCGTGTCGCCCGGACCGAGGTCCATGACGAGGTCGCACCAGCGTACGTCGCTGTCGATCCCGAGCGGGACAAAGAACTCCTCGCCATTCTTGGGGTTTCGGAAGCGCAGCGCACCCGAGGTGCCGCTCCCGTTGATGGTCAACGTGCGGGTGTCGCTGGTGTTGGTCCAGATGCCCCCGTTGGCGTTGTACCACACGACTTGCTCGACGACCTCAAAAAGCGCATTGCGGTGCGTATTGAGGATAACAACGTGGATGTTGTAGGCCATCGTGACTGTGGTGTGAAATACGCTCAATACCATGGCGGGCTATGTGGGATTCCGGATTAGTGCTCACCTGCTGTGTTGTTGGATTGAACTGCGATGAACAAATTGAGTGCGACAACCGATTATGTAGCTGTGATGAGCTTGTGAGTTAGATAGTATGCACTGTGTTGACCTATACACTCACCGAGGAGACACGAGGGCTCTTCACTGGGGACCAACACCTCGTTGAGGCAGCATTATATAGGTTTCCTGAGAGTCATTGTCGATGCTTTCAAGACGAAGTTAAGTTCAGGGGTGTCACCCCCTGATGAGTTCAGTTTCTTCCAGACCCACCATGTGTTCTTGCTGTGGACGCGGCAGGACGACCACACTGGCAGGCTGACCACACTGACATGCCGCCGACGCTGGAAGGGACTTGAATCGTAAAGATGCGCTGAACATTCTGGAGGTGAGACCTTGAGCAGCCCCGGCTGTACATTTGTCCCATGAATAGCTGTCAATATGTCAATAATCAGCGGGAAGCATCATCATGGTCAGACTGCATACCATGCAGGCCGATGGTAGTGGGCTCGCGCTGCCCCGCGCCATTAGGATTCACGACCATGAGTGAGATGTAGAATCACGCCGATGCGGCAATACATACCACAAGTTTGATGTGAGTCCTCGGCGCCGGGGAAGTAAAGTTGCGAAGAGTCAAGAATGTCGCGGCCGTAGTTTGCCATACAATACGGAAACCCGGAAAAGCCATGGACCGGAACCTTGTGTCGTCGGTCTACGCTTCCATCTTGCCTCTTGTCAAGGGAGGGAGGCCCAGTCCGGTCGCGAAGCAAGCAAGGGCTAGCATGAAGTACATTGTGCCCCAGATACTACAGGAGATCGTACAACACCGGTGGCCCGGGATGGTACCGGGTACGTCCTCAGCGGGTCTCCTCCTCGGTCGGTCGGTAGGCCTTCTGGCGCGCCATGGATTCGGGTTTGTAGTGATCCAATGCACCGTACAGTTTGACAGTTGAACCACCGTTGAAAGTATGATGTTGACCACTCTGTCGAACATACGTCAAGCATTCACGCAGCGAGTCCCTCCGAGTCCCTTTTAATCTGAAAAAAAGCCGTAAGTCCAGGCTCATCGTTGATCTGCAAGCACTATCGTACCACCCCTCCTATGCTCCCTTACGATACCAAAGGATCGATTCAGATCCCATAAGACATGGCCCAGCACCGAGTTCACGCAGCTGCACGACGATCTGTGCTTGCGCGCTTGAAGATCAATTCCGTCAGTGAACGAGACTCTGGAAAGACGGACGACTCGCCGGTCTGAGTCGTGTGGTAACCTGCCATGGCCTGCCCTGAAGAGAGCAGCCAATTGGCAGCCCGTTCGAACAATAGGCGGGTAGCAGATGCTTAAGTCGAATGGATGCAAGGCATCGCAGATTTGTTACGCCGGAGACGAATGCCACAATCGCTCACATACCTGTTGATGCGGTAGTGAATTGGTGTCGACTACTTCAATCTTGTCCCGACGGCAGTAGTTCGAAAGAAGATAACCTGTTGGCCTGTTATGGTTAAACACTGGCACATTAAGCTGCGGAAGTCTTCACTCATCCGGTAGTAGACGGTCGCCGGTGTGCGCAACACGCAATTCCGCGCCGTTTCAGCATACCTTCAATAGTGAGGCGAGCCCTCAGGAGCCCGCTATCGGGCTTTCGCGCCTCACGAACTGCGACTGAATATGTATGGGTGGGTCCTGGCTACCCATCTTATTGGTTGAAAGGAACTCGCCGAAGACTCCGGACAAGTCTCCCAACGGCGCATTCTACACACAGTAACTCAGCAGTGAATCGCCGTCTGCTGCCCTGAGCGCAAGGCATTCCGCGCATCTATTTCCGTGCGGCAAGCTGCGCATCTCGAGATGCTGACCTCTCTACCATCCCAGATACGCAGAAGGACGTCAGCGACCTAAATAGCGCACGCGCGTGCAATGCACAGTCGGTACAGTCAGCAAGTCACGTCTTGAGCGCAGCCATGCCCCGCGCGTCGTCCTCGGAGGAACTCAAACAGGCCAGGCATGCGTGCGGCCCATGGTCCGCGCCTCCCCGCGGGTGAGACGAGCCTGACATACAAGTACATATAGGCTCCCATGGATCCTGCATCTCGCGCGATCGTCCGAATCGCGCATCTGGATTCTGGACGTGCCGTCCCTCAGACTGCAGGCCTCGTGCACGCAATCTGCGGGCATGCAGTGAGACGTGCGGGGTGCGTTCCGTGGTCCGTAGCTAGTCGGCGTGAGGCCTGGGCCCACGTCAGCGAGGCAACCTGTAGATAGACGGAGGACGTGCGTGAAATGGCTGCGAGCCCGAGGGTTTATCTGATAATGACATCCTTGGCTCGGAGGAGGCGATATACGTCCGCATTGGAAGCGCGAGGTGGTACTCAGAACTGAATAGGGTGGTTGGTATTGTCGAGGATAACACCTGCAATGTAGCACGACCCACGGCCCTAAGTCAATAAGGATAACGCATCAGTTACATCCTCACGGAATTCGTCAAGACAGCCAAACCTCAATCGGTCGTCCCAACGTGGACCAGCCGGCCAATGCGAAGGCCGTCCGTCACCCAAAGAGCCCGACCCACGAACGCAGCGCCTGGGCACGCAGGCGACGAAACCATCTTTCCCTCGGACGCATGCACGTCCCGGCACCCAACAGAGCCGGAACACGAGCGAAGTGGATTCGTGGAGGTTCCTGTGATACATTGCCTATGCCGCGTCATCGAACACCACTCTAGAAACCCGCGAACATAACCTACGTGTATATTGACGTGGGCGTGGGCCCAAGGCCGCGGACGTCCAGTGCAACGACGGCACGGGGAGCCTGAGGGCTCCCGCGCCGGCAGAATATGTCAATTCGGAGCCTATCGGAGGGACGGGAGACTGGACGTGACCTGCGGAAGTAGGTTTGCGTGCGCGGATTTGAGTTCAGGTTCAGATGAGAGTTCTCGGATGTCTTTTCGAGTGAGAAGAGCTAGGGTAAATGGCAGTGGAAGACGGGGCGTGCCAGGAGTGCGGATGGATCACCTCACCGCGCGAGGTGAAGCGTGAGGTTCGCCTGGCAAAGTAGTTCGAAGTCTCGAAGCACCAGCCTTCGGCTTCCTCTCTTCGTTTTCTGAACATGGGCGCAGCAGCTCAGCCTAGAGAACCTCGCGCGTCCGAGATGGGAAAGCCTCCGAGTCGAGGTGAATCTCCGGGGAATACCCTACTGGGCCGCTCCCATCCCCTCCCGAGTCGCCTCCTAAGGGCGGGCGCGTACGCGTCACGCACCATCGCAGTCGAATCGCGCATCGTGCTTCTCGAGATTGGATCGCAGTTCAAGTTCAGCGAGCGGATGGGGGGTTAAGATTAGGGAGGAAGCGCGCCCGTCTGCTTCTAGATCCGTCTTCCCGCGTTCTCGCTTCTTGATGGGACGTGCGCCGCGGCTGGCTGGCCGATTGCATGCCACGACGAGACGGGTCGTGCGCCTATCCGGGCGTGAATATCAGGATAACGACAGAGGGTTCTGTGTCATGCCGCTGGCATAAGCGGGTGGTAATCCGGATGTGGCGGGCGACAAACGTTGACGTGTCGAAGTCGGGGATGTACAGCGCAAGAAACAGTGGAATTTCCGTGCTGTCACGGAGTGGCCTGCCGGGGCCCCTTCGCCCATCGCGTCTTCCTGGCGGAGTGGACATGCTGAAGAGATCCTGACGATTCAATCTAGTGCAGGTTTCGTCAACGTCTCTCCTTCGACCTGCGCGTTCCAGAACAGGTTAGGATCATTCTTGCTGTCAGTAAAGCTCATGGACGACGCACCACTGCGCCGGCTGGACGCATCTGTCCGATCGAGGGACTCGCTGTCCGCTACGTAGAAGAGGCTAGAAGGCGCATCACGCTTCTCCTTAGCCCGGAATCCACGCCCCCAAGCTGCACTTCTCGGTAATGTCTACATATATTGGTGGGAAACACAGATGCCTGTGAGATTAGAATAGGGTGGTGCGCCACTAGCCCGGTGGCCATCCGGATGACGAGATGCAGAGATGCTGCGTCGAAGGCCGTGCACTAGTGGCCCTCCGTTCAGATCAGCGAGCCCCATGACGCATCATGCAAGCCACCACGTCGACTCGAGCGCCATGCAGACACTGCGGTCTTCGTCAAAGTCGAGAGCAGTGTCCCAACAGGATGGGAATGCCTGAGAGTCGCACGCTTCTCCATGGGCGACGTCCGAGTCGCCGAACACGCGGGAACAGATCTGGACGTCCTCGAGATGATGCACACGTCCGGATGCTGAAGTAGCTCGCGTGATGGGCCACCATCCGCCTCCAGTCGGCATAGAACGTCCAGAGGCAATCGATAATAGCGTCTTAATTGACGAAGCCCGGGAAGGCGGCCGGAGGAACGAGGCCACATCTGAGCGAAGAATCGCAGCCCGACGGGGATCGTCTCGGACTCGCGACATTCCACCGACTCGGAGACAAGACAAGGAAGGACACTAGCGAAGGGAACGGCCCATCAGAAACGCGGAGGTACTCGTGAGGGCGACGTACGAGATACGTAATGATCCTGCACAGCTGATCTTGCCAGTGGTGAGTAACGGCAACGGTTCTTCGCGGAAGGCGTGCGTAGCGAGCCTCATCAGAACGCTCGCCAAATAGTCTGCACGGGCTGGAGGCGCGCAGAAGTGTTTGCGAAAGGGGGGGCATGCCTTAGACCTGAATTGTACAAGACTTATGCGGGAGACCGCCCAGCACACCGGGCCGTCAACGAGACCGCACGTAGACACAGCATCTGCAGCGACGTACTTCGCGCAGGCCCGCGACGCATCGAGACATTCTGCCCAGATTCGCCAGAAAAACGCAGCAAGCATAACGACGAGATGTACGACCCTCTGCGGAACAAATACTCGGACAGGACAGTGTCTCCAAGGCTGCACGTCCGGCACCTGGGCGATATACTTTCTCAGATAGCAGCAGTAGTAAGAACAGAGCGCGACTCACTATGCCTAGAACGCCCCTGATGGGCTCCGAAGAAGTTTCAGGGCAGTATCGAGCTGTGTCCGAATTCGCGTCCACATCCAAGTCACAACCTGAACCACAAGCTCGAAGGCTCCCAACCGCGGGAGCCCGCTCGAGCTTCAAACCCAGGGCGTCCGCCCGCCGCCAGGCTCCAGCGGCTCAGACATATCGTACAACAGGCCCCAACGAACCAAGTCCGTAGCGGGGCCACCTTCTCAGTTCTGGAAGGCCGCGTCCGCGTCCGCGCCCTGCCGCGCGACTCGCCGGCCCGACGCGCATCAGCGCAAGGGAGCCGGCGACTCAGTAGTCAGTGCCCTGGGCAGTCCACGCCCGGAAGTTCAATACATGGTCGATGGTGAGCAGCCAGCGTACCGACGCACGGGCGCCCCGGCCCCGGGCAAACGTGCGGAGGCCCGCACCGCGCATCTCGCGACGGCAAGCGTGGACGCACTGGCAGAGTCTGATCGAACGCAGGGTCCGTGTTCGGCCACCCGTTCAATCGACGGGGCCCTTCGAAATCGCGCTGCGAGCCGGCCGGGGTCCAGGCGGGTTTCTCGAGTGCGTGCGTACGCCCAGACTCGGACGCGAGGGCTGGCTTCCCGTCGCCGGCGTCCTTGCGAGAGGAGGGGCGCACGCAGTGCTGCCGCGTGCGGGCCGGCGACCCAGCGCGGATGGGCCAGGGGCTGCTGGGGCCGGGGCGCGCGCAGACAGATGGGAGGACAGGCCAGTGCCGGTGGGGTCTCGGGGGATGCAGCCGCGGAATCGGCGTCGGCAGGAGACGGGCGCGTGCGGTTAGACGGGTGCGTTGGGCCTGTGTATGCGGGCATGGGTTGCTGGGTACGCGCGGAGACGTGTCCTAGAGATCGAACGGGCGCACCACGTCCGCGCGCGGCCGGCCAACGAGGCCCGCGGCGTCCTCGACCCTGCACCCGTCTCGTCGCGCGTCCGGCCACCCAGCGCGCGCGCGGGTGTGCGTCCGAGCCCTCCACGGCCGCCCACACGCCCCGTAAGCTCGCGCCTCGCGCCTCTGGCTCGCAGCGTCCTCGGCGTCGAGTCGCCCAAATCTCGAGTCATGCGGTGTCCACTGTAATTGAGCGTCTGCGGCCTCGGGATTCACGCGCCATCCGTACGTGGGCGGCGGCGACTCACTGCATATGGTTCAGTCACCCCGACGTCGCAGTGCCGTGGGGGACGACACCGCAGGACGGGACGACGCACATGAAACGCGCCGTCCGGAGCCAGTTCGAAGTGCGCGCAGCTACGCCCGCCGCGGGACCCGAACAGTGTCCACTGTCCAGCGCAGGGTGCCATGATCCACCCGCATCAGCCCAGAACCCGAAGAGCCAAGCGCATTAGTGCGAGCCGTGTCGTAAACACGAGGAGCCCGCGCTGCAAGCTTCATGTTGGCTGATCCGTCTGGACGATGCGCTGCGGCTGGTGTGGAGCCTGGGCGCGATGACCCGTGCTGGGTAGGCGACTAGAATGGAGGGCGGGAGAGCGAATAGAGGTCGGCTGAGATGCACTGCTGTCGACGCGGCGACATCATACGACATACCTGCGCGCTCCCTGGCATCCGATGCACCGCAGGCGTGCGCAGACCCGTATCGCAGAGCGGGTGCAGTACTTGGCGCGGCCGAGGTAGGAGGTCGCAGTGAACTGTTTGGCCGGGCCTTGGAACTTGGAGCTTGGAGACTGGCGTGCGCGATGGGTGTACGCGGGTTTCGCTGGCCTACGATCTGCATGCCGTTCCAATCGGTGTCCCGGTACACGGCAAGCGCGTTGACCGAGAGTGACGATGGAACCCTCGCGGTGGCCATCACCGAAGGCGGACAATCGCGCGCTGCACAGACTCCATCAGCGCATCAGTTCGACGAGGCCGGTTCAGGCAGGCGGAGAGATTGATGGAGCGACCGAAGGTTCGGGCTGGGTGCAGTTGCAGTGAGTGATGGGAGGGAGAAGAGAGGACGGGTGGCCGGGGCCCAGAGCGCGGAGGATGGATCAGGCTGGCCCGCTGGGGGCTCGATACGCGGGTGCCCGATGCCGATTGGGATGGGCGATGGGCGTCCCCATCTGTTTTCCGTGTCTGGCACCGTGCATGGAAGGCTCCCGGAACAGCCCGCGCACAGACAACTGCCTGATCGCTCGACCGCCCGAGCCTCTGAGCGTCAAAGAAGCGCCCTGCAGCTCCGAGATCCCCTGGACGGATCCCGTTATTACGCGTCTCCACGCCGTATGCACGTCCCTCCACAGGAAATCCACCGCCGAACGCTCTGATGCTTCGTTCTTGCGTCTCCAGCGCGGCGACCGGCCCTCGACCCGACACAGCGGGCACCGTCCATTTGCGCGGGGCCAATAAGACTAGGCTAGCACTAGGCTGGCTGATGGCGGCATGTGGAGGCGTGGATGCACTCTGCAACGCTTGGAGCGCGGACCCACATGGCGGCGGACGCGGTAGCGAGAACCGTTGTGCCGCTTTGGAGACCGGTGGCGGCGGGCGCGGTGCGCTGGTGGCGGTGGCGCGCCTCACAGATCTCGATCGGTGCTGCGGCAGCCACTCCGTCACATCGATCCTCACTTGCTTGGCCCGCTGGGTACGAGTACACTGGACCGCAAGACGTTCGCATGTATGTGTGGCTCCGCTGGGCTATGTATCCAGTCGACGGACACTCTCGCTATAGATCGCAGTCTAGAAGCGGCCACGAAAAAACTCGCTGCTACGTCTCTACTGGTACCGATCCCAGCATCAGCAAACCACTCGAACCTTCACTCGCAGCCTCCTCACGATCCACAGCGCCCAAGAACACCCGTTCATCCCCCGTGAGAAGCCGCGCCGACGAGCAGGTGGTGGGCGCTGTGTCTCGCTCCAGCCCGGGCGCTTCTCGCAGTGCTTCCTGACGACGGTGCTCGTCAGCCAGTGATATTGCACGGACGCAGAACGGGTGCGCCGTCTGAGCTGCAGTCTGCGCGCGCCGTGGCGAAGAGCGGTTCGTTCCAGATCCCTGCCAGGGGAGCCGTCTCGTCTGTGGAGGATCGGCACCGCCGGACTGGCCCGTGGCGCGCAGGGCGGTGCGACGGCAGGCCCCCACACAAGTCAAGTCGCGCTGAACACACGCATCCCAAGTCCTACCTCCCAACCTCCCAACCTACCGTCAGCATCAGCATTACTCGATAACCAATCTCTGACAGCCCGCCCGCACAGAGATCCCGCGATCGCAAATCCCCAGCCCGCAAGCGCTCCTCCCCCTCCAGGTTCTCCCGCTACACCGTCTCGTCTCGCCCATTTCGGATTCTGGACCTCGCCGTCCGGACTTCTACCTGGAAACACGCGCGCAGCCCGGTCCCCAGTGGAAACCGCGCGTCGTCTCAATCGCGGCCGAGGGAGGACGCTCTGAAGCCGCAAATATGGCTGAAGCTAAACGTTGAGGGGTGGCAGCGGGCGCTGCTGATCCGCGCCGCAGCCACCGCCTGGCCGATGCGTTCGGAGAACGCACCCCTTCTGTGTCTGTGTGTCTGTGTCTCTGTCTATTTGTGTATCCGCGTCCGTGCGATAGGTAGGCTGATCTGAGAACTTCGAGTTTGACGATCTGCGTGACTGCTGGCAGTCGGTGGGGGTCCGGGCGGGATGGACTCGGACTCAGGAGCGCGGCGGGCCGGGCGAGGGTGAGGGGGGTGAGGGTTCGACGCAGCGAGCTAAGTAGTAGTAGGAGGGGTGGACTTGAATGGGCAGGGGAGCGGTTGGTACGGTTTGGTTTCGGCGCGCTGGAAGGGGACGTACTAGTACTAGCATACTTTGATGTCGTACCTAGGAACGAATGAACGAAATCGCTGGTGTCTCGAAACTGCCGTTCAACGAGTCCGTGCGCAAACGTGTCGGCGATGCCCTCGCGGAAACGATATGTTCCTGCTCTGCGCGACAGACAACCTGAGAGTGATACAGTATTATTCCTGGAGCGCCGAGCCGTTGGTGCACTCAAGCGACAGCCTGACAGCTGGTGCCGAATGAGCCATGCATGCACTACTACGTCTGTCCCGAGCGCGCGAGACTGGACAGACTGCGGTCATGGCCATCTGCAGGGCTGCTGCCACGGCTCCACACATCCGTGAAGCTTGTACACTCCCTCGTCCACGTCCGCGTTCAGAGTGAGCAGACAGAGGTGCGATGGCATACGGGTGCGCCCACCGGCACTGGTACTTCATCGACAGACTCCCCGCGTCCAGAACACAGCAGCGCACGCACCGGCATCGTACAGATCCGTGCTGAGGGCACGTCCTCAGCTCGGACGGCCCAGATCTCCCGAGTCGTCGATGCACAGACGTGCGTGTGGTCTGACCGCGAGTGGCGCGACACAGCGTGTCTCCCGCGCGCACGGCCGTCGTCCAAGTTGGCAGATGGGCCAGGGGAGATAGCCTCCGCGTCTCGGCCGACCTGCCACCCATCCCAAGTCAAGTCTGAGCCGAGCCACCTGTCCCCGTAACATCGTGCCAAGTGTGTCAGCGCCAGCGGCGTCGTTACGGAACCAACGGCACCTCCAAGTCGACAGCCCGCAACGGGGTCCCTGTCAGCGGATCCATCCGCGTTAGCCTCGTTCTGGGATCCGGGGCGGACCCAACGAGACAGCGCGAGTCCGCGGGGGCTGCAGGCACTTGAAGCAGTATAGCGGCGGAGCCTGTACCCTCACGGCATCTCCCAACGCATGCCCGTGCCAGTCTGCCACCCGCAGCCCTCTGCATTCCCCCTCGCCTGTTCGGTTGTTCGTCAGACGGGGACGGAGCACCCGGGCGCACGGCGAGTTGGTAGCCTCGCCGGGGATCAGCCTGCCGCGGTGCTGTCCCTGTCCCATGCACTCCAGGGGATCCGGGTCCGGAGATGCGGCAGACAGACAGGCGGCGACTATCGCGCGCTGGGGATCAGTGCCCAGCGCCGGCCTATTCAGTCGTGCAGGAGCCCGCGACATTTTCTGGGCGTGCGGGTGCCGCGGAGTATCATCTTGTGTCTGTGTGAGGTGTCTGGTGCGTCGCCCGCGGAATCGGGCCGGCGGGCGAGCCTGAGCAGCGATGACATACCGAGCTGTGCAAGCGTGCATGCAGAGAGAGGCCTTCTCGGACGGACTTGAAGGACGGCACGCAGTTTTGGAGGGGTCCCTCGGAGCTCGCGTCATCGCGGCTGGGTCGAGCCTCGTCTAACCAATGTGCCTGCAGAGATAGAGGTGGAGGTGGCAGTACGTTGAGCACGAGTGTCCGCGAGCGAACTTGGACCTACGTCACGGCCGTCCGTCCTCCCGAGCGTATCTGCCAACTGCACTCAGGATGTGGCGTCCGCATCCATGTTCAGGCCCCATAAGATTTTTCCGCGAAGCACGGCGACGCACTGGCAAGACGCCAGTGCACGAGCCCGTCATCGTCATGCGGAGGGCGATGCGCACGTACATTGGCACGCCACGGCCGCTCCTCCCGTCCGACAACTCGAGAGCAACGCCAGCACGCAGTGTCCTGCAGGCGGCCGCTGTCCACGCGTCAGAGGGGTCTATAGCACGAGAGGCGATGCACCGACGCAGGTCCGTCCACTCCGCGAGCCGTGGCGGTGAGTAGCGGCCCGACCTTGCGTGCACAGCCACCGCGCCTCCGCGCGCCGCTCCCAACCTGTGCTCCCAAGCTCGCGGCCCGAGCGTGGACTTCCCTTCCCGGCCAGCGCGCCGTGCACAAACCCAGCGAACGACGGTCGCTACGCAGTGCTTTGGGAGCCCGGGCGGTGGCTGTGTCGTGCGCATTGTGCTTGCTCCCTCGCCAGTACTACCTACTCCGAGTCCGCGCGCCACTAGATTATCACTGCCACCCTCGAAGATGTGAGGTGAGCTCCATTCCTGCTACGTCGCGGAGGCTCCTCCTGTCCGACTGCTTCTCATGCAGCTGTTCGTCGATGGGCACATCCTGGACAAACGGCGAAACAAAAATAGAACCGTTTGTGAACATTCGAGCGAGCGCTCGCGAGCCGCGGTGCCGACGCAGCGCTTCCTCGATAGACGCAGACCGTACTCCAGCATCCCGATAGATCCCGCGAGTTTCTGCGGCATGCAGCCGTAGACAGAGTGCCGACACCGTCCGCGCGTGTCGTTCGCTGCCAGCCGCCTGGCCAAGCCCGAGATCGAAGCCAAGATGCGCGCGGGGTCAGTGGCCGTAACCCGAGGGGCGGCCGCCGTTCACGCTCAAGTTGCTCAGTTCGTCCGCCCGCGGGGTGATCCATATACACGAGGCTCGCAGGTCGGGCGCGTCCACGGCGAGCGCCGGGCCCATCACGGGCAGCGACAGCGAGGATCCCGTCTCCGGATATGGGCTTCAATGCCTCTGGCTCTCGATCTCGCGTGACCGGGCTTCTGTGGCGGGTACCCGGCGAGCGTGGGCGGCGACGGCCGGTGGGGAGGTCTGATGGGCTCCGCATCCGCATCACCGTCAGAGTAGTCCCAGCCTCTGGGCTTCGGGTTGACGTCGACGTCGACGCGGCTTCGTCTTCGAGCGGAATCCGCGCGTCTGGGCCTTCTCCCGCACCTTGTTCGCGTTCGCGTTCCCCGCCTGCGCCGCGATTGACTCGCCGCGGCACCCCAGCCTTGGCCAGTTCTGACGCAGAGACAGCTCGCATCGAAGCCCCGGCGTCTCCCGCCGCTCCCGCGCGCCGTCACTGGCAGCGAGCCACGCGGCTCTCGCGTTGCCCCCGTCGGCCCTCCCTCGTGGGCTGGCACAGACGTCGGCGCGACGATTGCGGCGGCGGGTGATGTGGCTTCGGGCTAGATTCGGCCTTCGCACTCGTCGATCGCGCTTGTGGCGCAGACAGCATCCGAGCCAGAGATGGGAGGCGCATTGCCCTTTCGGGCAGCGCCCAATGACAGCACGTCCCGCGACGGCCAACCCAATCGCTGCTCCGTCTGCCCGGGCCCATCGATCAGCGCGGCACCGAGCGTCTGCGCTGTGTCCGTCCGGATTGGCTGGGTGCGCCCGCGTGCTCGCCGTCCTGAATTCATTTAGAGCGGACGGGCGGTTGCGTCATCAGTAGCGGATTGGTTCCGGGAATAGGCCTGGTGATTGGCTGTCAAGGGAGGACCAATGGGCGGCCAGAGAGCCCAAGGAGGGCGCGTCCCTGCTAAGAACGGTAGCGTGGGTCTGAAACGGTCTTTCCAGGCAGGACGCGCCCTATCTGCATCCACCACGAATTCGTCGGATGGCGCAGCAGTGTCATAGGTGATGTGTAGCAGGGCGAGAAGGGCCGGCATGCCCTGTTTCGCTGGTCAGAAACCGTCGACGCGTCCTGCAATTAATCAAAGACGAGAACACGTCGGAGCCAGTTGCGCGGCCTTATGTGGGATTTCCGTGCTCAATGCGCGCGCGGGCGACCTGAATTTGCGAATGGGATGAAGGATCTGTTTGTTGGCGAAGGGCGGGGCCCTCGGGCTGTATGTGCTGTCGTGCGCAAGACCAGGAGCGACGTCAGTCAGATGCCAGTTTAGCCTTTGACAATGGGCTGGCAGACGGCACGCACCAGATGGGCCAGATGTGGCGAGCAGTGGACGGAATCACTGGCCAACCGCATCACGCGTCCCTGCTCGGTGACACCGAGTGCTATCAGCACGGATAAGTTCGCTCCTGTTGCGTATGCGCCTCGCGTGGAGTTGGCGTGCCCTGCAGGACAGCCTAAGGCCATCATTGGCTGAGAGCATAGGAGAGCTGGCGCACCGCGAAAACCATAACAGCCCCCCGCTGATTCGCTCGTGCCCAGCAGCATCAGAGGCTCTCCGCCGCTGGGATCTCGAACCAACGGCGCGCGAACGCGAAGCGACGTCGAGCTAGCCGCCGCACGATAGGCGCTGCCCTTCCCATTTCGTCCATGCCGACGTCGCCCTGCGCGGGCGCCTGGGCGCGTCCGGATCCCATCACGCTCAGACTCGAGTTGGGCACGCGGCTGCGGCGTACGTACTCGACCGCGACAGCATCGTCTGCGGTACGTCAACGCGCATGCGCGGGCGAGATCGCCCTCCGCGCGCCGCGTCGCCAAGATCGCGGTTGCGTCGGGATCGCCAGCTGCTCGCGGTCGGGCACGGCCGCCGGGTCGTCCGAGGCGTCAGACCTGCCCGCCGCGGTCGCGTCCCCCACCAGCCCGCCGCACCGCTCCTGCGCCTCCCCGCGGCCGTCCGTCCCAATCCGGCAAGACCCGCGCCCACGACGTCGTGCGCAGGCATTAGCGACGCGACGCTACTACTACAGGGGAACGCCCCCGCAATCTATCAGCTCGTCATGAGCGGAGGAGCCTACGCGTGATACCACATACCGGGCCACCAATTTGTGGCTGCTCTGGCCGCCGAACGAGGCGGGCGGGCGGGGCCGGGATGGCCGGGGCGGGCTGCGATTGGCGGAGGCGATTCAATTTCGGGTGGGAAAGCACAGGCGCGCTCGCGGGACGCCCAGATGGTGGGCGAGATGTGCTAAATCGGAGGTGGCGAACCGAGATGCGCGGAGCTGCCTTTTATGGATGCATCGTCGAGATTATATCGCCGGAGAGCGGCTGCCGGTGCTGATTGGCTCGTGCGGGGCGCAGCCTGGATGGCTCGGTGCGCGTACGTAGAAGCTAGAGCGGCGACTGCCCACGGCTATGGGCACGGCGGGCGGGCGTGGTGAGCAGGATTTGTCGTGCTGACTGACCCGGGCGACGGTGCTGTGCAGCGTTAACGGTAGCTGTTTTTTTGGTTGTCGTTGTCATTGTTGTTGTTCTGTGGGACGTTGACACAGGGCGAGCGATGGCGGTGTTGCTAGAAGCGACGATCCATGTGTTTTTGTGGGTTCATACGTCGTCGGAGTGGTACAATGCGCTACAGCTGTATTGTCTGCGAGAAGAACAAGGACACAAATTGGGAGCACTGCAACGGGTGCGTACGAAAGCCGCGTGCATCGCCTGTTACGACATGGGGCGCGTTCTGGCTGGCGAAGTGGCTGTCACGGTGCAGGTCGCGAGCTCTGGAACAGGGCTGGGGAGGACGAATTTCGATATGATGCCCGCGTCGATGAGTGGGAGAGCCCGCGGTGTGGCGTCCTGATTCGGGGAGAGGAGGTGCGAAGAAGCCGAAGCGTCGCGCATTGGACGGCGTGGGTGGGCATTCCCTCGCGCGGGTGGCCCGCGAAGGCTGCTGCACACGCAGGTGGCTGCAGGAGGAGGTTGCCGGCCTCGGACACCGAACCAGCAGTGCAGGCGCCGGGCGGGCCGGACCGGGCGCGGACCAATGGGGGGCGGCCCGCGGGCGTGTCGGTTGGTCGCAATAAATGCAGGCGTGGGAACAATGTAATAATGACGGCTCGGCTGCGCGGCGAACTCCGCGCGCGCTAGTGAGATACACACGCACGATCTGCGGGTGCAATAGACTAAATGGCCTCCTCCGTCACCGTGCGCCGCTCCCCGTGCACTGGGAGGGCAGCCTGTGTCTACGTGGACAGAGCATGAGAGCTATGGGGCGAATGGGCGGGGGTATGGGCGGTGTGCACGCGTTGCTGGGACCGCTGGCAGGCCCGTCGCGTGTGTGGCTCGGGGTGGCTGGCGGGGGGCCGGTGGGCTGGGATGGGCCCAAGGGCGGGCGAGATGAAACGCCCCCCGATCTGGAGGAGATGGGATCTTGGGTGCATCTTCTGTGCGCGTTGCTTCTGGCGAAGTGGCGAGTGGCACCCGCGCGAGTGGGCTGGATCAGATCACGCCTTTATTTAATGCACGCCCGGAGATCCTCCCTTCCCGTCCTCGCGTCTATCGCGATTCGCTCCGCCTCTCTTCCAGTCTTCGCGCGCATCCCAGCTCCCTCCCATCCTTGCCCTCGTATATATACGCCCGCCCGACAGCCCAGACACTCGCCCTCCCCGCCCCCGCCCCACCCGAGCTCGCCCCCCATGTCCGCCTCGAGCTCGTCCCGCATCTTCGCCCAGCATGTCCGCGTCTCGTCCACCGACGAGCTCTCCTACGACCCCTCCTCCCGCGGCGAAATAAACGAGACCATCCACACCATCGTCACCGGCCGCAAGTGCTGGAAGACCATGAAAGGCAAGGGCGAGGTCGTCTGGCCGCCCTTTCTCGAGCTGGCCCTCGTCGAAGGTGCGTGCCTATTCCCAGGTCCACCGGTATATGCATATACGCGTGGTATTGACCGCATATGGTCTGCTGGCATAGGTCTGGAGAAGTACCAGCCCGTCGAGAGCCGGACAACACGCGCGTTTGGCCGCTTCCCGATGCGGAACAAGTTCATCTCGGACTACATCTTCAACAAGACCGGCAAGCGGCGCACTCCAAAACAGGTCGGCAGTCGTCTCCAGCAGCTGCGCGACACCGCCGAGGGCAAGCGAAGTGCGTCCCGCCCTCATCATTGTTCGACAAGGACATCACTGACGCGAACATCGATCCACAGTACTGCAGCAGCTGTCGAGCAGGCACATCGCAATGATGCAGCCAAAGTCAGAACCCGTCCCTGACATCTCCGCCGCCTCCGACGCCGTCGCACCACCGCCAGGCCCGCCCGTCAACTACATGACCATCGACATCGTCCCCGACACGCCTGGCAGCGGCTACCCCTCGCCCGCACTGTCGCCGCTCGCTGGCCCGTCCACGGGCCCGCAGGCCCCGCGCCCGATGCGGGCCATCGACCCGACGGTGACGTTCATCTCGCGCACCGCGCTGCAGGCGTACGCAAGTGTGCGCGTCGTGCGCGACGGCCGGACGGTCTGGGCCGAGAAGACCGTGCTCACCTTCCGCGACTCGAGCGTCGTCCCTGCGCCGGTGTACCCCGCCCAGATGGAGTGCACGCTCCTGTACAGCACGGAAGTCGTGCCCGGCTTTTGGGGCCATCTCTGCGAGTGCGGTGGTGAGTGCCGTTTCCCGGATGGGTTTGGTGTGCCTTGTGTGCGAGCGCTGGCGTCTGATGATTTTTCTTCCCCTGTTGTTTCAGATCCTTCGCAGTATGCCATCTACCAGGATATCGTTCGGCTGCCGAATGGCACTGACGCTGCCGCGACCACCACTCAGGCAGGGACGCCCCCTCCCGAGGACATCCTCCTGTCGACTGTGTATCGCTTCAGCATGCACTCGGCATCCTCCCCTCCCCTCTCTCCGTCGACGTCTAGCGTCGACGCGCTGAGCTACTCGCACGAGTCTAGTGTGAGTCAGCTACCTCCATATATTCCGGAGGCAATGCTGACTGACATGCTCTGATTTCTCGATGCTCCTCACCTGGTCCTTCCGCGCCGTCTTACGCCCTCCTTCACCCGTTGCTTCTTCCTTCTCCATCCTATCGCTACGACACCCTCTTCGAGGTCCACCACTTCAATATACCTGATCCACACAGCCCGAAATCGGCTCCGACTATGGCGAGCTCCTCCCTCCCTGCCCATGCTCTACACTCCCTCCTCGCACACCTCCCAACCGCACTCGCACGCTCACTCGCACGCCGCACACCACCACCCCCACACGCCCTCGCCGCTCCAAACGCACACCCACTCCCTCCCGCCGCTGCACAACCTCCCGCACCTGCCCTCGCCCGCGCACCCCCACGCACACTCGCCGCCGCAGATGTCCGTCCACCACTCCCACTCGCTCCCGCAGATCCGCGCGCCGACGGGCTCGCCCGCGACGCCCGGCCTCATCCACCGGCACGAGGAGGGCTACGCGAGCCTCCCGCCGAGCCCGCTCGACCTGACGTTCCCCGCGGGTGTGCAGGCCGCGCAGACGACGCTGCCCAGCCTCGCGTCCCTGCAAACCGTCCCGCCGATCGGAGGCGGGATGTGCGGAGGGGCGGGGTATGCCGGCTATGGCCAGGCGGCGGTGTACGACGGGATGTCTTATGTGAGCCGTCGCTGAGCTGTGCGCGTTGTCGGTGGAGTGCTGACGAGGACCCGTTGCAGACGTTTGACCCATCGAACACCTACGCGGGGCTCTAGGCTGCCTGCGCTTGTCGGCTGCCAGCGCCACTCGTGGTACGGCCCGTCCTCGCCATCGCCGACGTCCATTATATATTATCGCTCGTCAGCTGTTCGTCCTCCCGCGCCTCGACGTCGGCGCCCTCTTGAACACCCTACGCTACTTAATCGCCACCATGGAACCTCGCTCGCATCTCGCTCATCTGCCTCCCGCCGCGCCTCTGTACAAAAGCTGTACCGGATACTCGTGTAATCTCCGCGCCCCGCCTCAGTGCCCGCACGCCCGCCCAACGTTATTTGTGTTCCGTGCCCATCCCCTGTTGCCCCATCTGCCGTCTCACACGCCATTGACGTTCCAGTTCGCTTATCCTTAGACCGCCGGAGTCGGACCGCAGTGTTGTTACTATTGTCAAGCCCATCTTCCATCTTTAAAAGTGTGCATAGTCCCTTCTCTCTCTTCGTTACTACACCCTTGCATCGCTGTTGTTGTCTGTTGCCTCCTCTCTCTCTCTCGCTGCCCGTCCTGTCGTGTACCACACTCTTGCATCGCATCATGCAACCCGTGTATATACCTCGCACTGCCTTCTTCTGCTTAGCCGCCGCCGTACTGTCCTGCCCCTCCTTAATCCCATTGTAGTTCACCTTGTACCGCCGCGCCGCGCCAGCGGGGCGCCCGTTCCTTCGATCCAAGTTATTGGCTTCATTATCCAGACGCCCCTGTTATTGCCATCGTTGTTGTCGCCAGCATCCCAGAGGCCCGCCCGCTTCGCATCCCGTATCGTATCGCTTGTACTACTCGTACTGGACACATCGAGATTAATCGGATCAGACAATTATTGCATCTTGTGCACCACACGAGTCCGTCTCCGTCTCCGTCTCCATCTCCATCTCCCGTGCACAACCCGGCAAACCCTCATCTCCGCACCACATTGCACCCTCAGGAGCGTTCTCCCTCCCGCGTAGCATCGTCCGCCGCGGAGATCCCGCTATCAGCATGGCTTGAGCATGGCTAGTGATTAGTCCCTGGCGACCCGGCTCCAAGCCCGGACGCCCGTTCTGGGTGGATGTCCTCGTCGGCACCACTACCAAGCCCGCGGCCCACGAGCGTACTACAGCTACGTCACCCGCCCGCGCCCCGTCCGCCTCTCCGCCGTCGATCTTCTAGCGTGCACGCAGCGGGCCTTCTGGCTCTCCGCGCGCAGGGCGGCAGGCTGCGCGGCCGGGCGCTGCAGGCTGTATGCTGCCAGACGGACCTCGCGCCGCGGCGGGGGTACTAGCGACGCGCGATCGAGTCGTCGGTCGTGTTTGTTGTATAGAGCGCAGGCTGAGCTTGGGACGGGGCTGACCGACTCGGACAAGGACAAGGACACCCGACGTGCGTCCGGGCCTGGCCCACGCCGATCGCGAGTCGCCCGTCGATGGATCTCAGTTCGCGCTTCAAGCTGAGTACGAAGTAGAGTTGGCGTTCGCGCCGGGGAGGACGTGGGGATGAGCATGAGCACGGACGCGGAGGCACAGGGGATCGGGCGGTCGGCGTGCTGCGAGGGGTCGGGACGGGAGCTCCGGCAGCCGCGAGGGTGGATGGCGTCGCGGTAGATGACCGTGAGACGGACGTGGCTGGTCCCCCGCGGAGCACAGACTTGTAGCTCGACCCCGTTGAGATACTGCGTCGGTCGTGATCAGGGATCGGTGCGCGTCGAGCGCGTCGCGGACCTGGCTCACGTCCGAAGTCGCTGGACACAGATGACGCACGAGTCTCACTACCAAGCGTCCGCGTCAAAGGCCGCCGACGACAACGTGACTCACCGAACGCGGCCGTCTCTCGCGGCCCAGCAGGCAACACTGCACGGCCC